TTACTTTTTACTTCAAGTTTGATTTAAAAAAATATCCGGAAAAAAATTGTACTTCAAATAAACACATTTAGGTAATGGAAATTTTAAAAAATAAAAATTAATTATCAAATTGCGGTATTCATGTCAATAGTGTAGTGATAGCTACTTGGATTCATAACCCAGCATGATATCCTAGGTTGACATGAATCAATTCCAGGTTTTAGTGTGACTAAAAAAATTTTTACCAGAATGACAAATGTTGAAGGACAGAAACAAAAATAATGTAAGTAAACAAAGCAGTCTGTCAAATAGATAGAACAAACATGGAAAATATCAAAAAATGGATGAGACAAAAAGTGGAATATTACTGTGAAGAACCTGATAATAGAGATAAAGAAATAGAACCAACGAAAAAATCGTTTCCCCAATCACAAAGATTTTCGATCACAATTAGTGTTCTCTACAACTGAAAGATGATGCTTTCGTCAATTTTACAATACACAAAGTAATCAGAATTAATTCATTTTTCAATTTTTAACTTCCATTTATAAACATCAAAACAAATAATAAGTAATAACAAATGAAATAATATTAAAAGCATTTTTATTTGTTTTAATAAATTCAATTGCACAATGAAGTTACATGAAAAAGAAGATTGATTTATAAACCACCAGTTTTGTATAATAAATTTTTAATATTCTACAAGAGAATAAAAATTTTTTTTTGCCATTTTTCTTGTCATTTACATTGAAACTAAAATTAAAAGAATGAAAAATCAACTTCATTTGTATTTGATTAAAAAAAATATTCTTAGCACGTCCAAATTCGAGTTTGGCATGAAAATTTTTCATTTATTCTCCAATTCTTGGGTTAATAAATTGCAAGATGTACTTCTCCTGTCATATAATAACTCCTATCAATAACTCGAACTGAATGATTAAAGTCGATGCATATTCTTATCAAACAATTTATCATTGAAACTAGAATTAATAAAGGGAAAAATTTCAATGAAAAACTATGAGAGATTATTTTATTATTTCCATCTATATGCAATGAGAAACGAAATAGTCTAGTAAGAAAACATGACATTTAGGAAGAAAAATAAATCTTCATGCATACGAGAAAGTGATTTTGTAATAAAAAAAAAACCTCTCAATAAATTTATTTCTGCATCCACTACAATTTTTTTTTATTTGCTCCAACAATAATTCTTATGGTCAGAATATAGTGGAGTTTCCAATAAATATTTCAGAATTTTTCAAAATTTATGAGTAATTTAATTGTAAATTTCGAGGCAGAGTCTCTATATGTATGTATATCAACATCATGAAAATAACTTCAGTACGAATGGATATGCATTGCGGAAGTGAATCTATAGAGTATGTATGTATACAAGGTGAATAAAGGGCGCAGGGGATACGAGCAGCTGTATTATTTAGGCCGGCGACACACCCCCAGTGGACCTTAATAATTTACAAATGACGTTACGGCTCGCGGGATCGGATTAAAAGGAAACTAATGGTTGTCCGATAATGAAGTGAATGTTCAACCCAACTATCTGTAGAACTATGTTTCATCTTGATACTTAATTTATTTCCTTTCTCACGTTAAGCGAAAAAAATGTTTATAAGAAGAGGGATAAATTCTTAAGGGAAAAAATGCTTTATAAGACCTTCTAAATAACATACTTTCTTAATTCTATAAATTCTTCCCCTTCAACACTACAACACAAGTAAATCTTTAGACATAAGAAAAATTGAATAAATATTGATATTACATATTTTTATGTTTTTAATCATAATTCATATATACAATTTATCTTAGATAAAATATTATTATTTATTAGAAGCCTTTATTTCAATATATTTTTAAGAAAAAAAAAAAATTCATTAGTTTTTTTGTTTGAAGAATGTTCGAGAACAATTGAATTATGTAAGAATAATTTATTGCATAAGATATCGAAGAATGATCTCAAGTGGTTATGCATGATTATTATTTGTTTGTCTAATTAATTTGATTGATAGATATTGGAAAATATATTATTAATTGTGATGAATAATTTTCAATGAAAGAAATGAATTTAAGATTGTTAATTTTTAATAATAACAAAAATAGTTAATAGAATTGTTATTGAACAAATAATAATTATTAAATCAATTTTGATTTTTCAACACGATATATAGTTCAAAAAAAAATTTTAATCAAATAAAAATAACATACAATGTGGTCTATATAAATACTGAAATGATGGAAAATAAATTTGAATAATAAAAGCTCTTCAATATTAAAAAATATTTATAAATATTCAGGATCGTTTATGCTCTGAAAAATTTATAATTTTTTTTTTTTCAACTTAAAATAATTCAATAAAGTTTTTTCAATAGAATTAATGATATCTTCTTAGTATAAAAAAAAAACTCTTAATATAATTTTATATTTCAATTGAAAAAAAGTCATTTAGAAATATTTACAACATTACTTTCCAGTTGGATGATAAAATAATGTTATCAGAAAATCATGACTAAATTATCAACAAATAATATAGAATGTTGATTAAATATTTGTCATTTTGTTATTTAAATTCAACAAATTAATTGAATTTTACTTAAACAATGGAATAAATAAATGAGCATTAATGAAATTACTTTTAAATTATTGTTAAGTATTTTTTCATATATATTTATGTACTACACTGGTCAAGGTAGTTTATTGTTGTCAATAGAGAATAATTGAATTACTTGTTTATAGAAACAGATATTTGTATAATATTAATGTAAAAATGGGTGAAATGCAAATATTGATAAACGTGCGTTATTGATTTTAGAAGAGAAACAAAAATTATTCATCAAACATCAACAATACGTCGTCGTCGTCGTCATTGCTCGTCGATGCAATAAAAAAATTTAAGTGACGATTAAACTAGCTGAAACTGGTAACGTAGAATGAAAATATAGTGACATTATTAAGGATAATATTGGCCATGAATGTGGTTGAAATCGATTGATACTATTCGAGAGTATTCTCTATTCTTCTTCATGATTCCTAGCTATCCTATACTTCCAGCTAACAACTCGTGAGTCTATTCAGTGACGATACGATAAACCAAGCTGTGAAAGACTAGTCATCCGAATGTACGGTGATAATCTTCTATTCCTTTTTTAAATTCTGATGGAATAAATGTACACTCTGTCAGGTTAACTCTATCGTAAAAGTGAAATAAAAATCAACCAAAAAGCTTGACTATTGGAGTAGAAAAAAAAAAATAAACTTCTAGTAGAAAGAAAAGTCAATGAGTTATAAAAATATTATTACAATAAATAATCTCAATTGATTAACAATTAATTAAGTGATTATCAAATAAAGACAATGCATCTGTATCTAGATCAGTTGATTAAAAAAAAAATTTTAAATATTTCTCTAAAAATAGAACATTAATTCTTCTTGAATAATTATTTGAAGAAAGATCCTAGTTTTTTTTTGGATAAAAAAAAAACTATTAATTAATGAAAAATGTATTCTTGATTATTTTCAAGTAGCTGATAAAAATAATGAGTATGAATTTATTTTTACAACACTATTGATTATCAGAACTCTACATTTTTTTTTGTTCTCTTTAATTCATTAACAAAAATAAAAGAATAATAATGACCTAGGTATTTTGACTGTTTATTTACGAAACATACTCCAAACATACACAAGTACATGAATGATTAAAAATGGAGTTCGAAATTGATACCATGAGGATGTATGATGTGATAAAATATAAATTTTTAACTGTTTGGTCGAAATAAGACTAGAAATGTCGTCGACACGAAATAAAAAAAAAGACTCTTCTAAAAGACACGAGACTCTGCAGGCTTATCCGCAATACGTGGCCTATTTTCTATGAGTATATTAAAATAAAAGTCATAGAAAGAAAAAGAATATTATAAAAGTATAAGAGCACGAGCATGAGCTTATGCTTGTAGAGTAAAATCTACACGTTACTCTTGTGATTAATCACTCGTAATCAGATTCTTGGTGATTAATTGTTCTGTGGTAAGCAGCACTTACTGAAACATAGAGGTTTACTCATCGCCTCGATTTTCTGTGACCACAGCGACAAGACGATCTATAAAATTTCAAGCACTTACAGAAGATATGTATGTTAAGACATAGATATCTAATACGATTAAACGACAACATAATTTGAATTAATTGAAAATCAACTGTGATTAAATGTATTCTTTCAAAAATACTTCTATTCTAGGAATATTTTAACTTAAGCTCTAGTTCTTTTGATGGTAATTTTTTTTGCTAATGAATGCAGTTACATTTATTTCTTTCTATTTTAACGTTAATTCGTTCAACTGACTTACTCTAAAAAAATTCATTTTCTCAAGATAAAAGTGATAGTATTATAGGTATTAACATATTAATTGAATTTTAATAATAATATTATTTATTAACTCACTATGTCAAATAAACTCGATATTATATATAGAGATAATTGTGTATATAATTTAGAAGATAATTCAATAACTTTTGGTATTTTGGATGATATTAATTAAATTTAATGATTATATTAGTTAATCATCCAACGATTTAGAAATTTCTAATGTCTAGATAATTTTTCATTTTTCATTAAAACAAAAAAAAAACTGTAATTTTTGCCAAGTCACTTCATTCTCTCCAACTCTGAATCTTGTAACGAAAAAATTTCCCTCATCGTTATGAAAATAAGAAGAGATAAAATGGAAGAAAAAAAAACTGTTAAATAATGGATTTTTCACAAAGTTGTTGCTTAGCTAACGATAATTTTTTCCTCTCGCACTATTTTTCAACAAAGTATTTACTGTGTATAGAAAGTAAGTAAACAAGTAACTCTAATAACATATTTTTTAGTAGTATCTGAACTAAAAATCAATGATTAAAAAAACATATGGTTGTAGAGTTCCAAGTACTTCTTCAACATGACATATATACAGGACTAACAAAGAGATTATTTGAGCTTATATTATTTAAAAAGCAACTCGACGTACCCCAGGTAATGTCGTTAAGCCAAACTTGAGTAGCAAAAGGTGGACGAGGAGCAATTGAATAATGTTCACAGTCGAGAGAAGACATAGAGGCTCCAGGGTCAGGTGGATTGCGAGTTCGATGCACAAGACAGCCACCAATTCCTGAGACACTAGCTCGACTACTAGATTCATAAATGACTTCTGGTACAATTATTTCTTCCTCAACTTCAACATCTGTAGCATTTTCATCACCATTATCAATTCGTAAATTTTTCCGCATACGTCGTTCTAACGAGGCTGTAGTTGAAGGCTTGGCAATATCCGTAGGAGAAGTATCAGCAGTTTCGTGCTGCTGAATATAAGCAGAATGAAAAGCTATAGTAGGTTGTTCATATTCTGCAGAATCACTTCCAGGGGATGGTGGGTAATTACTGGATCCAGGTGGATTTTGATCTTTCTGTAGTGATTGTAGTAACCCTGAAGATCCTTCAGCAGCAGAAGGTGTCCGTCGACCGGCTGCAACTGCTGCAGCAGCAGCTGCAACGGAATAAGAATAAAAAGATCCACTTGAGATCTGACTAGGATCATCAGATGCCAAGACACCAAGTTCCTTAGGCTGCTGAACAGTACAGGCATAGCTTTGACCTCCACCAATGTCACTGGGTGTTTGGTATTGCGACTGTGAAGCTGCTGGTTGTTGCTGATGCCAATTTTTGTCTTTCTCTCGTCTCGGCGAGCGACCGCGATCGTTTACAGAAGTCGCGCTCCAGTAGCCCCACGCCATACTCGACCTAGATCAATTTCCTGGCTGCTTTTCTTGGCTCCTCCTGCTTGCCCTCGCTCCTTCTTAGCTTCTAGCTACGTAGGTCTGTACACTAGCAACGATCGATCCTGACAGTATTTCCAAACTAAAGAGGTTCGTTTACGTTGAGGATCTGCGGTTAACAGGTGCACGTTTGATCCTATTTCTTGTTTCACCTTTACCTCCTACTCCTGTAACTTTTGCCAATGAAACCTCAACAACTCTATCAAAGTCTCACTCGGTGTATCTTGTCAAGTAGTTTACCTTCTCAGGAACCACTTCTTTATCTCGACTGAGTTAGCTCTTTTCCCCGGACTTGTTGTCAATTAGGCCGAGGAGAAGTGCAAGTACCAGAGACTCAACTCTGGCGTGTGTTTGCTGGACACTTTTCCGTCACAAGGTGTCCAGACTAAACGAATGCTGATCAAACTGTGCGAGGCTATCGACTGCGGCAAAAGCATTACTTCGTCGTCGCCCGGCGCGCACTACTGTCGTTTCCACAGAGCGCAAACGCGGACCAACAACCGCTCAACGACCACCACCACCCACCCAAACTTCATCCCCCGCCGCGAGATACCTGTGCTTTCTCGTGAATGTATGTGTGTGATGTTGATCACAAGTATATATGAAAGAGAAAAAGACATAGGGAGAGAAGAGCCAGGTAATTCGGCAGCTCCCACGCCTTTTAGAAGCCAAAGTATAACCCACCCTTACACTACTTGGTTAGTCCTCGTCTTTCATTCAAGTGAAGCTCTAGGTTCGTTTCTCCACCATCCAGAACTCACATATCCAGTTCTCTTCCAACACATCAACAGAATCTCTAGTATAGACTACACCACGTGTCCTTTTTCTTATATTTTTAACAGGCGAAAAATACCACTACTGATCTACTCTTTCTCTTCCCCGGGCCAATGATGTGAGCCAAGAGGGAGCGAGAAGAGATGACACGCCAAGGCTACATATATCGATGCCTCCCTCGACGCCGAGAGAGAGAGAGCTCCTAGGCGTGGCACATGCCGCCACCATAAACCATTCTCCACCTTCGATGAACCATCGTGGCTTTTACTCCACTGACAGCTAACACGAGAGAAGACCATTGTCATATCATTTCTCCTATTATCCTTTCGCTCATCCTATTCCTAAAATCTCAACGATTCTCAACTATTTCATCTCGCATAAGTATTGTCTTCAATTATTTTCCTGTTCAACAGTTCAATCTCTATCATAATAAACACTCATTTCCCCTTATTAATTAGAATATCAAAAGCCAGTTTCTGTGTTATAAAAATCAATTATCATACTCATATTATTATTCCAACTTTTTCTCATCGTTACTGCTAATAATATAGAATCAAATAAAAATGTCTCATCGAAAATATTTTATTCATTATTTAATCGATCTAATAATGAACTGTAATTAAACGAGATAATTATAATTATTCAATAGTTCATTTAATTGGATTAAAATTTAGTCAATGAATTTTTCCAATCATCATCATCATCACCATTTTTACTATTATTTATTTCGATTAGGTATATAGACTATATATTTAAATTAATTTACAGATAATCCATTGATTATAGGATCCGTAAAATTAATTGATTTATTTGCTGACGCATATTTGTTAAGCATATTTCAGTGTTTTTTTAATCAGAAAGTAGGCAATGGTTTGATATCTCTAGAGAAATTGAGAACAGCGACATGAGAGGATAAATTAAATTCTGTTGTTCAAAAATAGCGAGAATATTAAAGTAGAGTAAATTATAAATAAAGCTCAATAAGAGAAGATCTTGTTACTGGAAAATTTCTATTTCAAATCTTGCCCTTAAATTTTATCATCAAAAACCCCTCTGATCTTTGTAGTCATGTGATTTACTTATCATTTGACGTCATAAATATATAGATCTGTTCGTTATTTATATTCGTACTCATATTTTATCTTCCTTGCCCACAATTTGATCAATAGAACGATGAAAAAATTTATGTGTCATACATCTCGATGTAGAACAAGGTCTAAACTCTTTCCCTTTCTTTCCCTCCATTTTGTTCTATATATTCATTAGAAAATAATACAGACAAGAAGAATATAAGTGGAAGTAAAAACGAGAAAAAAAAAAAAAATAATCGCACATTAAAAATTTTTTTTTTTATCTTAAAAGCTCCTTGTCACTTTAAAACACCCGTAACTAAAGAACAAATGATTGAAGAAGACCTAAAAGGACACTTTGGAGAGTTACCGAAAGTATTATGATCATCATCTGAGATAAAATGACTTATTACTTCCTTAATTGTTAGCATAAATAATTAATCCAAGAACTATCATTGTATCTTCTCCTTTTCAACCCAATGAAAAAGAAACAAAAGATGATATAAATATATGAAATAAATTTTCTTTTCAAAGAAAATACTTTGAGTAATTTTGAACACTACTTACAAAGTTTCTACGATAATCTGTTTGAAAACTTATGTTCATTCAAAATGAGCTATAAATTTTAATTTTAATAATAAATAACTTGACAATAGCGTTAAATTGTATCTTATTTAATATATTCAACTTTAAAGATACAATTAATAAACTTCAATAGAATGAAATGATTTGATGTCAATTTTACAAAAAGATTTACGTGATTGATTTGTTCATCAAAGAGACTCTTCTATTGATGAGTAGTAGTATCAGATAAAAATAATAATTTAAATTGTATCAATCGATTTAAAAAATGTCATTTAAAAATTGCAATATATAGAAATCAATAAAAGAGCTATAGAATTATTATAACTGTCTACACAGTCAAAACCTATTGTTGTACTAAAGTACAATAGCTTAAAGAATTTTCTTCAACACTGTGCTTTTCTGTTTTCATCATCGATGAAATTTTTTTTTAATGAAAAAAAATTCAAGATTCTTTTTATTGTTGCATAAACTTGCAATTCTTTGCGTCAACTTGGCAGAAAAAATGTACTACAAAAGCCTTAATCGTGTGATGTAAGGCACGAACGGGATAATTGAGTGGATCTTGAAGAAGAGGCGTATACTAGCATCTCATCCCTCATCGCCCTAAATTTCAGTTGATTCAACAGAAAAAAGAGTAGACGAGGAACCGGTCGTTCAAACACCACCTCGTGATAAAGTGAATAGAACGAAAGAAAATATAAATATAAATATACTCACCGTGTATCGTTATTTCTGTATCCTTTTCAAGCTCATAGAGACGTAGAGCTTCGTCAAGTTCCTGCTGAGATGCTATTCGACACGGGTCACCTTCGTCGTCGACCCACTTCATAGTAAACTGATCTGAGCCAGCTGTACCTGCTGCACTGAACCCACATATTGTCCGCATCTCTTCCCGCAAAGCATCCACCGTCATTCCTGCCGTGATATATGTGATTTGCACTTCTCTGTGGAATAAAATGGACATTTAAATATTGTGATATTTATGGTGAAAGAAAAAGAAAAAAAAAACTATTATACAATCTACTGAAGAATGTGCACTTCAAGTGAAAATTTTTGTCTCCTTTTTAATCAAGTTTTTAATATTAATATTATTATAAAATTATTTATTATATTGATTCTAAAGTGCACTTTTTGCAATATTCTGCATCTTGTGATAAGCTTACGCTGCTTTAATGCACCGGTCTTGGAGTGAAGATCACTTATTTTATTCATGTTTTATTCTTTTCCAACATCATCGTGATAAAAGTTTTTTATTATCTAGAAATAGTATTTAACTTTTTTTACGATTATAAATGTTCTTCTTTTTATAATGATTATTGAAGTTTTTTTCACAAGAAATAGCAAGTAATATTAGTTTCGATAAAGTGAAATATTTTTTTCAATTCATTTTTAGTATAAAGTTACACGCTTTAACCAATATAGTATAAATAGACGAAAATTTTAAAGCAAAGTTTTTACAAATAATGACATTATTTTTTCTACTAAAAACGTATACATTATTTCTGTCTATCAATTTAAACAAAGTGTTTTTTTTTAAACTAAATAAAATAACATTTCATTACACTAAAAACTAGTACAATCAATGTAAAATAAATTGCAGTGATAAAAAATTGGCTTTTAAAACATTCGTTTCAGTTATCATTACAACATCCTAACTGAAAATTTATTATTTATAAATTTTAATACAAAATAAAAATTTTACGATCAAATTACAATAAACAGAAGAAAAATCAACAATAAATCGACTTAAATATTGTTTGTACCAAAGATTATAGCAAGTTCGTTAAAGAGCTTGTACTTTTTTTACAATTCTTATAAATGAGGTCGTTCTGAGAAGTTAATGTCCAACACAGATGTGCAGTAAAAATAAATAAAATCGATATCAATTGAAATAAATTAAGAAACATCAATCCAGATTAAAATGAATTTTCCAATACTTTTAACATAATTAATAGACAACATCCTTTCAAATAAAAAAATTTTCAATCACAAATATCAAAAATATAGTTTAAATAATGAAATAAAACAATATACATATATTGAATAATATTTAATTTGATCAATTATTTGAACCATTTAAATTGCAAAAATGAATCTAATAAACTTTGCATTTAATTTACTAATAAAATTTTCAACTATTCTTGCCTCAGATCAATGAGTCCAACATATGGAAACATTCAATAATTTTCACAAATATTTTAGAAAGTCATGAGTTCATCATAAATAGTTGAAAAAAAAAAAAATCCAACATGAAATCTCCTTTATTCTTCCTCTTGACAATCTGAGGAATGCAATAGTAATGTTTAATATCACACATCTATAAAGGAGCGAATAGTGTCTATCTATATGAGAATCAGAAAGCATGCCAAGCAAAAATTGGTATTAGAATATGCGTTTCCCAAAGCTCCATTATAACAGGAAAATCGATTTCAGTTCAAACATCATGTGCTTTAGCTTTTCTTAATTTATGAAAATGATTACATGAGTTTTATTATATATTTTTAGTGAACAGACAGACAATATAAAGCATGTATTCATGAGTTGTCTATTGTATTTATGTAAAAGTTGAGAGGCATTCATGACTATCACAATTCGCAACACGTGCCCGCTAGGACACACCCGATGGATACATTATATTCATGTTGATATTCATGTGTGAATGCTGACACATATTTACTATTATTGTATATGAATTATTTACCCGTTATACACGATTTTCACGCGGATGTCGTCGTTGTCCGCTGTTTGTGTTGGCATCCTTGTTCTGTAATTTTTTTTAGATTTCCCTGTAAAATAAAATAAAAATTTTTGTCAAAAAGTATTGTTTCCAGTTGATATAACTCAAACATATATAAATGTTGTATAAAAAGTCTTGTATAAAATGTGAATTCATCTCTTACAATCATTGATTTTTATACGTGACCAACTTTGATACTTGTTTTCTTTTTATGCAGTTGATCCACTGTGTGCCAAATTTCTCGGATATCACAAATATCCGCAGAATCTCAGCCTTTTCTTTTTTTTATTCTTTTGATTTTTACGTCTTATCGTGAGCGCAGTGTTTTAATTTTTTTTTTCCCCCCAAAATAAAAATGATCGTGTAAGAGCCACATAAAACTGTCTTAAAATTTTTTTCCAACTCAAAAAATACTGTTTCAGGAAATTAAAGATGATATAGTGAAGCTAAAATCCACGAAAGTTCTAGATATGACAGTTTTAGATAACATTTTATATTGAAGAGTATTTCTTTCTTTTAAATTCAGTTCAATGAGAAAGAAAAATTATTTTTTTTTTTCACCTTTTTCCTTTTTTTCACTTCACGCCTTTTATAAAATTGATGTTGTGAATAAAAGAATTTAAAAAATCAGAAAAGAGATTCAAGTACTAGAGAAATACTGTTTCATTCATTCCTGTATTATTAAATATTTGCAACTTCATTGAATCTAAAATTAGTTTTATAATTAATAATAAATAAATCAGAAATATTATGAGTAATTTAAATAGAACAATAATAAACAAATTTCATGAAGATATGAATATTATTTAATAGACTTTATTTATAATCTGTATTATATTTCAAAGCCAATTGCAGTTTGAAATGATTTCCAGAATGAAGTTATTACTTTGATAAAACAATACATGAAGTTGGAAAAATTCAAAACTTGATATAATAAAAATTTTTTAAACGAAAAAAAAAGAATAAACTGAGTAATGAGTATTTGAAAATAATTAAAAAATTAATTATAATTATATGTGGCTTTTACCTTCACAAACAGTTAGGAATAATAACGTCAAAAAAATGAAAATAACCCTTTTATATAAAATTCCACAGAGGATAATACATTATCTCAGCCACGAGGTAGGACATCTATTTTTTCTGTAATTAATACGTTATAACGATTATAAAAATAAATGAGGAAAATTGAAATTTATAAAGCTGTTGTAAAAAATCTATGAAATGAAAATTTATTTATGTTTATCTCCATTACTTAGAGAATTTTAGTTGAAATTTTTTTTATAAACTTTGACATAATACTTTAATCTAAATATTTTTTAATTAAAATTAAAATAAAAGCATTAAACCATGTCTAGTTTTTTTTTTCTGTTTGAAAGGTTGAAATTGAAATGTTTACTTACTTTAATGAAAAATGAAAAAATAGTTACTAAAGGAAACAAAATGTTATTATCCTAGATTTAATGTTTAATTAAAAAATAATCTAATCTCATTTGATTCAAGGTTTTTACTTCTATTGCTAAACCAATGTTATAATTTATTCATATATTCAAGAAAAAAATTTATATAAATATACTCAATTGAATAAAAAAAATTATTATTTATCATTGAAACTTCATATTTATATTCCAAGCATCGTTTATAATTTTTCTTTTACATAATTTGTTGTTCATGCAAAGAAAAAGTACTGTCAAGTATGTATGCACAAAGTTGTTTGATTAAATTTGTCATGAAATTTAACTTGGATTCAAAAGTATAAGGCAATTCATGTAGATGTTGAAAAAATAATTTAACTTAAAATTTCGAAAATGTATTTATGAAAGTTAGAAAGACTGAAAAGAAAAAAATGCAATAAAAAACAAAAATTAAATTTTAGAAATTTTTTATAGCAAATAATGAAATTACATTCTAAGACTCTGCAATAGAAGTAAAAAAAAAATAAATAATTCAAATATCTGCATCGCACTTAGAACTTTACCTATATATGAAGTGGATTAAACTCTAGCACATTAAAAATTCATATTAATCTACATTGCCTTATTCTTATGTTATGATTACATAGCAAGCATCTTATTTTGCTAAGCTTTACATAATAAAATATTTAATACTCAACTTTGTATTAATTAATTAAAAACATCTGAATATCAAACAATTTATTGTGTAATCAACACTGAAAATAGTTTATTATTCAACAGAAAATATCACTGAACATAACTTCATTGTTTTCTTTAATAACTTATAAAAACTAGAAACAAATTTGAATTCTACTGTGATTGTTACTGGATGTTTTGCAATTTACGTAGTGAAAATAAAATTAATAAATGTCAGCTCAGAGTAAGTTTCTCATATAAAACAAAATTAAAAGGTGAATGAAAATGAAATAATTTAAGAGAACTCACCCCAAAAGACTTTAGGAAGAGGTAATTCAAGATAGCAATAAGGATTGAATAGCATTTCATTTTTACGAACTTTACTTAATAAAACCACAAACTGAACGCCTGTTGTCATTTTCATCTTAAGAACTTGATAAATCAGGTAAAAAATATGAATTAAAATTAACGATTAAAAAGTAAATGAGTTTAAAAACAACACTAAATCATAACGAGTAACACAAAATAAAACAGAATTACAGAAGGCATAATTTTATTTGAATTTAAAATATAAAATATTATTGTAAGCTGGAAGAAACTTTGTTTAAATACTTGGATAAAATTTAATGGCTTTACGCTTGCGTATTTTATTATACTAGGTGAGTAAACTGCTTGAAACTGCAGTCAAAAGTAGTATTTGCAAGTTGGAGGAAGATCACTTGTATACTGTCGAGATGACTTGATTCAAGTGTCTTCCTTGAAAAACAATTAATGACGCAAAAAGAGCATGAGATCTAAATCAAACCGGACGATGTCAGATAAAGTTGGTAATAGTATATGTCTAAAATTCCAACAGCTCCAAGACTTCAATTGTCCTCTCTTTAATACCAATTAACCTCGCTTTACTTGTAGGAGACCTTAGCGGTCTGACTCACCGTTTGTATTGTCCAGAAAAAGTAGATAGTAACTTTTAAAGTTGATTTAAGTCTTATTAAACCTACAAAGGGGTCTTTTTCAATGTAGATCACTATATCAAATAAATTTGTATTCAAAAATTAACTAAAAAATTCAAAAATTATAACTTAAAAAAAAAACGAAACACTCAAATACTCAAAACGACAGTCGCGTTGTCACTTGTTGTCGTTGCCATCAAAGAGAGTCTTTGGTCGCCATCTCTCATGATGGGAAACTACATAAAAGTCGAGAGGTCGCTGTCCTTTCCGTCAGGTGCTGACCTCAACGATTGTTCCAAGAACTTATGAGAACTCCAAAATAGCAGTTAACTCAAAAGTACCGGTAACAGTGCTAATATTTTATTGGGTTGTAAATAATTGTCAACAAGTTAAATATTGTGTTTACTAACTTTATTTTCTTCGTTTATTTTTCATTTGTTCCTGAATTAATTGTTATGTAAATATTAACTACTCTTTATCCATACAGTGATAACTAACCTTAGTTATTGTACAAACATAATACAAGATGACCGATGGATCATTTATTTACGATGATGCTGCCTCAAAAATACAATATGCATTTCCTATTTTAAATGGAAAAGTAATTTTTATTTGTCATTTTTTTAATTTATGTACACTATACAATGTTTTCAATTGCTTTGAATTGAAACATAATTGTCATCAATTTTGTTGTTAAAAGAATTATTATTCTAACAATGATATTATTTATAGAATATTGTCTATTTTAAATAAAAACTCGATAATATCATTTCATCCTTTAATATTTTATAGGTACACTTGGAGTGCTCTGATGAGGAATTTCAATCAATTTTGGAAGACATCAAATATCATAATCTATCAAAGCCAATTAAATCTCTCATCATTGATGAAATAAAACGTTATATTAGGCAAAAAATTGTTCCCAACTTTTGGAGTAAATTTAATATATCTCCAGGTGAAGTATGGAACTTTGAGGTTTTTAAATTTGCTGTCGATGAACTGTATTCAAGTTCAATCGAGTTTGTGCCTTTACTGAAAAGACTAGAAGAATTAAAAGATCCAAATGATCCGTATTATCTTCTCTACGGTCAGACAAATCATCTTGCACAATTTAAATTAATCGTCCGGGCAAGTTTATTGAGTCAATTGCCTCTTTCACATCAAATGATAATCGAGCAATTTTATAAAGTTGCTTTCAATGTATTTTGTAATTCTGATGCTCAATTTTTGGGTAAATTTTCTATGATTTCATTTATTACCTACATTTACTATATTATATAGTAAAAACAATACACATACAAATTATTGAGTTTTCATTGCAGACAACAGTGATAGTGAAGTTACAGAATGTGGAGGCTGCAGCAAAGAAATAGACAACTGTGAATGTCAGTCGATAGTTTTCATGTTCCATGAAACGAATAGAAAATTGATAGAGCTTGAATTATTAGAAAGATTGGTTGGAAATGTTCTTACATCTTTAATCCATATACGTATAAAAGAGCATGTAAACCGGACGTGTGATAAATTATTCCATGTTACTCAACTTAAACGTCTGGAACATGTAAGTTAGTTATTCTATTTGCTTATGTTACTGAATCTAAAATGGAGCATAAAAGTTTATTTCTTGTTTTGTTTTTCTAGTGGTTGGAAACTGTTGTACTAAGCTGGTTAACAAGAATATATTCAGGGGGTTCTTCGAAAACCAATACTTTAACTGACAATATTCGTGATGCCATATTAAAATTCAAAAGAAAACTATCACATTACCTGTATGAAACGTACACGAAAATTCGAATCGATCAATTATTTGATATTATAATAGGTAATTATATATTCATATTGATGACTATGACTATATTTTATTACTTATATAAGATTAAAATAAATGTCTATATCTCATCAGAGTATCCTGAGTCACAGCCTGCAATTGATGACCTCAACATTTGCTTAAAGCGGACAGATCTTCAGAAAACATTAGTTACAAATTTACAAGAAGCATTAAAATCTCGTTTACTACATGCTGGTGTCAACACCCCTGACATTTTAACAGCGTATATTGCAGCAATCAAAGCTTTGCGACAATTAGATTCTACCGGAGTGTTGCTAGAAACAGTTTCCGAACCAATTAAGTCTTATTTACGTAGCAGAACTGATACGGTACGATGTGTAATAAGTGGATTGTTAGATGATTTTCCCAGTGATTTAGCCGATGAATTAGTCAAAGGTGAATCACTGCAATTGGATGATGGATCTGTTGACGAAGAAAATGAAGACTGGGAGAAATGGATGCCTGATCCTGTAGATGCAGACCCTGGTGAGTCATTTATTAATGATCAATCATTTTGACTAATTATTTTGTTTACGAGAGTAATGTTCTAATTAATTTCCAACCATTTTCAGCTAAATCAATTCAACGGCGAATGTCTGACATTATTTCAATGTTAGTTAATATCTATGGTAGTCAAGATTTATTCGTTAATGAGTATCGAACACAATTAGCTGACAGACTCTTGTCTCAGTTGAATTATCAAACAGAACGCGAGGTGCGTCATTTAGAATTATTGAAACGGAGGTTTGGAGAGAATCAATTACACTTCTGTGAAGTGATGCTTAAGGATATTTATGATTCTAAACGTATTGATGGATTAATACAATCGAACGGTACTTATAATGCTGAAGAAGCGCCATTTGCAACATCTGCTCTTATTTTATCCGCACAATTTTGGCCACCTTTCAAAGAAGAATGGAAATTAGAATTACCAAAATTTATTCAAGATCATTTAGACAAATATGTTAAAGTGTTCGAAACTCTCAAAGGGAATAGAACGCTTTGTTGGAAGCCTCATTTGGGAAATGTACATTTAGAAATTGAACTGAAAGATAGAAAACTAGATCTTAATGTCACTCCTATTCATGCAACTATTATAATACATTTTCAAGATAAAAGTAAGTATATATTGAAAATATGTTTGCATTTATATTTGAAATTTTTATCCAATTATTTCATAATAAATGACATGTATATCTTATTATTAATCTAAAGTAGAAAAGAAATTTTTTTTATAAAAAAACTATACTAGTAATTTTTATCTTTACTTTTAGATGAATGGACGTTAGAAGACCTTGCAGAAACAATGCACATTCCCGCGACAGTTCTTCGACGAAAAATAACATTCTGGGTGTCTCAAGGATTATTAAAAGAAGTATCCAACGACGTTTTCCATTTACAAGAAGAGAGCTTCTCCAAAAATAGGTCAATGACTGAAATAATAGAAGAAGAAGAGATAGAAAGTGCAATGGCATCAGCGAGTGACCAAAGAGAAGAGGAATTACAAGTATTCTGGTCTTACATTGTCGGAATGTTAACGAATTTGGATTCTATGCCACTAGAAAGAATACACCAAATGTTAAAAATGTTTGCATCACAAGGTCCTGGTGCTGTTGAGTGTGGATTACCTGAATTAAGACAATTTCTTGATAAAAAAGTACGTGAACACCAGTTGTTATACTCTGGTGGTCTTTATAGATTGCCAAAAATTTAGATCAATTTTTATAGTATTTCAAAAAAATATATATATAGATAAATTTTTTATTATTAACTATTATTGAATAAAAATATAATGAAAAATTTGTATTAAAGATAATTGTTTTAATTTTTTTTTTAATTGAAAAATGGAACCACAATTAAAAACAAACAGTTATATATTGATCAACAATTGGCAGTTAACTCAGTAGTTTATGTAAAAAATAAAGTATGTCATACATTAAAATGATAATAATTTTGAATTTCTTACTGTCCAGGCGCAGATAACGATTTATCCATAAATTTCTTTTTAGCAAAACATAGCCACCATTTACTTGGTTTACCATTATTACAATACACTTTATCAACAAGCCTTGCTGCGGTTTCTTGCCTTAACTGTTGTAAATACTGTCTCATTTGGTCTATAAATAAATTAAATTTTTTATGTAGTAGAAATGAAATTGTCCTGATAAAACAAATGTCAAAGTTTGATAAAATCTTACCAGCTTCCGCAGGACTGGAAGGTTTTGCATAGACTGAGTTCAAAGGAAATTTTGGATCACCAGGAATATCAAATTTAGAGATAGCAAGTGAATACATTTCAGTTATAGCTTGATTTTGGGTTGAACATTTTTGTAGACGTTTTAAACATTCCGTTATGTAAAGAGTTATGTATATTAATACTCGATCAGCATCACTCTAAAATTCAATTCATTAACAAATCATCAAAAATCTCTGAAGTAAATGAATAATTTAATAATATTATTAAAGTATTTATATTCTCTAATTGATAATAGAGAATAAATAATTCTTTCCTTTGGATTATCATTTCAAATCCAAGTAGATATAGTTAGATAATTTTTTTTGCATCAATAACATGAAGTACCTGTCAAGATAGCATTTGACAAAATAGAGTACTTCAACAACAAGCTATAATCAAAATATTAAGTACTCAAAATATACCTTTATCTCATACGTCCTAAAAAATACATTAGCTTTGAAGTAATAAAGTGCTTCATCAATAATATCATCTTTATCCGGTGGACTGCTTGGGGCTGGTCCTCTAAAACTTGTTTTTAAAGGCAATAAAGCCATATTTCCCAAGGATACATTGTTCTTTGCAAATGATGAATGATACGCCTGTAATATTAGTATTTGATTCAATTACACACCATTTTAGAGAATTTATTTGCAATAAGATGGACAATTAATTCTTCAATGAATCATAGCTGATAAGTAAGTCACTGTGTTATCAGGTATTTTGTAGCTTACCGGCATTTTTATTTATTTATAAATTTACTAGTAACTTAAATCGAACTTGAGAATACTTGACTAATATTTTACACCCGTTTTTCACAAAACTCACTAAAATCAGACATAATATTATAAAGATCAAGTTGGTCTACAATAAAAGACATGAATATTTCCTGCACTGAATAATTCTATTCTGTTTTACTAATCGAACTGACAAGTATTTCTTTCCTTAGTAATCATTTTTTATGTAGATGGCGTAATACGAAAGTTCTAACTCCTACTTTATCAACAACCTTGTTTCAAGCAAGATGGCCGTTCTTTCCTGGCTTACTGATCGTGGAGGGTGAGTGCCGGGATTTATTAATCTATAAATATTCAGTACATCCGATGATTTTTCATTTAACAATATAAATTAAATAATCATATAAAAGTTGCATCAATAATAGAACTAAATATTTCTGTTTTAAATATTACGATGATCACAAATTTAATTGATCAAATATCTAACCTTAAAGATAGTCATAACCAGATTGCTGCATCGTGTTTTTTGTTTACGTATATTGTAATAAATTTATTTAACAATTGTTACAGGTAGTCAAGATGGGTGCATATAAGTATATGCAAGAGTTATATCGTAAGAAGCAGAGTGATGTGCTTCGTTTTTTACTCCGAGTACGATGTTGGCAATATCGTCAACTCACTAAATTACATCGTGCTCCAAGACCCTCACGTCCAGATAAAGCACGCCGTCTTGGATACAAAGCTAAGCAAGGTAATTATTTGTTTTATTAATATGTTTTATTGATAAATATCAACTATCATACTGATGATGGATTTAAAATTCAGCTTGAAGAAAATAATAAAATTTTGATAAAGTTGTAGCACACGTGTCCATAAATTAAATTATTAGTTTTGATATTGTTGATTGAACATTAAAGATATAAATTAAAGCATTTTAAAGATAATTTAAAATTTTTCAAATGATGAGTTGTACATGCACCACTCTTACTGAGTAATGGGGATTATGTCTTTCTGATTAATTTTTAATAATAATATTATTCAAGAATAAATCTCTTGAATGATAATAAAGTAAAAAATTTTTAATTCTTTTTATAGGTTTCGTAATCTTCAGAATTCGCGTACGACGAGGAGGAAGAAAGCGACCTGTTCCCAAGGGAGCAACCTATGGTAAACCCAAAAGCCATGGAGTTAATCAATTGAAACCCACACGAAAACTTCAATCTGTGGCTGAAGTATGATTTTTTGAATAGTCTAACATATTTAGTTTATATTAATATTTTTTTAATATGATGATAACTATATTCACTTATGAATTACGATGATTGTTTTTACTTCCTTGGATGTCTGAAATTAAATTATATTTTCAAATTTAAGTATTTGAATCAAACAATATTATTAACTTTTATATTATTTTCGATATTTTAGGAACGTGTTGGCAGACGTTGTGGAGGTCTCCGAGTACTAAACAGCTATTGGGTAGCTCAGGATTCTTCTTACAAATACTATGAAGTGATCCTCGTAGACCCCGCACATAAGGTGAGATGACAATGATATTTATATAATAGTACAAAATATCTATCTAGAATTTAAATCATCACATGAAACAATTTTTCAAACAAAACTTTTGAATGATTTCAGGCAATTCGAAATGATCCAAAAATCAACTGGATCTGCGAACCAGTTCAGAAACACCGCGAACTCCGAGGCAAGACCTCTGCTGGAAGGAGTTCGCGTGGTCTTGGCAAAGGTCACCGATTCTCACAAACAATTGGTGGATCTCGACGGGCCGCTTGGCTTAGAAGGAATTCGCTTTCATTACGTAGAAAGCGATAAATTAAATGTTTCTTGTGAATATTTCGGAAAAATAAAAATTTTCTTAACACTATTCAAGTCAGTATCATATTTATATTTTTTTTATTTCAATATTGAAGAAAGAAAATTATTAAACGTACTGAGGAAATCCAACGCACAATTATTTTAGTTGATATAATACCTAATTTTTTATTTAGTATTATTATTATTAAAGGTACAACAAGGTGGTAAAATTAATATTTTATTTCACAATAATATATCTCTACAAAATATATTTTATTTAGATCTTTTAATCTTTCATACAGAAATTATGAGTCAAGAAGGTAATTTTTTATTTTAAAAAAAATCGGAGCCCGATAGACGGTATTAAATAATTTTTTGATGAATTTTTAAAGTGTTTAACAAATCATTAACAAAGAAGATTTTTCATATGAATTCTTCGAAATGAGGATGTAATATTTTAAAGGATACCAACTAGTCAATTTCATTATGATTAAAAATAAATAAATATAAAAATGGATAAATACTGTATTTCTTCTTTCTGTTAAATATTTTGATCTACTTTGTTCAAAAAATATTATCATTTCTTTGTTAATGAATGTTGATTGCGCGTAAATAATTCTAAAATAAATAATATACATTCAAAAAATGGTTAATATTCTACTCTTAGTTCAAAAAATTTTTTTCACTGAAAAATTATGTTTTCTTCCAGTATTTTAAACGAAATCGATCAAGAAATATTTGTTAGTCTTCTTGATAATTTCGTGAGGGTTACAAATAGTCATTTGACTTGTATTGTACATTATGTTATCTTAATTATTACTCTATACATATAAAATACTAGCGAACACTGGATCACACATCTCCAAACTCTTCTTATGATCATAGAGTTCAATCAACTCTGCAACTGATCAACTGAGCCAGCAGAGATTCAATAAATGCTTTCATTAACAATTATTCCAAAGCTTTAAATTTTAGTGTTAATTAAATTAAGTTTAACTTTGGTTACATTGTTTTTGCCCAAATTCCTAGGACAAAAGACTCAATTTCGCATTCATTCGTTCCTTTTAGGATCCTAAAAAGTCCATCCTCACCCCAGTGATTGCCCCATGAATTGGCTACAAGCTGAAAATTTAAAATACAATTTATGTTGATGTATTCGTATGATTAACTTTTCAGGGTATTATTTTTTATATTAAAAGAAATTAATAAACAATGAATTTTAATATACAATATATTCTATAAAGCGAGTACTATAATTATACTTCATGAATATGCTAGTTAAGAGATCAAAAAAGAGACCGATGAGCTTACCCAGTACTTAACAGGTTGGTAATTGCCTAGTATTTCTTCACCCCATCCCAATATTCTCACTGAATGATAGCCACTAGGATAACTTTCAGCGACCCTTGAATGTTTATAAATTCCACCTTGATACGTAAAGAAGTCTTGATAGACTCTCATAGTGGCTGTAATAACACATTTTCATAATAATTACACAGATTCACAAAACAAAAATCAAGTTCATTTAATCAGCATTAAATTAGTTCATTTAATAACGAATATCAATTTAAAGAATCAAAATTTATATTCGATTAATAACTATGTTTTTTTTTATTCGTAAAAAATGTATGAACTATTAATTTATTTAGTATTAGAAAATAACTAAAAATTAATTATGTTTATAAATTACATTTACCTTGTACTGGTCCAGAAGTAATAATTTCTTGCATGATGTCTGTTTCATTGCCAAGTCGATAAGCAGGACCCACTTTATATAAATCAGTTCTCAATGGATTGCTTGGAGTACTACATCCAGCATGTCTGAGAGTTGTCTTCTTTCTTACTCTACATCGATCATTTCTTCCAGTCCAAGGATAGCATTCTTCATCGACAAGTCTATAAAATAAATGAACTATTTATCACCTAACTTCATTAATTGATGAATGGATTCAACCTAAATTTCTCTACAACATAATTTGATTGGCATTTGGGAAAGATTTTTTATTATCAATAATGAGTTGCAGACTATTGTAATCCCATTATTCTTCATTTGTAAGAATACTTAAAAGATAATAACCCAAATTTTCTGACAAAGTGCCAAGCACGATCCAAGTATCCCCCTTTGCATCCTTGTTGGCCTCTGTTGTTACACGAAATGAGATGCTGAGCACTCAATTGGACTGCTTCGGCTCCTTTACTCATCAAAGCAAATCTGTCTGAAGCTACGTCAGCAGTAGAAATTGCCCAAGAAGCTCCGCACCACCCTTGGTCACTTATACCGGAAATATCTCGGGGCCAACGATTTCGAGAGTCGAATTCTTTTGGCAATGCTTCTGGGTTATAAATCCTCCTCACAGGATTCATATTATGAAGCTGTATATCATTATTAAACATCAGTAAAAGAAATTATCTTTTCTGATATTTATCAATACAATGTATTCATACCGATTTTAAAGGATTGAGTGTTCCTAATTTGAGTCGAATACCATCATCAAGTGTTCTCCCCCAAAACTCTGAATAATTTCCTGAAGACCATCCTAATCGTTCTGTCTCGATACTGAGTTCATTTAATAAATCTGCTTCGAGCAAACATCGATTATTCTCACAAAGAACATCCGCTCGACGTCCAATTGAAGAACATTTACTAAAAATTATAACACAATACATAGTTATTAATGGAATTTTTGGAATTATTATTAAATATTTACATGAATAAATTAAATTTGAAATGAAAAAATGTCTGATTATCTGAATAACCAACTTAATTGGAATGAATAAATATTAGTATTAATTAAATAATTTAAAATATCTTGAAAGTGTGCTTGAGATAGTGAAAATTTTATCTTTATTTAACTTACCAAGTGTTGCAATTCAACTTGAATGTCTGATCGTGGGTATAGTACTTTCCTTTGTAAAGACATTCTATAACATAACGAAATTAATTATTTTATTAAATATATTAACTTTTTTTATTATTAAAGTTATAAATTATTACTTCAAAGAATAAAAATATTCTTTGTAGTACTTTTTTTTTTTTGGTTAATATTATAATTATAATCATAAAATAATTACGTCTTAATTCTTCTATTTCTGGTGTTGGTAAAATAATTCCTCGACAGAAAGACCAATAATCTGGGCAGCAATCTTCTTCTCTGGTTCTGTTGCAAAATTCATCGCAGTAACAAGTCGTTGATAGAATTGGAGCACTACAGTCATCACGTCTTCCGGGACAACATCTATTATATCTTCCTCCACAATATGGACCAAGAGGAAGGCCTGAGTAGTCAGGTATTGCAGCAGCAAAAGATGCAAGCCCAAGGAATACAACGATCAGCATTGCAAAACAATCATATCTTGATGACATGCTAGAAATAATGAAGAAACAGAAGATACTCGGTTATTCATAAATTTACAATTAGACCGTAAATTGTAGGGTCTCACACTTATTATAATATTGATAGCATCTACCAGACTGGAACATTGATTGGATCTTTTTCTTCCAAGACCTCGTACGATTTTTTACGGAACATCAAACATCCGCTTTATATTTTTGGAATTAATTTTAGATCCAATACTTCATTCTGTCTATTTCGTACGTATTCAAGATTTACATCATCTCTAAACCACCCTTCAAAGAAGAAGATGTTGATGAATACCAACTTATATTAAATTTTTAAATGGTTGAAAAGAATGATAAGTTTGTTTTCAATAAAAACTGATTGTTTCTAATATTTAACATTCATCGAATGTTATAATGCTTTAATCATTTTCTATACAGGATAGAAGAAGAAAATAAACATTTTAAATCATCACCTCTGTGAAGTATTTAAAGAAGAATTTAAGGAATTTTTGAAAGATCGTAAATAAATGATGGAATGGCAAATAATCTAAACATCAGAAGTTACATTCATTCCATTAGTTTGATTGGCAATAAAATTGGTCAATCAAGAATAAACAAATTTAATAATTATTTTCTTAAAGAAAATTAATTGCTATCAAAGCAATAGAAATGGTGATGTGCAAACAAGCATCAAGTGTAATTATTTTTGGCATTCTGACCGAGCTCATGCATACTCTTGATCTCGTGATCTCGCAGTTCTTGGTAAGTAAGTTGACATAACGAATCTGGTGCATGTGTACAAGGAAAAATTAAACGAATGTCTGTTACAGAGCAGGTCGATTAGTTGGCATCATAACAAACTGTTCTTGACCCATTTAGTTTCATTAACGACAAGTGGGCGGTGGACGCATTGTGATGAGTATTCATTTATATCACGCCCACAGCCATCGAGGGTGATGCATCTAATCTACATGCATATTTTGCAAACAATTATACGGAACTAATTATTCATATCTAAGCTACACTTCCTATCAAATTTTTCAACATTGTCCATCTTACTGGCTGATGTCAGCATCATATGAGTTAAGTTAAGGAGTCATCTCTTTTATCCACATTATCCTTAATATTAAATATCTTTTGTAAAGCATCTAAGATTTACAACTCATCATTTTTAATAAAAGTATTATCGACAGTCTCGTCTTCTCCCTATTGTTTTATCAGTATTCGCAATGAAAGAAACTACTGTGTGCTTAACAATTTTATTATTCTATTGTTTTCTTTTGTTACAACCAATGCTATTGTCGCTATGTCAATAACTATAAATGCATGTATAGTTAGTATATTATTATTGTTATTATTAATGTTATTATTTTCCATACGGAAGAACAATGGAGATTTTATAAAAGTATTAAACTGTGCTTGAGAAGTAACTGTTTAATCATGGTTATCATTTATCATCAAGCAAATCTTGAATGGGCTGATATACTATCTTGCAAAAAAAAAAGATACATACATGCCTTTTCTATCTTGATTCATTAAAAATGATAATTATCGATTAACTGTTTACGTATCAGATGATGATGAGAAAAAATAGATTAACTTAAATACCTCGTTTATCTGAAACTCTTGAGTATTATGTGATTTTTTATGTTAATAAATTACTTCATTAAATGTTGTAATTGATTAATACACTTCCTAGTTGAGGAGAATAAAAAATATATGTATACAATTGAACAAAATAGCAGTAAGTGTATATTCTTTAGTAATTTTTATTTGTTATTTAAATTAATTAGCTAATAAAATATTTTTTTTCTTTTCAGGAATGCTATTTACTGTATGTATTTACATTATAATATCGACGACATGGATCTGATGCTGCTGACAGTTGATTAAAAAGCACATTCTATGACTTCTCTGTTGTGGGTGAAAAAAAAACCTTTACTTAGCCGATGAACTTACTCAAGAAGATGAAAATCTTTGAATAAACTCATGAATGCAACATATTAGTACACATGTATGTACTCGCATATATCATTCGAGACATTGCGCTCTGGTTTACTCTAGTTACAAAGCACTTGGTGTGATAAATTAAAATGTGAAAAGCACGTGGAAGGATTGAAACATTCAATTATTCAAAGTATGCATAAACTCATGCATGAATAAAATAAAAGGTAAATTTGTCATTAACTTGTTGATTGTTTGTATTTCTATGTCAAGATATTGACATTGAAATCAACAGATGCATCTGTTGGAATATATTAGCGTGGGTTATTGCCAAGTATTTCAGAATGTAACTATGTCATTTTGCTGAGACATTGAATAACTGATAGCAACCTGATTCTTCTTTCCGCAGTAAAAATGTAAACAATTTTTGGATTTCTTTTATTCATTAGTGAATTTAAAGATAAATTGATTAAAATGTCAGCCATAAAAAATGTTTATGATTAATAAATAAAGTAATTCCTTATAGAACTCATTTATGATCTTGATATGAAGAAGCCGTAAATGGGTAATAAAATTATTTTTATATCAAATGTTTTTACGCTTAAGCTTGTGAATGAATTTCTAGACAAATGTTTTGATAATTTGGTTTTAAAAATTTTACCATAAATTAGAAAGGTATTTTTACAAGTTCTCGCGAAGTCAATAAATATTAATAACCATAAATAGAAGAGCAATAAAAATCTTTTTAATAGACAATATTGTTGTTAGTCATTTGTATTTTTTTTATGATTGACTTCTAGAAAAATTGCTAGAATTTTCATTTAAATGATTTGTTATTTGAATAGAATTCGAATTTAAATAAATAAATGCATAGAATAAGATCTGATAACTTAATAATATAATTTTATTAATAAATTAGAAAGGTATTTTTTGATTGATTTATTATTATGAATAAATAGAGTAAATACTTTCATGAATTATTGTTTTAAACATTCTTTCATTGAAGTAATCAATATACATATTAATTAGTAATCATAAAAATTTATAACAAACTGTTCGAATAATTAAAGTGAAGTTAATTCAAACTATTAATCAATTCTGGTGATTAGAAAAATCAGTCAATTTTAAAAGGATCATTGAAGCTAAAGCCTATAAGAAATCAGAGTATTAACATTATCTAAACGTAAATTTCACGGGACATCCGGAGGCACTAGTCATCTGAAGAGAATTACCGTTGACTCGTTTCCCTATGCGAGATGATAACCATGATTAAGTCACCGTATAAAATTAAAAAGTGACGCCTTTCTGGTCATGCAATCTTAATTTATTGCATGCTCGATTACTTATTAATGTTTCTATGAAAAAAAAATCACAATTTCACCCACATTTCTGAATTCTGTACTTCAACTTGACTGTTATTTCTCAACTGACCTCGTATTTTATCGGTATTTGTAGATATTCTATTTCCACATACAATCCTCTCCGCATTCTCTAGTGATAACAATCCATATATTTATCATAAAAATCATTCAGTGGAATCTTCAAGAGTGCCAATAAAGCAAAAAATCATTCAAACATAATCATTTCCGTCATAGAAGTTAAACATGATATTTCTTTAACATTTAGAATTTCTTTTAAGATTTTTGCGATTTTTTTAAGGAATGAATTTAATTTAGTAACATCTCGTATTCGTGAATATAAAATTAGTATAGTAATGACGATGAAAGTGAGAGGAAAGAACAAAAAACTTGTCTTGCTTTGGAAACACGAGTTAGAAGCAAAAAAATCCTTGACTTAGCTGTTTTATTAACAGTCTGTCCTCGATGGAAAAAAAGCAGAATTGACATATTTTTACTATCATATTAAGTAACTCATTCAAAAATTGCACTCAAAATAATTAACAAACAATTATTTATAGCTTTTATTTGATCGATAAGCCACTTAAGGTGCTCCAAACAATTAGGTATGATAACTGAAATACGAGAATTATTTCTTCCTTGAATTCAATATCTAATTAAAAGTTGTCAATTGTTTAGTCCATTTTTTTTTTTGCCTTTTTTTTATTTCTTATTTCAAATTATTGACAGAAAATTATAATTAAAAATTAATTGGGTATTATAATTATTCATTAAATAATCTAAAGTAAATAATAAAATGTAATATAATATTATAATTAATCTTTATCATTATCCTGTAGTAGAATACTACACAGGAAGATTAATTGAGAAGATTGCTACAATGTTGATCGAGGATCATTGTGACTATGTAGGGTATCAGATAACTAAATTAAATATTTTCATTAGTGGAGTACTCTAATGTCAATTTTTGCCAAAAAAATTTATTCAACGAATTAAATATATAATAAAAAATATTTTTCAATTAATGTCTCCACTTTTTAAAATATGTTCAAAAACTGTGTGTATAATGCAATAAAATAATTTGTGGAATTAAGTTTTATAACATTTATGAATGATATTAATCAACAAAATTTTCTGTCAATAACAAAATCCACCATTCAACAGTTTTAAAAAAAAAATGAATGAATTCTAACACTGCTGACGCCAAAAATGATTAAATTTTTGAAAATAAATCTTTGGACAACTCTTTAAAGAGGGATCTAGTGATAAACTGGTAATAGAGTGTTTAAAAAATATTTACTTTTATACTTACATTGTGATAAAGAAAAATAAAATTGTTCCTGGTGTATGCAGAACTAGTTACAAAGGCAGACACGTGTGAATCTACTTCTGATAGTCAACAGATCTGTTGACACTTAAGTTATGATCTAGGACTAAGGTAACTATGTATAACAATTATAAAGTTGATTGCAACAGATTAGGAAGATGTTAGCGGCTCGAAAGCGCAAGCCGCACTGACCCACAGTAGTGGAGGTAAACTCAAGCTAAACTAAGTCTCTCCGTCAGCTATCACAATTCGATTTAAACTACTCGGCGCCTCGACGTTTTAAGTCATATCATTTTCATACGAGTCACCGCAAGATTGGGTTATAAATGATTATTTCATCGTGAGAATACACTGATATAGTTATATTTTTAAGTAATTAACATTTTTGTGTGATTATTCAGTTTGGCTAATTTATATTTAATCACTATTTTGAAATCTTCAGCGTTTATTCGAGTACACATGTTTCAATTCTGGTATTTTAGCTGAAACAGAAAACATAATACATATAGATTAGTTGTAAATTTTTTAAAATAACAAAGATTAATAATATTTCAATTTTATTAATTAATTATAAAAAAAGAAATTTGGAAGTGAAAGAATCTTATGTTTTATCTCGAACAAGACAACATTATTGTACACGAATCATCACTCACATGAAGAAGAATTATTTGTTTAGTTTAAACGGAGCTGTTGAAAAGTGAATTAGTCTTTAACAAAAATATTCGCATAAAAGCTTCCAACACAAAAATAAATTTTTGTTAGCGTATTTTATTATCATGAATCATTTTGGTGAATGATTAAGGATAATTAATTATGAGTAATTCACATTAATCAAACAATGTTTTTAATTATCACTTGATAAATAAGATGATACTTAAATAGAACATTCTTCATACTTTCCATCATGTTTATTGGAATTCATGCTCGCGTAAGAGGGTATGTCATTGGCATTCACACACGCATGACGTTATCAATTCTTTGATGATTCATAATTTGTTCAATGGAATTCTAATCATTCGGTTTTTTTTTACCAAATTTCACGTATCAATACGAAAGAATAAAATACAGAGATAAGATTTAAATCTTATGTACTGATGATAGATAACTTTACGTAATAATTATATCGATAAAATAATTGTAAGAAAAAATATTTTTGTGAAAGTTGCAATTCTGTGTAACAATAAATACAAGGCCAATTTAATGCATATCGAGAGATTTTAATAACAATACATGACTTATAGGGCACATTCTTGTCACTCGTATCGTTAAATAATAGTCATAGCCAATTTGAAATCACATTGACCTTCTTATATAGCGTAATATTTTTTATTGCTTTTTAATATGAAAATATCGTTAGAGGAGTCAGTAATAAATTAAAAAGGTTATAAATAATTCAAATACAAGTCAGTTAAATTCTATTATTTTTTAATAGAGTTTCTATTAACGTTAATTTTACTGTATGAAAAATATTTCAAGTTTTCATCAACAAATAGGCTATACTATTTTTGAAAAATTATATAAATAATTAAAAAACCTTTTGCATTGCACGTATAGATTATTTTTAAAATATTTTTCAGTTTATTATTAAATAAACCAATATAAAGTTCAGTACGTTCAATAAAATAGGATTGAAAATTGATTAAATAACTTACCGATTATATTGCAAAAATTCCTTAGCGATTGCACTTTATTGCAATTTCACTTCAAAGTGAATAGAAATTGTGATTAAATGTAAACTATTTGTTTATAACTGAATTTGATCTATTGATTAATGATTGTTTTATTTATATCTCAAACGTGTTATAATACTTCTAAGTTTCATTTCCTGCCCTTTCATTTTATAGCAATATTTTATAACTCTTGCTTATCCTCGCTTTCTCCCATTTTTCATTTACTCTGGTATTCCACTTTCCTACAGGAGCCCAAAATAGGATAGGTACATTCATTCTTGTATCGACATAAATTTCAGATGTTATTGTTGGTCGTTAGTAATTGTTGTTCTGTTCAAACTCATTAGATTTCTGTGTATTTGATTCATCAATTTTTTCTTTGATGGTGTCATCTGGCAAAGTCTTCATGGACTTAGCTCCTTTTTTTAAGCTGCAGATTTTAGCTTGAAACTTCTCAACAACTCTGGATATCTCAAACGAAATTCTCGTGACCAATCCCAGCTAGCTTTTTCTTCCTCATGATTAAAACGATGTGAAATATTATTCTATCCTGCTATTTAGTTAAAGAGCTGGACTACGAGTGGCATCACAAGTAAGAGTAAACATACGTGATTCTAAAAGAAATATATACTCCACTAATTTTTTCTCCATCTCAGCTGAAAATGTATTGTCATATCTTCCTAGACCTTTCTTTGCACCATTAACCTTTTTATTCTTATTTCTAGCACGTCTACGTAGAGCACTACTGGGAACACCGAAAGTCTTAGCAGCTTTTAACCAGCCCATTTTATTGTCTTGTACTGCTTGTATCATTGTTTCTTCAAGCCAGGTTTGTCTGTTTGTTTTACGAGTATATCGACCGACCATATTGTTCTACAAAATAAAAAAGGAATTACATGACATATATTTCTTACTTGTTTCATTTTAATAAAAAACAATATTTAGTATTTCGTGGATAAAGTGGCCTACTATCCCGTTTACATAAGAAAACAATATATCATTTTACCAACTTAGAGTACTACTCTTTCTTATTTGAACTGGAAAAAGAGGCAAATAAAATTGTTAATTATTTGAAAATATTTGTACAAAACTTTATAATTAGAAATTAAAGTGGGCAATGAAAAAGATTCTCAAACTCTTTACTGATTGTTGTCTTATCTCAAAAAAATAATATTGTTGTCGGTATCAGTATTGCCAACTTCGTACCATAGGATGTGCTCATTAGAATCCAGACAACATTCTATTGAATTTTTCTGTTAGACTCGCGTATACCATTATAGGCCAGATCCCCCTATGCAAATTCTTGAGTCGTATAAATTTCAAACGTTTCTGTAAGCAGTATTAATAACTCAAAGTGCGAATTACATGCATGATTCGCTTCGGAAATAAACATTAAACTATTTTCTACAATATATATACACACTATAAATCAAAATTATTGTAGAGTAGTAACATTTTTGCAACAGTATATTTATTTTTAAAAGTAATCATTAATTATTGAATTTTTTATTTTTTTTTTATTGTCATGATAAGTTTTTCTTTGCTTATGCATATAAAGCATTTCATACTTCTCAATAATATCTAAAAAATATTGGAACTCAAAAAATTTAAAAAATTTTATTCCTGAATCACTAAAATATTTTGATACAAGTATTTTTGTTATGAGGGTGTTGAGAAATAATGTATATCATTTTAAAATATGTAACCTTAACCTAGTTTTTAACCGATTAATCGTATTTTTTATCGGATGAATTTAAATTGAGAAAAGCTATAAAAAATTACTATAAATCTTAGCTTACAAACAGGCAAATGATCTCTTGGTTATGCAATCAACAACTAAAAATAATATACTTGTTCCGCGTTTACTCGTCAAACAATTAAATACCTTTAAACCAAAGTCATATAACAGCCCACATATAATAGCTAAGCTATCCATCCATAGGATATGAACATTTCTCTAGATATTTATCCAGCTGTCAGAGTCTAATTTTAGGCAATTTACAATCATCATCTTATAGCACTAATTGTTGACAAGATCTTTGACTTCTTAAGGACCACATGTCAATGAACTTGAAGTCATCAAATTCCTTTTTTTTTTTATTACTGTACATCTCTTCATGTATTAATTAGAATTCCGATTAATACATTGTAAAAAATTTCAATGGACTACATGTGTCATGTGTAAACACTTGATACACATCGTTATAAAAGATTACTTACATAGAGGTATGTATATAGGTGTGTCAAACATCTTTAATAGCTTCATCGTCGCCGTCGTTAACACGTTTGCCGTCAAAACAAAGTGTTATCATTTAGTTTGATTTTTTAAAATCTTTTTTTCTTGCTATTTTTTTATCTTTTAAAAAAATCAACTGACAAGGACGATTAAATTTATTATTAGTGGGGCAAGTGAGTGTGCAATTGCATTTTTTTTAACAACAAACTCACAGTAAAAGCTACGATCAAGCCAGAAAAGAGGTCGTAGTTTATTTTTGTGTGCTAAAAATGTTAATCCTCAAAATAAAGAATAATTATCATTCATATTTTTATACTTATATTTATTTTCATCCAGCATATCTTTAGTGCTGGCTATATTTTGATTTTACTGATAATTCATGTACTAATTAATTTTGTTTTAATTAATTTCAGGGACATGATTGTTTATTGTTTTGATTCTATATAACATACATAGCTAATTGTGGATGTGTAACAATGTGTATAATCGATGGAGATATATCATAGCAACCAGCAGCTTTGGTAGACCAGATACTTACCTAAGATTAAGACTAATTCTTTTTTATATTGTAAACATTTTTAAAAATTAAATTTTAGGCCATAGAAATTGGATTATAAATTTTAAAAAATGGGAAATACTGAGAGTAATGTAACAAGTGGAGTGAAAAAGCAGACAGATACATCCTCAATTCTTCTTTATAAATTAGTCGACTTGAAAGGTAAAACAATAAAATTTTGATCTTTCATTATTAAACATTTACTTTCTAGATCTAATGCATTGTATAAGAATGACGTAAATGCAATGTTATGGATTGAATAGAATATAAAATGACTCAACTGACCATTTTGGAAAGTCAAGTGCTATGATGTGTTGTTGAGTACGTCGAGCAATTTTAGCGATTTAAACAACTGTGAGCATGCTATGACGTAATGGCAAAACCACGTGCTAAAAGCGCACTATCGTTTTATTTTATCGAATTCCGTGCATATTTTTATTTACCTTGAGTCGGGGAATTTTTTACTCAAACATACAGATGAAGGGAACTAATTTATTTGTAGGTGGAGGCTTACTTGTTGACATGATGAAACGAGCCACGCAGACGAAACAATATGCAGAGTTGGATCATGCTATCAGAACTAAAGTTGAACCGTTTCTCTATAATAAAGGGAAGGGAAAGTGGATACCAATAGATAAATTAGTATTAATGAGAAATAAAGAACGCCCTCGTCATAAAATGGTAAAAATATTTCCTCATAAATTACTTTTTAAATTTATCTACAAAATAATTTATGAATGATGAAAGAAGAAAATAAATGAAAAGGATGAATTTAACAATGTTCCAAAAACTTGATTGAGAATAAACATTAATAAGGTTTTTTTCGTTGATAAGTTGCCGGTATTAAAAGCTATGGAAAATCCATCAGATTATGATGTTACAAAAGATATTAGTGATGAAGATGTTGACGAAAATAAAATAGGTAAGGAAAGGTTTATTAGATAAAATATGGAAATATGAATGAAATAATGTAATTTGGGAAATAAATAAAATAGATAAAAGTAAGTACCGAGAAGTCTGCTGGAATTTAAGTGATCGAGGAGCAGTTGGTGAAACGATTTTACATCTGTGCATGCTAAACGCCACAGCTATTCATGCTGATTTGGCTAAACGATTACTACGTTTTTATCCGAAGCTTATAAATGACATTTACCTCAGTGATGAGTATTACGGTAGGCTATTATTTAACTATGACATCATTTTTACATCAATAGACGTGATAATAATAATTGTAGATACCTCATCATACTCATCATCATTAGTATTAATTAATTTATCAATTTATCACTTCATTTCCGACTGATTATCATTATTTATCCATCAATTAATTGAGTCTACCTTATTATTATGAACTCAGGAGAAAATGTTCTACATATTGCAATAGTCAATGAAGATCCAGCAATGGTGAAATTTTTGTTAGACAGCGGAGCAAACGTTCATGAACGTTGTGTTGGTAATTTTATGTGTCCAGAAGATCAAAAGGCTTCACGTACAGACAGCCTAGAACATGAATGGCCCTGTGTTAGTGTAGAAACTAATTATGACGGGTAAAATATATCTCTAATCATAGCTATTTACACTGAAAATAACATTACTTTCATAATACAAAATTTTTATGAGAATTAATAGTTATTTATTCACACAGAAAAAAATCTTTGTTGTTCAAATTCTTATTTCATTTATACTATCATCAAAACGTGACAAAAATCTAAATACATTCTCAAGCTACTTTTTGCAAACATTATGTACACCTGTATTATGTAAATAATAAAGTCAAAATAATCACAAAATTCACTCTAAAATAACTTTTTAAATAGTATTAATGTTATTGCTGTTAATTGATAATGAGTTTTGGAATTAATGAATATTTATGTTTTTAGGTACGTGTATTGGGGTGAATATCCGCTTAGCTTTGCAGCATGCTTAGGTCAAGAAGAGTGCTACCGATTGATGTTAGCCAGAGGTGCTGATCCTGACAAGCAAGATTCAAACGGGAATACTGTGTTACATATGCTAGTTATTTATCAGAAGCTTGTACGTATCATTATCCCTATTTTTGTTTAATTAATCTAAGGTAGAACAAGGTTGTTTACTATAAAAAAAAATTAACAGCTGCTGTCCGTTCAGAGAATGATTTATGTGTCTTTGTTCTGAATTAAAATCTATCAAATTCAGTTAATCCATTATCTAAAGAGAAATATTGATTGAAAAAAGATGATCATAGTATTATTAAAATTAATTTTTAAGAGCCTTATTTATTACTAATAAATTTTAATTATTAAAATATTTTTAGGCAACATTTGACATGGCTTATGAAGTTGGCGCCTCTCTATCCATTAAAAATAATAAACAGTTAACACCACTAACACTCGCAGCAGAGCTTGCCAGAATAGAAATGTTTTTTCACATTATGAATATTGAGCGTGAAATATATTGGCAGATTGGTAGTATTACTTGTGCGGCCTATCCCTTACACCAAGTTGATACAATAGACACTAATACCGGAGCTATAAATAATATTTCAGCATTAAATCTCGTCGTTTTTGGAGATAAAGATGAACACTTGGAATTGATGGATGGTGTTCTTGTAGATCTTCTTAACGCAAAGTGGAATACATTCATAAAATCACGATTTTATCGGCAATTTTTTTTATTCGGATTTTATTTTATCTTTTCTCTGATAAGTTTCACCTTACGACCAGGTCCATCACCTGCATTTACAGGTAAAGCTTCTATGACAGCTGGAACTGAATCAATTTCTTCCACTTCAGTAACTGTAACTCCTTACACTGAAAATCCTGAATCTTCCAATATGTCAGTAATAATTGATCATTTGGCTTCTGCGGTCAGTTCAAAATTTGTATCAGACTTTAATAAATCTCTGTCGAACTTTGATTCCGAAACTTTAATTTCTTTATTAACAAGTAATTTAACTTCAGTTTTGAATAAGTTTATGAATTTTACTGTAAATGACAATCAAATCTCGACATCGAATTTATCTTCATTCAGTGAATCATTGATAAATATTCATGACAGTGGAAGTGTAAATAATAATCATACAACAGACTCTACTCTTATGGATTCACCAATTACACCTGGTCGAAGCTCTACAGAGACTTGGTAAATAAAAAAACTTTTAATTACTTCTCAAAAATGTAATTTAAAGTAAAAAATTTATTGCTTAAAAAATTAACTAAAAGGATCGTCCGTAAACTATAGAAAGAATAAAAATTTTTTCTGATAGGTGGGAGGATCTGACAGAAGAATGTAGACTCATGCAGTTGGAATCGCCCATTGCAAAAATCAGACTGACAGCAGAAGTTTTTATGGAATTGGGAGCTATTTTATATATTGCCGCAGCTCTTCGAGAGGCCAGATTTCTAGGTCTCAATATGTTTGTTGAGAATCTTGTGAGTAAAAAAATATAAGATTCTTTAGTAGAAGTGACGTTAATGACAGTAATAATCAAGTAGCAATGATAAATAACATATGAAAATGAACAAACATTTTTTGCTACTGATTTTTATTTTTTTTAATGATTTATTCAGGCATGAAAAAAAAGCGAACAATTAGATACAGTTTTTATTATTAGTTATTAACATCTCATAAGTTTTTTACAGTAGTTTAGCTTCATATTAACCATCTCAAATTGTCATTCATTTTGATGAATTACTTAGTCCTTCTCAGCAACATAAAAATTTTTTCAATCGTAAAAAGTGGCTATTTATAATTTTAAATTCCTTATTGCAATATTTTTTTACTATGTATAATAAATATTTAATTACTTTGCTTTATTGTCAGTTAATTACTTTTAGTGTTAATTCTTATTAATAGATCCTTAAGAATCTAAATAATTTTACTTTCCAGATGACTGCACCATCACGCGTAATGTTTCTTTTCTCTTGCTGCATTCTACTGTCATTTCCATTTCTACGTTTGGCTTGTGCAGACAAAATTGAAGACATTTTAGCAGTAGTTGTTATGTTAACAACAGCTCCATATTTCCTTTTTTTCTGTAGAGGTTTCAAAACTGTAGGACCTTTTGTTGTGATGATTTACAGAATGATTATGGGAGATCTTCTTAGATTTGTTACGATCTACTTGGTCTTTGTTATGGGGTTCTCTCAAGGTAAACATCATAATTAATTAAATAAGACATTTATATATTATTGAATTTATTCTTGCAACTATTTGAATACATAGTTTTAAATATTAAAAAAAATCGTACATTTATGACGCTCATTTGACTGACATCATTCATATCGTTGATGGGTTTATAAAATTATGAATAAGTCTGCAAAAAAGCTTAAAACTTGACCTTGCTATGAATATTTCAACTACTTGAATGCCTATAATGCGCACTATAGGAAATAGAAAGCCTTCGTATTTTTACTGAGATAAAAAAAAAATTACTTTCGCATGAACAAAATTTTTTTATTTTAATTTTATTGCAACATGTCAAGTACTAATGTAAAATAAATAATGCAAAAAAATTTTTGAAACATCTATTTAAATAAAAAAAAAATCATTTAAATTAATGCTTTTTATTAATCAGAAGTAGAATTTCTGTTTTTTGGTAAAAAATTAATTTAAATATTTTATTGAACTGCAGAATAAATTGTTATCAATTTATTATTAACATCATAACAGCCTTGCTTATACATATTGCCTATCTACAACTTCCTTCTCAGAAAAAACCATTTTTCTCTTTGCTACAATTAATATGATTCTTGAGGCCAGTTTTCTACGGCAAAAGATGTGGGTCAAGACAGCTAGTTTACATGCCTGAGGGTTGAAACAGACCGTTAATGCGTTGGTGGTGCTAAAGGCAATTTATGGATTACAAGAAGGCAAGCAAATAATCGCCACTATAAAGAGTATAAAATCGCTAATAATCAAGGCTTATGAGGTTTAATAGTTCAACAATGTCACAACAAATGTTTTCTCCATAAGTGTGATACAATGAAACTGATAGGAGCAGTGATCTCATGAGCTGCAACAGCTCCCGAGATCATAGTTATGATATAGGATTGTTGATTAACATTGACATATTTTCAATATGCGCATATTTATCAAGTGTGATCAAGTCTCAGTTCCATTATGCCAAGGTCAAGTTACGTAGCAGATCTTCATCTTTGAAGATCATTGCACAAGATTTAAGCTGCCAGAGCGATTCGCGAGTACCATATTTATAACAACACTCATAGTCGTGACACACTAATGTAGTTTATAACCACTCCCATTTAGTAGGAGCTACATACTGTCTATTAGCTTTAAAATATTCATTCTCTCTCATTTACTTTACATCGTTTGAAGATAAATGAAGATAAATATACTTACATTAACATTCTCATTAATAGATAACTACTTTTTTATTTTTATTTAATTATGTTACAGCTTACTACATCATTTACCTATCATTTGATGACCCTCAAACTCCTGAGGGTGTTGATGACACTGTCAGCAATCCAATGCCTTCACCTATGGAAAGTATCATGGCTATGTTTCTCATGAGTTTAACTACTTTTGGAGATTATTATGCTACCTTTGAAAAAACTGACCATGAAATTTTAGCAAAGGTATTTACACTGATAAGCTAATGATTATGAAAATCTTCTTTTTTAATATTTAAATATGCTAATCATTTTCCAGTGTCTTTTCGTGGTATACATGGCAATAGTTGCAATTCTCCTTGTTAATATGTTGATTGCCATGATGGGTAATACTTATCAAAAAATTGCCGAAACTCGAAACGAATGGCAAAGACAGGTAATTGACCACGGTCGATATGAATAGCGCGACCATCTGTGAAAGTAGCACTCGTTTACGTAATTTTTGCAATGTAATGTAGGACAAATTTTAAAAAACACATCACGCTGGCACACTCGGTATTCTTGAATCTGAATGAATGACTCAACGAATATTTTTGAGTGCATTGTCATTCTTTGTAATGATATTTTTAATAGTTAATGATTTTAAGAGTGAGATGATATAGATAAAAACATTTTAAGATTTAGAATTAATAACTAATTATAGGTATGAATATACATTTTGATTTAAAAAAAAAAAACGATTAACAATCATTCACTCAATTTTTTAGTGGGCTAGAATTGTCTTGGTGGTTGAAAGAGGTGTGAGTCCAGCAGAAAGATTAAAAAAGTTGATGGACTACTCTCAACCTATGTCCGATAATCGACCAGCGCTAGTCTTACGTTTACATCAATCAGTAATAGCAAAAATATTCTTCTTTAATTTGATTATAATAAATAATTAAAATGATGTCATAATAATTAATTCATTCCTGAAATATTAGGAAGAAGATAAAGAAGAAATGAAAGAAATCCTAGAGATGAAAAGGACTCATGATAGATTGTACAAGAAGCGAATGGAACGAGAGAAGAAGGAGAAATCTCTAGACTCATTACATACTTAAGATATGAATGTTAATAAAAATTAGTTGTAATTTATTTCAACTGTTTTTAATGATAATATTAAAAAATTAAATGATTATGGCTTTATTTTTTCAAACAGCCATTTACTTCACTGGTTATTAAGTTATTTTAATTTAAATCAGTGACAGAATTGAATTTATATGCAAACTACTTGAATGATTCTCTATAATTGAGATAATTTTTATTACAACAACCAGGAAAAAATTACCAATGTGTTTATTTTTTTTTACAAAGGTGTAATTGTTTAATACAGATTTCTAGATAATAATTTTCTGAGGTTGATATATTATCAACTTTTTTTAACATCACGTTTCTCATCTAGAAAAATATAAATATACACATACACACCATCAATGGCTGACTTCATCAGTAGTCATGGTAATTTCTGGACTATTAAGTTAATGGAAAATTTCAGAATTTAATGAGTTCATGATCCTATGTTTCAAAGAAATTGTGATTTTGTTTGCAATATCAAATGTTCTAAATGACCTAGATAAGGTTGATGATTTTAAATTGTCGTGAATCAATGATTTTTTCATATAACTTTTCATTCTATAAAGTCAATTTAAATCGCGTCAACTAGTCGTCTTATATCCATCATAAGTATAATAGATTTATCACCTTAGTAACGAGCTCTGTTTTCATGTAACTTAACCTTGAGCAAAGTAAGATAGAGTTTGTTAGAAAATATTGAATTGCCAATCTACAATTGAGAATGAGTATTTTAAAGCACTCAATTAATTATGAAGGTCTAGAAGAAGAGCTTCAGGAAGCTATTAAAATGGACACCTTACATAAGCTGCAAAATGATGCAAAGATAAGAGCTCTAGAACAACATGTACCAACTTATGAACATTTTAGACAAATGGTAAGATGTTATACGACGTAATAGACATTAATATTATTCTTATATGAATGATAAATCAGTCTAAATTATTTCCAGGTCAATGGAGCACATTTGAAACCATTGGAACGAAAAGATACCATAGAAAAAAAAGCCATCAATTGGAACCGCTTCAAAGAAGTAGCTGGAAAATGTGAAAATCATTATGATTTAAGTGATGATAAAAAAGATAAAAAATTTACAGCAAATGAATACAATCGAGATGGTATGATTAATAATAAAAAATACTTAACTATGATAGAAGATTTCAATCACCAATGGAATTCATTAAACACTAATGAAAATAAACTAAACTTTTTAATAAATATACGGTAAATATGTTTCTTTGATCATAAAATATTCATTTATTGTTTATTTACAAGAGTAATATTTTTTCAGTGATTCATTAACTAAAATATTCGCTGTAGAAATAACGACAGAAATTTTGTGTAAGATGTTAAATACATGTTTAAAGAGTCTACCAGAAATAGAAAATTCGAGGGCAATTCTTGATATTTTAACTACTATCACCAAGTGTAATCGATTTGATTTAGCGGTCACTTTTATGAGCCATGAAGATAAATTTTTTTATAAGGAATTATTTAAACAGCTTATCAAGAAAAATCGAAATAATAATCAAGACATTCGTACAATACTTGATTTGGCTACGAAATATCAAATGAATTGTAACTTTGATGAAGGTAAATAAATTTTTCATTCAATAGAAATAAACTATTTTATGTCATAATTAGATAGAGCTATTAATCAATAAATACTTTATACAATAATAGTTATCACAAAAAATATTTAGATACTTACTTATATCAGATAAAATATTTGTCGGCTCCAAAACACATTTTAAAAAATTTATCGGAGCATGTGCACTAGAAAAATTTGATCACGTGATCAGTTTTGTCCAAAATGGCGCCGCCCATAGTCGGAAATTTTTTGTGTCGTAAGACGAGTCACAATTTTTCTAACGCAGTTTTTATTTTATTTTTATAATGATTATATCATCATTATAAAGAAAAAGTGTATCAAAAATAATATTTGAGAAAGTTAAAAAATATTTTTAAACTATTAAAGCTTGTTCTATTTAACATTGAAATGAGTGATTATAATTTACAAGTTTATTATAAAAATTGATAGAACATTTTGTATTTAAGTTTATACAAAGATTTAATAATGTAGCAAGTACTGTTACAAGTTAAATAATTAGTTTAAATTATTAGATAGTTTTCAATGAACTTGGAAAGAGTGTTTACATCAACAGAATGAGGTTGGAAGAAATGCCATTACGAATGAGTTCATCTGATGACCGGAATTTTGAAATGGATGAGGAGACTGATTATTTAATACAACCTACTAATGATAATTTGAGGCCCTTAATCATTAGAAATCGTCGAATCAATGCATGTACAAGATTTTTCAAATATTTTTTATGTGGGTAAGTAAATTGAAATCAAAGTTTTTCTCTTAAATTTAAATTTCCCGCGCTTTGTCTTCGATGTATCGATTGTTGATAACAATAAAAATAAATTTGACATTTCGCCATCTTGTACAAAAACAAGTCTCATATTGACACTTGACAGCAATTCATGTATAATTTACAACAAAAAAATATGCGACGGAGTACATAATTATTTATTGCCGTGATAAATAATACATCGTTATTACTCATAATTTAACGGTAATATTTCTTGTGCGTTCCAAGGGATTGTTGAATTAACATCAAATTATCTAAATAACAATTCTGATGAAGAACCAAGAGAAATGGAAACTCACAGCAATGTTATAAGAATGTCGAAGGAAGACATCCCACTGATATCTAAACCGCGAAATGTCGCTTCTTGGGCAAGGTGACGTATTGTTTATAGTCTTCTCAATACTCGACTTGCCATAATTAATATAGAAAAATTATCTAGATTGTTCATGATAACAGCTCATTATAGTAGTAACCTTAAAAAAATAGATTGATGGGTATCCAAATGATTCATTATTGCCCGTTATCAATTGTTAATTGGTGGTCATCAATTTAGTTAATCATTCTTTTTTGTTAATATAAAATTAATTAAAAGTTTCAATTAGTTTTTAATTGGTTAACACTAAATATTATTTTGTTCATTACAGATGCTGTACGTGGATGTGGAGACGGTGTTGCAGGGAAAGAGAATACAAAGCAAGAACTATACACATTGGTAAGCCAATGTATGAGAAATTTCCTACCAACGTTATTCGAAATCAGAAATACAATATCATCACTTTTCTACCTCTGGTTCGTAATTTTTTATTACCAGAATTTACTCCTAATAGCAATTAGAAATATTAGCATAAAAAATAATCGATATTATTTTATAGGTTTTGTTTCAACAATTTAAGTTTTTCCTGAATCTCTACTTTCTTATAATGGCAAGTTCTCAATTTATAAAAGAACTTAAAATAGGATATTTGTATACATATTGGGGACCACTTTGCTTTGTATTAACTGTAACAATCTGTCGAGAGGCTGTTGACGATTTTAGAAGATACAAAAGAGACAAAGAAGTGAATGGACAAAAATATTACAGACTAGTTAGAGGTTCTGACACTCCTGAGCTGGTTCCGAGTTCAAAACTAAAGGTTGGTGACATGATTATTGTTGAAAAAGGTCAAAGAGTTCCTGCAGATTTGGTTTTATTACGAACAACTGAAAAGTCCGGATCTTGTTTTGTACGAACTGACCAATTGGATGGAGAAACTGATTGGAAATTGAGACTAGCTGTTCCAGCAACTCAAAAACTTGAAAGTGACGATCAATTATTTAAGATAAAAGCGAGTTTATATGTTGAAAAACCTCAAAAAGATATTCATGGTTTTATTGGAACATTTACCCGAGAAGATGAATATAATAGTGAAGAGAGTCTTGGTGTAGATAATACACTCTGGGCAAACACTGCGGTTGCTTCAGGTTCAGCTTTAGGAGTTGTAGTTTACACTGGTCAAGAAACACGGTCATTAATGAACCATTCAGCTCCAAGATCAAAGATTGGCTTACTTGATCAAGAGATTAATCAACTAACTAAAGTTCTATTTGGCGCCGTAATTGGTTTAGCTTTGGTGATGATGTGTTTGAAAGGGTTCAATGGACCTTGGTACTGTTATATGTTCCGGTTTGTCCTTCTCTTCTCTTACATCATTCCAATCAGTCTTAGAATCAATCTAGATATGGGTAAAACATTTTATGCTTGGTGTATTCAAAGAGATAAAGAGATAAGTGGCACTGTAGTAAGAACAACGACAATTCCCGAAGAATTAGGACGAATTTCCTATTTATTAAGTGATAAAACTGGAACATTAACACAAAATAAAATGGTTTTTAAGAAACTTCATTTAGGTACTGCATCTTATGGACAAGAAACTTTTGATGAAATCACGTCAGTTTTAAATAATTATTATCCACCAAATGGACTGGAAACATCTCCTGCAAAAACAGTCATTCAGATGTCTGGAGGAAAAGTACGAAGATCAGAAAATACACGGATTTTCGAAGCTGTTCATGCTTTAGCACTCTGTCACAACGTAACTCCAGTTTATGATGATGTCAATAACGATACAGTGAGTGTAGAAACAACAGAGACAACAGACACGGGTTCTATTCAAAGTCAAACAGAATCTGACCAACATTATTATCCAGATCAAACTCGAAATTATCAAGCATCAAGCCCAGATGAAGTGGCCTTAGTCAAATGGACTGAAGAAGTTGGCTTAGCGCTTTTCAGAAGGGATCTTAATTTTTTAGAACTAAAGGCGTCTAATGGACAAATATTACGATACACTATTTTACAAGTTTTTCCGTTTACCTCAGAAACCAAGCGCATGGGAATCATTGTAAGAGAAGAAATTAGTTCAGAAATAACATTTTATCTGAAAGGCGCGGATGTTGTTATGTCCGGTATTGTTCAATACAATGATTGGCTAGATGAAGAGTGTGGTAATATGGCAAGAGAAGGATTGAGAACATTAGTAGTAGCGAAAAAAAATTTGACAGAAGAACAGTACACTGATTTTGAAACAAGATATAATGCAGCACGATGTGCAGTCAATGACAGACCGTCAAAAGTAGCCGCTGTCATTGAAAGCCTTGAAAGAGAAATGGAATTACTTTGTGTTACCGGAGTAGAAGACAGGCTCCAAGATCGGGTACGCCCTACGTTAGAATTACTGAGAAACGCTGGAATAAAAATATGGATGTTAACTGGAGATAAATTAGAAACAGCTACGTGTATTGCCAAGTCTTCGAGACTTGTATCACGTACTCAGGGACTTCACATTTTTAAACCAGTTGTTACAAGAACTGATGCTCATCTAGAACTCAACACTTTTCGAAAGAAACAAGATTGTGCCTTGGTTATCAGTGGAGAATCCTTAGAAGTCTGTCTTCAATACTACGAACAAGAATTCATGGAACTGGCTTGTGGTTCTCCAGCAGTAGTTTGTTGCCGATGTTCACCAACGCAAAAAGCAGAAGTGGTGACGTTAATTCAGAGTCATACTGGAAAAAGAACAGCAGCAGTGGGAGATGGTGGAAATGATGTGTCAATGATCCAAGCAGCTGATGCTGGCATTGGTATTGAAGGATTAGAAGGACGTCAAGCATCTTTGGCTGCTGATTTTTCTATTCCTCAATTTAGTCATTTGTCAAATTTGCTACTTGTTCATGGTAGAAGGAGTTACAAGAGGTCTGCTGCTCTGAGTCAATTTGTAATTCACCGTGGACTGATTATTTCAACAATGCAAGCTGTATTCTCTGCTGTTTTTTACCTTTCATCTGTAGCTTTATACCAAGGATTTCTCATGGTTGGTTACGCTACTATATACACCATGTTTCCAGTATTCTCATTGGTTTTAGATAAAGATATTTCACGTGAAGTAGCGATACGTTTCCCAGAATTATATAAAGAACTCAGTAAAGGCCGTTCTTTATCTTACAAAACATTTTTCATGTGGGTTTTGATTAGTATTTACCAAGGAGGTATAATCATGTACGGTGCACTAATTATGTTCGAAGATGAATTCATTCACATTGTGGCTATCAGTTTTTCCGCTCTTGTATTGACCGAATTAATTATGGTTGCTTTAACTATAAGAACATGGCATCATATAATGGTTATTGCTGAATTTTTATCTTTAGCACTGTACCTGCTGTCATTATTTGTTTTAAAAGATTATTTTGATGCTGAATTTATTACAACTACAGGCTTTCTTTGGAAAGTTTTAGTAATAACACTCGTTTCGTGTTTGCCGCTTTATGTCCTGAAATTTTTACGAAAGAAATTTTCTCCACCCAGTTATACGAAATTATCGTGAACAATTTAATTTTTGTTTGTTGCTAAGTTGGCTAATAAATTTTTTATTTCTATCAATGGACATCAATAAAGATGGTATATAATTTCTTTATTACTTTAATAGAAAATTAAAATATAATTTTTTATAAATCTCTGAAAAATCGATTTCTTATTCTATAAAATTGATGCAGGAGAAAAAGAATTTATTAGTCAAATTAATATTACATGTTTTTAAAAACAAAATATGTAGCTTGTAAATTATACTGTAAATATTCACATAAAATTAAGTTCCTGAAAGATAACAAAACATATTACGAATATAAAAAGAATAACAATTATGTCCTGCCAACATAAAAATCTGCAATTTTTACATAAAATCTCATCGTGAAGATAAATTTTGCGAGCATTTAAAAAATTCAGATTTATGTAAAATATATATATTTCAGTGCACAGACATTATTATGGTTAATTGGCACTAAAAGGATAATGGGATTTATAGCAGAAAGAAATTAAAGATTTTTTTAAGCAGAAATTAATTGGTCATTTTCTCATAGAAATAGAAAATTAATTTTTTCCAATATTTAAATGAATTTTTTATTGTTCATTATGACTAAAGAATAAAAACTATTATGAGTAGATATTTGATTTAAGGCTGATTATTTGAATTATCTAATTTTACACATTTTTTATAGCTGATACACCAATAAATGTAATTCTGAATTTTACTTTGATTGCTCTATTTTAAAATTATTCATAAGAATAATTGTTTTTCGTTATTCGTATTTAAAATAATTGTTATTATACTCTATTAATTTTAACTCGTATATCATATAAAAATAATACTAAGGCATTTCTACTGTTGTACCAAATAACAATATTGGAGGAGCTACCTATATTTATTTCTCGATTAGTGAAGATTAAATAGAAAAACAATCGAATTGTTGGTAAATAATAAATTTAATAATCAATTGTAACTATTGACTTCCTACATGTATGCAAGAAATTGATATTGTTTGCTAATATTATGTTTTATTTCGGATTAAGTATTTTAAATAAAATAATATATTCACTAATATTTTCTTTTATTTTATACAACACTTTCTTTTTTTTCATTTATTGTTGTTATTAATCATAATTAATAAGAAAAAATATCAAGAGAATATAATTTACAGTTAAAATGTACAAAAAAAAATCAAAAAATTTAAATTTTAACATCTTATAAGAGTTTTATTGTTTTTTATTTCTAACTTCAACTTTTAATTCTTTTTCTAAAGTTTCAGCGATTTTTGCATGTATCACATTTACTTCTTTTTGCGTTAATGTTCGTTCCATGTGTCTGTATACAATTCGATAACATTGAGATTTTCTTTCCGTTTTAGGATGAACAAATTCATCAATTAGATCGATTTGTTCAACATAATCTCCTCCTACTTCTCTAACGATATCATAAAAATCATTCACACAAAAGTTATTATTTTCCGGATACCAAAAGCTTATGTCGTTGGCTAGTTGAGGATAAATACTAATAGGCTGAAAAAATCAGTTATTATTAATTATCATTAATTATTTAGAAAGTGTATGTAATGTTTTGATTTTTCATTTACCTGATAGACTACATTGGTGTCGGGGTCTTCAAATCGAAATTGCTTCAAAAATCCGGTATCGGTACTCCAAAATAAGCGAATGTCAGGGATTTCATAACAACACATTGCAAGTCTTTCAAGACCAAGTCCAAAAGCCCAGCCAATTTTATCATCAACTCCACAATTTGTCAATATATTTTGTCTAATTATACCACATCCTAGTATCTCCATCCAATCACCATCATACATTATTTCTAATTCCCAAGAAGGATGAGTGAAAGGAAAATATTGGTCTACCCAACGATGCTTTACATCTAGTGGAAATAAAAAAAAAATTATTTCAAAGTTCTTGATTAATCTTCGAACAAATTGTAAATACTACTTACTTTTTCCAAATAAAGTCTTGGCTAAACCAGCCAATTTGGTTTTCATATCATATTCCATCATTTTTACCGCTTCCATTGTATGAATTGCTTGTTTATCATCACTTTCATCTTCTCTATCTTCAAACAACCTAAATAATTCTGATTTATTTGTTTTTTTAAAAACCTCTTCGGCTGTACAAAGTCGTACAGCATCGACCTGATGAAAAACTGGATAATGAGTAGAATCAATTTCATCTCTTCTGTAAACATCTCCCACAATCAAAAAATTATCCAAGCCCATATTAATCAACTCTGCTTGATGAGCAGTTGTATGTGCTCTGAGAAGTTTATCATGATTAATGTAATAACAATCAGACTTATTACGACTTGAATGATGTTTAGGGACTAAGAGTGAGTCAAAATTTTGTTGAACTGTGACAATAGGACTGAGATTATCGCAAACACTAAATACTGGGTTGCCAGCTTTATTTTTGTAAGCTTTATAAAAATAATTCACTATTCTTTGACGCATGTGAGACAATGGATGATACGGAGTCAAGTGTAAATTTTTACCAACTTTAACAAGGATTTGCGGAGTAACATTGGTCCATTCATCCGTTATGAATTTTTGATTTAATATTTCTATTTCATCAGGAAACTTTTTTGTGTTAGTTATTGTTGAAAATCTTCGAATAAAAATATTTAATTTTATGTTACGAACTATCGGCATCATGATGAATATTCTTTTTGTGTTAGTCTCTTGATTAAAATCAGTTGATCAATGAAAATAAAACAATTGTCAATTAAATATCTTCTTAAAATTTAATTAACTCCAATATAATCACTTGACACAACATATTTTCATAGTTTAACTGTTTTTAATTCGAAAGAGACAACGGGGTTATGTTATTTTTCTGTAAAAGTATAAAATAAATTGAACGAGCCAACATGCATGCAGTCTGCTAAATTGAAGAACTGTATCATTTGATGATAAAACTTCATAGTAAGTTACCTTCAGAAACGTTGAATAAATTGTTTCCTCTGAAGTAAACGCTTGAAGAAGATCATGAAGTTAGCAGACATCAAGTAGCTATAGATACGTGTTATTTATTTTGGTTTGCATTTTAATTTACAATTTATAAGAAAACTTGAAACAAAAATATCTCAAAAGTAGTTTATTAAAGGAATAATAAATCAGAGTTGAATAAATTTAAATAAAATGGAGAATTTTTTGACAATTTTATTTACAATTTTTTATTTAATAAATTATACAAGTAACGTGTCTGCTTTTCATGATGGAAATAGTGAAGCCTGTTACTCATATGCCGGGGGTACTGTTTATCCTGCTGGCAGTCAACATGCTGACCATCAATTACATACAACTAAAGCAGTCAGTGAGTAATTCATTACGTAAATATATGGTAATTAGATTCCTTTCATAATTTATTTTTTAAATTTCAATCATAGTTGGAAAACCTGCTCCTTTTTGGGAAGGAACGGTGGTTGTTAATGGCAAGTTTGAAGAAAGAAAATTGACTGATTACAAAGGAAAATATCTTGTATTTTTCTTTTACCCTTTGGATTTGTAAGTTTATTTATAATAATGATAACTTGAATGAAATACTCATTATCAATACAAAAAATTACATTTTTATTGCACAATGATTAAAAGTTCAAATTCATTCTAATCATTAGTGATATTTTTTTATACTATCGTTTTATTGTGCAAACTAATAAATATTTATAAGTAAAATGTTCACTAAGCAGCAACTATTTAGATATTAATAGCAAAAATTGATTTGACTAATTAATTGATTAAATAATCATACTCAATCTTATTTAAAATTTAAATAATTGTTATATAATTTGTTTTAGTACATTCGTATGTCCAACGGAAATTTTAGCATTCTCTGATAGAGTGGAAGAGTTTAAGAAATTAAATACTGAAGTAATCGCTGCTTCAGTAGATTCGCAATTTACACACTTGGCATGGATAAACACTCCACGAAAAGACGGTGGCCTTGATAAGATAAAAATTCCACTTCTTTCTGATTTAAATCATAAAATATCAAAAGATTACGGAGTTTATCTTGATGATCTCGGCCACACATTACGGTATATATTTTCTACTAATACTGTAGAGTATTTAATATGAACATAATTCATATTTTTATTAATGTTCTTACAGAGCATTATTTATAATTGATGGAAAAGGTATTTTAAGGCAAATTACAATGAATGATCTACCAGTTGGTCGATCAGTTGATGAGACTTTAAGATTAGTTCAAGCTTTTAAGTATACCGATGAACATGGAGAAGTATGTCCAGCAGGGTGGAAACCTGGTCAAGATACAGTACGTCATCATTTTTTTATGGTCGTGTTTAATTTTTAAATGGAAAAAATTAATGTACAGAACACGATAATTAATCTTTAGTAATTAAGTTTATGTACAAAATATTCGTATAAAAATATTAATTATCCAATTTGTTGCAGATAATTCCAAATCCTGTGGATAAGAAGAAGTTTTTCGCTCAAAATTTTCACTAATGGTGCTATTGTGACATTTTTACAATCTCTATAAAAATAAAAATATTTGTCGTCTTTTATAATTAAATTTTATAAACACATGACTAATAATAGCGTTGTATTTATTTTTCACCAACTTTCTTACGACTCGGACTGGACAGAGTAATCAAAGGTACTCTTCGTGGAGTCCTTGGAGCTACAGGTGGCACAAATTTTGGAGGGATTGGCTCTTTTTTTTCTTCGGTCTTTTGCGACGTATTTTGAAGAGCACTTTCATCACTAGATTCAGTACTTATGTCATAAACAAGTTTAATATCTTCAGTATCTTCGACATCGAGAATTTCTGATTCCGGTTTTTTCTCAATTTTCACAAGTTCACTTTTATCTTTTTTCTCTTCTACCTTTTCAACGTCAGATTTCTCAATCATTTTACTCAATTCAAATCTGTTAACATCAACATCCATTGCTTCTTCGTTTTCATCGGGAAGGAAATCCTTTTTTGATGTTTGTTCTGAAGTTTTTGTTTTCTTTTTAGGTTTCACTTTGTTATCAGTGTAAGCCATTGTGGGTTTATCACCTTTGTATATTTCTCCTAATTCTCCTTCTTTAAAATGTATGATCGAACAGTATCCGTCACTTGATGAAACAACCAATATTCTAGCATCAGAGGACCTAAAAATAATAATGAAAATATTTTTTACTGACATAATGAATAAATTAAATGACAACAAAAAAAATTCTAAAACTTACCACGCAACATCAGTTAAATTAGTATAATGAATATTAGAAATGACTGCTATAGGTGAGATTTGTTGAGTATCATAAATAAGAACCGATTTACTAGTAGCTACAGCGAATACTAATCTGTAAGGTAACGAAATCATTGATTCAGGACCATTACTTCGCAATTCAAAGTAAACTGGACAGCATTTCACAGCAGTAGATATTTCGTTCAATGTTGGCAATATCATGATTGGCCTATTATAAAAAATTAAATTATTAGCTTAATTGTTTAATTATAAATTCATAAATAACAAAAAAAATTGAATTTACTCTTTACGATTATGCCTTGAAAATACTATAGTTGAATTGGATGGTGTTTCAGTCGAATCTTGTGGTTCAATTATTCCTGATGGTGCAATAATTAACGATCCATCAATCGTATATGTCAGTCTTCTAAAGAATGATTTAAATGTATCGTCATGGAATAATGTCAAAACTTTATTCTCTAATGGATGTCCTGGTGGAGTAGGAATCTTGGCTTTGTGAACTTTTTGAATAACTTTCATGGTATTGATGTCAAACAATCGGCAAATCCTATTTTAAACGTAAATACATTTTACAGGAATGCTGATTTAAGATTAAAACGATTGATTATCATACCTATCATTGCTGAGTGTTGCAATGTGTTGATTACATGGATCCCAAGTAACTCCTTGAACAATTCCTTTGAAATTTGACAAAATGCTGGTATTTTTACCCGTTTGTGCATCCCAAATAATAACAGTTTTGTCAGCAGATCCAGATGCAAGCATATTACTATCTGGAGACCAGCTAATATCGTAAACATCTTCATAATGTTTTCTTAACACCTTCCAGAGCTCCCATTTTTCTTGGTTTATTTTTTCGTCGCCTAAAAGTGGGAGTAGCGTTGAACCTTCCTTTGATTTCCATAAAATAATCACACCATCTGAAAATGAGAATTAAATAAAATATTCATGGCGTTTATCTTTTGACATTAATAATTGTTTGTATTGATTAGATCGATGACAATTCCTCATTTATTTTATTATTGTCTTACCATCATCACCCGAGGCTAAAATTGTTCCAGAAGGAGAAAATCGTACAATATTCACCGTTCTTTGATGTCGAGTCAGATCGGCTACACAATCGACTCTAGCTGTACCGGTTTCTTTTACTGACAAATGCCAAACCTGTTAAAAAATGTTAAAATAATAACGAACAAATTTAGGGAAGTGAAAATAATATGGATAATCTTGTAGAACAATTTCCCTTCATTATATTACCAAAACGTGTGTATCAGATCCACCGCTAGCTAAACGCCAAAAGGATTTGCCATCAGCATCTTTTTTTAAACCTCCTTCTATATCAATACTTAATACTGGATCACGATTATGCCATGCTATCTCCAAAGTAGTACACTTCATTTTAATATAAATAATCTAATTCTTTATTAGTACTCCTAAATGTTTATGATAAAATTTTGTCTTAACCTACAAAGACTTGAGGAATGTTTGCTTGATTTATTATGTACCCAATAGTTTTCCCGCAAATTTTAGAGTGACTTTAATTTTATCATTTTAACAATGAGATGGCGACAAGTGGCATTTCTGATATTGTACGTTCTGGAAATTTTTTGAAATTGCCATAATTACAAAGTAAATGATTTTTTGTAATTATTTTAGATGATCTAGAAAAGAAATCATTTAATACCAAAAGAAACGTGAACTTGAGTTTTAAAAATAAATAAAATCAATTGTTAGATTTAATTTGTCTTTATTTGATGAGTTACAATAAATTAATCATTGAATGAAATGTGAAGATAAATATTTCAATAAATAGGCATCAAATAAGATAATAAATTAAAGATTTCATCATAGTGATAGAATGGAATAAACTGATTATAGTAGAAATAAATAAATATTTTGAATAAAATGTGTTATGATGAAATCAGTTCGTTGAAGGTATCAACAATTACATTTTTTTAGTTGCGTTAATTTCTTGGTTGACAATTTTAGGCACAACAATTTTTTCATTGGTTGATTCAGATAGGGCAGCACGGCTCACACGAATGTTGGTGAATCCAATGATTCTCTTGATTTCACGTGAGATAAATCTAGCGACGATGAATTCATAACCAGCAGATGTTGGGAAGATCAAAGCACGGCAGATAACTGTTTCGCCAGCATCGATATGTGGGATTTCGAAGCAGTATGGTTTGCCCAAGTTGTCAGCCTCAATCCAGAATTTTCCATCAGTTAATGGAGTTGACAATGGGTTGACGAATTTGGCTGTGATCAAAACTTCAGAGTCTTCTTCAATTGTAGCTGAGAATTTGGATTTTGCTTCAAGAGACATCTCAACTTTCAATTCGGGTTTGGTTTCAGTTTCAATATTTTCACTGCATTTTTCAGCAACAGGAACTTTCTTGCTGGAATCTTGATGGATCTCAGTTGTTTTGGTGGTCAAAGATTGAGTTACTTCTGAAATTAAAAGATAGGATTAATATCATTGGATACTCTCTTTTATATTTTATTGATAATTATTCAACATTATTTAGTTCGAACAATTAAGTAGAAACAAAAAAGTAGCTCTACTCAATGGATATGAATAATAATATGAGTTTACAACAGCAATTAGAAGAAACTATTGACATTCGAGATGAATGTTTACAAATGATTGATGGTTTAAACAATAGAATAAATTATTTACTAGAAGAAAGAAGTGTGTTGAGTGGAAATATTAACAATTTAACTCGAGAAAATCAAAGATTAATAGCAGAACTTGAGTCAAATGTCACATTGTTAAGAGATGTAGAAAGATTGAGAAATGAGAATAAAATTTTGAAAAGAAATTTACAAATAATAACTCAGAAACATGAAGATTTAGAGAGAGTTCATGTAAATGACCTCGATGAGACACTTAGAATAATAAATGATATGCAAAAAGAACACGAAGAATTGTCGAAACAATTAAAAAATAAAACAGAAGAATTAGAGGAGAAAAAACTTTTAGAACAAGAGAATTCAAGATTACTGCAGCATGAAATTTCCCATTTAAAAAATATTATTGAGCAGCTAATGAACCAAAGTTGAATAAATTAATAAGACATAGATATTAAAAAATTGTCAATGAAAAGTAATGAAAAATTATAATGACTAGATATAAAAGAATATTAAATTAATGACATTATTAATTACGTTATCAGAAGCAATGATTCATTTTATTCATTACTTATCATACTATTTAATCATATCGGTATTTTTTATTAAATAAAAATTAATGAGTTATAGAAAAATGAAACTTTATGTCTGACACAAATATTAGCATACCTTTTTTGGTAATTTCGGATACTTCTTTAACTCCACACCATTCAGCAGCATCAATTTCTTTGATCGCAGCATCATCAGCATCTTCTAAAAACAAAAGTATCAGTATTTATATTTAGATTACAAATTTAATGTATGATTCTGATCAATAATACTTCGAAAGATTGAAAAATTTTTGAAATAATTTTTTACGTACCAGTTTTTTGAGATTTAGTAGAAACAGAGGATTTTTTGATATCTTCAACTGGGGTTACTACTGGTTCAGCACCGTAACACACGGCAACAACAGGTTCAGGGATGGATTGAGATTGTTCGGAAACATCAGCGGTCTTTACAACAGGTTCAACTTCTTTAACGATTTCAGAATCTTTCTCCATCTCACAAGCTTCATCAGTTTGATCAACAGATTGAGAAACTTTCTGTGTTTCTTGAGAAACAATGGAGGTTTTTTTGGTGATTTTAGTTTCTTCAACAATCTTGATCTCTTCAACTTCTTGAACAGATTCAGTGCAGATAACTCCAGCTGCTGATAAATAGAAAATAAAATGAAGTTTACTTCAAAGTAATTAATAATGAAAGTGAAATTGATATACATACCAGCTTCTTCAGGGGCAGCAACGGTGGATTGTTGGCTGTCTTCAGTTGGGTTGATGGATTGAACTACCTGGCTACCATAACATGCTTCAGTTGATTGTTGTACAGGGCTTTCCTCTTGTTGTCCACTATGTTGTTGATAGATCTCATCTCCTGACAACGCTAAAGTCCGTCGTGAATCACAAAATTAGATATTAAAAAAAAATATAATATACTTATTTAGAATATAAATTAGAAAAAAAGTATACCAATAATTGAAAACACAAATAAAAAAAGAAGTATTAATAAACAAACCATCTTCTTCTTGTACAGCAAGACATGCTTGTCCACTCTCTTGACTAACATAGCATGGCTCTCCCACCGTGGTGATTTCTTGTCCTGATTGTTGCTGACCGTACTCATTTTCTAATAGCAATAATTTCATTAATGTTGTCGTTATTGTTTTTTGACTATTAATCGGATTGTCTTATATTTCTTATCATTGATTAATGTATATTACTAATGGATACAGTTTACCTACTTATTAGAAAAATACTTTTACATTAAAAATACATTTTCAAACTAGGAAAAATGCATAAAAGTGAATAATGATTTATACTAGCATGATATCAAGAATATATTAATATTGATTTTGATTGTTATTACGAACCAACTTCCTCCTCAGAAGTGCCAATTGATTGTCCATCACTTTCGCCGTATGAAATGAGTTGGTTCATTTCTTTGATCTCATCTTTATGTTGGCTGTTGTAGATCTCCTTCTCAAGGAAATCTGAAATTATCCGTTAATATTATTTAACTTGTATGATGAAGTTCTCAAATTAAACATTAACTTATAAAAAATAAGTTTGTCTTAGCAGCAAAAAAAAAAGATTTTGCTTAATTACTATAATTATTTACTTACCGCGAGTGGATTTGCTCTCGTCCTTGATTGATTTTGAATTTTTGCTTTTGCCACTTGATCGGGTGTTGATGGTATTACCGAAGGTGCTGTTGATGGCTGATCTCAATGCTTTAGACATTTTGGATAGATTGGTTTATCTAAAGAACAATTACATGTTTATTTTACATTTTTTCTTTTAATTTATACTTATGGAAAAAAGTTTCAAATAATTTGTAAATAATTAATAGTAAACTATATTACCTTGGTATAATTCCAAAAAAGTTGATAGATTCCAAAAAGGTTTTGGAGATTGTTGATTAACACACAAGCTTTGCTAGTTAGAACAAAGAACTGCTGGTGAGTGCTGTTCAATTTCGAGGAACCAATTTTTATATGATCCGAAAAATAGGTTGTTTCCCCACTCTTTTAATGTTTATGCAGTATTTTATGGTATTTAATTCTAGGAAATTATAGATGCTGGTTAAGTGATAAAGAAAAAGATATTAAAAGTATACCTGATAAATTGCATTGTCGTTCTAATAAGATACTTTAATTACTATTTTATGACTTATTAATTGATCTAAAGAAATTACTATTGTAATATCCCTTGAAATAAATCAAAGATAACACCTTATTAGTAATTTTTTTGGATAAACATATCTGAAAATGTCATAAGAAGAACAAGTTTTTAGATAATAATGTCATAATTAGAACTGGTTTATTAATAATTATTATTAGTTGATCTAATCGATAACTATTTATATTTATAATAATATCAACAGTAATTATTTTTTACCTGTCAATTACGATAAATTAAATAATTGCAATTAATACTGCACAATCAACAATAATTTTGATGAAAAAATACAAAAAAACATTGTAAAAATATATTAGTGACATTACATTTCGAGTAAATATATTTAAATTGAAAAATAATCATCAGACATCATCAGACCTAAATGTCCAAGAAATATGTTTATTCAAGATATTTGAATGAGTAACTATTGAATTGTATTTCACATTCGATATAACTTCTATGTTATCTTTTGTCAATAATAGCAATGAGTTAAGATTTTTGCCAACTGAGCATTGCAGTAGTTTTTTTTGTGTGCGTTGTAAAAAAGTCATGGAGCTTTTAGAAATAAACAATAACATTACATATCCATTGGTGGAGTCTAATAATGGCCTAACAGTGAACTCAATCGTAAAAATAAATTGCTCCATGACCTATGATCATTTTTTTTCTCAACACCTTCTGAAAAATCAACCCTGTGTCATCGAGAAAGGAATTGTAAACAAGTGGCCATGTGCGCAGCAATGGAGTCTTGATGACGCGCCAAATTTTCAATATTTAAGACAATTTTATGGTAAAATAAAAATTTTGACATAAACTAGATTATTCATGACATATGTTTATACCATAAATTATTGAATTTACAGGTAATTATCAAGTTCCTGTTGCAAATTGCAATATAAAATACTACAATGCACAGCTAAAAGACGCTATGACATTAAATCAATTTTTAAACTACTGGGAAGAATTTAAGAGCAAAAATTATCCCAAAGAAATGCTTGTATTATATTTAAAAGATTGGCACTGTCTAAAAGCTAATCCAAATAGTATATTTTATACGGTTCCTAAATATTTTGCATCAGATTGGCTAAACGAATATTATTTAGCTCACCCTGATCTAAATGATGACTATATGTTTGTCTACATGGGGCCTAAAGGATCATGGTATTTTTTATTTATCAATTCTATTTTAAAATATGAAACGATTACATGTAGATTATGATCTTGACTTTAATATTATCGAATGACATGTTGAAATACTGCTATTTTTATACTAATAGATTATGAAATGATTTATTATATTCAATAACATTTTAATTGTTTTATAGGACACCTCTACATGTCGATGTCTTCAAGTCATATAGTTGGTCAGCAAATATTGTAGGGAAGAAACGTTGGTTATTATTTCCTCCAGGAGAAGAGAATAATCTTTGTGATGCTCGTGGTCATCTCGTCTATGATGTCGATAATTTGGAATACAATAAAGTTCTTAATAATAACAAATATTTAGAAATCATTCAAAATCCTGGTGAAATTGTTTTTGTCCCTTCTGGCTGGCATCATCAAGTTTGGAATCTAGTAAGTTTTAATCAAATTTTTCTAAAGATCCCTGTTTATTTTAATAATTGGGTTTATATTTTTGTTTGGCTAGGAAGATACTATTTCTATAAATCATAACTGGATAAACGGCTGTAATATTCTTAATGTCTGGATGGAATTGAAAAATGCTCTAAAATCTGTAATGAAAGAAATTGAAGACTGTTTGAGTATGGAGAATTGGCTTTCTCATTGCCAAATAATTTTAAAAGCATCTCACGGAATTGATTATCAACAATTCTATGATTTTTTATCTTTCATAATTGAAAAACGTTTGAATGCAATAAATAAACAAAAAGATTGCACTATTTTTGATACTTGGAAATTTGGTAGAAATCATCTGTTATTTGATCTTGATAGAGCCAAGGAAGTATTAAATAATTTAATTGTAGATAGTAAAGAAAAAAATATTTATGATATAGTCTTTTGTGAATCAAGGCCTGAAAATTTATTAGATCGTGTTGAATCAATACTAAAATATCAAAACATCTACTCTTTACCAAATTACAATGAAAATTAAGATGTGACATTTATAATTAATTAGGGCCTATAATAAACCATAATGAATAATTAATGAGAATAATTAATATTGCCAACTCATTTATTTCTACTTACAACATTTTTATTATACAATTTATGCCGTATTAAAATTTTAATCTCTATAATATTTAATATATTGATTCACTAGACTAAAAGGTTATTTTAGTATTGTATCTGTGACAATTCATTCGCAGTTGTGAATTTATTAAATTTGCACAAAATTATTAGCATAATTTCTTATTAATTATTCGTAAATAAATGTGCGTTTTTTTTTTTCGTTAAAATTGATGATAATAATGTATTCTAATGAAGATGAAAATCACTACAAAATTGTTTCAGGAATATGATGTGATTATTGTGCTTGATTTTGTTAGAAAATTTTTTATTTATATTTATTTACATTTAAACTCTTCAATTGATTGCAATTTTAATCAAATATATATATATATATATATATATATAAATTTATGTAATATATATATTTCGTTATTCATTCTATTATGTAGATGATATTATATAGAGGATAAATCGATGAAGAAATAAATCTATTTTTTATTCATAAAGTATTAAAAAGATGAAACAATAAAAAATACTAGTTCGAAAGGAAAAAAATCTTTTATTTTTAGAAATTGTATCACGTGCAGTAATATTTTAGGCATACTGTAGTTAATTAATTAATTTTTTTTTTTTTTTAGTTAACAATTCTTTTTTTATCATATCTTTTGTTATTGTTACTTTTTCAATTATTTTTTTTTTTTTATATTTATGTTTATATTAAGTCCCTTTGTTTTGCTTGCACGGCAAGTATATCTAATTGTTCAAATCTACATGTTTCAGGTGAGCCAGGCATATTTGTCATTAACAAACAACACTTGTAGTTCACCAATAGAGCTTATTAAAACACGTAGATCATACTTAAAAATTTAATTTTTCACACTTATATAGCTACATTTTTGTATTTTTCAAGTGAATTATTCTCTTGACAATAATTTGTTAATTTTTATAATTAATTTTAAATGATAAATCTTTTTTTGAATTTTTTTTATATAATATTATTTCTCTCTGTTAATCTATAAATCTTTTTATGTCTATAAATTTATACACTCATATATATTTTTTTATTACTTGATCATAAAAAGTAAATAATAAGCAAGTACGGTGAAAATATTAGCATATTTGTCAAAACATTTTTTAACAAGAACAAAATAAAGCATTAAAATAAGCAATGGTCGATTATTTACAGGATGTACGAGCGAATAGTAGATATCAATTAATAAAAAAGATGAAAACAATCGAAAATTACCATTTTTTATATACCAATGAGATCGTCATTAATCTAAATAGGATGAGCTGCAAGTGAAGATAACGGTAGTATCGTCGATGTCGGTGAATTTGTTGTAGTAGGCACGGCCGTTGTACTTGGAATTGCAGCAGGAATAGTAAGAGATTGAGAAGAACCAGTAGTAGTAATCGAAGGATTCGTTGGAGATGATGTAGGACAAGTAGATGGTAAAGGAATAGGAGTAGATGGGATTGACTGATGACTCGGTTGTCTTGGAGGTGATAAAAGTTCTTGACGATCACGTTCTCTTTCTCTGCCTGGTCTCCAAGCTTCCAAAAGAGCTTCAACACGTTCTTCAGTTGGACCCCAACGTGCAGCACCAGCTGCATTTTGTAACCATACAACTAAAGTTCCATGAGCTGCTCTGATATTCACTTCTCCTCTGAAAGTAAATAAATCAAACGATTAATATTTTTTAATAAATTAATAAGACAACTAGACTGGTTTGAAATTTTAAAAACTTACTTAGGTAATATATGCTGGAATCCATGTCTGTATTCATGTTCCATAGCTGGCACAACGACTTGTTTGCGTTTAAAATGACTACCTTCAAGTTTAATAAGAGCATTCGGTGCTGGATCTCGCCATTCAGGAAGAAAAACAATAAATGAAAGAGGTTCAGTAGAATCAGCTAAAAGTCTTTCGAAATGATTCACCATTGCTTCCATGAGCTCTTCACAGTACGGAGGATTTGCTTCAAAAGATCCACTAACCGGCCTAAAATCTAAGAAAGGACCTCTTGATCCAAAGTACGAATCAGTGTCAGCGAAAGCTGAACAATATTGTCGGAAGTAACAGTTAAATGGTGATGCGAAACACTCAAAAGTGACACCAAATGATCTCTGCAGGCACTCAAACACAGTAACTGGTAAAGCCATTTGTGTGGCATGTCCTTCGTTTATTCCTAGATAGGTTTGATAACGCTTGAGTGCGCACCAAACTCGCGGTAAAAACATTTCAAATTTTTTATCATCAAAGCAATTGTACCTATACAAGTGTTCGAGCTTAGTTAAATGAGAGTTGTTGATGTACAATGCGTCACCGTGAAAACGAAGGATCGTTTGTTCTCGTTCAGGGAGATAATCAACTTGAGGTAATCGAGGCGCAGGGAGAGAAAATTGCACTGGATAACACCAAACTTTTCGTTGAGTACTTGCAGGTCCACCTAGTGGTATTACATCTCCCAATCCATTGTCTTTTAATATCTGGTTATTTTTATCTTTAACTTTTTTCGCATACTCAGTTGACAAGTGATAAATTTTGAGACAAATTCCTTCAACGCTAGCTTTTACAGTTTCTGTAAGATGAGGCTGACATTGCCGTTTCAAATGTCCTAATCTATCTTGAAAATCATCAAATGTTGCACCTACTGTTCTTCTTAACCACTGAAATGTATCTTCAGCATTCCATTTCACAACTTTTCTGCTTTCTGGTGACGCTGACCTTGACTCAATCATTTTTTTTGCAGCTTCAGCATACCGTGACAGTTGCTTCCTTGCATCTCCCGTAAATTTTGGTCTGACAATTTTTATCGGAATATCGTTCATGATTTCTCGATACATCGACATAGAAATTTCTGGAAAACATTGACTCGGTAACAGTGGATCTGACCCGCAATCTATCACTTTTCTCTCCATTAGCCATCGATTAAATGAATCTTTAGGGGCATCTATCGATTCTCTAGTATGACAAAGTTCCTGATAACATTGACGTAATTTGTTTAACAAGCTACATCTTAATGCTTCAACTTCTGGATGGACATGTAGGAGATTTGATGGAGCACGTTCGTATATAATCACATTTGTTGGTACGTCTATATCCCATGGCCCAGCTAAAACGAATTTTTTTATGACGGCTGGATTACCATCCTCTGAAGCACGACGTTTTAAGGGTCCACCAGGAGTTCCAGGAGGTAAAGGACCATTTCCTGGTGGAACTGGACCACCACCACAAATTCCAAGAGGATCAGTAATAGGATCAAATTGTGGTTTTAACGGCGGCATAACCCATAGTGATTCTCCAGTTAATTTATTCCAAAAATATGGCCGATTTTCACGTTTGCTCCAAAATTTTTTCCATCCTTGTTGTTGAAGTTCTAAAGTCAATTCAGCTTCCGGATAACCACCTGGAGTCATCCCCTAATAAAATTCAATCATTTAAATGTAAAAATTCTGATAGATAAAACTTGAAAATAACAAATAAATAAATTACTTGATTCATTGGCATTGGTTGAGGTAAATGAGACAAAGGTGTACAATGCTCTACTATGTTAGGGGTCTGAGGCATAGATTGTGGTTGAAGCTTTACTGGAGTTGGAACAATAACTTGACTAACAGTAGAACTTGAATCTTGTTGTATCATTGACGGATGATGGTGATGGTGATGATGATGATGGTGCATTGCGCTTGCTACCGGAGATATTGACTGATTAGACATAACATCCCATGGAGAAATATTTGAATTATTTGGTAGCTCTTGTTTCCCACCACTCGCTTCATTCATATTTTCATCTTAAACGAAAGAAAAAAGTAATCAACAATAATACTTGTGCTGATATTTTGAACAATCTTTATGTCTTTGTCATTATCGTAGAAATCGACGACCAAGTCTGCTATATTTAGTCTTAAACTCACTTATTAAAGAGTTATCATTAACATGCACTTTAAATTGACAAAGATGAGTATTTACTACTAAGAATTTTTTGAAAAATAATATTACGCGGTATTGTTGATAAAAGTAACACGAGGATGATCGTGGTACGGTGTTTGTTTACATATCAATAACCCACTGTAAAAAAACTTGAGAAAAACAGTACCTTAGTCTGATTTATGGATAATCAATAGTTTAGTTAGATAAATATACTTACTACGTTCAATTTATATGTCAATTCAATTGAAAATCATAATTATTCTTACAATTCAGTCATCGTTTATGAAAACTTGACGCAACAGACTCCACCTGTAAGACGCCATTTGCTCGGAGACTGAATGTAAGAATGTATAAATGTGTGAAAGTATGAGAGATGAGCAACCGCGTAGTAAATGCGCAAGCGCACTACAAAATATAGAAAAAGCGCACTCTGTGATTAACATTTTTTTGTGTCGATAAAGTAAATTTTTGTCATTAGTTCAAATAAAATGGCTGTGAGTGCAGCACTTGTATCTTTTGCGCGGGAACTTGTTGATTTGAACAGTTGCATTCATTGTTGATATCATTTTAGTGACGTATTAGTTTTCGGTGTGACAAATGAATATTAAAAATATTATAAATTAATGATAACAATTAAAAAAATGTTTAAAAATATATGTGCAAGTAATAATAAGTATCTAATTTTACGTTATTTATTTTGAAGAACTATTTAAAGATTATTTATCAATTGGAAATCATGAGGAAGTTAAAAAGGTTAGTTTTCACCAAATTTTGGTTAATAAATAAATTCTAAAATTATTAAGACGTATTTATTAAACAATAATAAAATCGTAATCAACATGAAATTTATAATATTTGCATCAACATGATGTGCAACGTAATGTTGTTATAAAAACAATCCAACTATGAATAAAAAATCAAATCAGTTCTTAAAGCAAACAAACATTAATATTTATATAACAATTAAGTAACATATTTAAATTCAACCTGTGTATTATAGTATTAAATCACACAGATCGTAAATAATTTAATTATACTTTCATGAATTTTTTAAATAGTTTCTAAAGATCATAACAGATATAATGCGTGAAATAATTAACAAATTAGAATAGAGCACCATCGCTTACATCGAAATTTTTATTTTTCTTCATTTTTTAATTTTGGCACAGGCATTACTTTTAATAAGAGATTCAGCGATTAATATAATTGCTAAGAATATAATAATTATTTCTTTTATATAATATATTTATCCGATTCATGCGTATGTAGTAATTAATTTTATAATCTTTTTTGATCTCAAAAGGACAATAATATTAATGAGCATTTAAAGTTGATGATTTTGCTAGACTTTACTAAAATTTTTCATTGCCTTAGCAGTTTACTCAACAAACTTTAAAAAATTATCTCATTTGTGACAAATGAGGAGACGGGTATTTTAACTATTCATTAATCAACATTACTCCTGTTCAATGGCACTAATGTCAATAGTTTTCACCCGTGACGAGTCTGTTGGCAAAAGCTGTAACCTCTCGGGTTCTGCATCAAGCATAATTATGCACATAAAACTCTTCCCTGAGGCCTGATCTATAGGATAAATCGTAACAGGTGCAAACTTGTCTACCGATCCATCGACGTAGGAGCATAACTTTTTATAAACCTGAGGAAAATGTCTCCTAAGGGATACTCCACGCAATTTTAACTGCCGTTGAATATTTGCAAAGCCTATTTCCCTAGCTTTATTTGGTGTATTTTCTTTTTCACCAGCATCATTTGACTGTGGAAGAGATGTTAATACTAGAGTTTCTGGTGAATCCATTTCTCTTGTAATATTACAGAGAACTGGCTGAGATATTGATTTCGGTGGAGCTACATCTTGATGATGTTGCTGCGGTTGTGATTGCTGTTGATGATGCTGCGATGTATCTTGTCGAATTTTACCACAACGAGATATTAACTGTCGTTCCCATCTAACACCTCCGACCTCAGCGCATGGTACTTCTTTAACCACACATATTGCCACATAAAGGACCATTTTAGTATCAGGATTGTAAGATTTACAGAGACGCATCACCTCAGTATATAAATCAGCACCCATTTCACTTAGTAAAAGATCTGAAGAGCGAACGTAAGTCAATTCTCCAAGATCCTTGAACCCATTGGCAATAAATTTTTCCGCTGATTCTGGTGAAGAAAAAAAACATTTGACTGCTCCACGACCGTGAGCTACGTATCCTCGTCCTGCCAAAAGCGAAATATGTTTTAAAGTTGCTGAATCATCTTTTGCAGCCGAAAATACTTGTCTACAGAGTGCACCAACACGCGAATGTAGACAAGTCTTGCGATGACGTTGAAGCCAATGTGCTCTTCTGCATTCTTTAGAACAATACAAGTACATGCAATAGTGACAGCTTTCGTAGACCTTTCTTGCGTCAGCCAGAGTCGTTGAATTGGTACATTTGTTATTTTTACATTTTACGACGTATTTATCAGTAGGGGCAGTATTATCAAAGGAGACACGGCGATTTCGTGAAAAATGATGAGATGATGGCATTGTATCACTTCCTTCACTTTTACGACGATCTTTTCTTTCTGAATTCATTAATGTCTTTTCAATTATCTCTATTTCCCGTTTAACGGACTCTGAAAAAAAGGTTTAATAGCATTGTAATTGTCTTAAAATCGATATTAACTTTAACAAAACAAAAATAATCAATAATTTAATATTTTATAAATTATTTACCGACTTGCACAACTACATTTTGACCTATAGACATTATAATAGTACTGTGTGTACTATCATAATTGAAGAAATTATTCAGTGCTTTTTATTGATTGTTGAAAATCATATCAGAAACGAAACTTACATAGTCCTCCTACCTGGGAGGTCTTGTCGTAAGTCACTGCAACTTTTCCCCGCTTTTGATCCCGGACTTGGTGTTCGTGAGGCTGATGGTAAACCCAGAAGAGAATCCAAAACATCTTCAAGAGTCGTTGAACCAGGGCTTGGTTTATTGCGAAAGAATGCCGCTGTCATAGTAACGCCTTTTGGTTCCTTGACATCTTGACCAGGAACGTCTATGAATGACAATTATTTAATAACAATTATTCTTTGTATTAAAACACAAAACGAAAAAAAGACAATAATTAACCTACTTACCGTGAGAAGAAATTATAAATAATATTAAATATTAAATTGAATAATAAAAACAAAGTCGCAAATAATGAAAAGAAGAAATAAAAATAACTTAAATTAAAGGTATGAATGATAATTTATTCTATTAAGGATGTAAACTACATAAAATAACAATAATTACGAAATATATATAATTAAAATATAGAATTAACATAGAATTTGTTTTCTTGACTTTAAAGAACACTAATAAAATAGTGAACAGGCGAAAATAAAAACTTTTAATGATTCTTACATATTATTCAAAAAAATAAACGATTTTATGAATAATTTATAATTAATTATAATTATAATTACTGGACAATAAAGATAATTTATCAATACATTAATTCAGAATTTTTTCAATAATTTAAGGAAAAAATAATAAATTATAAATCAAAAGAATGGATACAAAACCTGTATAATCTACAACTAAAATAAACATCCAGTGCTACTTGACTATTTGATAATTGGACTAAACAAGTCATCGAGAATAGATAATAAACGAGAATAAAAAAGAACGAGATAAGAATAACAATAATAATAATAAGATTGTGAAAAAATTATTCTACTTGAATGTTATTAATTTAATTATTGAAAAATAATCGTTCATTTCAACTGCATATTATTGCATACATATTTTTTTTACTCTTAAAAAATTAATAAAAGTATGTACACGTAAAATATTCCACTGGCTCAATACGTGATGACATTTACAATAAAATATTTATTTTTTTCTCTTTTTTTAAAGCACCATATCAATGATTTCAGTACCTTTCCTAATACGTTTGTAAAAATAAAGAAAACAAAATAAAAACAACTGTGAATGTCCACTAGGCGAGCAGTAACTCACCACGATGATGATATCTTTGTGTTTCTCGATGATAACTTGCTGAGGACGGGGACGGACAGTTACTCACGTCACTCGCCACCAGATCCAGATAAAGACCTGAATTAGCAGAATTAACACAGCTACACGTTTTCATTCCCATTGCGCTACATCCGCTACACTCTTTATCCGTTGTCAAACTCATGGGCGTTTCCGGCGAATCAACCGGCCTCGAGCCAACAAATGAGCTCTCCATCCAGCACAGTTTCATCCCTTCTCCTTTACCAAAATCATCATTTATATTAATTAAATAATTAAATAACTAGTTAAAAACGAAAATAACAGAAAAAAAAGATGTGTAGTATAATAAGAGGGTTAATTTAGGAGTGGAAATGATTGTTAAGGTACAGTTGAGAATAGTAAAATATCAAGTGCAGAAAAAAGAAATAGATAAAAACGGAAAAAAAATATAAAACAATTACCTGTAGTGTGGAGTATAATAATGGTGATAGTTGGTTGATTGTGGAAGAATGATTTTTAAAAAAATAATAATTGTTTGCTTTGTTGTAGAAGAGATTGTAGCATTTAATAATGCTCACCTCTAAGACTGGTGTATGATAATTCTTCATTACTCCTATTTTCATCTTTATCACCATATAACCTTGGTGAACTGCGTCCACCGTTGGCAGACACTTCTTGACCACTTTGTACATAGTGTACAATAGCTGAGGTTACTTCTTTTATCGAATTCCTGACATCAAGTTGCTGACTACTTCGTTGTTGTTGCTGTTTTTGTTTGGCATCTAGCTGAGGGAGAATTCCCTGTGCCAAACGTTCTGCTGGCGTTCGTGGATTTGCTAATCGTTCTTGCGACCTCCAACCAAGGTATGGTTGTCGGTAATTGAATGATGACCCTGTTGAAGTTGCTGGAGAACTGCCCGTGCTATTTAAAAGGCTTGTACTCCATCTCGAAAATACTGGTTGAGGTGATGGACTCGATAGCAACCCTAAAATAAATATATATCATATTAATTGATATGAAAATTTGTTTATTTTGTTTTAAATTATTCTTTATTGATAAATATATTTTTTAACTAAAGTTTATTGATTTGTGCAACAGGTTATATTCACTGAAATACCTCTGTTAGGTTGCCGGAGGTTGGAAGACGATGAGAGGGAAGATAAAGAGGTTGTTTTTGATCCAAGTGAACGCCAACCGCTGTGTTGAGATGCATCTGAATGTCGTTTTAACCGGAAACCATCTCGCGCTGCTGGTGAATTTTTATACCAGTCTGGAACGTTTAATCGTTGTAATGACCTTTGAACTCTCAGCTCGTGTTCACTAGGTACTCTTTCAGCTGCCATTCCTTTTTGGAGTTCATTCTCTGGTGGCTGAAAGAAGTATTTATTTTCAATTTATTTTTTTGTTTGTACTATAGAGGGGAAAAAAAAAATGAAAAGCGAATCTTATACATAGTACGTATTTTTTTATAGTGACCTTGATTGTAACTTTCATTAAAAAATTTCATTAATAACTCATTTATATACAAGAAAGAAGTTTAATGAGTGAAATAAAGTACTTTGAATAAAGGAAAAAATTAATAAAGCAAGTCAATATGCTATTGATATGAATGAACAAGGTCAACGAAAACTAGGCCTTGCCCACATTATCGATCTTATGATGCATCAAACTCTGTTGGAGCACTCGATAGACAATGATGCGCAATGGACTTTAGTTTGACAAGAAAATATAATAATCTTATTTTATTTTAAGTACTTTTAAATAAGAAATCTTATGAATAACTAGACAGAAAAGAATAATCAACTAAATTATCGATGTTTAACTTTTTTTCACCTAAACTGATGTGTGCATGACATTCAATATCGGGTCACAGTATCGTAATGTGTTGGTAACTCTTATAAGATAGTAATGATAATACTGATGACGATTATAACTGTAGTGACGGAAATAATATATCCGGCGGAAATTATCAACGTGTTCTGCATCGCTATTAATATAGAATACTAATTCTTATTGGGTCATTAATTGAACCTTAGCACCTTGGAATGAATTGGCAAAAAATGTAACATATTTAGTTGGCCTTAAGACTATATAATTGGCACTAGGACTTTAATTTTATCTTGATAGGTCTAATCAAACTTCACTTACCTTGATAAAGTGTAAATTCTCCTTATCAAGGAGAAACTCCATAGATTTGTGAGGACGTTGGTTGATGGGTTCACCAGTAATCGTATAGTCAGGATGGTCACCACTATTTCCGTCGCAACTAAACCCTGCTGGCGACTGAGGTACGCGCAACAGTACGTTTTCACGGCCTTGACGGGACGTATGAGTAAGGTTGAGTAGGCTGCGGGTCTTCTTGTCAGACGTTGAAGTACCGTCGATGCTACTAGGTCCAATTAGATCTTCATTAATGTCTTGAATTTCAGCGTCAAGATCAGTCTCAAGCAACCCGCCAGGATGATCTTTCGGCTGGTTGGTTGCTTGATGATGATGATATTGATGTTGGTGATGATGATGTTGCTGCATCGCACGAGCCTTCGCCATTTTGATAATAGCCGGGTTGCCTAAGTCTGTTATCGCGCGCCGGCGCGAATTCACCGAGTCCGGAGTCGACGTCGTCCTCGGGCTCGACGCACAGGCGCGAATACTTTGAAGTGGTGGTAAAGGTGGTTTACTGGTACAAACTGGTGGCTTTCCATTTGTGCTAAAATAAAATGAATATTTTTTTATTTAGACAGTCATTAATCCCTGATAATTAATAATTGTTTGCTAAGTTTAAAGATAGTAATCTGATGCAAAATAGAATGACAGCAATGACATTTTTTGTATGACATTATATAATGCTTCTCAAATTTATATCAACAATCTACGTATTTCTATAGGCAAGAGTATGCAACCGGTTTGGTGATTACTATTCTATAAAAAAATTCAAAATCAAGAAGATAAAATGATTGTTATGTAGGCGGTGGAAATTACGTCAACTTTATAAATGTGATTCCTCTACTATAAGTACTTAACGTAGATCACCATTACGAAAGCGTCAATTACATGATCTTTCCCGTATATTTATGAGAAGAGAGAAAGGACAGACAAAGAGGCGGTTTATTAGAATAAGCATGAATCATATAAAAATATATTAAATACTTTCAAGTCAAGTAACTAGTTCATTTATAGCAAAAAGAAAAAGGCGATGAAATGTAAACAACTCACCTAATAAATGAAGCATTTAACTCAGTATCAGTTGAGACGCCAGCACTTTTTAAACTGTCATTCTGTCCCTTTTCTTCAGTATTGGCTTCGTCTTCTGGCGGATGTAGCGGGATGATAATATAATTAGGTTCTAATTTTTTTCCCACACTTGTCGGTTGTATTTCACTTGTCTTCGTATTAATTTTAATGTTGTTGCTTCTCTTAGACTCTAATCGCGGGCTTTTAGAACGCCCACTGAATCTAAATTTGGAGAATCTCTGCAGGAAACCACCGAGTCCTCGTTTATTCTTTTTTTCGTCATCACCAGAAGCGTCGCTTGGGGCTGTCACCATCGCGTCGTTCTCCAAGCTCTTCGTCAACATTACTAACGTCGGCTGGCTCTTCAGCTGGTTATCGCCCCCTTCATAAATAACTTCCTTCTTCTTCTCCTCTCTCTCCGTCCCACACTCACCGAGGTCGCACCCAACTATTGAATTACCAGATCGTGTGTTCAACTCTGAAGCATGATTACACACTCGTGTGGCATGAACAGTACTCTGTTCAGTAGGTTGAATGCATTGTTGGTGCTGCTGCTGCTGTTGGCTACTTTCTCCCTCTTTTTTTTCTCTACTTTCGTCTACCAATACCGATGCCAATTTCTCTTGTTCCTTACTAATCATTTCAGGTATTTGCTGAAGGTTTTGCCGATCATTGTCAGCGTCGCATGCTCCTTCTCCATTTACATTCTTGCTATTCTCTGCAACTAGCGCCATCTTATCACTATAAGAACACTCATCCAACTTATCTTCCTCATTTGTCATCGTCATTAATCCATCATCATTAAACTCGTTTTCATATATATTATTTTTTCGTTCGTTATTTGTATCTACTGTTGTCTCTAATTCTCGTTCTATTTTATTATGATTCCCGATGACTTTTGTCTCCAAATAGGAAAAATCTACTTCATCATCTATCAAAGGTCCCAAAGCATTACTGGAATTAGCCAATCCTCCACAAATTGAAAAACCAACAGAGTTTTTTTTTATCTGATTTAACAATCCATCTTGCTGATATTTGTCATTATTTGGATCTTCCAGATATTTTTTATTATTTCCGTATGATGATGTATTATTTTCTTCATTATATGAAGATTCATGAAGTTCATCACAAGCATTCATACGTTGAAAGGGTCTAGAGGTCAATTGAAGGCCTTTTATATAATCCGACTGCTGTGCCAATTCGTAACTAGCATTATTTAACACTCGTTTCCTAGTGGCAGGAGAATTGCAAACATTTGGAGATGATGGTAAAAATTTTAATGATTTTTCATCAATCTCCCACTGCTGGGCAAGTTCATAACTGGCGTTATTCTTTATCCTCCTCGAGCGGTCTTTAACGGAAGGGATTCTTGGAATGCTTTCCATAACTCGTTCTGTGTTATCTCCACTGTAATTTATTTCTTCCACTTGATTCCCAAGCTGTCTGATTGCTTCATCCACAACTGCATCAATATTATTCTCTATTGTCAGTACATCAAAACCACGATCTTGAATTTTTACTGTTTTCTTCTTTATTCCATTCTCCGAGTTATTATTTATTTTAGCTGTGTATGCTGAAGGAATATCTTGACTATTTTCTTCTTCATTTTCAACGTTTACATACTTCACAGCTGCTCTTTCTTCCTCCTCCTCTTCTTCTCTTTCGCTCTCAGCGTTATTGCAAAATGTGTTCAGCTGATAACTCGCCATTTTGTCACTTTTATCCGCCATTTCGTAATGTTCTGCATTCACAGAATCATACGTTGACACTTGACTTGTACTAGAACCAAATAGATTGAGATTCACAGGCACACTATTGACTCTTGTAAAGTTTTCTGTGAATTTTGAGAATAAATCTGTTGTACTTGACGTTTCGTAGATATCGTTGTAATATAAATTACGAGCAGCAGAACTTGACAACTCGTCGAAGTCACTAGGAAGACTGGGTACACTACGGGACTTGTTGGTGAATCTAAAATTAAAATCAGACGACTTCGAGTTGCTCCACCCTCGTTGTTCAGTAGGCATAATTCTTAGTGCTGTGTTGTTGCCATAGTCTATATTTAGCTTAGCATAAGGTGAATCGGACGTCGAGCCAATCTGAGACCGAGTTAAACTCAACAGCACAGCTTCTCGGCCATCCGATTCAAGACCAATCTCACGCAAATCTATCGTACTTGTCCAATCCAAGCTTGGATGATTATGATGATAATTATCATCTTCAAAACTCCCATGTGAATAGTCTTCGCGGTCATATGTCTCTTGCCAAACGTCCCTAGATCATCAATAATATATTTTAAAACAATTTCGTCATGATAATTAATTTTCATGATTTATTATACATACGAGTGATATAATTATTTACCTTTTGAATTGTCGTTTTTTGTAGTTCGATAAATTACCAAATTGATTATCTTCACAAGTATCTAGACTCTCGAAGCTTCTATAAGGCCGTATATTAGAGTATGATGAAATATTTTCATTATTTGAATTATATTCCTTTGGACTAAAAATTTCATTTTCTGAATCTTCTAAGCTATCTGGAGAAGTATTATCAAAGTAAGAATTGGAACAGTTTGAATACTCAAGAGAGTCATAACTATAACCTGATGGGGATACGACAGCGCACGCTCTTTCATTATTTTCAAACTGAATGAGTGAAGAAGAACATGAAGACGTTGATGATCTTGATAAAGAACGTGGCAATGTCGTCCATCTATTTTCTTTCAAGATTGATGTCGTTGACGATTTGCACCAGCAATAACAGTCTCCTGAGCTACTTTGACATCGACATTTTTCTGGAACTATGGAGTGACATTCACTTTCACTGCAGTGCAACTGCTCTCCTACAAAAATGATTATGAATCAATAAATAATGTATTTTTTTCTTCCATTGAATAATTTATTTTACTTTTAACTCGGCAACAACCTGCTGATATCAGACAAAGATTAATTTATTGATAAATTATTATTCATTATTATTTAAATTAATTTTGTATTTGAAATTTATTTATTTAAGAGGACATTGTTGAATTGCTCAATTAATTACTGAATTGTTTTCTTTAGTTTTTCCCACTTTTTACAATATAATTAATAAAATATATAAAAATTTTTTTAATTAATTTAATAGAGCATACCGTAAACATTTCCACGATTTTTTTATAATTACAAAGGTTCTTCCGGCAACAGAATAAATCGGACACGACGCTTTTATCATAATAAAAATTATTTATTTTTGCTATTACCGCCATCAAATAAATTAAAGCAAATTGAACGACAACTCGCAAATTAAAAAACTTCATTCATTACATCTCAATATTACACAGTGCATAATTGATTAATTAAAGAAAATTAGAGAGTATTTAATTGATAGTTATTGAATAGAGTTCTGTGATAATTGTATATCATAAAAAATAATACCTGAGGTGGTTTGATTACTCGTTATGTGAATAACACTTTCAGTCTCTGAATCAGATCCAAGCCAATGAGTAGTACCATCACTTCTATCAGAATCACTTTGGAGTTCTTCCGAAGTTTCTTCAAAAATAGTCTCCAAAAAATCAATGTGTTGAGTTAAATTTGTTTCTGAAATAATTATTTTCAATAAGAATAATGTAGTTTGTCTGACATTATAACATAAATCACATCACTTCATTTAATTTAGTTAAAATAATAATAAAGAATCTTAGATAATTTTCTACTATTTTCTTGGTACATTTCGAAAGCGACCTAGTTCCACGACATAATTATTTACTCACAATTTGCATGTAAAACTACTTCACAATTTACTTTTCTTCTATATATGAAACGTACAAATCTAATAGTATAATAGTAAATTAGAACGAAGAGATTTTTAGAGCGTGTGTCTAAGTTATTTGAAGGCATGCTAGAATATTATGTATTATAACTCAACTGCTTCAAGTAACACATCAATGTATAGTTTGTAAATAAAAGTAAACCATTGAACCCTTTCAACCCCATAATTCTATTAATGAAGCTAAATAAATGCCCAGATTATTTTTTTACATCAATGGTTTTTCAATAATTTACTTCTATTTCTCATAGTGAATATAGTAAATAACTTGGATATTTTTTTTTTCTCTTAATACTTTACTAAAATATTTGTGATAAAATTTATAATGTTTGTCACGCAGCAGTTCAATTATATACTTAATGATAGAATGCGATAGTAGCGTCATTTTAATTCTACGAAAGGTCTAATTACAATTAAAGGAATACAAAAGTAAGAATAGTTACTTTGTAATTATTTCAAGAGAGAAAGAGATAGGAAAACGTTTCAGTGTGTTAAAATTCATTAAGCTGAGCAAAGTGTATTTGTTATTGGAATTAGTCACTCGTTCAGAAAAATGATTATTATGAAAATTATACAAGCACTTTTTCAGGGTCAAAAGGACCCTGCTACAATAAAAAAAAAAGGGTGTGTCGTTGAAATATTTAAGTAAATTAGGATAAAGCTTTTACACAAAGAGTAATATGTCACAACTAATAACAATTAAATGAAAATTAAAACACTCTTAAATAGTGATAATGGAATACTTATATTCCATTGAATATAAAATGACGTTAAACAAGTTAATTAAAATTAAATAACACATTAAAAAATCAATTAATCAAATAAAATAAAAAATAATTTACGATTTTTCACAATATAAAGTCGCATTTTCAATAGATATTTTTTCTTTGTTGAACAAAGTTAAACTGAGGTATTTTTAATGCAACTTAATCGTTTTAATTGATTCAGCTTCATGAAGAGTCGGAGTAGGAATAAAAATACAAGAAAATTGTCGTTAATAATAGCAATCTATCATCCATACATTCTAATAAAAAATAATACATTCTTAATCTGAATAGTTTTATAGTTTAGATTTTTATAAAACGATAAAATTGGTGATAATGAGTTAGAAATATAAGATAATAAATAAATAAAAATAATAACCATTGGCTTGTAAATCTTCATGACTTGGACGGTTAAAAGAATGCTGTTGAATTTGATAGCCGTAGGCTGGTAGCCAGGTATTTGGAGTATTCACAAGGTCAACGTCATTCAACATTTCATTGTTAATAGTACAATGATTGTCAAGAAAAGAAGTCCTAGAAGAAAGCTCTTCATCGTCACTATCATCATCGTCATCATTATGATTTATTGGAGTTGTCATGATCATCGTACAAGTTGTAACATGATTGCTATTCATTTTTGATTTTGAGTTAACGTCTTATAGACAATTTCTTTCCTTTTAATTAATAATAACAACTAGATAATTTTCTATCTAATACTTTGATTTATTTAATAAATAATCAACATATTTTTTTTGATAATAAAATAAATTCAACTATCATGAGCCCAAGAAACAGTGAAAGGGCTTTGTTCTTTCAATGATCGGAAGTTCCTTATTATCTCGGGCATTCATATATATCCGTCATTGCAAGCGTCAGCAGCTTTGCCTCCAATATTTTCAATGATAACAGGTAATACGCATGTATCAAAAATATATAAAATAAATTGTGAGTGCGCAAGCGTAATACTAAACGCGGGTACATGCGCACAACAATTGATAAATTTGAAAATTCGCCGAAATTAATAATCACAGTCTTGATGTTGTAAAGCTTGAAAATAATTAAATAATTACTTTTATTCAGTCTTATAATTCAGCACCAATAAAGGTTAACCTTTCTACTTTACTCCATTGAAAGTCTAACCAATTAAAGGCCCAATTTTACATGGCTAATTTTAAATAAAATTGAATCTTAACATATTCAATTAATTCCTCTTTCTTTTCTTATTTTCTTCATTCTTTTTTCTCCACTTTTCATCACTTTACAGTAACTTATACAACATGGCGATCATGCTTATTCCCATGGAAATACAACGACATTGTTTAAATTTACAAAAACATTCATTATTTCCTTATTTTCACTCACGCACATGAGTTATAGTTAACAAACAAACTACAAAGTTTATTGTTATAATAAATATATTTTTCTACCAGCACATATAGATATCTTTTAGAAATATCAGGTACTTCGATACGGTGATTTTAGAGACTGAACTGAAGTCCAGTTAGTTCCCCACCATTTTCATGTCACGTGGCCTGATCATGTGGCATAGTCACGTGATTCATCCACGTGGTTCACTTTTGAATTTAAATTATGTGCGGTCATGTGTTGTAAGTTACATAAAATTATATAAAAATATTCTAAAATATGGCAAATGCCATAATAGAAGACCAAAAATGAGTAAACCACAAAGCAGAGTTTTATCAAGTCCTCTTGATGACGTAGCTTTATTTATTCTCAATGATTCATCTGAAATGTTTATAAACATTTATGTTCAATTATAAAGCTTATCAATAAATTTTCGGAGTAAAAATAAGTTGGATTATGTATGAGTTAACAAAATATAATAAAAAAGCTAGAGTGTACAGATAAAAATAGAAAAAAAAAGTGATGTAACCAATACGTAATGATTGACACTAATGTCTGATAGCAATAGTTTTTCTTGTGATTCAAAATCGTTAGGAAAAATATGAAGAAAAAAATTATTTTTTAGAGCATCAAAATTTGAATGATAATTAAAGCTGTATGGTGTTTACCGTAATCCATATAATCAGGTTCTTCAGTAGAGCTGGGCCCACAATCAAACGTGGCAGATCGAATAACGGAATTAGGGGATCCATGTTCCTGAAATTTATTCAAAACAACACATCGTTAGAAATATCAAAATAATCTAAATTAATTCCTTAGAATAAAATAGAAAGTATCAGTGAGAATGTAGGTATTAAAATAAATAAATCATTCTGAAACAACCCAACATAATGGAAAGCTGCAATTTTATGTAATCTTCATTTCCAGAAAACATAAAAACTGAAAACCACTGCAATGTTGATAGAAGAGTTTTTCTTGATCAGTAATACCTGCTCTATAGTTGATAGGTTGATATCATCAATAAAACCAGTTTCAAGACTTTCTTGTTCCTTTGAATCTTCAATAGGGAAAACATAGTCCTTATCATCTTGAAGTAAATTTAAATTGTCCCATATTGAATAATCATCATCAGACATCAAGGATCCATTAGAAGTAACCAAGATGGTTGATAAGAGTAACAAGAGAATCATGTTTACATAAGTATGACATGATCAAGACAATCAAGGTTTCTAGATGATGTTTGAGTGAAACAATCCAATATTATGATTTAATATTGACGTATTCTGCAATGTGAAATTAGTTATTAATGTAAGTGAGAAGAGGGGAAAAACAGAAGTTTACTGAGCGTAAATAATTTCTTGGTGATAATAACATACACTCACGCCTATCGGATAACAGTGCGGAAGTCGCTTTCGCCCGCGTTCTTTGAAGTGAAAAGGTACTGTCATCAACATAGCCAAGAGTGTTCTTGATCGGGTTACACCGCAATTCGTTCACTATATACTTAAAATTATCGTGTCTCTTAAATTCTTATTATATGTCAATTAATCTCAAATGGAAATAATACCTGCGAAGAAATTAATATTAAATCAATAAGAATCCGATTTAATTTCTATAATTTGTGAGTTTTTTCATAAGATAAGATGATTTTGATTGACATAATCCGTGGCTGCTGGTTTTTGCATGTCGTGTTTGCGTTTAAAGTTACTCAAGACAATAATCAGAGTTTTTTGATAGATCATAGACTAAGTGGTCCAGTTGTTTTTGATGATCATTTAAATCATATTTCTAATTTGTGGAATTTTAAATCAGTCATTTCGAGATGGCACTTGAGGACAGAGTTGGGTTTGAATGTTTCTGAAAATTGTGAAGAAGATATTGGTCTGTTTTTTAAAGGAATTAGTGATGAAGCATCATGGGCAGTACAAAGTAAACCATTTTAATGATAATTCAGAAATTACAATAATTAATAAAAATAAGTATTTTTGTTTTTAAGCTTTACAATTCTGAATTAATTTAGGAATTTAGAATTACTAACAAATACCCCAAGTACAAGTATCATTTTATTTTTTATGATAAAGATTTATTTAATTTATAAACAAGTAATAATATTATTTAAGCCAAAATGTAGAGTTTAATAATTTTATCAAATGTTAATTATAATTTTCTAACATTTTTTTTTTCTTATTATATTTTTCAGTATACAAAGAAGTTTTTGTTAATTATTTATTCATTGAAATATTTATTAATCATTTTTATTTATTGATTCAATAAAAATGATTTTAAGTAATCATTCTTATTCAAATAAAAATAACAAAATTTTTTTGTTAGTTATATTTAATTTTTTATAAAATAACTTTATCTTCGTGAGAAATTCTATATCTTCATGTTACAGAATTTCTCAGAAGATTATTCAATAGAAATAAGACAACCAATTCACTGTAATCAATTGAGCGAGTTTCTTTTATTAAATAATCCTTCTAAATATGTAGTTAATAACTATTATCAACTGACAAGCCTGAGAAGGAAATCTCTAAATTACCTAAGTAAAAATAAATCATTTAATAATTTTGTAATAATTTGATAATAAAATTATTAACCATTACTTGTTTTTAATAATATCATTACATTAAAGTGTCACCAGTTATCGTGACAATTATAAAATTATAATTATGACTGTGCAAATAACGTAATTAAATCAACCAACATAAAGTCAAAGAACGTCCGTTGGAGATACTTTTATTATAAAATGGCGTTGCGTGTGATTCTAAAACTGAATGCAAACAGGTGAAAATTAGATAGAGAAATGATATCATTAAACATAATTTTTTATCATGGATATGTCTATTATACAATAGAAATCCGGTTATGTATGTATAATATCGTTATAATATTTTTAATTGTAGAATATCGTTTGGTTATGTAAAGAAAGCCTTTACGCCTGCTGGATTATACCTCTTTTTTCTTTTTACTATACTAACCATTCCAAACGCACCTCTTTGCTCTATAAAATTCAAAAACTTAATTAGTTTTCAATCAATCACATGCTAAAATCCGTTACAATTTCAACCAATTACATCACGGATAAAAAGCCCTTAGAAAGCTAACCTCTCATATTTCATATCCTTTATTATAAAAGAGCAACATTTATAATGAACGAATAAAAAATTGTAAAGTGATGTAAACGAAAGAGTTAGCAATAATTAGATGAAAGTTGTATAACATTAATTATAATTGTTTTTATTGCAGTGCTAGATGCAAATGGTAAATACTCTGGAGGATTATTATCAGGAAATCGGTTCTGGCTTGGAGCCGTTAGCCAATGTAGAGAGCTTGACAATGAATTTATTCAGTATCGACTGTTCAATGCAAGTAATAGAGGGAAAGTTGATTTGGATGGTATTCCTCCTTTTCCTGTTGCCGTTAATTCGGTAAATGTTCAATTCCGATCACCTGAGATACGTCTGAACACTGTAAGTATTAAGAGTAATCAAGAACCATAAAATATCTTTTATGGTAACATTTCTCTAATTAATGAAAGTTATTCTTAATTGAGTTTTTTTTTATTGCTATAGGTAACTTTATAATATGGAGTTTTTATATATTACTCATCTAAAACATGAAGGAAGTTTTAAAGATTAAATTGTCAAAGAATTGCCAAAAAAATGTAGTTTTTTTTTTATTATAGAATTAAATGAGATTGAAAGTTTATTGTATAAGAATAGATGTTAGAATTAAAACTGTAACGTTTTTTTAGCAATACATTGTTGTGAATATAATAATTACTTCGCAATCCAATTTTTTGCGCTCGTAAAAATGAATTATTCATGAAGAAATTTTTATTGATGAAGAAAATGGTGAAATCTTGATTAAAATTTAATTTATTGATTTCTTATACAGTTCAGTAAATTTTTAATTCAATAGTGAAATTATAAGCCATCTTTTTTTTTTAATCACCAAATATTACAGAATACTAGTTTTACAAATTTAAATTAAAGAAACTTATTATTATAATGATAAAAATAGATTTTATATTCACATTGTCAAAGATTCAAGTTCAATTTATCTAATGTCTATTATTTATCCATTATATATTTATTTCAGATTCATATAACTATTGGACTGTGTCTTCCATCAAGCTGTCAAAGTATTGATGTAAAGAAGCTCTTGAATTTCGGCATAGATGAATCACTAAAGGCCACGAGCACGGAGAAAGAAATTAGGATAAATTACGTCAGAAACTTGTCAGAAGGATATTCTCTATGGCATGATTCTACTTTTCAGATAATTTTGTACAGTAGAAACATATTTCTAGAAAAAAAATAATTATCCACTTTCATACAGTAATTTAAGTGATATTCTATTTTTATGTCTGAATAGAACCACAAGTATATTCGTCATTTTCATGGTTATTATGGGGACAAGCTATGATATTGCATTGCGATATAAAGTTTTGAGTTCCTTGAAGTCGGAAAACTCAAACAATGTCAGCATTGTTAGACAACATAAAACCCTAAAATATGAAGAAAGTTTTATAAAGAAAGATAATAACGTATTTACGTTTTCTAAATTGTGGAGTATCAAAGAACATAATGCAACACTTGGTAAGTTGAAATCACAATTGAGTACCAGATTCAATTTTTTCTGCTTGGGAAAATTAAAAAAGAATTTAGTTTTATATAAACAGTTAAATAAAAATTGTTTAACAGATCTTTGGAATACAAAGAGTGTACCTAAACCCATGTCTGAGGCTCTTTTATCATTCAGCTTACTGTTGAATATCTCCAAACTTGCAAGCCTAGATGTTGGACATGATACATTGGCTCCTATTCATGGAATACGACTAATTTCAATGTTATGGATTATTATGGTACACATGTGTCTTATCGCCAATGAAGTTTCAGGTATGATATGATTGAAATAATCATTTTTATATAATAAATATAATAATAAACATTTATTCGTCTGATATAATATTTATTTGAGTTTTACATATTCAAAAAATACTTGATAAAGTTTTTTAGCCAAGTATAGAAATATGTAGAAAATAATTAAATATCCTCTGTATATATTTGTTTTACTCCAAAAATTGGACTACACGTTTGTATGTTTACAGATACTCATTTATTTCGTAAAGTAGCAGAAAGAGATTTTTTTTATCAAACAATTAGTAATGGAACTTACGCTGTAGATTCATTCTTTTTTGTAAGCGGATGTCTAGTGACATTTCTCTACTTTAGAACCATGTCGAAGCGAAGATTAAATGAAAAGAAAATCACTCAAGGTGCTATTGGAAAAATACTTCAGTTCATTGGATTAGTTTTTTATCGCTACTTTCGCTTAACACCACCTTACCTCTTGGCGATTGGCATCGTTCAGACTTTAATGAAGTGGTATCATGATCACTCTGCTATTGAACTACCGACATTGGATCATGAAACTTGTAAGAAATTTTGGTGGAGAAATGCCATCTATCTCAACACTTATTTTGCCATGGAAGAAAGGGTAATTAGAGAAATGTTTTTCATCATCTTTGTATGTATTTTATTCGTTAAGAAAAAACGATTTACTCTGAAAATAAAATATTTTAATGTCGTTTTTTTATGAGCAACACATGAAAATTGTCAGTTATTTTAAAATATATATGTTTAACTGGTAAAGAATTTATTAACTTTACAATGAATAAATTGTTTACCATGTACGACATGAAAAATATTTTATTTTAACATTTATGAGAATTCTCATAAAAGTTTAATGTTCTCATAATAATTACAACTTTATCAACTAACTTGCTTGAATTTTGCACCGATAGTAATTATAATTTTACGAGTTATAATGGGCAATTACAATTTCAGTTTTTATGGTTGATGAAAAATTTCAACAGTTTTCAATTGGTAGCTCAACTTTAGTGAATCACATAATTCAAATGACTTGGAAGATGTAATGATCTATCTGGAATTTTTTTATCAAAATCAATTAAAAGTATCCATAGGTAATTTTTTATTCGACCTTTTTCAAAATTATCTTACAGTAATTAGATGTCATGTTTCAATGTAAATCAATTGGACTTGAATCAATGATCAAATAGCAAATCAAGTGACAGCTCTGTCAATTGAAGTCTGTGGGTAGACAAGAGTAATTATTTTAATATTGATTGCCTTACAAGTATTGATTATTGAATGTTAGTTTACTAAAATATTCAAACAAATTGTTCAACAAGTTTTTTAATGAGTTATGATCAATAATTGATTCATCTTTTTGTTCCAGTGCATGGTTTGGAGTTGGTACTTAGCAAACGATACTCAATTTTACATATTTGGAATCATCATTCTTATTATTGGATCCAGGTAATTAAATCGATCAACTTTCTATGATCAACTTCTCTCTAGATTTAAGTCCATAGAAAGTATTTATTCAGAATTCATTGAAATGGAACATTTCTTGAATATTTACAGTTATCTCACGGCAGCTGCAATAATTGGAGTTTTCGTCCTTATTACATCATGGATTGTAACTACTGTGATCGCCTTCAATACCAATCATATTCCAACGTAAGCGGATTTAGAAAGATTTATGAATAATTACATGATTAATCATTATTATAATGTGTTATCCCACGTAACTTAGAATTCAAGATCCTTTCGCACATTACGAAAGCCTATATGATAAACCATGGACTAGAATTGGACCTTACTTAATTGGTATGGCTGTGGGATGGTTTTTGTACAGAATCGACTGCAAATTGAAAATTAATAAGGTAAATATATTAAGCATACCGTCATTTTTTTTAACATAATTCAATATTTTTATTAAAGAATAAATAACTATGAATAAATTAAAGCTTTTTTTGACGGAAGAAACCTTCAAATATAAACAACATAATAAATTAAGTTTAAATATTTTGAAAGGCTAATTTTTTTCACTATCAAAATAATTATTTCATAATAAATAGGAAGCATGAGGGAAAGTTGGCCTTAGTTTTTGAGATATTCAATAAATTCTGATACTTTTGAATCTTTTCTTAAATTTTTAAATTAAATCATTTTGATAACAACGATCAATAAAGTAATTGATGTAATCTTTAAAAAAATCGATTATTTAGTAATAATCAAGATTAAACCGTCTAATTTAGATAACGTTGTGTAAAAATTACAATAAAAATAACATTTAACATAAAATCATATGACAGACATAATTTTAATTATCTCAGTAATAAAAAATTTATGTTAACATTTTGGAATTTAAATTTGATGTTATTGCTCATGATTGAGCTTCGAAATTACCTGATTTATTCAGCTCAAAAAAAAAGTACCAATACCAATTATGATTGAAATTATCAATAGCCAATAAAAATAGCCGGCTGGACAGCATCAATCGTTACATTATTAAGCATTGTTTATGGACTATACGGAAATACTCTCGGACCAGTTTCTTCAACGATGTATACTGTATTTTCTCACTCTGGTTGGGCAGTTAGCGTAGCATGGGTACTCATTGTTTGCGTTACTCAAAACGGCGGTGAGTAAGAAGTAAAAACATCACGTGTAACTTTTTCTCTTAAATTGAAACATTAATATAAAATAATGAGCTTTCAGGGTTTGTCAACACCTTTCTATCCTGGAAATATCTATATCCGTTGTCGAGATTGACTTACTGTGTTTACCTGATTCATCCGACTCTGATGAGAGCAATGATTCTACATAGTGAAAGTTCTTTACATCTCTCTCGAGTGTTCATCGTAAGCATAAGATTGATAATCATCTCATTTACAATAATATCTACATTCTTTATCATTCAAAATTAAATTGCAATTAGATACTTTTTTTTTTACTAACAGCTAACTTACCTTAAAAATAATTAACTCTTCCTTTCTGTTCTTAATAATCTCCAAGTTTCATCAGCCAAATAATTTTACAAATTTCTCTTTGTTGCACTTTTCGATTTCCTTTTTCCTTAGAATTAATCATTTATTAATTGATTTTATTTATTACTCAACAGGCAATTTTATTTTTTGGAGCAACAATAGCTTCTTACACAGCAGCACTCATTCTTAGTTTACTTTTTGAAGCTCCAATGGTTTCTTTTTTGCGAATTTTTCATCCATTGCGTCATTGGAAGAATTACATCAAAAAGTCATCAGATTCAAGTCGTAACCAAAGCAAAATTGAAGGCCAAATTGTTTTAAATTAATTCATCATTACTAATTAATTTTATATTAAATTTGTACATATGTAATACACAAAAACAGATTATCTGACACAATCGGGCATTGTTCTTACAGGTAACCAATTAATTTAGATTTATATTTTATCTGATAAAATTTATCATAATAACTCTTTTAATTATGGTAATCAAACTCTTTTGTGAACAATTGTATGTATATTCACTAATGTCAGTGGTAAAAACGTCTCTTCTTCTCCCTACCACATAAAATAAAAAGTCTGAGCGAACTGCAGTGACGGTAAGAGTAGGACCACTAAAACCATTTCTCCACCTGCCTTATTCTACGTTGGACGTTTTGTCGTGTCAGTAACTGAAGAAAGAAATTCAAAGTTACTCTAAAGTGAGTGATTTGGAATTTTAAAAAAATTGCGAAAATGAAACACCTCAAGTTTCCACGTTACTCCTTAAATAATCTGACATAAACTATTTCTAATAGTAATAATAGTTCAATATTAATTAGTTCAAATAACATTTACTTAGCTGTGGAAAAATATAACGATTATAATTTATAATTTTTTAATAGTGATAAAATTAGTGAATTGTCAGTATAATTTAGATAACTTATTTAATAATGGCAACGTGAGTTTGAATATTTAAATAATTCATATTTTAAGTAGTCAAATAGGCAATTAGTAGTTTTAAAAAAATGAATAATTCAACGTGGTTCTTTTTGTTGATATTGTTTGTGGTGAAAATTCTCGCCGAGGATCCATTGAAAGCATCAGATACCATTGTTATACCTCAAATACATACATTTAAGATACCTAATACGAATTATCGGGTTCAGAGTTCGCCGGAAGAGGATCAAGACTTGACTCACCTTAATTGGAGTACACTTGTTGAAGACTTAGACTTGTTTAATACCAAAATCCTAGCAGAAAATTGGTCTGAAAATAAGGACCAAAATGTGGACATACAGTGCGCGAAGGATATTACGAGATATATTGAAGGACTTCAGAAGAAAGAAAAATGGGCTCTCAAGGGTAAATTTTTCATTTTTCTTGATTTTTGATTAAATTTATTTTTCCAGATAAATAGACTTAATTTAATCATAAATGTCATGATCATGAATCGAAGCTGACAATGGAGGATTACGTGCTGAAGAGCAGGCAAGCTTGTACTTTTCAGACGCTTTCACTGATGATAGCATCATTGAGGAGGAAGTGATAGGCATTCGTAAAATGTCGACCGTATTCAATGCTGATTTTTAGCATTACTCATGGACCACTTTTTGAAGAATGTCACTTTTATCATTTGTTTACTAGAAATTGTAATTTTTTCATTTATATCTAAATGAATTGTGCAAATTGTTTTTTATTGTTTTTATATTTAAGAATCTCTTGTTTGTCCACTTTGGAAACAATCGATAAAAAATTGGTATCAATCTATTATAGAAAGAAAAAAGGGGACACGTTGTCCACTGGGTCCGTCTTCGTTTACCTACTTTCATTTTGAGGTTTCACTTTTAGCAGGCGCGCTCATTCTTTGACGTCGTGCAGATATATACATATTTATTGTACGTATAACGGTTCATTTTGGGTTTAGATGAAATTTACATCAAATTCTTTTCAAAGGTAATAAAATTATAAAGTCATCATTGATACTTAATATTTAATAGGATATGTTTATTGTTGGTAACAATAATAAAAATTAATTTCAAAAAAATTATTCTATGTAAACAATAAAATACACGATTAAGACCAATTTTACATAGATTTACAAGAGTTATAAAATACTCAGAAGTTAATCTTTTAAGTTATTTAAATTTTTTAAAAAGCAGAATAAAATAAATAATTCATACTTATTGGATAAGCCAATAAATATGACTAGAGAAAGATTGAAGCAAAAGTAAAAGTACTTCGGAGACAAAAAATTGTTAATTTTATCGAAAGTGAAATTTTTTGATGTGAATTTTATTGAAAAAAAAATTTCTATTCTTAGAAGAATATAAATCTCCATGTCGAAATTGGATAGATTTATCTAAAAGACCTTGAGACTGACCAAGAAAAAGAAGCAAAAGTTTGATGGACATTTTTGTAGATTAAAAAATTGAGTTCTAAGAACAAGGATATGGATACAAGGGGATAGTATTGAGTAATAAGTAAGATAGAATTACAAGAGATGCTGTGTACGCCTCCAGAGAATTTCTCTTCTTAAATTTTCTCAGGCTTAAATCATCTTATTAAAGAAAATATTCTTTTATGTGGCTTTCAATATATTACGCGTTGTTATATAGAAAGTTTTTGTCGATACTACAGCCCTCTGAAATTGCAGCAATTATGAAAATTACATAATTTCCATGTAACCTAAGTTATATAGAGGGGATGGTACAAAACAAATAGGCTATATCACGAATTACGTGAGTCACTCGTCACGCGTCAAAAACTCATCAATTGTATAAACTTTCACGGAAGCATTCATTTTAGTCGCACTATTCTAATTAATTTACTTACTTATTACTGGGTAAATTTTCCTGATGTAAGAGTTATTAAATGGTCGTTTAGATGTCTGTTGATAGAGATTGAAGTCGGCATTGTGAGTACAGCGGGTGGAAAATTGATGTAAATATGACATAAGTTTTGAATTACCTAACAATAACTGTATTAATATTACTTTGCATAATAGTCCATTTTTATGCCAGGAATAGGTCAAATGAAAATCACCAAGAATCATGAAGTTTAATGTAAAGTTGTTCAACAATCATACGCTTGAGTCAGCTTCAATGCTATTGTTAATAGCAAGCATCGTTAATGATTGATGATTCAAAGGAAGAATATTTTTTTGATAAAACTCCAGCTTTTGAGAATACAATCTGAGAAGTTGAAAAAATGAGCATTGTACAGATAAAGATGCAATAAAAGCTTCAATGAGAAGAACATCAATTGTGTTATGTAACTAAACAAATGAAGCTGTTTGAATTGCAAACTTTCTTTATTACTAAATTGTTAAATAAATAATACATTAATTAGTCGAGAGTTTAGATAAAGATCTGGATGGTTTAAGAAAGGTTGTTTTTAAATAAATTAACCTCTACTACTTAAAATAACATGTATGATAATATCAGAAAAAATTTTAGCATAGAAGAATCATGATAAAAAATGTACAAATTGTTATTTAATTTTCCTCAGAACAATAGAAAGCAAAAAAAAGGCAGCTTTTAAATTTAACCACTGTAAATAATAATAAATGCAGATTTTCTTGGCTCTCAGAAGATAATAGATTATTATAATAACGAAGAAATGGAAATGCATAAGAAGCAATGAAAGCGTGTCTCTTCTAATCGTCACGATTTTTCTGTTAGGCATGAAGTAAAAGTTAATGCACCTTGCACTCATCATACTCACTGTTGACAATTCCCAACTAATAATAATATGCGAGAAAGTTGTTATTTTACGAACATCAAAGTTGCTTTTTTTTCTATTGACATATATAAGTTGTATAATCCAACAATAGAAAGCTGTAAAAAAATGAGTTCAAAACTTTGCTAATAATTCTTGGAAAACACAAGTTGTGCCATCAAAAATTTTATGGTCTGTAAATTAAAGTGGGCTTTTTACCGCCCTTTTTACTTGCATCTGCTATGATTACTTAATTGTCTCATAATTTCTTTGTATATTTCTCCACTACACTCTTGGAGATCTCATAACGCTGAGTAGAAAGTTTTATGTCTTGTGATGAAATTTATATTATTGCATGTTTTTTGTTGGTTCAAAAAATTTACTTAAATTAAAAATAGGTTCCATTTGTTATTTTATTTATTTATTTATATGCATGACAGAGCTTTTTTAGTAATGTTCCAATGAATAAATTCATCGTGAAATTTTTATTGACAAGATCTAATGAATTTAATGTTTCTTTAATGAAGCAGAAACTTCATATTTATCCAGGAAAAAGCAGTCCATGAACTTCACACGCTTGCTAAAGGAAAAACCTTGATAGTGAACGTAAATGTCAAACAGCTTGAGAAGTAATCTTAGTCAAGGGAACGAGTTGGCAATCCATTTCAACTTTTTATGTTATTACATTATAGATTTTATAAAACTCAATTGATTCGTTTAACCTTTTAAAATATTCGATATTTCCTAGTTTTAGCATTCTTTAAAAAAAGAATGATATATTGGACAGATTATTTCTGACTTTACCTGAAAGCAAAATTAATTAATTTTTTCTTTTTATAGCCGAAGATTCATCTGGCAGATTTACAAATAGCTTTTTCTGGGGTAATTCCTACTTTACTGGATCCGCAACTGAATGCACCTACATCGGTTATGATTACACAAAGAAAAATTACAAGTTTGCATCATCGAGCCAGTTATTATCACCAGACAGTGAAGTTGAAAATGCTAAAGTCGACTTGAAAAAGAAAATAAACATTGGGTTCTCTGGAAGTCAAGTATTATCTCCTGATATTCCTGATGATCCTCCTTATAAACTTGGCTTTTTCATGATGACTATTTTGTTAAATAATACCATATTAGCTCCTATTGTAAGTATTACGTAAACCACCAAACACGCCTCATCATCTATCATTTGCAATCAATAAAATATAGCTATCATTTACATTGAAATGTTTCCCACAAACATTTTATAAATTTAAAAAAAAATCTCTTGTTTAAATTCATTTTAATGAAGTTTTTACAATACTTGAACTTTGTCATTAAAATGAATAAATACTTATATGTTTGACAATGAAGACATTTTTTAGAATAATCATTCATTTAAAAATTAATTTAAAAAATATGTTAGTACAGAAACAAATAAATACCATTAAATTTCACTTTGTTTCAGCCTAAAACAATCCATTTAGGTGTTTGTCTTCCATTCTCTTGTACATCAAAGGACATTTACACGATTGGAAAATTAGCAGTGAATGATGTAGCGAAAAAACATTCTTTCATTGAGAAAGTACGAGATCAACATAATCCGTATGATTTTTATTCTGACAATGTCTTTTGGATCCTTGTGTCAGTAAAACATTTTTATCTTAATTAAATTGAGCTTTCCATTAGCCTAATGGCAATAAGTTTATTTATTTAGTAATATTTATTTCTTAGTGGGAGCAGTATCATCGTCCTTGTGTTAATGGCAGTTGGAACTGCTTTGGATTATTACCTTCTGTATACTGCAACGAAACGTCGAGAAGCTACTATTTATGACTTAGAGAAACATTCGAAAATACGTCAAACAATAATAGATAATCATAAATTATCAAATGGTATGTTAAAAATTATAAAATAATTTTTAATGGTTCATTAAACGAAAAAAACAGTATTTATTTTGTTCTTTGTTTATAAGGTGAAGCAATAAATGCCATCACAACATCAATGAACAACAATATCAGTGATAATAACAACAATGATGATGAGGATGATGATGAAAAAAATAAAATAAAAAGTAACGGCAAAATTACTGTTCGTCCAGGAACTTCTGTTAATGATGAAGAATTGAGTGTTTTCAAGGAATTATTGCTATCATTTTCAGTCAGAGAAAACATGAAAACAATTTGTGACCCATCTGTTGGTAGAGATACAATCAGTACGATTCACGGTCTCCGCGCAATTTCTATGGCTTGGGTTATTCTCGGTCACACATGTATCGTGATCTTCAAGTATTCCGACAACATGGAATACCGCAAAATTGTTGAAAAAAATTTCCTCTTTCAAACAATAACCAATGGAGTTTTTAGCGTAGATACTTTTTTCTTTATGGGCGGTTTATTAGTCGCTTTTTTATTTTTCCGTACAAATGCGATGGGAGATTTAAATAAATTAACTCAAGGTACTGATGGTTTTGTTGCTGGCCTTCTTAAATTCATAGGATTGCTGTTATATCGATTCTGCAGACTTACTACTCCATATATGTTTATTTTGGGTGTTGTTCAAGTTACGATGAAATGGTTCCATGCTAATTCTGTCTTTGAACCACCCACAGCTGACCATGAAAATTGTCCAAATTATTGGTGGAGAAATTTATTATACATCAACACGCTATTTCCAGTTGATCAGATGGTAATGTTTTATGTTTGAAAAACAACTTTTGATTTATGATATTTATCCTATACATAATAAACATTGAGAAATTCAGATGTTATAATTAATTTTTAACTAGCAAACACTGGCAATTGAAGTTATTTTTTTTTACTAATCCACTTGTTTTTAATATTTTAGTGCATGATATGGAGTTGGTATGTAGCAGATGATACCCAATTTTATGTTATTGGAGCAGTGATTCTCGTTATCGCAACAAATCATTTTAAAATCGCTGGACTTCTTGTCACAGCGTTGCTCATAAGTTCTTGGCTTACGACTGGATATATTGCATTAGTTAATAATCACATGCCTAGCTTGGATGATCCTCTAGCTCTTTTTGATAAAATTTATGATAAACCTTGGACTAGACTTGGTCCATATCTCATTGGAATGTCTGTTGGCTATCTTCTTTTCAAGACTGACTGTAAAATTAAGATGTCCAAGGTAAGATGAATAAAATGTTACCATATGTATATCGTTTATTTAAATTTTGTTAAAATAAGTCATATTTAAATAAGCTTGTTAACAAAAACACTTCACCTATTTTAGGCAACAGTGGTAGTTGGGTGGCTTCTTTCTTCAGCTTGTCTTTTAAGTTTAATTTATGGTCTTTATGAAGCTGAACTTTCTCCAGTAACAGCTGCTGCTTATTCTTCACTGAGTCACAGTGCATGGGCATTAGGACTTTCCTGGATTATTGTCGCATGTAGTACAGGATACGGAGGTAAAGTAAATTGTAAATAAAAGTAATAATTACCAGAAGAAAATTAATGTTAAACTGATTATTTAATTTTAGGATGGATAAATGAGATTTTATCAGCACCAATACTCTATCCATTCAGCAGAGTGACTTATTGTGTTTACCTAGTTCACCCTATTATTATTCGATTGACTGCAATGCATTTGGATTCTCCGTTTCACCTGGGAATAGACACTGTTGTTATAACTTTTATTGGACAGTTAGTACTTTCGTACCTTGTTTCTTTCGTAGTTTCATTATGCTTTGAAGCTCCGGTAGTTAGTATGCTCAAGATTCTTTCTCCAAAAAAAAAGAAACGAATCCAGTGATATTTTTTAAGATAAAATGAAATAAGTAAATAACTCTGTAACTTCTAAATTAATGATAATTAAAATAAATTAATTATATTTTCAAGGTATTTTTAAAAAAGTAAAATAAAAAATATTGAAGTAAAAATTTTATTCAATCCTCATTGAAATATTTAGTATTCATAATGTTCAATCTTAACTTATGAAAAAATTCGATTATAATTAATGTAAAATATAATATTCACTCTGTTACATTTTTTTCAAGTACTAGCACCTCCTTCTGTTGCTACTTCTACATCTGCATCTACATGGAATGGTCCCTCTTGTACATATTTATTCAATCGTAATAATATAGAACTATCAAAACTATCAGAGCTGGCCAAAGATTTTAAAATTTCATATTTCAGTTCTTTACATTCCTTGAATGCTTCTGCATCTCTGTTCAACAAAAATTCTATCAAACCAGGATAGATAGCGATATAATGTTGGCCCCAAGGTTGCATTGCTATTTCTAGCAAAATTTTCAAACTAGACTGTTTTATGTCGGGAAATGGTTGTTTACATAATTGGACAATCATATCCATCGGGTTATTTTCTAGAGAATCAAACCAAGATTTTGTTAATGTTAAAACTCGATTATTTTGTTTATCTCGATCAACATGAAGGATAAGAGCTAAATTTTCAAGTCCTCGAAGTCTTACTTCAGTGGGCATTTTACGAATGATTTCACTTATTTTACTTAATGCACGGCGCATTGGTTGTCCCAAGTTATCCAAAGCATATTTTCCATCAATTGACGATGCTACATATCCAAGAGTATCCAGAGCATTCATAAGAATTACCATATCTTCAGAGGTATCAATAACGTCAAATAAAGCAGCAACAACATCAGGATATTTTGCAAAGATTTCATTTGGTCGACTCTTTGCAACAATTCCAAAGAATTTCATCAATCCCGGAATTAAGAGTGTAGACAAAGGATTTTCATGAACACGAGATACTTTTTTGTTGAATTCACTTAGAATTTCTCTTTGTTCGAGATAATTCAAACCTTCATCACATGCTGCTAGATCTGTTATAGCTTCTAGAGCATTTAATTGTAGTAAAATATCTTCATTTTCTAAAATATTTATAAGACTATTAAGTAATCCAGAATCTACAGAAATGTCAAAGGACTCTTTTGATGATTTCGCAATGTCAACAATAGCTTCATAGATTCTGAAGCTTACTGCATCGTTTCTTGATAATATTTTAGCAATAGTTCTCAATAGTTTTCCACTATAAAGAACTTTAGCTCCATTCGCATACTTTCCTATTTTTTTAATAACATTAGCTGCAAGATTTGCTACTCCAAGATCTTCATTATTTACTTGTTCGATTATGGCATTCAATAAGTCAATATCATTCAATAATTCAGGTATCCCGAATTCAGCAACTTTATTGAACTCATTAAGAATCAATTTCTTTACTGATGAATCAGGATGATAAAGGTTTTTCATCAATTCTAAAGAGTGAGTTTGATAAATTTCCGAAGGTTCTAACGTCGAAAATAAAACGGAACATATATTACAAAGATGTTCAATATTATCCCTGAAAATAAAAAATGACGGCTATAATAATGTAATAACATAATATTTACAATAATAATGTATTTTTTTAACCTATGTACCTGTCATGGTTTGAGGTTAGTTGGCAGTAAAGCCGGGAGAAATCTAAATTTGATGCAACATTTCTCAACTCTACTGAAGTCAAGCTTTTTAATTTAATCTCAATGCTTTGAAGTTCTTCTTTCAACACTTCTTCATTATTTATTTCATTTAAATAAACAATTTTTCTGGTTATCCATTCTAAAGCCATTGCAAATTGTTTTTATTCTACTCAAAGTATTTCAAGGAAGCTTGTGTACATAAACTGCGCAATACAGCGACATAAAACACACAAGTTTTGAATTCGGATTATTCCATCATTTGAAGAAAGGTTTAATGTTTTTCGCAAAAACTTTATTATTACTTTATAGAAGTTATTATCTACATACTTTTTAAGACAAGAAACTATTCTCTCATGTAAGATTCAAAGGGATAAGAAATACGGAAAAACTTTTATAAAAATAACTTGAAAATTATTAACTTGGAGAAATCTGCTCGGGAAAAAGTTACTAACGGAAAGATTGAAACAATGAATAAGATGATTAGACCAGTAAATAGACATCACCCAAAATTTGTAAAAATTGTTAAAATGATAAAAAACCCAAGGATAAGCCTGCAAAAGTATTTAAGAAAAGAAAATTAATCCCTTTAATACAGATGGTGTTCAACAACCTGTAAAAGTACTGGATAATGCTTACTCTCCAGGTAGTGATGATTATCAAAAGAGTGAGTAATAGTAAGACTAAGTCTATATTAAATTTCCATTAGTCTTTCTCTAGTCCTGACTTGTAAGTTGTAAAATATAAATATAGGATTTTACAAGGTAGACCTTTTCCTGGTCCTCTGCATGCAAACGTCAAAGTTTGCCCACCTCTGATCTATAGAGTTCCATAGATACGGATGAAATGTATTCTAGAGTTTAGATGTCTTTGTAGGAAAACAAAGAAACGCTTCTTCAAACACTCCTCTTTCTAAAAACACATTAGATTTAGTATAATAGAGATTGATTCATGCCAATCTTTTCACCTCACTAATGTTTATTTAGAACCCTAAATTAGATCTATAGTTTTACACCTCAATATCCTTTCGAATGTTCATAAGACAGTTTAGCACCACATGGACCCAATCAATGAGGGGCTCTACCCCACCGCTTCTCAATTTCCATCTGACCTGGAAGCAACCACTGCAACCCAAACCATCGCCTTCAGCGTATTTACCTATACAATTATCACATTATACCTGCAGGGCATTTCAAAAAGACATTACTCACGTTCTCCGGAAGTGTCTCCTTTATATAATTGAACGAAAGGAACTTGTTATATCGCTAAAGAAAATTGTCATCTCATTCTCCAAGAACGTTGTAAACGTCCAAGTTTCCACTCTATAGATACAAAGTGTCACTTTGTACACTTGGATCATCCAACAATTGTATGAAGCCATTGCCGTGAAGCTATTGTAAAAGAATAATAATATTATATGTTCTACTATTCATTAGCATAGTCTTGTTTAATGAGAATTGTTTCAATACTATATTTTGCAACAATTTTGTACAAAAAATATTAACAAATGGTTAATAAACTTATTAAATTAAATAATGATTGAAGAAAAAGTTGATGAACGTATATTAACGTTAATATCTTATTTATTTTTCACTTTACAGTGTTCAAATTTGACATAGATAAATTTATCATCAGATACTTTAAATATTAAAAATGGTAAAATTCAATAAATCTAAATCATAATTCACCACATAATAATTTTCTCATACTAATCAATAATAGGTCATATTTTTCTTACTTAGAAATGCTCTTAAATTTACGGAATGCAAGTGCGTTCGGTTGTTAACTATTTTTTCGCGTCAATTTGGCAAGCTGGACGGAAATTACTGTCCAAAAAGTCAGACGCGATAATAAACAGAATGATTTGGTTACATGACATTTTCTGTGAATCATATAAATGAAATATTCATCACAAAACTTAAATAATTTAGAAATACATTATAACTATAGATAAAATTTTAACATTAATTGCTATCGTTAAAAAATCATGCATTACTTTTATAGGGGATTATTTTCATTTAATTTATCCATGTTAGTACGTATAGAAAAAAAAGCTGCGAATAACAAAATTCACGACTACTCTTTGGTAGATTCAGCCTTGATTATTTTGTTTTTTCATTGATATATATTTGAATCATCACATAATCGATAATAGATAATCGTATAAATCTTAAATTTTGTTACTATGCCTGTAAAATCTAGTGAATATTAGATTATTCTAGAAATATATATCATATACTAATTATTACATAAATAAACTAACGTTATAATCCAATCAATACGGTCCTAGAAAAAAGGCTCACCCATTTCAAATAGTAACTAATTCAAAAGTTTCATTTCGAATGTTCAATTGTATATGAAAGTCAACCATTGACCTTGAAGGCTTTCAATTATTTGAATAATTTTCATTCCTAGCTAAATCGTTTTTCATGATTATCTGAAATCTATTCATTGAAAATCGTAACATACCACGACTAATTTTTATATATGCGTCTAGCAGATAAAATAAGTATCTATAAAAATCTTCGTTACGAATAATTCAAAAAAAATTGATTTTTGAAGGTGAGCACAATGCCATTTAAAATAGATCGGTTTTTTTAACCATATTGACTGGATTACTATGTAAACTGCCTCATAATTTAAACTAAAATACGAAATGAGTAAATACATGTAATACATTAATAGAGAGACCCTAGTCCAGACAACACACTTCTGAAAATTGCTTGATAGATAAATAAAAACAGTCCTAAAAAAATTGCATGCAATCCTTTTTTAAAAACAATTTTAGGTTTTTGCTGCAACTTTTTGAGCTTATCAAATATTTATTCTCAATATTTAAAAAAAATTTTCAATTACTTACAATGCACTGTGTTAGCAAATTTTAGAAATATACTGACTGGACTACTTCATCGTGAGCACTATACATTCTTACGATCCACCAATGTCTATAAACTGTAAGACTTATTTAATACCAAGAGGAGGGGAACAATTTTACATGTTTCTACTGTGATATTACGTAATTATTTTTCAAATTTTAATCCTCTTCCTTTCTGGCTTTTTCTAATGCTTGTATTTCAGCCATATTTGAAATATCATACTCGATAATATTTTTACCAGCAAAGTGTCCAAAAATGACACCATCCGCGCTGCGTTTTACAACACCTAAAACCATTAAATTAATATTATTTTATATTTTAGAGATACTTTAAACAAAATTTATTATTTTTAAAAATATATAAATTATTCAATAACAATTATGGAATGAATATATTGCAAAAAAAATTTACCTGAATTGGTATTATTTACTTTCTCAAGAATATAAATAGGCATTTGTTTACATTCACGAGCAATGTATGTGCCCACACAGGATCGATCATGGATTGCCGAAGGTACAGCTCGCATTGTCTCTCGAACAACTTTTGTATTGACTTCATAATAACCTAAAATTCATTATGAAATAATGAATACATAATTATGATTACATATAATTAACATTAAAACAATAATACTACAAAGAATGTTTGCATGAATATCAATTACAAATTTCAATTATTTCATTAAATCTATTCACTGAATTAATACAATTCAATAAAATTCAAATTAAGACATTTTTAAATACTTTTTTGTAAATAAATGTACATTTCTGACTATTTTATTATTTAAAAAATTAGTATGACTACTTATAATGGAATTGTCAAAATAATTGATTATTCCATACAAACTATTGAATTATGGTTGATAAATCTTTAGGAAAGTCGTTCGAAATGTATTTTAAATTCTATTGAATTAAAATAAATAATTATGTGATAATGTATTGATCATAATATCAGTATTGGATTATTCAATCAGACAAATTATACTAATTTTGATCATTGATAATTCACAGATACTTTGAACATTGGAATAATAAAATTAATTGAAAGTTGTATTTAAAATTCATTTCTTATAGAGATGAATAATTTATCATGATTATAATATAAAAATAGTTACCATTGTACATTTTGTTCAACAAATCATACATATTTTTTGGTGGTAGAACTCGTTCTCTATCAAGTGGCATTACAAAACATGAGTGTCCATCAAGGTCTATAATTCCTGTGAGATTCTAAAGAATAAAAAAACAAATTGATACAATGGGTTATCCAAATATTCGCTATACTTGCTCATTGATGTGAAATAAATTACAATAATAACATTAGAAAGATACATACAATATTAAAATCATGAATAAAACGACCTTGACGTCCATCTCGAAAATCAGGTACATCAATGCCTTCATAGTGTTCATTTTCAAGATCTATTTCAAAGCATTCTTGAAAAAAATCTTTAGGCTCTTGGAAAAAGTTGCGAATTGTATCTTGTGCTGTTCTCTCAAGTATCATAGCTTCTTGTTTTGACTCTCGAGCAAGAGACTTGAAAAGATCACTGTCAGCTGGTACTCCAGCTGATAATTCATCGCTGACAAATGGCAATTTGTTATCTAAACGCTCATATGGAATACTATACCATCCAGTACGGAATCTATGCATCTGTTCACGAGCATAACGCCTGTAAATGCATATTCCACCTAGTACGCCGATGCTCATGCCCAGCAGTGCCGTAAGTAGTAAGCAATAGAGTGTTATTGAGTTTGAACGCAAGCTGGCTCTCCGTAAAATAAAATAATGTGAATGTCCAGTAACTTCTCTTTGTGATTGTTGGGATTCTACATCAGCCTTTGCATTCCCCTGCTAAAAAATTCATACACAATATTAAACAATGAGTAAAATAATAATATATTCGATTGAAAACAAATGTATTGCTAAATATTAATAAATGTTTTAAAATAAATCTTTTGTAAATATGTTTTAAAATAAAATATATAAATTGGATAAAATAATTAATTAGTTCATAAACATAAGTGTTATGAAATATTTTAATTTAAATAAAACTCAAAGTTAAGTTAAATAAAAATTCAGAGAAATAAAAGATGGATTAAATAACATATTTATTTTATTCTCAAATTTTATTATTCTATATCCAAATGAGATGAATCAATCGACGATTTCCGTACTTTTTATCATCATGAATACTTTATCTTCTTCATGACGAAACGATTCTGTTTTAAAATGAACAAGTGGAAAAATACTCATGCCTTAGATAAATTACAGAGTTGAACATTCTCGTTGTAAAATTATAAGTATTCAATTTTTTAATAACTAGTTATAAACATTGAGTTGACGTGAATGTCGCTTAGTTTATACGCTACATACATCACAGAAAAATTATTATTTCTAGTAAATATTTTCAATTTTAATTTTTAAATTTCATTCAAAAATATCCCAAGAATTTTTATTAATAAAAATTCACTGATTGATGATACATCATTCAGTAACCTAAAAATAATTTAAGAAAGTTACCGGTAAGACATAAATATTAGGATAATACATAACTTTTGTTCGTTTTATGATAATGAATGATTTTTATTGTTAATGATAATTTCTTATATATGAAAAATATCTTCAAAGACATGAAAAAATGAGCGATTATTTATACATGAAAAATGAGAACACAAACACTATGTTTCATTTCTAAGAACTATTATCCATAAAAAATTATTATTATAAATCTGCATCAAAAATTTTTATTTAATACATTGATAACGATTTATTCAAATAGAGGGGTATCTTTATGCACTTAGATATATATGTGTGTATCTATATGTATGAAATGTATGTGTATATAAATATAAGATAGGGTCTTCATCCGTAGATCAAAATATTTGTACAGAAAACTAGAATAGCCTTGATCACAAAATTACCAGTATCACCTAATGAAATACTCCAACTCGTATCTTTAAAGTCATCTAATTATGAAAATTTATTTAAACTAATTCGCAAAAATAAACTGATGACTTCTTCATGTCGTAGAATATAGATACAAACCAATGGCTGCTCCATTTTATCCGCAGGCTTCTTTTCTCCAATAGCTTTTGTAATGATCGTCATCTTGGCGTCGAGCTTGTGTGAATATTTAACAATTTACATTCACCAATTCACGGGGAAAAATCCCACGTTTTTAAATATTCAATTGAACTAATAATTAATTAGTAAAACACTGAGACAAGTTATTGTTATACGCAAGAGACAAACACGACCATCTGAATTCGATTGATCGAGTGACAATCGCGCCTGTCCGAATCACCTTTAACTATACAACACATACGAAATCTCTTTCTCACTTTAGCAATATTTTCTGCCTAGTAGATGTCTCTTTCTCTTCAATGGCGCTGCATTTCATTGCTATTCAACAAACTCAAGGCGCTTGCGCAAAGAAATCCGTAATAATTTATTTTATTATTTATTAAATTGATTAATAATGTTGAAATTCAAGGACTGTATAAGTTGTAATTGTTCTCCAGATATGATTATTATTCCATTATATTATGTTTTATGTCATTCGAAGTCAATTTTTTAACTATTTTTAAGACGAATTTTCATGTAAAATTGAGAATTTTTTATAATTAATTTTACAATTATACACCACTCGAATTTTCATTCAAAGTGTCTACCTCTTACTTACAAACAAGAAATTCTTTGATAATAAATTATCTAATATATTTTGAATATAAAATTTTATATTTACTATTAAATAATGTAAACACATTTTGATACAGTTTAATGAAATATCAATTATTTCTATGATTATATTTTTTATTTAATGATTCGTGATATTAGTGATTTAATTGTGAGTTCAAACAAAACTTTGGTAATTAAAAAAAATTTTATGAATGTAAGCAATCATTTTTTATTTAAATATCATTTTAAATTATTTAATTCTAAATTTTACATATTTTTATTTTTATGAATATGTCAGTTGATTACAATCATTTTTATATTTTCAATATTGAGGTTAACTGGTCAGTTAGTAACCACAGTGTAATTTAACATTTTGCGATTGTTTTCATATATAAATTTACAAATAACAAATGCATTATTATTCAATACATTTTTTTTTTATTTATAAATTTTTATATTTTATTATTATATTTATTATAAATTAAAAATACTAAAATTATAAATTTAAAACAGCTGTTGTTATTTTTTCTCAAATTGAATATGTATACTTAATTAAACTGTTGATTTATTTTTTTGATGATAATAATATCCCTTATCAGTATAATATAAAGGTTATCTATTTTGGTAAAATTATTACAATAAAACAAATGTTTATATTTCATGAGCTAATTATAATAAAATTTTTTTTTTTATAAAAAAAATCAACAATGAAAAAAATAATCATTATTTACAAATTTTTTGATAATTATTTTGTCATAAAGTTACTCAATGTATTTACATAAATTCAACAAACATAAACTGAAGAGAATGCATTTTTATAATATCTGTATATACTTATGAACAAAGTAGATGAGTTTATGAACACGAATGATAGGGATCCGACTACTATACACTGTATAGTACTGACTCAGACGGTATATATTAGTGTTCTTTTCGTCTCCCTTAGTCTCACACCAACGTCCAACTGCTATCCAATTGTCGTTGAGTCAGTGCTTAGCAGTGCTTAGTGCTTTACTCTCTTATAGTGAAGTCAGTTGCGCGAGAACAGTTAGAGAGGTAACGTTATCACATCGTTCGTTGTAAATAAGAAAGGAATAAAATAATGGCGTCCACGAAGAGAAAGCAGGATGAGAAACATCTCAAAATACTACGCGAGCTGGTCTCGCAACCTGGAAATAAAGAGTGCTTTGATTGTCGACAAAGAGGACCAACTTATGTCAACATGACGATTGGCTCCTTCGTCTGTACTACATGCTCTGGCATGTTGTAAGTAATCTACTTCCTGAAAATCAACGATTCACTCTATTACTCGTTCATTGTATGAACACTTTCAATCTATGTCACTTATAATACTCCAAAAAGTTCAACTATTTTTTAATCTAATTGTCTAACTGCTCATTAACCTTTGTCTTATTTTTTATTTGGTTTCTATAAATTAAACCGGGTCTCTAACTATTTTAAGCGGAAAATCTGTAAGTCTTGTGAGTCAATTGACAGTTTATTTCATTGTTCATTGAAGATTTTGCAATAGTCAAGAAGAAGGTCATCTTCATCACTTTATTTGTAAAATAAAAAATTTCCTGTTCTTTGTTGAAGAAAAAAAAATTTTTTATCAATCTAATACTTGAAATAATGTTCATTTAAATTTATTCAAATGAAGATCAATTTTAAAGATATATTGTAGTTGACAAAAATAGGAATCCACTGCGCAAAATTATAGTCATATAAGTACCTGAGTCACTTTTAGTGTTTAGTAAAAGTATACTTTCCAATAGCGTCATTCTAAATAATGATTTGACTTGTTAAATACACATATTGCAAATGAATAATTGAACGTTGAATAAATTATATTTTAAATCAACTTTTGTTGTTCCTAAAAGAAGTATCTATTCACTTTGACACGTTAATTTCATCCAATATTTTATCATAAAATCTTTTTACTCTTAGATAAAAATTTACTAACAAAGTTTCATAATGAAAAGTGAAAAAAATTTATTAATAAAAAAAAAATAGTTTTATATTAAATATTAATTAATATTCTATTTTCAGGAGAGGGTTAACACCACCACATCGTGTTAAATCTATTTCTATGGCTACATTTACACCAGAAGAGATTGAATTTTTAAAACAACGTGGAAATGAATACTGTAAAAAAATTTGGCTTGGACTGATGAATTCAAATACTCCGTTAAATATTGATACTAAAGATGAACAAAAGATGAAAGACTTAATGTCAGCTAAATATGAACATAAAAGATATTATTTAGATCCATCAATGGCTAATGATAGCAACGCTAATAATCAAAAGACTCAATCATTGTCATCAAAGTCAACGTCTCCATCTTCAACGTCATTAACATCATCACCCAATAACTCTATTCGATCAAATCACACCAATATACCAAGAGTTCAACAAGTGGGAACTCTTCCTGCACTAAATACTCCTACGTTAAATCAAAAGAAGAAAAATATTACTGAGACTCCAGTAACTTTTCCAACAGATTTTGTAGCTGATTTTAGTCAAGTTCCAGATCCATTTGTTGCAGCAACTCCAACGTCACGTTTTCCAGGAACAATCGATCCTCAGCCTTCCTTTGCTAATTTCGACAATAACCCTGCATTTCATTCTAACAGTAAGTTTCTAATAATCTAATAAATTATTTTAAAATAAAAAAAAAAAGAGCCAAGTCATTCTAATTCAATCAAAGTAAGCTTATTTATTCATTGTTATTATTTTTAATTAACATCATGTAATTGATAAAATAATTCTGAAAATTTCATACTTTTGGTATGACTTAATGATAAACTTTTAAAAAGTTATCTGTTTTTTGAAGAATTTAAAAACTTTTTTTTTACATATAATATCGTAATTATTTATAGAATGTTATTGACGTCAATTTTATGCGTGAGTGTTAAAGTAGTAATATCAGATATTGCTGTTTATTTTGTTCAGATTTTTATTGGACTTAACTCTCGTGGCATTTTAAATGAAAGAGTTATGTTGACATAACTCTTCTTTCCTGTTTGATATTTAAATTAAGTCTCATTATCTCTATCAAAATAGTTAGAAATGAAATTTATACAGAAATATAAAAAATGTAAAGCGATAAAACATGTTTGATTAAATGAAACAATTGGAGGTATGTCAATATAACTCAATTATCTATATCACTAAATCAAATTTAAAATTGAGTCTTAATATAATTCTTTATAAGTGAACTTTGATTTGAATATGTATCCGATGAATTTTTTTAAAAATAATATTCAATTGAATACACTAATTTTTAATTCTTTAAACAAATATTTGTTAATTACTTCCAATTATTTTAGATTTATAATTAAGTAACCACTATTACAGCTTATAAATAATGGATTTTTTTTGTAGGTTCCGATTTATCGAATTCATTCAATCAAATAGAGAAACCGTCCGTATCGTCTAATTTGAATGGTATTAATGCTCCACCACCAGAAGACCGATATGCTGCGTTAAAAGATTTAGATTCATTGATGAAAAAGACACAATTGAAAGAAGACCCACCTACAAATGTGTCATCAACGTGGACTGCTAATAACTCCAACTGTAAGTACATATATAAACAATAATGATAGTACTGTAGAAAAATAAAATTTTTCTATTAATTTTTTTTTATTGTCAATTAATCATTTATGATAATTAAGTTCTTTTATTATTTTTTTTATTCTTTTCTTTGTAATAAATATTATTTTCTATTATTATTTTATAGCTTCTAATTCCGTTTGGATGAGTAACGATCAACTAAGCCATGTTATTTCGAATCCATTTTGTGGGAATGATTTATGGAGACCATCTTTACATGTGATCAATAACAATAATAGTAATAGTACTAGTAATAATAATTATAATAATATTCAACCTCTCGATAACTCTTTTTATAATTCTGCAAATCCATTTCGACAACAAATTTCAGTCAATAATGGTGAGTTTTTACTTATTAAATTATCGGTTTAAATAGAAATAAACAATTATATAATAAAAAATACCATTGTTTTGAAACGTAATGATTTTATTAAGAACTAAATTCAAATGTAAAAATATCAGTGATTATTGAAATGTAATAATCTGATTAATACGATTACTATCTAAAAATCATGATGTTTTATAAAATTAACTTAATACTTTTGAGTATTAAGAAAAATATGTATAATGGTTTAAAATGAGCATGTTGAAGTTTAAAAAGATAAAATCGTTATGTTTAAAAACTTCTATTAGTTGTAATTGAGATGAAAAAGTACTTTATTGTTAAAAAAGCTCTTGTAAATAATTATATTGATAAATATTTTATTAAAATAATTAGAATCTCAGTGGAAAACTTTTGGTACTCCAAGCAGTGCGGATGTAATTGCATCTAGTCAACTGATGACTCCACTCTCCGGAAAAGTCTGGCATCCGACTGTACCACCTTATCAGGCGAACCCTTTTATGGTAAGCATCGAATGAATATTATGCTGATAAAAAGCTGCACTATCGCATGTACACGTGTCATTTTTTTTCTTTCGTTACAGGTTGGTACTGGTGTAGGAAATCCGGCGAGAAGCTCTAACAATCCCTTTTTATGATTAGACATTTTTCATATGTTAAATGAGCTTACGAACAAAAAATATTATAATAAATACGTATATGTAGCTTAATAGAGAAATTCCTTTACATGACTCTAATAATGACATCATTTCAATGACAATAATAGCAATAAGATTATTAATAATGACTGCAAGGGATTATTAATATTTTATCATTATTGTTGTTGTTGTTATTGCTGTTATTTATTATTATATTATTGGCATTTAGAGCCGTTAACTATCTTTTTAAAGCACTCCTTTCCCTTGAATTATTCTTTTACCCGCAAAACTAAATACTACTTATTTATGAATACTATTATATACGTTAAATAAAGATTAATATTTGTTACTAATTGTAAATTTATTTTTTTTGCACCTTTCGTATCATATTTATATGAATTTTATAATGATAATGACAAAAAAAAAAATGCTTATTAGTTGATGATAAATGACTCACACTTAAATACGATTTATTTACTTAAAAACTTTCTAATAAATACAAAATCACAAATGAACACTTAGTCTTTGTTGTTTTTCTCTTCAGTTACCGATCAAAAATTGCTAGATCCATATAATTAAATACAGTATCTTGCGTGGATAATTATTAAATTGTTACACTTGAAGGCTAGATTAATTATAATTAATATATTAATGATGATAAACATGATTCAGTCGTGTCACTGTAGTATAATTACATTAAATTGATATAAAAATGAGAGATTAAAGAAGCTGTCGTGCTAACTATCAATAGATATCACGTAGCTGCCGTAAATTCTTTTATAAACTTCATTCAAAATTTTCTTCCATTCCATTTCATTTAATATTACTATTATTTTACTTCTTCATTTCCTAAGAGTTGGAAGCTCCAACGGATCATTGCAATAATATTTATTAATGATATAAATTAATCAGCATTGAAATTGAAAAATTATTAAAACACTAATACATGAGTTTCACCAATCATGTTAATTGTTATGTATAAACATACGAGATAATGATATTACTAGGCATGGCGGGTAACCGTCATTTGCAATCCTTAAGGATGCTAATGCGACTTTTTATTTATTTAATTGTCTTCTCCCATCTTCATTTCTTAGCAGCCATTACTATTGGAGTTACCTTTAGGCAAGGGACGTACTAAGTATAGCTTTTCACCCTGCTTATTAGTATAAATTGGTGCTCGTTGGTAATGATCAACTAGTTGATCAAGTGTATGGAACTTTCTTTGACCGATACAATAAAGCGCACCTTCAACATGTACCCTAAAGTGTTTGTTTCGACCAGGTGCTTTTAACGAGACTGAGTAATCACCCATCTGAAATTGATCATAGTATTAAACAATTAGTTTCCAAATTTTAACATTATTGAAATATTTACATAAACAATTCAATTTTTTAAAAAAGTTTTTATCATAGAATTTAATTTTTATCCATATTGTAATAAAATAGTAAATATTATTTTTTTTTTATTTTCATTAATAAAAATTCCTAGATTATTACGAAATCATCAATTATTAAAGCAAATAAAGAACTAATGACAAAAATAACAACCCTAATTAAAATAAAATCCTTGAAGAAATAAAACTAGCGTTTAAACTTGAATTGTTTCAGTGTAAAAGTTTCACCTAGATGATTTCTAAAATTACTTACATTAGTTTCACTATCTCTAATGAGAAAATCTCCATCATGCCCATGTTGATTAAGGAGAGTGTCACATTGGGAGCGTGTTATGCTGCCGTAATACCAAGGTTTTCCAACAAGATGTGGTCGATCTCCAGGGTCAGGCCTTCGTTCTAAAGAATCTCCGGTGCTGATTTCACTAGTTGTCATGCCGCGATCGCGATAAGGTTGTGTTAAATATTCGCTGAGTTCTTGAAGATAATTACGTGGAACAAGACCGATTTGTCCTTGGCCATTTCTTGCTTTATACCATTCTGGATCAGCAGGAGGACGATCAAGAATTTCTAACCGATCTCCTTTTTCGAAAGAAAGCTCTTGGTCGTTGTTAGACGAAAATGAGTACAAAGCGACGACGATGTCAAGCACATTCTCGGCCATGGCGTATGTGTGTAAGGTGTCATCAGCGTCACCCTCTTCTTGAGTGTAGTTGGAGGGAAACCAGCCCGCCTGAGTGCCACTCTGGCCTCTCCACCAACCATCGTTGCTCTTCTCAAGTATAAGGATTCGTGTGCCCTTGACCAGCGACAACTCATCAGCTTGTTGGGCTTGATAGTTGTACTTAACAACAGCTGTACCTATTGCTTCACTTGGATCTGCTGGCAGTCTTCGTGTCATAATTGGTGATTCTACGGCACGTGAAGGTGAGTTTCCGGACGGTAGGGTCTTAGAACCTGAACCCTTCTTCACTTTTTTCTTAATGCTGTCAAACAGGGACGGTTTTTCCTTCTTTACATAATTACTCGGTACATATCCAGCTTGTCCACGTGCACTTTGCACTCTCCACCAATGTTTTGAATCGTCTAATAAAAGGTAACGTTCATTTTTACGTAAATCCAACTCCTGTGCTCCTTGTGCTCCATAATCATACTTGGCGACAACGTAGCACACGTCGTCCTGATTTGTCTTGCCTAAAAGCAACTTGAATTAGCACCTCGAGTTATAAATAAATTATAAATAGTCAAATGAAATATTGTTACATATTAATATCTAATTAATGAATTCTGTTACACTTAAACCCTGTTACACTTCTAAGTTTTTTACAGTAACCAAAACAAATTAACTACTGTTTCATTCAATATTTTTTCTATTTACAAAAAAAATTAGTTTGCAACAATCACATTTTGGAATCGTTAAAGAAATTTGGAAAGCTTATCTTGATAAATAAAACGAAATACTATACATTTAAAGCAAAGCATATACAAAAGTAAAACGTACCATGCTTCATGGCTGCCATGTGCAAATATAAAGATATTTACGTCCGAGACTGGCGAAAACGGCTGCTACTCACGTACTACTCGAATGAATCGCAAATCTGCTTGTTTCGTTGGCATGAGTACAGTAGGCATTCATTCTTTAGTTTTTTTAATGTATTACTTTTTATTATTTTATTTATTGGGTTTTGATGTTTGACTTGAGTTTTATGTTTTTCGTTCTTTTCTATTATTATTACAATAACATTTATTTGTTCTTTTATTCATAGGCGGCCTTTTGGTGTCTTGGCTCAGGATCCATTTGCAAGGGCAGGGTAAGCAAGTGCATTACTGACACTTTGAAAAGAAAACAAAAACATAAATATTTATTACTATTCCTTTAATTTAGTTTTCTGCTATCTTTTAACACTTTTACCTACAACAATGTTCAACTTTCAAATTTACACAATTTTTACAAATATTTTTAATTACAAAATTTACCAAATCTTTTATGATTTTTGTACAAAAAAATAATTTGAAAATTAATTAATTAATTAATTATTAATAATTAATATGAATAAATAATTATATAATAGCTAATAATGGGTTTAATGAATATGACAGTTAACTATGAATTAGTATGAATATCAATATGAAATTTTTTTAGTTGATTTATGAATTATTTTATATAAAAATTGCAACAAACTACTAAAGCAAACTTGATCAAATTGACATAAAAAAATATAAACATGCAGGCGTTATGATTTACAATTCACAATCAAAAAAAAATCTTTATGATTCATAATTAAATTAATTAGACGATAACATGATAACTAGTGAATCATTAAATATAAATGAGTATCAAATTACTGTATGCACTATGGTTTATCATTATGTATACATATATATGTAGATAATATAGTGTGTTTTAATATGTTATCACGTACATAATCATTTGAATATTTTCCAAAGAATTTCTAACACTTTTATCATGATACATTCATTAAAATTTTTGCAGTAATTAAAACATTATTAAAAACTTGGCCAATAATAAAATATACATAAAAACTTATTATAATTAAGTAAATAATTATTTTATTTTGAGATGCAAATAAGTTTAACATAGAAATTATAAAAAAACATTTTGAAAAGGATTTCAGATTGATTGATACCATAAATGAAATCAATCAGTTGAAATAATCATTTAATTCAATCATTTTGTTATAATAATAATATTTAATTCATTGTTAAGAATAATTTACTTGAAAAATATTTTCTCCATACAAATTATGACAATTGTTTTATTAATCGAATTAATTCTAGCTTTTACATTACCAAAATTTGACTTAAGATACTAATAATAGTGATCTTAAAATATTTATAGTGACTATTACATTCAGATTTAAGTATGATGAAAAGAATAAGATAAATAGTCATCACTACTCAGCAAGCATATTTTATGTCGAAGACTATAAGTTCATAAAAGATTACAGAAAGTGATGAGGATGATAAAATGAACTTTCAAATGATAAATAACAAAGCGATATCAAACAAAAAAAAAGATAACTGCAGTTTGAATGAATAATCAAATGATAGATAGAGAGATGACTAATAAATAATTAATCAAAGTGACAGAAAGAAAGCTTTACTCCAAAAATATATTGCAAGATGTCAATTGGTTATGGGCGCACAAGCACAATCAGTTGCAATACTTTAACAAATTATAATACTGATGATAGCTTAATTTACACGTTGATTTCTTAATTTATCGATAATTATAATATCTTACCAATTTTTAAGCTCGACATATTCCTTCATATAAGCTTCGGTAAAGTGAATATTAGGTGGACAAGGCTTGTTTTCCCCCACCCGGTAAAACGACAGCAGCAGCCATCAAGCGAGACTCTAGAATATGGGGGGATTGACTCTCGTTATGGGGAACTAACAAGAGGGGAAAAGGGGACTCGAGGACTTAGGGAAGAACTTGGAAAATGTCAAAAATATCATTCAACTGTCGGTTTTTTTTTTCTCACTTTTTTTTAACGATCGACTTTTAGGTGAACAACTTTTTTATCTGCTTATTTCTCCTCGTGGTCACTTATCTCGCAGTTGTACAGAATTTTTGACTTTCACTTGATATATATGTATATATCTATATGTATCTATATATAAGAATACGACAGTTTTTTCGTTTTTTGCTTCACTAAAAAAGTTTTTTGACTATCATCTTTAAATTTTCACTATTATCGTAACAAATAACTATTATTATAAATAATCATTGCCACGCAATGTCCCAAAATGTTGGTTATTACTGAATCTATTCAACGACCCCTCCCACAACGTTGTTAAAACCCACCCTTGTTAAAACCAAGATCGGCAATCCCTGAGTGAGAGCTAGTATAATCTTACGCTAGCATTTGGGTGCCGCTAGTGCTGTTGCTAGCAGTTCACGATCAAACCGATGCGCGTGTCTCAACAACGTGCGCATGCAACTGCGCACCAGCTGTCAGGGTATTGTTGAATAATATTTATAGGACACATATGAATTTAAGAATTAATTCAATTGTTCAGAGTTGCTTTAATAATGTCGTTTGTTTCGTTATCCAAAAATGATCATACGCAGATACAGTAAGTTTTAATGAATAATACCTTCTTTACTTTTATAGATCCTTCCAAAAAGATTTCTTCAAAATTGTCGCGATTTCATTTTTTGAAAATGACCTTTAAACTTTATTTTTATTAACTCTTATCATTTCCAGTAGATGGCAATATTGCTATATTTTACGCAGTATTTTTAAATTTATTTTTAATAAAGTAATTTTAAATTAATTACTAATTTACCGCCATAATGATGAATTTCGTACAACTGTCAATTAATATTAAAAATTTTCTATATAAAAAGATTAATTATTCAATTCTTATTAAAATGTTCCTCTTGTTTTGGAAAAAAAACGGTCAACTGTTGACACATGACGTAATATGTCAAAATTTTAATATATCGGTAAGTTACCATATGTTATAGGATTTTTTTTTTATTTATAATTAATTTGTTGAACTAGTTAATTTTATTATTATTTTAATAATAAAATTCTTTTGAAAGTAATATTTTATTTACAAAATAAAAAATATATATACCATAAAATAATTTAAGTGAAAACTTATCATCAATATTGATTAACGTAGTAGTTATTTTTGGCATGAAAGACTCGAGGAGTTGTGTCGACCAGCATAGTGTTTCTACTTGTAGTGTGGAATGGGAGCTGCACAGAAAGTATAAAAGAGCACGAGCGATACGGCAGCAGCTTGGCTTACGAAGGGCATTTTTTAATTGTTAGGGATTATTGGTATTGTTTTTCTTATTACGATTGACAATACTAATTATCCGACAATGGCCCTTAGCCAATCAAGTGTGGTGAGTAAGGAAAAATATCGATGAATAAAGACAGGAACATTCGTTTAACATGCCTTGCAACGTAAATCTATTTCACTATCATGGTTACCTTACAGAATTTCTAAATCTTATCTTAAATACTCATTTTATGTTCATTGAATGATTTTATAATTTTTTATTAACTTCTTATTAAATATACGTATGTTTTTCATTAACAGTTATTACTCTATTGCAAATGAAGTAATACAAAAATTGAATACTTTATCAAATTTTTTAAAAATATTCTGTAAGCTAATTAATTTGCCATGAATCGCGTGACTAAAGCCGTAAATTACTGGAAATAAATTTACCTGGTTTGTATAAACAATAAAACTTAAATTCAGAAATTACCAAATAATTGATTCATTTTAGTCTTAACATAATGTTAACCATCATGTATTTACCATAATTCATGCATAATTCATCAATCTTAAAAATATTAAAAACTTTCGAAATGTAAATAAATAATTTAATTTCTTTTAGTCGAAACTCTACAACACAGTAATTGACGATGTGATAACGGGTGTAAGAGACACCTTTCTTGATGAAGGTGTTGATGAGCAAGTCCTTTTGGAACTTAAACAAATATGGGAGTCAAAATTAAAAGCTAGCAAAGCAGTAGAACCTAATCCAGAACCTCCAGAACCACAACCACCTCAATTAACGTCTCACAAAAATGTTACAGCAAGTAAAGGTATTATATACTATATTCAATATTATCTTCTGCTACGTCATAAATATTGTTGATAAAAAAAATTATTGTCATGACTTGGAGAAAAAAACTAAGTTATTTGTAAATATCAAATTCGTTAGAACAATTTAATTTTGGAAAAACTTGGTATTTTTAACGACTATTAAATACATGTAATCAATCTACTAATTATACAGCTGGACTATCTATTGATAAAGTTGTAATAACAATAAAACAGTAATCTAAATGATAGAAACCTACTCTTTCATGTTATAATCAGTATTTCAATCATTTTAAAACTCAATACTGATTATATGTTATGATAAAAATGTAATTATGAATAAATTGTGTTAATTTTGTAGCAGCAAATATGGGAAACCATTTTGCACATCAACAAATGGCAGCTGCGACAACGACACAAGCTCAAGGCCAAGCTCAGCAGAATGTTCAAACTGTTCAACAGTCTCCGGTTGTTCTAATGACAAAACATCAATCTACGACTACACCTATTCTACAACAACAATCAATGCCTGTCCAACAAGTTGTTGCAGCACCAGCATTGTATGAGCGTCAAGTTCCTATTCAAATTACTCTACCTGGCAATCCAAGTACTGGAGATGGAAAGCCCAAATATTTAACAATTCAAGTACCAGCATCCGTTATCTCAGGTACAAAATGAATATTAAATGGTTAGTTTACGGATTTATTTTATGTATAAAATTATTATCAAGTTTAACAGTTGAATGTTTGATACCATAAATCTTTAAATCTTATTATAACTAGATTTATTATTGTATTTTTAGGAAATCAGTTAGGTAATATTCTTACGGGATCAGTAATCACTGCTGCAATGGGTTTCCCTGAAAATATTGCTTCAAAAATTCTTCAACAACATGTAGATAAAACTCTCCAAGGACAAGTAACTTTAGCTCCTATTGAAATAAACCAACCAATTCAAACAATTCAGACGGCAAATAATGTTCAACAACAAATGCCAGTTCAAAATCAGGTAAGTAATTAATTTAATTGAAAACTTTATTTAAAAAATTTATATCTTGAACTTACAACAGAGAAAAACACTTTAAAATTGTCAATAAATGTTTTTTAGTTTCAATTTAATTTCGTATGATTGTTCTATGATCATTATTTGATAAAAAAAAATTTAATCAAAGAACGATTGTTTAATAATCATTTTTATTGTAGACTCAAGGGAATATAGCTCAGTTAGATGGTCAGCATGGTGATACTTCAGATGACGATGATGATGAAGAAGAGGAAGATAACGAAGATGATGATGAAGATATTGATGATAAAGACGAAGAGGAAAATGATGATTTAGGAGCTCGAGAAGAGGTTAGTGATTAATGTTAATAATTGATACATCGATTGTTAGATATTATAAATTGATAATTAACTTATTGATTATGTAATTTTCTTTTTCCCAGGAACCACTTAATTCTGAGGACGATGTTACGGACGATGATCCCTCAGATCTATTTGATACGGACAATGTTGTTGTGTGTCAATATGATAAGGTTTGTATTAATTAATTATTGAAAACGTCGTTAAGGACTATTATTTTAATATTTTATGTTAAAAAAATATATCTTGTTGATTACAGATAACGAGAAGTAGAAATAGATGGAAATTTTACTTAAAAGATGGAATAATGAATTTAAATGGTAAAGATTATGTGTTTCAAAAAGCTAACGGCGATGCTGAATGGTGAGCCCATTAAAGGCCTTATGAAAAATATCCTGGAAACTTTGTTAATTTTTTAATTTTAATGTTCTCATAATAAGAATCTAAAGTTTTCATATCGATAAAAGAGACCATCAGTTCATGGAGAATGTGCAAAATAAACACTAATTAGTAAATAATGGAACAAGATAAAAAGGATTTTCCTTTAGCTGATAATAGAAAATGAAAATCCAAATAGTCACGTGCACAGGTGGTGGATATTAGTTGGTGTAAATTTCTTTATTCGTTAAATAAGAAATCAATTAATTTGTTTTATTATTAATCTATTAATTGACTATTATCAACGTTTAATATATATTTTTTTTGTTGTTTTTTTCTTTTATTTCTTTTTAAATTTAGTAAATAATTATTGATTGAGTACAATTATACATTAATATAAAGAGTAATGAAAAATAGTACAGAATATTATTCAAGTAATTGACAAGTTGATAGTAAAAATCCGATTTTGGAATCAAAAGAAAATTTTTTGAATTTAATTTTTAAAATTTTCTTTTTCTTATGAAAACATAAATAAGCGCATTCTAAGAAATAAAGGCGTTTCAACAATGAAAGAAAATATGGAAAAAATTTTAAATAAATTTTTCATTGAAAAATAAGATTAATATTAATATCTTCCGATAGTTTGCCAAAAAATACAAATGCTAAAGATGATTAACTGGCTAAATATTTATATAACTTCACAGGACTTACGTTGTGCCTCAAGTGCATTGGGATAAGTTTGTAAATAATATTAGTAACAAAAAAAAATTAATAAAATTATGCTGCATAGTAAAGCAATTTATACGTTATATAATACGAGCTTTAAGAATAAATGTGTCTTACAATCTTTTTGTCATATTAATTAATGACTACCATTTTTTAAATAAGTAAATAAATATTACCATTATATTAATATTGATTCAAATTTATCGCTTTATAATTTTTTACTTTTTCATTAGAACATTTTCATTAAATTTTTGCTAGATTGATTGGTAGATCAAATTTAAACAACTTTATCTATAAAAACAATTTACAGATTTATAAAATACTTATCTATATTATCAACTCAATTATTTTTTGATTAATTTGAGTTTCCAAGAATTATTTTTGTTAGTGATCAAAAATAATTTTTCAAGAACAATAATTGTATAATTTGAATTATTTGTATTTTTCAAAATTATTGTTAAATCTATTGTACTTGATTCGAACATTTTGAAAATATAGGTTTTACATTTTAATAAACTTTTCATACTATTAAAAAGAAAGAAATGTACGTAGAATTTAATAAGTAAAAGTGAAAAAAAGGGTGTAAATGTAATTTAATATTAAGTAGAAAATAAACACGATGAATTTGTTTGGTTTGTAAAAATAGATACTCTCTAACTAAATAAGAAATTATTTCAAGTATTAATATACCTCAAACAATCGAAACGTATCATCTTTTAAATATTTAATTTTTAAAATATTTTTTGCTATTCTTAATTAATTAAAATAATAAATAATTTGTCATTATTAATATAACAAATAGTTAAACGTTAAAAAAAATTGTAATCTTGTCAAGTAATGTTGAAAGATGAAAAAAAAAAAATGGTAAATGTAATGAATTGACTTCTCAAAATTTTTTCGAGAAAAATATGACATATTTTTGAGATTACGGTAAGCTTTTAACTTTAGATGAATTGAGACCGACACATTTTCTATTCTGATGTACGTCTTTGTAGTATACAAATTCGATTTGTTGCGGTCGTGAAGTTTTATTTCCCATCAGTGGATGTCTTATTAGACAACATAGTATGATGATGGTTACTCACTAAAGTAGCGATAATCTACTCATGCTAAATAAAATATCTTACAATACATCTCTTTTGCATTTCAGCAGTGTCAGCATGAAAAATGACGAGACAATGATTAAATTGTTGAGAAAAAAAATCATTGCATGAACATGCAATCATGTATTTCTTTTCATCGTCGTCTTTCTTTCACCAGGTCTTGTCCTCTTTTTTGTTCCTCTGAACACTTAAAATATAATTATAATATCAATGTTTTCAACCTAGAAGAGCTGAAGCATTTCCAAAATCTCAGAAGGTTTTTTGAATTCCCACGGTTATCGCTCTAATAATTATCTTTAAAAAAAAGTTATTTAGTATGAGTATTTTCTTCATGAACAGTTACCATGTCGATAAATAATTGAAATAAAAAAAAAGATTAATAAAGAAAATAAGCAATTTTGTATAAATTTTATTTACCTATCAAATATTTTTTTAATATGCATATTTTTATCTGAGTAAGCCATACACATACAAATATATCATGATGATCGTTCCGAAGTGGAGTGAGGTAGAGGCCACCCACTCTTTCCCACAGCAGGTTTTTCCCACGCCCTCCAGAGTAACCCCAACATCCTTTTGCGGCAGCAATTCCACGCCGGGCGGGGAAGAAAAGAGAGCGGAGGTTCGGTGAGAATGTGTGAACGACTCATTTATATGTATTGGTACCTGTAAGTATATTCAAAGCTTAGTGAAAAAGAAAAAGTGGGGTTTAGTAGTCACATAGTGGGGAACACGCGTCGACAAAGAGAAGGGTAGAGGCGCTAGGGTCGCCACTAGGTCCGTCATTGTGTACAACGGTAAAACAATAGAAATTACAGCCACTTGACGGTAATAAGTCTACGGTGTCGCGGACAAGTTTAGTTTCACGACGAATCTCAAGCTCAGAAGTTGATTGTCTTCAAATCACTAACTTGAGAATAAAAAACTTGTTTATTTGAGCTGAATAACTTGACACTAAGCTGTAAACACTCTCAACGCAAATCAACAAGAATTTGAAAGTTATTCAAATAATTTCAATGATGTTTTGACATCATCAACGTGCCGGCAATGCAAACAATTGAAATGAACACGTGGGATCGAGAGTTAATGAATTAAAAATCAAAGAATTTTTATTAAATTAATTTTTTTTTAAATAAGCCCGCCTGAACAATTACATTTTCGTGTTGGCAAGACTGTCCGGAAAATTTGGAAAGTGAACAGGTGTTTTTTGAATGATTTGTACGGAGGAGAGAGTATATACACAATTGGGATTCTAAGATCACCTACCAGCGAGACTGAGTGTGTGAAAAAAATATTGTCTCTGACAACAATTGAAAAATTATTTTATTACTGTAACAAACTTTTTCAAAAGTGTACTTTTTAACTGGAGATCCGTACGATGAGTGAAATCATGCTCTGGATTATTATTTGAGTCATTAAAGACAATCAAAATATTGGAGTAAGTATAAAAAAATTTTACTTATTTTTAAATATAAAATAATTATTTATTACTTTTTTTTTATTTATAGTTTTCATCAAATACAATAAACCTCTTTCATAAGTCTATTTTAGTCTGAAACTTGTATACTTCACTCCAAACAGTTTTATGTGTATAAATACTCCATTTTTTTTATTTTAAACAAATTTTTGATATAAAAAATTTTCCTCCTTATTCATTCTCGTCAATTAATTTACCTTACGCTTTAAAATAATTGCAATATTATTTTTAACAATTATTTACTGGCTACTGGTTACTATGTTTATAACCTATAAAAATAACCTTCATTTATTGACTTTTTTGGAGTTAACATCACTATTTTCATTAAATATCTCTAAATGAATGAATTATATTAAAATTTATAAATTCTCATAAGTACATATTTTTACTGAAACGTTAAATAATGAAAAAAATATATTTAAAATTTTGATTAGTTATTTTATCAGCTTGTTTAATATTCAAATTTAGCTGTACAAATGTCACCAATATTTATACAAAGAAATACTCTATATCTCATAATAATTTGGCCTGATATTTGTGTAATTTTTTCAATTATATTCAGTTGAGTTAAATTTATTGTTGTTTTTATTTAGCAAGTTTGTTAATTGTATTTTTCACTTATGTACCAATGTAATGTATATGAATCGCAGTTATAAAGTACATTATATAACTGAGGGAACTGTATTGCAACTATAGGCTAAATTGTGTCAGAGAATAATGCGACGAGCGCCTATCATCTAGACTGGACAATTAATTTATGTACATCAATATGCATGCGACTGGCTTTCGGAAGTGCAACTCGGGTTAGCTTGAATTGCACTTGCACTGAGGTCATAAGGTTTTAATTGGCTTTCAAGGGGATGATTCCTGTCTTTTTCATAATCATAGTCAACAGCTATCAATTTTATTGTAATTCTTATATGACATTATTAATGTCTTATAACTAATGTTTTATATCATCTAAACTCTCATCTTATTCTTTCATTAAATCCTGTGCTAGATAACAAAAGGGGAATATACATTTGTGTGATTAAACTAAGGAAAAATAACCTCCAAGATGTTCCCACGACGAGTTGAACGCATTTCCTCTTTCCTGTGCTGGAAGTCAGTAATTCCCAGTAGTTCTTTCGACGCGAGATTTCTTGAATTAATTATGACTTAGCAGCAGAACAAAAACGCATCTTCCCACGCGAACGAGATTTTAAAATGTATTTATACGCATATTTACAACTATGCAATAACAGATTGTTTTTAAATACCCATCAACTTCATAGATTATGATAAATAGACCAAGATAATTTCATTCATCAATTATGAACTATAGTTACCTTTTAATTAATCACAAATATTAATCAAGGATTTTTTATTGCAGATAAATAAAGGCTCTGAACGAGTAAATAGTCCAGGTTATGAAGACGAGGAGAAAGAAGAGATAATACAGCCTTTGGCAATTTATTTTTAAAGTAAAAACGAAATTAATTATAAAAATAAATATGCCACATCAGTTTGGTTTACCAGCCATGGCCCATGGTATGCAATCACCACCCTCGCCGACTGCAGTAATGTCGGCATATCCTCGTTACAGTTCATCTGTCTATCGAGCTGATCATCAAGATCAAAGATTAACACGAGAAGCTATGGAACGTTATTTACGTGATCGAAGTGACATGGTTATCGTGATTCTTCATGCCAAAGTAGCTCAAAAATCGTACGGTAACGAAAAACGATTCTTTTGCCCACCGCCTTGTATATATCTCTTTGGAGATGGTTGGAGAATGAGACAAGAACAAATGTTGAGAGATGGTGAGAGTGAACAATCAGCTCAACTTTGTGCTTTTATTGGAATAGGAAATTCTGATCAAGACATGCAACAATTGGATCTTAATAACGGGAAACAATATTGTGCTGCAAAAACTCTTTACATCTCGGACTCTGACAAGAGAAAGCATTTTATGTTGTCAGTGAAAATGTTTTATGGAAGTGGCCACGATATTGGTGTCTTTCATAGTAAAAGAATAAAAGTCATCTCGAAACCTTCAAAGAAAAAACAATCATTGAAAAATGCTGATTTATGTATTGCAAGTGGAACAAAGGTTGCACTTTTTAATCGACTACGGTCACAAACAGTTAGTACGCGTTATCTTCACGTTGAAAATGGCAACTTTCATGCTAGTTCAACTCAATGGGGAGCATTTACGATTCATTTATTGGATGATAACGAGAGTGAATCTGAAGAATTTCAAGTAAGAGATGGTTATGTTCATTATGGCAGTACAGTAAAACTTGTTTGCTCGGTAACAGGTATGGCATTGCCGAGACTTGTTATCAGAAAAGTTGATAAGCAAATGGCAAGTTTAGAAGCTGATGATCCAGTATCACAGTTACACAAGTGTGCGTTTTATATGAAAGATACAGATCACATGTATTTGTGTTTATCACAAGAACGGATAATACAATTTCAAGCTACCCCATGTCCTAAGGAAGCTAATAAAGAGATGATAAATGATGGTGCCTGTTGGACGATTATTAGTACTGATAAAGCAGAGTATCAATTCTTTGAAGGTATGGGCCCTGTACGTTCTCCAGTAACTCCAGTTCCTCTAGTTCACAGTCTTCATCTTAATGGTGGTGGAGATGTTGCTATGTTAGAATTAAAAGGTGACAATTTCACGCCAAATCTGCAAGTCTGGTTTGGAGATGTTGAAGCTGAAACCATGTATAGGTGTCAAGAAATCATGTTGTGTGTTGTGCCTGACATTTCACTCTTCAGAGGTGAATGGCTGTGGGTACGTCAGCCAACTCAGGTGCCTGTTTCACTGGTTCGTAATGATGGTATCATTTACGCTACTGGTTTAACCTTTACGTATACTCCGGAACCTGGACCCCGACCACACTGTCAACCAGCCGACGAAATTATGAGAGCGCCAAGAGCTATGCATCACAATCAAGCCAGCATGCCCCCTGCTATAGCTGATGTCCCATGGAATTCTCATCATCCCCCTACTCAACCGGGTCTCTGATATCCTCTTGAACATAAATTTATCAATACTATCTTCAAATTTTTCGATAATAATAATGAAGACAGATCTGAGAAAATTTTAACTGCTTTAAATTTCCATACAAGAGAATTTATTAGTAATTCTTGCCTTGAACAACAACGAGTTAATTCTGAAATAAATCGGTCTAACTACGATGAAAGATTACGTTAAATACTATTTCAGATGAATTATTATGACAAAATTCTAATGCTATGCATTATGAATTAATAAATATAATTTGAGAAGTGTGTGAAGTAATTTATAATTGAGAATATAAATAAAGAGATATATATTGATAGTGAATGTAAAGTAATCAGTGTAGTTTATATTTAATTTTAAAATAATGTGTGAAAATAATTATTTGAAAATTCATTTACATTATATATTTTTACCACCAGATATCAGTTTCACTTTTGCAAGTAGATATTTATATTTTATATCTAATAAATAACGGTGAGAGTATGACAAGTATTGAAAGTTTTAAGTCTTTATCAGTAAACAAATAAATACCGTAATGTAAATAATATTTTAAGTGATGAAGATAACAATCGAGGATATTATTGTGTAATCCAATCAATTGTTATTTAATTAAGATATGATTTATCCATTCTTTTAGTCTCTAAATAATTAATTGGATAGTCGAATTGATAATCATGCAATTAATATGAAAATTTGAGGGATAATAAGCACGTAAAAGATATAAATTATATAAAATATTGTAAATACATTGGCATAATATAATTTTGTTATAACTATGCGATGTCTATATGTATAATAAATTTATACATATATATTCGTGTTTCATAAGAGAATAAGAATAATTACATGCATATTAATATTATTATTACAATAGCATGAATTATTAAGTGAAATATTAATAAAAAAACAATTTGCACAGAGAATGAATAGGAGAATATTTGTAATGTAATGAACTAATGATACTGAAAATGAAAAAATAAAACAACTATAAATTTCTTTTTATAAAAATTGTTGGTTTTCTTTATTGATCATATAAATTCATGATCTTATTTAAGACATTATTACGAAAATATTTAAAAAATCACCATCTTGACAACAATATATTGGAAGGCATCATGATTGTCTTCCGTCATTTCCACGTATGGAAAATCAAGAAAAGAAAATATACATGCATTAATGTATAGCACATGAGGAAACGAGATAATATCAACTTTGTGTTCGAATTACTTGGCACATCCCTTCCCAAAGTTGTTATTGTTATATTACTACGACAGAATATTGTAGAACTGTGGGAATTTACCCACAATTAAAGAATTCTCATTGTCGAGAAAAATAGTGCCCATAGTTATAGACTATAATAATTCACAGCGACTCTTTGCTGTTAATGATTATAACGTTTTCATTTTATTTTAATATACGGACGGAATAATTTTTAAAAATAAAACAATTAACATTTTCTCTCAATCTGATTCTATAATATGTTTATAAATATGTTATTCTGCATTTTAATTATTATCTGTATTATCGTTTTAATTATAATAATTAATTCCACGGCTTATATACAATACACATTCACACCTCTCATTTAAGTTTGATTGACAAAATATCTTTGATATTACTCTAAGTATGCACCTTATTTTACAAATTCCAATTGAACCGCGTATGAAAATATACTTTTTACATCATCGTACATATTTAAAAAGAGAAAAAATAAATGCACAATTCTGTACATATTTCATTTTCTAAGCTAAAACGATACCTTCAAGTAATTTCTTCTTTAAAAAATTGATTTTTTATTCTATGATTTTGGTATTCGTATCGTTCGTTGTTTATTCATATTCGTTAGCATCAAAGAGATGTAAGATGTTAATAAGTCATCCATTTTGTAGCCTAAAGACGTTTCGCAAAGTAGTTTTGAGCCTCTTACTAAATTTCCGATGGTCATGTGGAAGTAAGTATTACCAGAGGACCAGTTGGAGATTCTTGTAAATGGATGAGTCACGAGTATATCCTGTAATTATGATTAATTTACAATTAACGTATGCTATTAAATTTACATAATATTTTAATTTTCAATATTGTATTGTACCACAAAAAATATGATCAAAAGTCAGTAGGCTAAATTTAAAAGAAAAACTTGTTATTGTTTGCTATCTTGAATTAACTACAAATTGTTTGAACATTCAATTCTTTTTTCCTGTTTATTTTTGGAATTACCTTTGAAAAAATCATGATAAAATAAACACGGAAAAAATTGTTTAAATGATGTAAATTTATTCAATTTTTTTGCTTGAGTGCAAAAGTAAATTGGCTGTAATTAATTTATGTACCTTCGTTTGAGGATGAATAAGACTAACTCCGTGCTTGTTGATGGCAATGAGAAGTAGTTCTGGATAATTTGGTTCCGTTCCTTGTTTAACTTCGAAAAAAGCAGAACCAAAAGTAGGCCAACGATAAACAATCTTCAAAAATGTTATTTTTGCATCTTCCGGACTCATTCCTGATAGAAAACCAATTAAATCAAATAATTAATAATTTATTACATAATTTTTTTTATCAAAAATATCATTTATATTAGCTTATTTAATAATATTTACCTGCATCTTGATTGTAAGCTGCAATAATTGAACGTTTCCAATCATTGGCACTTTGAATCTTTACTAAATCACCAGGAATCAACTCTCTAAGCATTTGCCTGAAATAATTAATTATAAAAAATTAATTGAAAACTTGATACTAACTATTCCTTTGAGTGAAAATTTTTTTTTTCTAATTTCTCTTACTATTTTATTAAAGAAACGCAATTATTAATTAGAAATCTCTAATCACTTAAAATCCCATTGTATGTATTTGTTACTTATAAAATGAATTAATCACTTACGGAATAGCTTGAAGTTCTTGTTTGCTTTCTCCGAATCGAACCCTATAAACGAGTGCAGCTAATCTTGATGCTTCCTCTTTAGTGCACTTGTGATATCCTAAAAATAGATATGACAATAAAATATCAAATAAACATTTATTTGATTGTGATTGAACTTTTATTTTAAATAACGTTACCTCTTAATAATTTTGGTAGTTCTTGATGAAAATGAAATATTAAATCAGCATTTCTATCTTTTCCTGGCACTGTGTTGGTCCATAATTTTTTCATAAAGAATACTTGATATGTAAATTGGGGTGTAACACCTGAAAGCCATGAATTATTTTTAAGATAATTAATTGGATATTAAAATTTTTGTAAATATAATTTTTTCTGTGAATTAACTTACCATCTCTAGGTGGTCTAGTTTTTCGAATCCAATCTGTTAGATGTCTAACAAAGTCAAAGAAGAAATCCCCTTCAGGAACTGAGATAACTTTATCAGCAATCTTAACGAATAAACTGAAACCCTCAGCAGATCTTAAGTTAAGTCTTTGAGCAATGTTCTGGCAAAAATCTTTAGCTTTGGTGGATGAATCAACTTCAAATGCTTCATCAGTATCATCTGGGAAATAAACTTTATGGAAAATTTGTGTGGTTTTATGTTGTATTGCTTCAACTTCAACTTGATGGGGTGGATATTTTCGTTGTCCATTTCTTAAAGTCTTTTGCAATCTTTGAAGTGAATCTTGAGATATTGGATGTCGTCGTGTCCTCAAAAATAAAGTCAATTCCTTCAACAAACTTTGACTGCACACAAAGAGACCAGTCGCTAACCACATAAGTTCCCAACCTCTCTCTTCACTGAGCCTATTCCTATTGTCAGTTAATTGCTTCATAATTTGACAATAAATCTCGTCACGAAGAATCTCATTCTTCAAAGGCCCATCAAAGATTAAATCAGTGTATTCATTACCAATTCTAGGTCTCTTAGTTGGGAGGTCTCCCATGTACTTGAGAATAGCATTGAAAGCAAAACAAGCTTCTTCAGCGAGTTCTTCTTTACTTACAAGTTTCTTCAGTAAGGGAGCTTTGATAGGATCTCGAGAGTGTCGCCAAAGTTCATCGATATGACCTCTACGAGCAGCTGTTAAAGTCAGAGCCTTGGACATAGTTCTTTTAGGTGGAGTTCTGAAATGATCAATTGCATATTCTAGCAAGGTATGAGGTTTATCTCTAGGCTCAATACCATTCATTTGCTGAGGATAAAGCCTGCGATTACTCTCAGGTGCTTCAATACTAAATAATGCTAATATATCATTTGGAGGTTTAGATAATGAAGGAAGAACATAGACAGTTTCTGCAGGAAAGTCTCCTTTTTCTCCAGTTCTTTCACACATTCCTACACACCATCCAGAGTTTAGCACAGTTTCACCAGTGCTTTCGTCTTCTAAAATAATTAAATCACCTTTTTGGAAAGTCAAAAATGATGAACAACCTCCTTCACCTGGTGGTTTATAATCTTGTAGTGCTATAACATATTTACTTCGCTTTTTTAAACCTTCTAAAAAGTAAACAACAAGGTCACGTATATCCTCAGCATTAGGACTTTGGAATGTAAATTCTTCACCGCGGACTGTAGATAAACTAAAGGTTTGAGTAAACATTTTGTTTGTTTTTTGACTAGAGACAGTTGTGATCTCTGGGAAAGAAAGCTCCAATAATACCTGCTCTTGATCATCAACTACATAAACTCCTGTCCAATTAACAGCGATAATTACGTCATTTTTAGGTAAATTAGGCCCAGAATTTCGATAAGCTTCATAAAATCTTGAAAATAATAAAGGCCATTTAAATTTAGCGTAACCTACAATATCCTCTTTTACTCTCAGTGCTGGAACCTTTTCTTTTAAGTAATAACTTTTTTTATAAGCTTGAAGAACTAAATGCCCCCATCTATCGATAGCTTTGTCGATTCCAGTAAGACAATAATCAGGAATGTAATTTGGTAGCAAAGCAAACAATCGATCTACATTCATATCAGTATGATATTCAATATAATATTGTTGAGCAGCAATCATTGCCAAATCTTCTTCTTTATCACATCTGTATTCTCCAAACTTAACTCCTCTAACAACTTGTTGATAAATAAGGTTTGTCGCAACTTGATCTTCGGTTGGTTCATGCCAAGGTGCAAATATTTCTTTTCTAAAGAATAATCTCCATGGAGCATTTCTTTCTTGAGCTCCCTGTTCTTTTGCATACTGTTCACATTGAGAAATCGCATCCATCACATGATCACCTCCACTTCCCAAAGATGAAACTTTATCAAATAGTGCAATATAAAGAGAAAATCCGAACTGATCTCTCAGAGAGATTTTATCTGACAATTGATTACACAATTCTTTCGCAGTTGTTGCTGAATCTGCTAACAATGTCTTTGTATTACCATCCATGAAAGTTATAGGAAGCATGATAGGCTTTTTAGATTTTGTTGCTTGAAGTTCTAACCAACTTGGAGGTTGATTTCTTGTTCCATTATTGAATGTTCTTTTGAGTCGATCTTCACAATATGGAGCATAGCCGGGAGGACCTTCACGTATGAAAGCTCTTAAATAATTTACAAATTTCTCAGATGGAGCAAAACAGCCAACGCAAAGAGATAATAAAATCCATCCTCTTGCATGAGATGATTTTGAAGGATTATTAGTTAATTGTTTACAAATTTGACAGTAAATTTCATCTCTAAGCTCTGCTCTTAGAATTCCATGACCTATGATAAAATGTAATTTCTCTAAATTCGATGTGGGTCTTGATTCTAACCATGATTGGTAACTGTCAGCTGTATATTCATCTTCTTGTAATCTTCTCCTAACATCTTCACCCAGTTTATTTTTTCTCTTCAAGGTTAATGATACCAATTTATGACGAATTGATCGTGGCTTTTGTTTAAAAGTTTCTGGATCCATACCCATCATTTGAGCTTCTTGAAATTCTTTGCTTCGAATGAAATTCCTACCAAGAGTTGCTGTTACTTTAGACATCACGGAAGTTGTATCTCGGTTCATTGTGTGATATCTTGGCTCTGGTAAATCACCAGTAAACCTAAGGATCGTGATCCAAAGAGCTTGAGCTGCTAATTGATCACCCTGAGTATGCAGAGGTAATAAAGGATGTTTTAACGGCTTTCTTGAGTACTGATGAGTAATATTTCCTTGAAAATAAGTTGCAGCAAATTTTTGAAATTTAAATTCCGACAAATCTTCTTCATCTTCAGATGCTGTTTGAACTGGACTAATTATTTCTTGTTGATCTGCTTTAGGTGCTGGTAAATCGTTGAAAACTGAGGTTTCACGTGCTGGCGTTGGAGCTTCACTACTAGAGTCAGGTAAGAAATCAAACATCGCTTCGACAAGTTTACTATCATCCACAGGTTCGTCTTGTTTTTTTGCTGCATCATTTATCAAATTCTTCTTTATCTCCATTCTTCTTCTATCCTCAATTTCCATCTCTATTTCTTTTCTTTCTAACTCCTGAATCCGTTCTCGATAATTCTGCTCAGCAATTTCTTTAGCTCTTTTATTGCCTTGATCTTTCAACTCTCGCTCTTCCTTCTTTTTCAATCTTAAAGCTTCAATATGCAATCGATATTCGTATTTTAATTTTTTGTACCTTCTTTGAGCAATCATTCTCCTAACATGAGCTTGAATTTTTACAATGGCCCACATTTTCTTACGATACATTCGACGAACTAAATAGCCTCTTGCTCGAGCTTGAAGTGCTACTATGTGACCTCGAAGATGTCTAAATCGGTGAGATAATACTCGAGATCGAATCAAAGCTTGTAATCTCATATAACCACTTCGCATTCTTTTATATCTCTGTCGTTGTTCATAACCTCTCCACATTTTTTGAATAACAATTGTTGCTGCTCGCATTCGGAGGAATCTTCTTCTATAAACCCAGCCTCTAATATTTCTCTGAAGAATCAAAATCTTTTTTGTAAGAACTCGATCTCTTTCTTGCTCTAAAAACAAATCATGTGCATCCTTGAGAAATACTTTAGTGTGCCCAAGCTGATAATCTGACCTTCCAAGAACATGATGACAAATCTTTGCTGTTGCAGCACGACAATCAGTCTTGTGTGAGGGTGGAATTCCAGATATCAGAAAACGATATCTTTCAACAAACTCTGGAAACGCATGACGAATTGGATAACCTGCACGACGGATCCTAATGGTTTCCATCATACCAGAATATCGTAACTGACGACAACACAAGCCTCTATCGAACATCATTGGTTTTTTAAACTCATTAGGTTTGATACAACGGATAAAGAAAGGTTGACAGCTACACAGAGTTCTCATTAATGAATCCAATGATTTCTTAAATTGTGTTGAAAGTGTTGGAGCTCTTTTTCTTGTTTCAGAACCCATTCCTATATCTTCAGCAAAGCAAGTTTGAAGAAATTTATTCCCCGAAATATGAATTAATTGCAACAAGTCCGCACTAAAAGTATCACGATTTTTCTCCAAAAAGCTTCTAGTATCGTAAAAAACAACTCCAGCAAAGTGATTTAATCCAAATGAAGTATTGATGTCTGATTTGGGTTTTAAATAGTTTCTATGAGTGCCATGAGTCTTGTGAATCTTGGCTAACATCGTTTGATCAGTTCCTTTAGGAAACTTGGATTCTTCATCAATCAACGCCATTATATTAAGTTGCTTAATAGCTATAAGATCTAAAGCATCTTGGTTATCAACAAATTCAATATGCTGCCAGTTAATTCCTTCATGGTTGTATTCTTCCTGTTCAAGTTTGAAGATATGCTGAACAAAAAACTGTTGGAGATTTTCATTAGCATAATTTATGCAAAACTGCTCGAAGCTGTTGTGGTCGAAATTTTCAAAGCCAAAAATATCTAACACACCTATCGCACTTCTAGAGGTATTTTTCGGACGATAAATAGCCTCATTAATTCGTTTCACTATATGAATAAACAAACGTCCGTAAATGCCTTTAACAAAAGCATCACGAATATCAACCGATTGGTCACGGGATAATGTTGAGACTACTGTTTCTCCATGAGCAAAAATAGTTCTTCTTGTTAAAGCATCTACAAGAGACTGTTTCGGTACACCCAGCAGTTGTGCAACTCTTTGAACACTCGTATGTTCTGATATTTCTGTAGCATCTAAATTATCAACAACAGTCGCTCTATATTTAATATTTCCCATATGCAAAATTGCTGCAAGCAGTTTTAAAATTTCCCAAATTTCATTATCTGAAAAGAGTAGTACTTTCATTGCTGATCGAATATCAGCAAACTCTGCTGCGTCATCACGACCTTCACAAGTAATACTTCCTCCTCCTGTAAGATATCGATACTGTGATGCATCTTCAAGCTCTAATTTCTTCTTCTCTTCATACGATAATCCAGCTAGCATACAATAAAAAACGTGATAATTTCTTTCGTCAAGATTCTGCGAAACTATTCTTGATTTTTCTAAAAGATATTGTTCGATCTTTGCACCTTCAATTACACCTTGATTGTTGAAATGAATATCAATATATTTTCCGAACCTCGATGAATTGTCATTCCTAACAGTCTTAGCATTACCAAAGGCTTCAAGAATGGGATTAGCTTCAAGAATTTGCTGTTCAATCCAGGAATGTTTACCACTGATTGCCGCCAGATACTGAAGAATTAATTTGGTACTTTCAGTCTTCCCTGCTCCACTTTCTCCACTTATGACAATGCATTGATCTTGACCATAACGATTCATGTGTGCATAACTGTTATCTCCAATTGCAAATATATGAGGAGGTAATTCTCCAATCTTTCTGTCTTTGTATAACTTTATTTGTTCTGCTGTGTAAATTGGTAGGATTTGGTAAGGATTGACAGCGACTAGAATGGAGCCAGTGTAAGTATAAATGAGATTCTCATTATATCTTATCAAGAGATTCCTTAGGATGCCAGCCTCGTGGAGGTCTCCAAGGCTTATCATATCTTCGACTCCTTGGACTGAAGTGGCATGCATTGCCTTTATTCTTCGCTCTGGCGTTAGCCATTGTTCCTAATGATCAAAAAAATCTTTATTAAAAAAAATTACTAAATGAATCTTTCTTGACAAATAAATAATGAAAAAGTATAAAGCAATCTAACTTGTTTAATTATTTCATCAAGACTTAGTCTTGGAATAGTAACACATTCCAAAACTGTTTTAATTTGAATCCAAATTTTACTTTGCTATGGTAATCAAGTTCTTTCAACATATCTTGACTATTTCATCATAAGAGAAGAGCATTGTTAATGATCTCTTTTACACAATAATTTACATGTCATTCCTAATTATTTTCATCTAGATGACTTAACTTGAGTTTACAATTACTTGGAAAAATTTATGATTACCAAATACTTTTCATTAAGTACTTAATGTAATATTAAAATAAAATAAAAATATTTTCAATCATCATTGCGGTAGATTTTTTTCATTTACTTATTTTTCTAAATCGAAATAAAATTGATATCCTTTAATTTTTTTTGTACCTTATTATCGTCGTCTTTAACTTGAATTCTTCTTCCTTCAGCGGATATTACCCTTGCTCCGATTGCTACGTCGAATTCTCTTCCTGATATGGGCTCAATCCATATGTAATCACCCTAAAAAATAATAACATTATTAATAATATCACCACATCTTAATAATGAATCAAAAGCAATACTTAATTAAAAGAATGTGTGTAAAATGATGATAATAAGTATTCGAGCAAATAATTTCCATTGCACACTTGTTTGTCTCACCATACCAACAATATTTAACGTCCGTCCCAATTGTTCGGTCTCATGGAACATCGGGAGAGCGAGGAGTCAGCAACTCTTCCGCTCTTTCGTGTGGGCACGCACTCACATGTATACATACTAACTGAGGGCTATGACTTCCCCTTTGAATTCTAATAGATTTTTGCTTATTTCTCACTCATATACTTCCCTACTATTCTCTATCAACAATATTCTACTAACGTTTCTCTTTGCGCTAATCTTGTTTACTTAGCTAAATCAATTTACCGTAAAAAATCAAATGATTTTATAAACTGCGATCAAAAATCGATTTGTCCACTTTCTTCTCTTCATGTCCAAGCAACAGATGTATTTTTTAACCCATTAGTTTGTCACAGATTCCTACTAACCGCATTTAGCGAAAGCGTGTTTACGAATTCTTATTATCATCATAATTCATTTAAACACTACTGTCCCAATAACATAAACAATCAATCTACATCATTTTATTTGTTGATTTAAAATTGATTTAATTTTTTCTCATATTTTCACTGAACTTCTGTATTCTTGTCTGTTAAATTTGTAGTGTTAAGTGTATATGTACACACATTTCTTCTATATTCTATTTACCCTGGTAACGATGACCATTTCTCGAAACGCGTAAGCCGCTCGTGCCGGCCCGCCACCTAAAAAAAAAAACTCATCAGTAATAATGAAAAAAAAAGATAAACAAAAAATAAAATACTAAAGATATGTGTTTTGATAATGATTATTAATAAGATATTCTTACACAACTGAGACGAGACATAATTAATAAAAGGAAACCATGTTGAGCTAGACAGAGCAACAAAAAGTCTATAGAGATCATCTTGGAATTTGTAAAAAATTTATGCGTGCACTTTACAAGAAAGACAAAAAATGATAGGGTAAAGATGGCAATGAATGGAACAAGAAATTTACTGTAATATGGGATATGGGAAGTTAGATTTATCTGGCTCGATGACCGTTACACCATAGAACTGTATAGCTTTCGTACACATAAACCTGTTCACTAAGTAGGTTATGCGACATTGGTCTATGCTGCGTATATAGAGGAAGATCATCTCGTTGTTAAGGAGACAAAACATGAGTGAGACCAATGTAGAAGGAATCAAAGAAATCTAGTGTACAAATCAATCTTGGATAGGTACCGTTTTTCAATCTACTGATCACAATATTCTTTGGCATAATCTACAACTTGTTGTTTTATTAAAAAAAATGTCAACATAAGTTTTGAAAAAATAGCATCCGAAATTTTAACCTTGAATTAAAACGTTGATTCAATTTAATTGTCAATTTTAATTGTTTTGTTTTAGCAAGAAGAAAAAGGTATTCATTTTTTATTTACTGATCTATGTAATGTATAAATATTTATTGAAAATTTTAAATCGTTTGTAGTGAAATAATGAAGAATATTGTCAAAGTAAAATAAAATTACCTAATTAATTCTTGAATTGCATTTTAAGAAGCTATTATTTTAATACCATATATTTTATAAAATGTTTAGACTATTATATTTAAAAAACCACATTGTATCAGACATTATAGCATTTTCATAATTATATGTCATCATTGTTTCGTCTGTCATTATTACCATTATCGTAAGAATAATTCATGGATCAATTATCTTTTTTTTTTACTGATAAGAAAAAGATAAAATAATGCTAAATTTGGTCATGGACTTCAATAACGAAGTATTTTTTTTTTCTACGGAATAAAAAATTCTTTTTGTGACATTTAATTCATAGATTTTTTTTCACTTCAATCCTTAGAGAAAAAAATGTCCTAGTGTAGCATTAAAAATGTCAGAACATGGAAGGTTAATGATCTTTTAATTTGAAGTAAAGAAATATAAGAAGGCGTGTGAATGTCACGGTAAAATCCTGTCGTCTAGGGTCAGTGTCAGCCCTCGCCTTTTCCTGCCTATTCTATTCAAGTCATGCATCAACTCCTACTACTACTGTGACTTTAATGCTTGATTAAACAATGTAATTTGTTTAAATTAATTAGTGACAGTATCAATAAAAAATAAAAAATCGGCTGTATAAAATTTTGAAGTTCCAATACCAACAAAGATTATTATTATTATTAAAAACAAAAAATCACCAACAGATATACTTTTTAGGTTATCCAATTGACAAATATAAGAGAAAGCAAATAACATAAAATGAAAAGATGGACTTTTTACCAATAGAAATCGAAGTATCTAATTTGACAAGACGACTTTTTAATGAGTATCATGACTTAGCAAGGTTTCATTAAATTTCAAACATGTTTCTATATTGCTGTTTAACTAGTAATTGCAAGTGTTGAGAGATTTTCTAGGCAAAAGAGTACTTTGATCTTGTGGCAATAGAAAAAAAAATAATTGATTATTGGACGTACATATAAAAATGAATATTCAATCTGGTTGGCATTGACATAAATAATATAATATGTACATACATACAGCAAAAAAAGATATTTCACAATAAACAGATAGCCAAGATACTCCAACAGGTGGTTTTAAATGAACAAAATGCAGTTGAACACTGTTACTGATTCCTTTAAAAATTTATTCTTCAAGTCATGACAGAAAAATGTCGTCTGAGCAGGTAAAAAACCAACAAAACTTACTAGTAAATTATGACAAATGCCTCGAAGGGTATTTTAATTACGACAGGTGTTGCAATAACTGAAAATAACTGAAAATACTAGGTTAGAATGAAAAGAATGCAAGAAAAGCAGGTGTCAACAACTTATACATACGCGGGATGAAGAGTCGTCAAGTCAGCGGATTTATACAAATACAAGTAGCTTTTGAGGTTTACGATAATCCTCGGTCGAGTTCAATCGACCTCGCGTGCTCTTAATGACGTTGTTATCAATAAATAAGTCTACAAAGCATCGGCCAAGACTAAGCAGTTGGCAATAAGAATAAAAGAATAATCAAAGAAATGAAGAAAAGCGTAATGAGTCGTAATTGGATTACTGGAAAAATATGTTGGAAGAGAGAAGCGTGTCGAGGAAAAAGAGGAAATGGGTGGAGAAAAGAGAGGGACATAGAGAGGAAGTGAGACGTTGAATACGTTGAGGTGGCTTCTAGCGAAGCCTGCGGCTTGCTTGTCCCTTTATTACATGGTATTTATTACATAGGACGTTAAAGGGATGTCGAATAAGTCAAAAAAAAAGGCTGAGATTCAATAGTTATCGTACAAATGAAACCGTAAATAATTCAAGTCGATTTCCAATTATTCAATAACTCACCGATAACTTGATTAAGGCTTCAGATATTACCGATACTAAAGGCTTGTATAGTGATGTTCATGAATTTATTCATGGTTCAGTGTTACATACCTTGAGGACTTGATGTAGAACGACTTGAATAAGAAAATCGGCTTGTAGTATATAACAACTACACTGATGTGCATTCACAGAAATAAATCCATTGAGGAGTAATTAACACATCGAGTAGTCGAAAAACAGGTTCACTCAAGCACTACAAACACTCGCGTCAACGTAACTTCGGTTAATATCATTCCATGTTCTTCTCTGGACTCTGACGACGTGGAGGATGAGAATTGAAAAGGAGAAGGAGAAGAGAAATGTTAAGATCACGGCGGGAGAAGCTGCGTTGATACTCTTAGCACTGGTATAAAGTAAAACAAAAGTCACTGGAACACAAGGGTGAAAATAGTTGATCAGTCGTCATAGAAAAGTCAAACACTTCAGGTAAATGCAAGCTAATGTACACCAAGCAATAGTTAGAAACAGCGGCAGACCACGGTGACCGGCACATTAACACGTCCGCTCGGTGAGTTTCGACGAGACTCGGGGGCCCCGCTAGCTTACATACATACTAGGTAGAAGAGGTGGAGGAGACTCCTCCCCGACCCCGTACCGCTCTTCTTAGTCTACCTGAGTTGTTGGCTGATTGTGAGTCTACCGGTTAGAATATGTTTGACGAGAAAGAGAAAAAACCAAGACTCCATGACTGGCCGCCGCCCTAGCGATCATTCGCTTCTTTCGTGTCTTAATTTCTCATCACTGTTATAATGCTGGATACTGTTTTTGATTGTTATACTTTGCCTGCCATTTCACTCAAATGTGTATTTATGTCATTAAATGGACGATTCTTGAAAGACAAAACAGAGAAAACGTTTCAAGTTGTGTATCTTTGTGATAACATTTTATATATTTTTTTGATTAATTATTATTTATACATTATTTCTCTTAGTTTTAGGTAACAAGTAATGATTTGATATTTGGTTAACTCAAAAGAAAATAATTATATTTATATATATATATATATATATATTTTTTACATTTATAATTTATCATTATTACTTAAAAGACTATTTTTCGTGATTACACAGAAGTTTATTCGATTGATACACCGGAGCTATTTCTCATTACATCTTACTGCTTAACATCACCTAATCTTTATTTTCATTCCTAAATATCTTTTTATTATTATATCGTTATCTTTATGGAAGCGCAATATTGCTGAATATTGAGTCACCGTGTATCTTTTTTTTTTGTTTAAACAAGACAATCACAACAAACAATAAAATTAATTGCTATGATTATATAAAGTAATATTATCAGTGACTGTGACGATTTAATTCAAATTTAACAATTAGTGAAGAAATAACGTTTATGATAATAAAAAAAACAAGTAAAATTTAAACAATGTGATATTTCAACAAAAAACAATCAACAGTTGATTATTTTATTGCTTTTTAGGCGATGAAAATTGCATAAAAGTAGAAATTTCCCGGCGAAAATGGAATATTATATACAGTTAAACATTAATTACTGATTAAACTTAATTTTTTATGATTATAAAAAAGAAAAAAAAAAATTGAAGAATCCAATCATCATAAAAATATTTTATAAGATATTTGTGAATTTCTTTTTAAATTTTTCGTTGATGCATAAACACTGTTTAAATTGAGTTTTACAAGAAGCAGTGTCAGATAGTAAAAAGCTGATAATGTTTGTCTTTATCAATTACAAATATTTCACATGTTTTTTCATCAAAAAAACGTTGATTTGCTATTGAAGAAGAGCAGTGATATCCCAGATTTTCATTATACGATCCTGACCAACTGTTAGTAATTTGCGCCGTGATACATCAAGATCCATTGAGGTAATGTTATGTTTAGCATCATGAAATGATGCCATTGCTGTTTGGCTGTTCAAAAAATACAAAATGTTATTATAACATGAATAAATTATTCCTTCATTTTATCCAATAGTCTAAATATAATTACTTTGAAGCTTTTAGTTGAATATGACACGGATCACAAACTCTAACTTCGAATTCAAAACCCATGGCAGGAATTGGAATACGTTGCGTTGTACATTGAGCACATAATGCTCGTCCACAATGTCGACAGTGATGTTGCCTCAGTCCTAGTTGTCGTTGATCCATGATTCCTCTGATATTCCAAAAGAACGGTCTTCCACAAGACTAAAATAATAGAGAAATTTTTACTCGTTGCGTCAATGAATTATTTATTCATTCGTTAAAATACATATTGATTCAGCATTTGAAGTCTAACAGTTATACTAAGAGAAATTTATCAACACTTATATATTCATAGTGAAACGTTTGTACGTGACAATGAGATTATCTTAATTTCATTTTAGACTTCTACTCCATTGAATAGAAGTAAGAATAAAATAATAATAATCATTTTAATATATTTATAACGAACAAAAAATTTCTAACATCATCAATGAATATTTATTTAAATTTTTTGATTGTTATTTAAAAATACAAGCGAAAATTATTAACATGAAAATATAAATAAATATAAATATTATTGTGGTTTCATAATTTCTAATGATTTTCTTAAATTTTTTTTAAAAAAAGAAATGACGTAATGACGTTTGAAAAATCAATCAAGCATTCAGTAAATAGCTTGATAGGTTTAAAGTACGGATAGTAAGAGTCTCTTAACGAGATTATTTTATACCTGGCACGTGTCTGACTCTTTCCATACAGCAGCTTCTTTTCTAGGTTCAGCCATATTCCAACACACAATAACTCCATCTTCACCTCCAGAAAAAAGTACTTGTTCATTACGTGCATAGCACAAAGCAGTAACTTTGTTACGATGCCCATGAAGTTCATAAGCAGTTCCTTCACGACCACCAATGTCCCAGACTCGAATAGTTTGATCAAAGCTGCCAGAGAATAATAGCTGCTTCTCAGCATCCCAAGCAAGTGACCTGATACTTCCACTATCTGCTCCAAAAACTGCTACTAATGTTATTGATGTACTATCAATCTTTAGCATGGTAATTTCACCCGCATAATCACCGACAAAAGCATATTTTGATTGCTCGTCAAATCTTTGATAATTAAAAAGTTAAAGAATATTATCTTGAATTTATTGATTTTTATTATCATTTCCTATCTGATTTAGGTTTAAAGAAAAAATTAATTCAATTTCAAAAAGGATACTGTAATGTTGTGTACCAACTACTATTGATACTTGAATCTCTGTACTTGGCTTTTCCGTAGGAACCTAAATTTCTTCCGCTCTCTGAACAGTGCAGTTGGAATAATTTGTCTCTTCCCACACTCATGACCCAGCCATGAATGGACGAGAAAATAACTCCCGTAACTCGACCATGATGAGCTGAATATTCTCTCATTGCTGTCATTCGATTATAGTCCTGTTCTAACAAGAATTCCTAAAAAAAAAAATTTTAATTATATAATTTATTATTAGTCATTAGACAAATAAAAATTATTATACGACACTATATTATTGAATAATAGATTTAAGTATATATTTAAATCAAAATTAGAATAATTTGAATTAAATATTGCTAATAAAATCCTGTATAAAAAATTATAAATGTCTCATAAATAATGTCCTTTAATTCATAAATGTCATTGAATATTATTTAGTGAAACTATTATAATCTTCGGATGCTTTTTAATCACAAGCAATCATAATTAATATCAATATCAAGATAAGGTAAGCCTTAAGTGTAACAAGTTAAATGAAAATTTGATGAATTATTATAGTCATTACTGATAGCTCGATAGAAGTTTCTATTAAAACAGTAATTTTTATTTTTTCATGATTCATTGGAATGATTTTTGAACAATCATTGAGGTCAATTTAAGTAACGATTAAAAGTATTAATTAATTGCAATTGTATTATATTTAAAAACCTAAAATTAATTTAATCAGTATTTCTATTTTACGTACATCAACAAATCCATTCTCCAGTCCTACAAATAATCTCCTAGTTTCTACATGATAATGCATCGATGTTGCTCCTGAGGCCATGTATTGACAAACACTTGGCCAATATTGACCTGAATCTCGTTTCAACCAAACTCTGACAGTTCTGGAAATCACAAATAATATTTTGATAAAAGTATCTATTATAAATTACTCAATTTTTGGACAATCTTATCATAATGCTAGTTATCATAAATGGCCCAAGTCCAGTTTTTAAAACATTCATTAATGATTCATCAACATGGTAAATATTAGATTGTAATCAATTAACTTCCTTTGTATTTAAAAAAAAATCTTCATACCTGTCATCACTAACACTAATAACACCTTCTTCTCGAGGAATAATAATTGCAGCATTGACATCGTCATTGCAGCCTTCTAATTTAGAGAGTAATATTGGTTTACGACTTGAACTGAATTTGTCATTACTGACGCCGGGCGCAGGTTTTATCTCCGCTGCCATTTCACGTCGTTGTTGGCTTTTTTTTTATATTTAAATAATTTAATACTACATACATATAAACACTTTTGTTTACTTATTATGGTACAGTCGTCATTTAATTACTGTAAAAAACACTATAAGATTAAACTACTAGTGTTTAACTGAACGTGAAAACTATTAGAATACGTACACAATCTACATACGTCAAATTCTTTTTGCTAATCCTTGAAAATGATGTAAACAATAGTATAATTACATGCTATAGGACATGCTGACTCTGTCGATAAGACAAATAACTTTGTTACCGATTGTGAGTATGAGGTAAAATCTATATTATTGATTGTAAACCACAACAATTATTACCATTACCATTGTTAAAAATTCAATATGGCCTCACCGTGACCTCCAAAAATGTGTTCGTGAAAAAAAACAATAACAAAAGTATATTCAAATTTTAGAATTCTTAAATGTTCGTTGGTATAGAAATGACCAAAAATGGTTTGCTGTATGAAAGAAGTTCATGTAATTATAGAGACTGAGATTATCAATTACACACGAATTTAAAGATAAAACATATTGATAAGTATTTTATGGTATGGTGTGTTGATAGTGGAGCATATAAAATACAATGTCTTATAGTGAACCAGGACCAAGCTCTCGAGTAATTTTTCTAAATTTGATAAAATTAAATTAAGAAAGTAATTAATAATATAAGTAATTCTATAGTCAAGTGATATTATTTATAGGTTGACGATGACAAAGATGACAATTTCAAACGAACAGGTTCTTTTCGAAAAATTTTATCAGGCACAGCAAGTGGTAGTTCTCAGCTCAATACATCAATTAAAATGATTGACCGTCCAACTGTTACTCCAAATAATTCAGAGTTCGCTATTTATTTACGAGAATATAGTATATTATCAGAATAGTAATATCATTTATTCAATTGCATCCATTAGCACAAAAAACGATCACTTTGTTGGCTATATAAAAGTTTTAATCTTATTTTAGCAAATTGATGCAGAAACAAAATATAGGAGGAGTTTATGTTATACCATCTGCTCAAAATCCTTATAGTAAGTAACTTTTTCTTCTAATCTTTTTTGTATTACAGTACAGTGCAGCATGAAACTTTAAATCTTCTTGGTATTCTAGATTGGTTTGGAGTTTTATTTGTTCGACAAGGAATGTATAAAGCTGCTGTCTTTAGATTTACCATAATTTTACCTGACACTTTTCCTGACAGCGGATGTCCGGTAAGTTTATTTGATTTATTATTTATTCTCAATGCTCGATTACTTATGTGTCAATAATCATCTGAATGATGGATAGAAAGTTGTCTTTCAAACAAAAGTCTTCCATCCATTAATACACAATGAGACTGGAGAATTAAACGTAGCAGCAGGGTTTCCTGAATGGAAAAAAAGTAACAGAGTTTTGGAATTAGTGCAATTTATTACCAAAGTATTCAATGAAGTGGATCCAAATATGCCGGCGTTCAATGACGAAGCAGCAAATTTGTAAGAATTTTATCTATGATAATTTTTTATTCAAAAGTTATTTGATTTAGCTGAATATGTCTCTTTAATATTATTTTCAAATTTATTTGACCTTTTATCAATTTATCATAATTATTTAAGATGTATACAAAGAACGAAAAATATTTTTTATGCATTAATATTAGATTCCAAAATGATAAAGAAGAGTATTTTAAAAGATCTCAAAAGTGTGTACGAGAAGCTTTAGATCATGTTTATGATCCTCCAGACACGGAAGACGCTCATTATATAAGATTTAGTAAGTGGGATCCTGAAATTCACGAGCCAATAAAACAGCAAATATATGAGGAGACTAAAGTAATATCAATTACATTACTATTCAATAGAAAAGTTGTTTAGAAATATTCAAATTCAATTTATTATCATTCAATTTACATTCATTACAGACTCCAAAAAAACTTGACGATGCGCCCACGGGCTCTTCGTGGGTTGAGCCAGGAACATTCAAGCCTTTATCAAAAGATCCATTTGCTAGTTAGCAGTATATTATTATTGATAGTTGAATGGTTATTAAATTATATAAAAAAATACAAACATACTTAGACTTGTTATGACACTTGCCTTTTAGATGACTTAAAAAAGTAAATTTTAATTATTTTTATAAAAAAATATTTACAAAGCGACAAAGATCTTAATAAATTAATTTATTTATGACAATGACTCTATGATGTTATAACGAAAACCAGAAAATAAAAAAAAAATATACATATGAATGTAATAATTTGTAATTATTTTTAGAATATTCCAATTCATTTGAATTTATCTCTATGTAATAACAGCAATTATTATCAACTTCACTATGTCTACTCACAGTTTTAAAAATTGGACCCCGGCAGTTCCTATTAAGAAACCAGACAATATTGTTTCTTCTGAATTTTCATCATTAAAAGTATTTAAACCATCATATGAAAAGTAATTATTGTAAATGTTTTATTTTTTATCTAAATATGTTATCATAAATCTAAATAATTTACTTAACCTATACTAAGATTTTTAGGAGTAATTTACACATTTAACAATGACATTAAACAAATGTTTTATTAAACAATAAATGAATTTATTTATTAATCAGAGATACTCACATACCAATGGAGCAGCTAATAGCTCATGAATATCAAAGAATTTGGCTAATGGAAAGAGACGAATGGCTGCGAAAAACTTTCCCACAAAAAACGAAGTTATACAGAAGAAAAACGGTTCAAAAAATTCCTGAAGAATTAAGTAAAAAACAAGAAAGAACAAGTACCGTAAAAAAATCTCCGCTAAAGGGGAAAATTAATAAATCACTAAGTACAAAACAAAAACCCATGAACTAAAGTTTTATAACTTAATATTATTCATTAATTTATAATAAATATTTATTTTTTGCTATAAATTTCAAATTTTACTATAAATTTTCAATTTACTATCAACTAACATCCCGAATGTTAGTTTGAACTTCCAGATCCGAGTGAGGAGGTGTTAGAGCTACAGAACACTTTATAACTGATTTTTCAGACTTCTTTTTTTCTTCAATATTCACCCTAGAATTTTTTTCACATTTTAAATGATCATTATTCTGAATATTAATACATTTTTTATAATGAGTTCTCATGTTACTGCTCTGTGAAAAAGTTAAAGAACAGTTTGGGCAAGAATATGGTTTGGTTCCAGTATGATAATTCAAATGTGTCTTCAAATGATGCTTTTTAGTAAAAGATTTCGAACAAATATCACATTGATAAGGTTTTAAACCAGAATGTAATCTAGTGTGAAGAGTCATGTTGGATCTGTCGGCGAAGGCTTTGTTACAAATATGACACTGATAAGGTCGTTCTCCAGAATGAGTGCGTAAGTGTTGTTTTAACAACATTTTGCGGGAGAATGCTTTACCACATTGTTCACAACGATGAGGTTTTAAACCTGTATGAATCCTCATATGCATATTATAAGCAACTCTTTGATTGAAACTTTTACCGCATTCGTTGCAAACATACTCCTTTCTATTTCTATGAATCTTCATATGGGAGCCCAAGTAGCCGCGGTCATTAAAGTACTTTCCGCACTCTGGACACGTGGTCGCAAATTCTCCTGTCCCTTCATGCATACTACGATGATATTTGTAATTTCGCAGCTGAGAAAATTCCTTACCACAATCTGAACATTTAAATGGCTTTTCTTGTGAATGATTACTTTCGGTAGACTGTAAAATAAAAATAAAAAATTAATTCTTGTAATTAAAAAAAAAACATTATATTTAATTATATAATATTCTATTCGATTAACTTCAATAAATCGAGCCTTATTATTGCTTTTATTGATTGGAAGAATTTAATTATAATCTCGAACTTGAAATAGATTATTAAATTCATGTAAAAAATATCAATATCAATATTGAAGTAAAAAATATTACGTTGAAAAATATAAGAAGTAATTGAGTAATATCAAATTCTAGACTACGTTTGATATTGAAGTATAAATTCCTTTTACGTGTATCCTCTTGACTGAGAATAATATCAAAGATATCTTTACTGATGTGTTTATTGAGAGTAATTTTACATCGTAAAGTACTTTTCTTTTTCATAATAGTATGCTAGTATCTATAATAAATAAATAAACTTCTCGAAAATAATGATTTTCACGTATTTTATATTGCTTAATGTGAATTGTAACGACCAAACTCTCATTATAGCTCATTGATTAAATTATATACTTGATTCGTGACCTTAACTTCACACGAGCTGTATTGATATATCAACGATTGACTTCACAAGAGAGAAATCTCATTGTAGCGTTATAAGCATGAAAAGATATATCTTTATAAAATAAAAATCTATTCAGCAATAAAATAACTTTACTGTTGTTTTAATTGGTTTATTATACGAGAATAATTTCTTTGATCAATTGTTTGACATTTCACGGCATGTAATTTTTATTCACCAACATTTCCCATTCCTATACTTTGACTTCAGTAAATTTTAGCATTAAACGAAAACAATTACTCAGATGTTGATGTATTTTATATCTAGAAAATAGAAGTCATAATTAAATTATTCTGGTTTCAACATCTTCGAAGCAGTTGAATAATTATTAAATCAATGATTATTTTTATAATAATAAATATTATGATTAATGAATAGCTTTTGTTTTATAAAAGAATTTAGCGAGACAGTAGTCTAGAAACAATGAACTGGTAAACTTTTAATAAAACATCAATCGATTTTTGAAAAAAATTAATTTAATCGTGACAAGTAGAATACTATTGCAAGAATAAATAAACTTTGTAAGAAAAATTTTTTGGCTTCTCCTATTAATCTTATTCTTTTCTTCCATTTCCTACCTTAGAATAAAGTTCTTTGAATGCTAGAGTCATTTATTTTTATTATATTTGAACCGTGTAATTACCTTCAATGAAGATGAACAAAAAGTTTCTAGAGAATTTTTATGATCAAGATCTCGCAAAGTAGTTGTAGAAACCACTTCGATATCTGACTTCACTGAATTGTTGTTATAATTATTTTCATCTTCATTATTGTTATTATCATTGCATCTAACGGTGTTGACGTTGATTGTATCGTCCTCAAAACTTCTTTGATTTAAATGATCCAAAGACTCTTCTGATGATTTATTAGCTTTGTGATACAAATGGATATCATCAAAAATGTCTGTATTAGTTTTGGTATGATTGTGTTGACATTTACTCATGTCTCTATCGCTTTGAACTATATCAGGTGGATACGATCTAAGTATGTTACTAGAAGAATTTTGAGGATAGTCATCGGTCACCTGTTGTACATCATGTATGAGAGACTTGGACAATCTTTCAACGCCTACAGTAGTCATGTTCAAAGCATTAGGATATATATCTTGAAACGTGTCTTGTCGTGAAGATGAAAAAGAATCAGTTGAAACATCCTGAAACAATTTCAAATATATGTATTTCAGCTATTCCATTTTATTTTCTATCTTTCTATGTATTCAACTTTGCTCAATTCATCTCGCCCACTAGAATAACGTCACGATTCACTCTATTCAAGTCCAAAGATTCGCGTCAATTTTCTGTAGTTATTATCCTAACGGGATTTAGGGCTTTTCTCTGTAGTAATTATTATAGTAAATCGTGTTGGCAATAATTTAACTTTGATACTTTTAAAAAGAAAAAAACCGCAAATGAATATTCTTTTAATTTAAAATAAATTTCTCTAACTTACTTTGATAAACAAAAATGGGAGAATTTATGTAAAGCCATTTGAGGTAGTTCAAATGATTAGTTAAGCTCCAAAACAATTGAATAATCCGTAAGGAATTTTTAGACATATATTTTTGGTATTAAATTAATAATTGTATTAATATTTAAATGTAGAATTTTTAATGAATGTATTATAGAACCAACTGCACTGACTAAATTAAAATAAAGATCAAATGTTACTCCAATTGAAGCTTTGCATTTTTTCAGAAATCTCATCTAAATGATTTTATGAATCGAAAGAAAATGATAAGTTTGTTAATAATTAATAAAATAAAATATTTAATGTATGTCATAAACTCACTTAAATTATAGTGTTTCAATCATAGGCTAATTAGTCTGAAATCTAGTATTATCTCCAGCCATTCAAAGTCATTATTATACATTTTAATGGTTTACAAAGCACGGTTTTGGTTTCATTAAAAATATAAATGCAATACGAATACGAATGCACAGTTAGAGTTATACTATGTAGTTTAACAGAAGAAAATTTTCTCTTGACCTTTCATCATGAACAAGCTAATTAAATATATAAACATGACAGTAAAAAAGAAAAAAATAATAATTAACGTCTTGATTAATTTTACAACCCTTGGAGTTACATTAAGAAGTCCATATGTTTTTAACATTTAATATAAAGAGTCAACATAATTATTTGATTACTTACGTAAATATTCTTACAACATGACTCACTGTTTTGCAAAATCACTCGACTCTTTGGCGAATGATAAGGTCGCACAAGTTGACACCAGGGAGAAGCAAACACTCGGTTAGCTACATGAGATTTAAATTTTACAATTTCTCTTGGTAACATTTTATTTTTGTTAATATTATCAGACATTAAGAGTCGACGAAGACAAATTGTTTTATCCATTTTTAAATTTAATCCATTTTCATCTTCCTTTTGAACCATTGTTTCTCTCACTTCGAGTTCTTGTGTTGAACTTAAATAATCATAGACTTTTGAATGATCCTTTATATTCTCCGATATCCTTTGATTTTTTAAAACACGTGGAAGTGGTGGAATGCGTATCCTGAGAGCATCAGCAGTACTTGAAAAGGCTTCTAATCTTGCTGATGGAACTGCAGTACTTCCAGTGTAGAGGAATCCTAAGATTGCAGCGAGATCGTTACCTTCTACTTCAGCAAGTATCACAGTGATGGGTTCACATTGTCCAGCTATTTTTCCATGAGCCACAAGGACTTCCTAAAAAATAATTTTTTCAATTAAAATGTTAAATTATAGATTTAAATGTTAATAGAATAAATTTGCATTGATATTGAAGAAACATTTTATCCTAATGACAAATAATTGAGTGACAAATTTAACAAGTGTTTCTCTTTATGTAAATTTATCATTTACAGTTATACAAATTGATATGAGATATTGGGGTGAATAAAATAATAATGAGAATTTAATAAATCATTGATTATTAATTTTTTTTAAATGATTAATAAAAAAAATTCAAGAATGTGCGAAAATGATTTGTAAAATAATTGGAAAAATCAACTTGGCTACTTTTTGAAAGATACTGTGAAATGATAGATTTAAGAAATTATTATTAATTTGTAAGTAAAGTTTAACAGATAAATCCTAATCAATTTATAACACACGTGTGAAATAATGTTCTACAAAATGAAGTGAAAGGAGAACACAATTTGATTTTTTTTAAATGATTTGTTGATAAAAAAAATCAATCACAAGTGCTGCATTTATATGTATAAAACCCATTAAGATTATGATTAACCGACTATTTTTTATGAAAAAGAGTTAAAGAGGAGCATTAAATTATAAGCATGAGTCAACGAGTTTGATGTAATAAAGTTTATCTCAATGCGAAGCTTACACACATAGTACATTTATATGATTAGATGCAGTGAAATAATGAATCCCTACAGCATTAGATGGATTTTATTTCTCTTTTGTAATTAGATACGGAAACTGAAACTAATTGCAGACAAAGCCTTCTAACAATTACTCTAATCAATTGTTAATTCGTTTTTTTTTTCATCTCCAATTAATAAATAATTTTATTCATATCTTGATCCTTTGTTGTAAATTTTTTATAAAAAAAAAAAATTAATTATTGGAAATAATTACTTACATGAAGATAAGAACTAGCTGCCGATAAAACTAATCGATGAGCACGAAATCTTTGACCACCAGAACAACATAAAAAAACATCAGCAAAAGTTTGTGATAAAGCATCCTCCAAAAAGTTAGGTCTTTCTCCAGATACTTTGATGATTTCTCCCATCATCTTAATCACTTAATTAACAAATGATTTTACTCATTTAAAATAATCTTTTTCTTCTTTTTTTAATCATCCCGTCACTTTGTTTATTTCTCACATTATAGTATTACTACATTGATGAATGTTTCATTAAAGAACTTGATGATAGATGAAGAAGAGCCAAGGAAAGTCTAAGCACTGATCTGTCAAGGTGACGACTGCCCACCTGTGAAACTTCTCTCTTACAGACTCTCCCTCTACCATTCCCTTTTCTTTCGACCTTTATCTGTAGGCTCCAGATCTTTAAACATTTCTTGCTTTGTGCTATTATTTAAAAAAATATTTTTATGAAAAGATATAAATTTTTCAATAAACTGCTACACTTTATAAGTTCATGGAGTTATTCAAGTGAAAAATGATGTTTGAGAATTACTCCATAATTTTTATTATTATGTTTTCTAGGATTCTTTTCATGAAAACATTCAATTTACTCGCTAAATTGTTCACAAGTTTTTTTGAGATAAATACAAGAAACAAAGACTGATAACTTCTTCATCCAAGTAATTGCTGTGCTTAACTCATGTTGATCCATCATTTAAGATTCTATATATTATTGGTAGAATCAAATTTCGACATGATTTTAATCAAATCATCATCATAAATATTGTCTTGTAATTAAAGTTTCCAACTTTTAAATGCATTTACATTCGGTCTGAAAATTGATATGTAAAATTTCAACATATCTTGATGTTTCAAGGTATTGAGAGTTGTTGGTGATCTTTCCAAATGACCTAGGGTCACACTTATTCCACGGTTTGTTATAAATATATAGTCGATATTAAATTACTCAGGCTTGAAAAATTGATAATATAAGGTTAAATCTAGGCCAATCTTGATGTTTGTTATGTGTACAAGAAGTATAAGTATCCAGTGGTAATTGCTCTATCGGTTATTACCATGATTCAGTATGCAAGATGCAATTGATGCTTAGAGATAGATTATGCGTAAAGAAGAAAGCATACAGATTGCCTTGTTGAATCCCTGCTCTCTGTTGGCAAATATTCATGAGTGTTTACATGACATAAATCGTTGATCCTCGCATAATCACCATGCAAAATTGTCACGTTTGAGCGTGGATTTTCTTTTGACTTGAAACGAGATACATGCACGTGCAGGTATTGTACATTCTCAATAATTTTTGTTGAATGTCAATTTACAGTTAACATATACAGTGAGTCCATTAGCGTATTCAAACGACTTGACTTATCAAGCAAATATTATTCAGTTCTGACATTCTGTTTTCAAAATAAACATTAGCCCTTTCTCTAAAAAAATCTCTTGTCAGGTGTATCTTCAATTTACTGTTTACTTTACAGTAGTAGCTGAATTATTTTTGATGATCAGACAAATATAAAACACTTTTTATAAGCTTTTTGTTTTTCATCAGAGAAAAGATAATTGTAGAAGTAAATATGCCCAAATTTTGAACATTAACAAAGTTGAGAACAATTTTTTCTTTTATATGAAAAATTGATTATTTAAAAACACATGAAGAAAAATTGATATTTTGTTTATGATTCACGATATGTGCATACGTGTACTCATTGGGTCTTTATGTGCATCGTAATATTTCATTCATAAGGTCTCACGAACAAAAAAGGTATTGACTGCGTTCAAAAACCATTCTGTAAGCAGATAAAAATAAAGATGAATGGTCAAAGAAAATAAAAAAAGATATATGATAGTTTCATTTTCAATTACCAATAAATTAATCATAAGAATTATCCAACATACGTATTTGATTTTAATCATATTTTTGTAACCTATAAAATGACAAGTTGGTTTAGATTTGATTGAAAATCTTCCAACATAATTCAGTAAGGATAACAGTTTCAAGATTCTTTCTTGAAACGTAAACTTTAAAAATGAATTGAAAAAATCGATGAAAATTACAGTGAAAGAGTGAATACTTACTAATTCACTTTCAAAGAGTACAAAGATTATCCTGTCATGCAAAGTAGTCGTGATACACTGCACTAGAATAATCCAATTTTTACTGATGCATTTTTATCCTTCTACTTCCTTACAATTTCTTTCTTTTGCAAGATAAATTGGATTTTAAATATTGAGTTATAATTATCCAGATAAAAATTAGACATTACCATGGGCCCAACATTATTCCGTATAAGATAATTGTTATCCTCTTGTTCAGATTGAATTCTATTCAATCTTTTTTTCAATGTAGACATTTAGCTTTACATTTTTTTCTGATTTAATTTTTACAATTAATACGAAGGCGTTGCATCTTGGTTACAGATTGCCCATATAATCTTCTAACTTCTGGATTCATAAAATTGATGGTAGTTGGTAAAACAAATCTTCGTAAGATCAATAGTGTTGATGGCTGAGCTAGTATCACTCATAATCTATCATTTCCATTGCGATACCAACTCTTGTGTTGATAAAATTAAGATGGTATAAGATCTTGATCTGAACATTACATGTGAAAGATCAGATAGAAGCTGAGAATGAACGTACACTATGACTTTCACTACTAATTACACAGTCACAGAGGTTAAATGCCAACTCCCTGGAGTCATTTCAATTTATCTTTTGTAAGATCTTTTCTAATTATTAAGGTGATTGCTATTTTCGTTAAAAAAAGTAAGTATCGTTACCTTTTACATAAATGTGTATCCATATTATATCTGTGTAAATCAGAATACTGATAAAAATATAACTGTGGGAAATTTTTCTGTCCTTATTATTATTTTCACCATTCTCAAAATGATTAATGACAATTATTAATTACATCTGAAAAAAAAACCTTTTTAATTTGCGTAAATTATTTTGCAAAGAATTTTAATTAACAATCGCTCTATAAGGCACTTGTTAACGATGTCTATACTTCATGATTATTTATCGTTATGAAGACATTCTGGTAATCTTGTGAAAACTTAGGAAGGAAATATTAAGAGTCAAGGATAAGGTTTATTGGTTAAATTTCTGTGCTTTACTCACTATTTCCCGTCGTAGCAAGTTATGAGAACGAATAAATCACTTATACGATGATTACTGAGAACCTATTAATGCGCACAGTTAAGATTTATCATTGATACTTAATTATTTTAAATACAGCAGTTATTCAATTGCACTTTAAATTATTTTTTGTATAAAACTTTTTTTTATTACCAAATCATTATTATTGCGTAGTAAAATTACAATAATAAAATTATATGAGTTTTATAATTGGATTTAAACATCACTTGATGGAAACAAGTCATTATCAAGTCCTAAACACTGCAAATCTTAGTGTATGACTTCAATGTACTGAAAACGTATGAATATGTCATTATTGGTTTAATTAACCTTAGAAATTATTTTTTACAGGTTCTTCTGTGCGTTAAAAGTGTTTTTAATGTCACTCAAATTGGTAACATCATATTCACACGTTTCTAATGCGTTAAAGTCATATACTTCAAAAAATAAAGATTTGCAAAAGAATGTAGGGCACCTTTTGAGGTTAGTATTTGGACCAAATTTTTTATTTAATATATTTCCAGATAAAAACTGATATTATAGCGATTCCAATTAAAAAATGATTTCTTCACCATACTAACATTTTATTACAATCAATGCCTTCCACCATTATCAAAAAAATCATTCGTCAATTGAGAATTCAAAATGAATAATACTGGTTTGATCTAATATTTATTTATTTTAATATATTTCGTATACATTCATGCACTAAAAACAACCAATCTTTATAAATAATCGAATAAATTTTTAAGTTTTGGTGCCGTGGAACAAGAAGCGCAAAAGATCGCATTGTGATACAAACATTCTGATAAAATCAGTTTCTTGACTTCCGGGTTAATTGGGCATTTTTGTATGTTACCTTGGTGTATATTTGTTATTTTACTTGAGATGAAGAACTCTGTCGGATACCCCTTGTAAAGAATCTTAAAGTTAAAATGATTTTAAATTTCGTTATTTTTTTTTTTGGCTGACAAGACAGACAGATGAATTCTTACATGCCGCTGAGATTAAACAAAAGTCCCACGATGAGGGACGCGATATGGTATTTTTATTTCGTATCTTCATAACATCACAGCAGTTCACAGTTTCATGATATATTTCTTGCCATAGGCACACTAAAAGAAGGAAAGCAGTTGCAAATTTTAATATTTAATACATATAATTTTCAAATGATTATTATTGATAAAGAAATTTGCAATTACAACGAATGACGACGATAGCTTATAATAACTAGAACTCCAATAGAACTAACTATTTGATTCCATAATTATTTGTTTTCTAATAAAAACACAAGATGTCATGAATAATGAGATAATTTCACCTTATAAAAATCTAATACATGCAGAAAGAGAAGGCTAAAGGAGCAATTATTTTTAATGATATAAAAAAATCGTTCTTATGAACATTGTATTGTATTAACTACTGGAGCATTAGTGTTTTGTTAATTATTTCCAAAGTTTATAAGCATTAATTAAAAAAATTAATTACCTAGCTTATCAACAATTGAATAAACTTATCATTTCAATAACTACTAATAATACTCGATCATCGACCAAGCCTTTAACATTTTACAAATGAAAAACAATCAATATGTGATTTACTATTAACATATTTGATAAAATTGATAATTTATTTCTACGATAGATGGAAAAAATGAAACTTATTTTTAAGTTAGATAAAAATGGATTGTTCTTGGAGAACCTACGTCTGAACAATTTGTCGGCCCTGAAAAGGGCCATTGGTTTGAATTATTCTTCATGAGCTGAAACTTTTTCCGATTTGCAACTAGTTACTATTGCTAGTAATTGTTTCTTCGGAAATTGTTGTCCAGGAGCTACTTGCCACAAAGGTTGTCTGTTCAACTTCAGAATTATAGTCGATAACAACTTCACAAACCGCTTCAGGAACTTCATCAACAACCAGTAGATGTTGATTCTCGTCGACAATCTCCGGTTTTTTTTCCTCGTCGTCTTTCGAGAATAACTGTCTGCGTACGGGCACGTCACTTTTTGGTGTTGATATACAATCCCGCTTTGGTGTCGATGTCATCAGCGGTTTGTGTGTCCAATGGAACTCTTCGATCTCCATCTTAAGTTCGCTCGTTGAAAAATCTCCAATGCTTCTAAAGTTCGCCATCTTGTTCAAGAAATTCACGATCGAGTCAAGTGTCGTCACGTATCACTGGCAAGTGTCAAAGGACGTATGACCCCTGCAGAATCCTTGGTCCGGTGTATACCTCCCGCAACCCTCGTTCTATTCCCACTACCTGTTCAAAAGAAATTAGCACCCAATCAGAAAATTTTTCTAGGTGAATTTTTCAAATGAGTGCCGTGGAAAGAGAAATATAGATTTTTTTAAGATTTTATAGAAATTTCTGTTCGGAATTTTCTAAAAAACCCCTTTTATATTTTCAATATCACACACGAAGAGAAAAATTAATATCGATGCATTGCAAATAGTAGTAAATTATTATTAAATGCACATCAAAAAGCATCAAAAAACATTTCATTGAGATGTAAGAATAATTTCACTTTGTTAATAAAAAATTTTTACAATAAATTATTAATTTTATCAAATATGTTAATAGTAAATCACATATTGATTGTTTTTTATTTGTAAAATGTTGAAGGCTTGGTCGATGATCGAGTATTATTAGTAGTTATTGAAATGATAAGTTTATTCAATTGTTGATAAGCTAGGTAATTAATTTTTTTAATTAATAGTTTTAAACTTTGGAAATAATCAACAAAACACTAATGCTCCAGTAGTTAATACAATACAATGTTCATAAGAATGATCCTTTTATATCACTGAAAATAATTCATTTTTTAGCCTTCTCGTCCTGCATATATTCGATTTTTATTAGGTAAAATGCCTATTATTTAAGACATCTTGTGTTTTTATTAGAAAACAAATAATTATGAAATCAAATGCATTAATACAGTTCTGAACGAATACCAATAGATACATACATACATTCCTATTTTATTCTCGGTAAAATATACATTGTATTTATCTAATTATTTTACATTAATAAAATGAAAGATTGATTTTTTCATGAATCTATTATACATTATGCTAATATTTTTTTTTCTATATATTGTTAAATTTTCTTTATTTAATATCATGACTTAGAAGCTATAAAAATTGATATACTACATTTTTATAATTAATATTATGCTTCGTTTTCTGCCTATTTATGGGAGCTAGAAGACGTCTCGAGTCAAAACATAATACCTATTTTCATTCTATTTTTCTCCTGAAGCAATCCTTTTTTAAGGTTTAATTTAAGATAAACAAATCCTTATTGAAGTCGGAATTACACAACAAATCAGTGTTTCCGGAAGACAAATATTTTTCAATTTTATTCTAAACTTATCCTCATTTTTTTTTCCTTTCTTGCCTTAGCTTCATCCTACTTTTATTTCATACTTTTCCTGGTTTCAATCTAATTTTATTTGAGATTCGAGAAAGTTTACTTCAACAAAAACATTATTATTTATAATTATTAATTTTATTTCAATTCCAATTGTGCTGTCCATCAGCACTAACATCATATGTGTCATTGAAAAAAGTATGATTGTAATGAGAGTTATTATAATATTGACCATGTTCATATTTAAGAGGGCAATTTCATTTAATACATTATCAGGTGGTTACAAATCATTAAAAACAATTTAATTTTTACATAACATTTTTTGTATGCTATTCTGTCTATATCCTAATTATTACCTACTTCAGAAGAATAAAAAAGTAAATTTTTATTCCATCAAAAAATGAAGCAGAATAATATTATTATAAAAAAGTTGAATCTAAGATAGAAAGGATAGGAATCGTATGAGAAAAATAAATTTAAGTGTTATATTTTGACTCGGAATTCAGTATAAAAAGACTAACTTTATTCTATTTTTCCAGATCAAATTGTATTTAACTTTTTAGAAATTTATTATTTGTAATCAATGTTATTATAATCTACGATATGTTACACAAATAGAATGAAGAACAAAAAATTAACACATTTCATTCATTGCAAAATGAAATGTCATCCTGAAAAATCATAAAAAGTTCATGCCAAGTTTTCTTAGTTCTATACTACGAGCATTAAGTTGAGATGTAATGGGTGAATTTCAAAGAATCAAAAAAAATTTCATTGCGATTCGAGAATAATTTTACCATACAAATTGAAAATATTTATCATAAGTTGTTGATTTTATATATTATTTTGATAGTGAATCACCTATTTATTATATTTCATTTGTTAAATGTTCAAGACGTGGTCGATGATCGAGTATTTTTAGTAGTTATTGAAATAATAAGCTTATTCAATTGTTGATAAGCTAGGTAATTAATTTTTTTAATTAACGTTTAAAAGTAATGCTTTATTAGTTAATACAATACAATGTTTATAAGAATGATTCTTTTATATCATTGGAATTAATTGCTTTTTTAGCCTTTTCTTGTTATCCTGGTTTTAATCAAATTTTAACTAAAACATGATTATTTATAATTATTAATTTTATTTTAATTCTAATTGGGCGGTTCATCAGCACTAAAATCATATGTGTCATTAAAAAAAGTATGACTGTAATGGGAGTTATTGCAATATTGACCATGTTCATATTTGAGAATGCAGTTTCATTTAATTCATTATCAGGTTGTAACAAATCATTTAAAAAAATTCAATTTTTAATATATATAATATTTGGAAAATGAATCCATTATACGGAACCTTATCCCAACTATTTCCATAAATCCTTCTAGATATAAGTAAATCAGTTTATAAAGTTAATATCAGGCTATTCTGTCTATATCCTAATTTTTACCCACTTTAGAAGGATGAGAAAGTATAAAGATTAGAGATTAAAGAATAAATTAGGCTTTATCATCCCAATTTTTACTTACTCAAAAAATGAAGTACAATAATGTTAGGATAAAAAGGTTTAGTCTAAGATAGAAAGGATAGGAATCGTATGAGAAAAATAAATTTAGGTGTTATATTTTGACTCAGGTTAACAAACTATCGCATTAATGTCAACGGAAACATCAGTACATATACGATCAGTAAACGTCATTATCTCGATACGAATAGAAAATGAGATTTTCTTGTATTGAATTACGAAAATTTAGAAAAATAAATTATAAGGAAATATTATCAATGATGATTATTTTTAACGCAGAAAAATGTCTGATACCAAAGTACTGTATGTCGGTGTCATTTAAAATATTAATTTATGTCCCTAATTATGGATACTATACTAATTGTAATGGATCATATGAAAGATATTACTTTTCTATGATTTTACATGTCTTTTATCGAGAGAAAAACAATAATTAAAAAAGTTAAAGCTACATTTATTTTTACTTACTTATAAATATTAGCAGTAATTGTGTTTGTTAGAATTTTAAAATGTTAAGGGATCATACTTTTTGTTTACTTCTACCTTACGTTACTTGAAAAAATTTCCAGTCGTAACAAACTATTAATATTTTACTTGAAGCAAAAATGTTTTATCTATACGACTTGAACAGTATATTTTCTATTTTTCCCAATAGTAATATTATTTATGGGTATCTCAGAACAGGCCTAAGTTGCCCGAACCTAAAAATTACCCCGCCTGGTTACCCGGAAGACCTGCATGAAACTCTCATTGAATAGGTATTTCGAGTGGAAAAGTAATTAGGACTTCTAAAATGTCACCTGTTAGATAGAAAGACTTTTATTATGTTTTCGTGATCTTACTTTAGCCGTAGATATTTCGAAGGGATAAACCCAAGCACTAGTGCAATAATTGTAACTACGTTACTTATGTACCTGAGTTTATCGACTAAATTATCTGTTTAAAATAGAACGACGCTTGGATTTATTATTTGTAGTAAAATCACCTGCAGGTCTTACACCATTTACATCTCAACTGAATGCTGGTAGTATAAAACTAAGGAAATTTTGCCTAGAATTTTCATGATTTTTCTGGATGATATTCTATTTTGCAATAAATAAAATGCGTTAATTTTTTGTTATTCATTCTATCTGTGTAACATATCGTAGATTATAATAACATTGATTACAAATGATAAATTTCTAAAAAGTTAAATACAATTTCATCTGAAAAAATTAAATAAAGTTAGTCCTTTTATACTGAATTCCGAGTCAAAATATAACACTTAAATTTATTCTTCTCATACGTTTCCTACCCTTTCTATCTTAGATTCAACTGTTTTATCCTACTATTATTCTGTTTTATTTTTTAATTGGATAAAAATTTACTTTTCCATCCTTCTAAAGTAGGTAAAAATTTCATTAAAACCAGAAAAAGTATTAAATAAAAGTAGGATGAAGCTGAGGCAAAAAAAAAATTGAATGAGGATGAGTTTAGAATAAAATCAAGAAATGTTTATCCTGCGGAAACACTAATTTGTAGCGTAATACCAACTTTCATTAGCTTTGTTGATCTTAAATTATAATAAATAATAAATATAAATATAAATAATAAATAATAAATTATATATTAAACCTTCAGAACTGATTGCTTCAAGATAAAAATATGATAAAAACAGATGTTATATTATGACTTAGAAATAATATCACATCTCATAGCTCTTAATAATAGATAGAAAACAAAGTATAATATTAATTATAAAAATGTAGTATATCAATTTTTATAGCTTCTAAGTCATGATATTAAATAAAGAAAATTTAACAATATATAGAAAAAATAATATTAGCATAATGTATAATAGATTCATGAAAAAATCAATCTTTCATTTTATTACTGTAAAATAATTAGATAAATACAATGTATATTTTACCGAGAATAAAATAGGAATGTATGTATGTATCTATTGGTATTCGTTCAGAACTGTATTAATAAATTTGATTCCATAATTATTTGTTTTCTAATAAAAACACAAGATGTCATAAATAATAGGCATTTTACCTAATAAAAATCGAATATATGCAGGACGAGAAGGCTAAAAAATGAATTATTTTCAGTGATATAAAAGGATCATTCTTATGAACATTGTATTGTATTAACTACTGGAGCATTAGTGTTTTGTTGATTATTTCCAAAGTTTAAAACTATTAATTAAAAAAATTAATTACCTAGCTTATCAACAATTAAATAAACTTATCATTTCAATAACTACTAATAATACTCGATCATCGACCAAGCCTTTAACATTTTACAAATAAAAAACAATCAATATGTGATTTACTATTAACATATTTGATAAAATTAATAATTTATTGTAAAAATTTTTTATTAACAAAGTGAAATTATTCTTACATCTCAATGAAATGTTTTTTGATGCTTTTTGATGTGCATTTAATAATAATTTACTACTATTTGCAATGCATCGATATTAATTTTTCTCTTCGTGTGTGATATTGAAAATATAAAAGGGGTTTTTTAGAAAATTCCGAACAGAAATTTCTATAAAATCTTAAAGAAATCTATATTTCTCTTTCCACAGCACTCATTTGAAAAATTCACCTAGAAAAATTTTCTGATTGGGTGCTAATTTCTTTTGAACAGGTAGTGGGAATAGAACGAGGGTTGCGGGAGGTATACACCGGACCAAGGATTCTGCAGGGGTCATACGTCCTTTGACACTTGCCAGTGATACGTGACGACACTTGACTCGATCGTGAATTTCTTGAACAAGATGGCGAACTTTAGAAGCATTGGAGATTTTTCAACGAGCGAACTCGAGATGGAGATCGAAGAGTTCCATTGGACACACAAACCGCTGATGACATCGACACCAAAGCGGGATTGTATATCAACTCCAAAAAGTGAAGTGCCCGTACGCAGACAGTTATTCTCGAAAGACGACGAGGAAAAAAAACCCGAGATTGTCAACGAGAATCAACATCTACTGGTTGTTGATGAAGTTCCTGAAGCGGTTTGTGAAGTTGTTGTCGAATATAATTCTGAAGTTGAACAGACAACCTTTGTGTCAAGTAGCTCCTGGACAACAATTTCCGAAGAAACAATTACTAGCAATAGTAACTAGTTGCAAATCAGAAAAACCAATGGCCCTTTTCAGGGCCGACAAATTATTCTGACGTAGGTTCTCCAAGAACAATACATTTTTATGTAACTTTATTTTGTTTTTAGATGCGACGTTTTAAACGAACCATCTTCACACTATATTATTAATCATAACTCAATAAAAATTATATGATTCTTAGAAGAATTATCATCTTTGATTCATGAAACGTATACAGCTGCGAGATAAAAACATGATAGTACTACAGTGCTTCTACTCTTTAAGAAAAAAGATAATACCAGCAAATATGAACATGTTACAGAATTAATTTCATCAGTTTAATTTTAATTTGTGAAAAATTTAGATTTAAATTTAGATTTCAATATCGGTACCCATAAAAAACAAATTAAAAAATTCCTTCACCCTTAAAATCGCAAAAATACTTTGCAAACTGCCAAAAAAAGTGTGACTTTTGTCTTTTTTTGCAATTTCAAGGGTTAAGGTATTTTTTTTCTCGTTCTTTATGGAGTTGTATGTGTAGCTTAGATTCTGAGGTATCTTAAACGTCCCTGAAAAGCATTTTTGGAACCACCAATACAGAAAATCCATTCCGAAACTCTCACAATACGGTATAACCTTACATTCGGACAATTTTTTCACGAGTCATAGAGGTCGAATGTCAGCGGGTAGATTATTTTTTGTTGACTCTTTCCCTGATTATATTCAGAACTAAACTGGCTTTGAATTATTATAATGAAAGTAATAGAGACCACAAATCTTATCTCTTTTCTTTTTCAAATTACGAGGCGCGGCTAAAATAAATTGGTGCAGCGCCATCGCTCGATGGGTTCACAAAAACTTCAGTTGTGACCTGAGAATACCGACATGTTGACCGAAACTCCGTTCGGATTTTTAACACGGCATTAGACTTCTATACTGGTCTCTCTTCTGTGATATTATGTTATAGTTAATATACAATTGTTGGAAATGCATTAAAAATGTCTCTAATGTAATGTAATTTATTATCTGTTTGTCTGTAGGCATAAATAATATGTGCTCTTTTTGATTGAAGCTGTTATACATTGTTCTATGCACTTTTGACATTTCAAAAAATTCGTCCTGCAAATAAATTCAAAGATTTGATTATATATTTTTATGTTAAAAATATTAAACTTAGTTCAATAGAGATGGATATCCAAGTGACGGAAGAAAATTTAGTGGAAATTTATAAACAACTGGACGAATCTGAGGTAAGAAAATTGAACCATAGAAAATGTAATACATGTCTCTATTATTGATGTTTTTTAGCTGAATGTTAATAAAAAATTGGAACAAATGCTTCAACGATACTGTTACATTGAAGCTAAACTCCAGAGCATCAAAAAAATTTTGCCTAATGTTGTTATAATTCGTTCTGAGGGCGAAACCTTTCGAGATACCATTGAAAAAACAAATAGGTTAGCTGAAACCGTCAGTGCCAAAGTCCGGAAATTAGATCTAGCAAGGGTAATAAATGCATTAAAACATTATGATTTTCAAAATAAATAATCACAATTTATATTTTATTTCTTTAAATAATTTCAGAGTCGAGTTTGTGAGTGTCAGAGTAGAGTACATGACATTCTCGATCTCCAATTATGTTCTGAAGGTGTAGCAACAGCATTAAAAAATGAAGATTACGAGCAAGGTGCTGCTCATGTTCGACGATATCTATCGATGGACCAAGAATTATTAGAACGAACGGCAGATGATGTCTCAGAAGATCGTGTCACTATTGCTGGTTCATTAGCAACTTTAAAACAAGCTGCTTTTCAACTACGTACAGTAGTAGCTAAAAAATTTGATGAAGCTGTAAAGCAAGAAGATTTGGCGTCAGTAGAAAGATTTTTCAAAATTTTTCCTCTGTTAGGAATGCACGACGAAGGACTGAGTAAATTCTGTTTATATTTGTGTACTAAACTTCAAGAAACTGCTCATAAAAATCTGCGATCAGCTGTTGAAATTAAAAGTAATGATGAAAGAGCAGCAGTTGTATATGCTGATACTTTAACACTGTTATTTGAAGGCATTGCAAGAATAATTGAAGTTCATCAACCAATTATTGAAACGTACTATGGTCCAGGCAAGCTATTAAAAAGTATAAGTATCTTACAGGAAGAATGCGATCGTCAAATCAAAAGAATTCTTTCAGAGTTTATGAAAAATAGAAACATAGGCAAAAAAGTCCAAGCAATTAATGAATACAGCCGTAAACAAAATATAGATAAGATGGATCCTAAATCTTTAGATTTTTTGATAGAAGAATTAACTCTAATGCATTTACGTGCCGAACTATATATTAGATTTTTGAGGCGAAGAGTTGTGAATGATGTAAATGTAGCTACAGCAGAAGAAAATCAACGTTCACAACAAATCAAAGAATTCGAATCTATGATTAAAAATTCTGAATTATCACATGCAATGCAAGAAATTTTAGGAGCTTATTTAGCATTTGAAAGATACTTTTTGGAAGAGAGTGTGAATAAAGCTTTGGGAATGGACACTTTGGAACAGCATCAGCAAACTTCTAGCATGGTAGATGATGTATTTTATATTGTGAAAAAATGTATTAGAAGAGCAATATCTAGTTGGAGTGTTGATGGAGTTTGTGCTGTGGTGAATATGGCTTGTGGAATTCTTGAGGGAGATTTTTCAAATCGACTAAAATCTCGACTTCGTCAAGGATATCCAGCAGGATATTTAGATCTTGCACAAGCATATAATGCTTTACAAACTAGTATTCAACAGGGCCGTCTTCAAACTTCAGATACAGAATATGCTAGATTAATGTTTCTAGCTTATTTAAATAATACCGATGTTAGTATTGAGTATGTTGAGACTCTCAGCAAAAGTTTAGTAGCAGAAATTGATAATGCATTCCCTCAAATGCAACAGAAGGATAGAGATAAGATTGATAGTTGTTTAGCGGGAATGAAAGGTGTTACAAGCACACTAAGATCAGTAATTGATTATGGAATGGAACAGTTGAGGTCAAGTGCAGTAAAACCGAGGATCACTCCTTGGGTAGATGCATTCCTTTCGATTAATCATCAACTGAACGAAGATGAATTACTAAGGTACGAAACAGATGAACCATTTGTACAAACTTTAGTCATGAATCTGGAAGGTTTATTGCAAGCTTTTAAAGATAGTTTAACAGCATCCAATTACGATGCATTAATTGGAATACTTACATCAGAAATGACAACACGCTTAGAAAAAGTTATGCTAAAATCAACATTTAATAGGGTATGATAATTGATAAATATAAATAACAAGAAATATGACTCTGTATGATGATAATAAAATGTATATATTTTACAGGCTGGTGGACTCATTTTAGACAAAGAAATCAGGTCGTTAGCAGGTTATTTAGCTGCTGCAACTTCTTGGTCAGTACGAGACAAGTTTGCGAGACTTATGCAAATTGCAACAATTTTAAGTGTAGAAAAAGTTGAAGAGTTAGCTGATTATTGTGGTAGTGATGCTATCGCGTGGCGTTTAACTCCAGCAGAAGTGCGTAAAATTGCAGCATTAAGGACGGATTTACGTCCTGATGATATAAAAAGACTTAAATTGTAAAATACATTCTATAGATATAAGTACAAATATTTTTATTGACCATTCAGTGGTCTTTAACTAAAATAAAAACCCTTATATCAACATTGGCGTAATTTTATCAATTATCCACAATTAATTATGCATACATTAGTTACCAGCTAATAAACTGTTGCGTTTAATAATAATAATAATGATAATAATATTTTTTACAGTAGAACCTCGAACTGTTGATCTATTTCGGGACTGTTGTAAGAGATTGAGAATAATATAAAAGTATATGGTTTAATAGAACTTTGTATTCAAAAAAGATATGTGTTACAAAATAAGTAGATAATCGTATGATAATTTCGAATTACGTCAAAACAGTGCTGAGCAAAGCAAGAGTGAATGAGTGAAATACAAAACCTACATTTATTTTTTTTATAATTCTCACTTTCTCTTTGTTTTAATGAAATCAAAGTCTGCGCGACTTTGAATCAAGGGCATTTAAGATTAAAAATACTATAAAAATTAACAGAATGTGTAAAAAATCGAGAGTGAAACAATTCGAGGTTTTATTGTATAAAGAAATTGAGGCAAATGCAAGATGCATAATGCTTTGGGACTTTTTGCTTTTCCCTCTTTTTCTTTTTTTTCTAATCTCAATGATACTAATGGACGTCTAGTAAATTGTCACATACACACGCGAATATTCAATGACTCAAGGTAAAAGAAGGCATTCTCTTAATCGCTTATGTTAAGAAATTGTCTTATAAAAATATATAGAGAGTAGGGCTTTATTAGTCCCGTTCGTCCGAGGATGGAGCAATGCATTAGATATTTAATAGCAAAATTACTTTCAATATTTTCTTTTCAAAAATTGTAAGATATATAATCGCATTAAGCTGTTAGCGTATACAAGGAGTAAGTTAGCGAGATCAAACTGACGTTAATTTAAAAATAAATAATCTATTCATTCATTGTTTACTTTAAAATTAAAAATTAATACCATTTACCCACATATTTTGGTTGTGTCGTCATAAGTATTTTTAAAAACAATTGAAAACCACCCTCATTTACTAATTATTTTTTAAATTGTAATTCATTATTAATTAATTGACTAAAAAATATAAAATTTCATTATTAATCATGATGATTTCATGGGCAATACCATCATCAATAATATTATCCTGAAAAGATAACATCACGCTGACTTATTATCAAAATTGTCAGCTAATTTGTTACACATTCACACAACAAATTTAGACCTACAGACGAATGGGTCTATCACGATCTATCACGTACATTGTGTTTGGCTATTTTCCTATTGTATCCATCTGGTTATTACCAACATTAAAGGAAGCACCTCAAATTTAAATGACCTCAAAATACATATGTTTGAATCTAAACTAATATGGAATTCTTTCCATTTAGGAACTCTTCATTTCGAAGTACGAAAATATTTTGTACATTATTTGGCGAAGTTTCTATTTAAGCGACAGTGTACATAAGAAAAGATTAATAAATAATCTTAATATCTGATAAAATTTCAAGGTCATTCATGCCGAGGATACTTCTAATAATATAATTATCATCTTCGGACTGCGTAACGTCAATTAAATGTTTGATAAAATTATTAAAAAAGAACAAAAAGACCCTGCACTCTCATCGTACAATCAATTGACGCTTTTCCCATCATTCAAACAATGATTATCATTAAACAATATCGCAGTTTAAAAAATCACACCGGTATGCCTGTCAAACTTATTTTCTGGTAACAAAACACTTTGTCACTCATATCATAATAGAGTCTTTTTCTCTCTACATTTAATAAAACTCTTTTTTCTACGATGGAATGTCAACGTTTTACTACGTTTTGCTTCCTAGTCATCATTTTTCCACGAAGTCCCATCGTCAGAAAATGTGATTCATTCTAAATATCTATATTTATTCACACTTTAGTGTTTGGCATCTTATGAAAGAATGGCGATACTACGTCGTGGACCACCCATACAAACATTGTCCAAACTAGACCATTTTTTTATTCCATTCCTGAGTACTTCAGTTGTAACTTTATCTTCATATACCCTTGACATAGCTTCAAGTTTTTGCGCCTTCTCTTTACTAAGTGGTTCACCTGGGAATGTTAATTCATTAGCTTCAGCTAGAGTACGAAGATCAAAGTAATACTTCGCATATACACTCGATGGAACGTTGATATTAAATTGTAACATTTCTAAAAATTGTCTTTCGAGTTCATTCCTGAAAATCGTCATTAAAATATTCATTAATTATTCTAAACAGAATAAATTAGATAAACTAGTTAACTTACATGTCCTCGACAGTAATATCTTTAAGTATTTGACAATAATCAACATTCCAAACAGCCTGATCATCCCACACTTTGGAGGCTAGAAGAATAGCACCCAAAACAATACGTTTCCAATTGGCAGGTGTAATGTCAATTTCAGCATACGTTAGTAGTCGTTCGAGGTAAACAAGTGTAATGATTGCACATTCCGCAGTCAATTGAGCAGCATTGAATAAAGTCCTCACAAATTTATATATTTGCTTATGTTCAGGATTATGTTTATCATAATCATCAGCTATTCCGTCCCGCTATTTATTCAAATTACCAATAAAATTAATATATTTATTTCTCAACTTGAAAAACAATTTTACTTACTGTAAGTGGATGAAGTTTTTCATCAAAAATGTCTATTTGTCGTTGAGATGTTCGATTTTTTATGTGATAATAAATCGCCAAAGCGACACATTTGACTGTATTTTTTAAATTCGGTTGAGATACAGTGCTGTCATCCAAATATATCGTACTACAACTACTGCTCTTTTTTAGAGGCCTTGTATCTGCGATTTGATGCTGACTTTTTTTTCGTACCATACCGTCTGAAAAAAATATTTTAATTGATTAATTAATAAAATATTAAATTGTTAAATGTTTTAGATTTAAAAATCGAGAAAAAAATTTTCTCACTCTCTATTGCTTGTTTGGAACGTTCCATAAATATTGTTCCAGCACACGGATGCAATGAAGGATCTGAATCCCAATCTTCTGGTTCTCGTTCACTGATGTGTTGTAAATTAGTAACACTAAATTCTCCTTCAGGAAGATGTTCTTCTAATCCCCTGGTCCCACTGTCTCCAGACAAATCTTTTCTGCCCCCTTGAGGACTAGAATAACCACAGCAGCTATTTTTATTACCCATTTTTTTACTCTAATTCGTTTCACACCTTCAAGAAAACAACCAGAGATCTTATTGCTTTTGTAAGTAGATCCAATGTGTGTGAGTTTACTCGTACAATTTATAATGACAGCGTGTAATTGCTGCCGATCGAAGTCGAGTACCGTATCCTTAGATAATGCTCACATGTCGATGATCCATACTTGATACACTCAATCAGCTGATCGAGATGTCTTTATGTTGATTAACGAAGAGGGCTACCATACTCCAATGTCGCGTCTTCATACCGTCTACACGTAATAAGTAGCTCATTAATATTCATCTAGGAAAAGATTATTTTTTATTCCAAAAAAATTACCTTAAGAAAATAATTGCATTATAAGTTCATTTCAATTCAAAAATACGCTGATAATATTTCAACTTTAATTTTTCTTATAAGACCACAAAATTTCAACAAATTCTCCTTCACCGGTTAATGATGTTTTTCATATCACTATTGACATAGATGTCAATTAACTATCAACTGAGAACCTCTGATTGGCATTTGCCGCACCACGAGATACCCTAAACGTTTTTACATCCGCCATTATTTGATTCTTATTACACGTCTTCACTGCGGATGTTCAACTTTAATTCATGTGTATACTCTTGGAAGCAACGTTTAGTGTATGTGGGAATGAATAAAAAATATTATCTAAATACAATAGGGAAGAAGAAAGAGAGAGAGGGTTATTGATACTGTATAAGTTCCAATGCACAAATTGTTTGTTTGTGTGTGTATATTTTATACATATATACACTTCCAGGATTGGTATCCTTTTTCCTTGAAAAAATGAACAGCTAAAAGTTTCCAAAAATCCCTTACAGATGTCTCTGTCACAGGCCGGAAATAATTTTCCGCGGACTTATTCGAATAAATTTATATTCTTTTAATTATTAAATAATTTATTTATAGATATTTATAATTAAACTAATTTCTTTATAAACAAAGTATTTTATATAAAAAAAGATATTTTTACATTTACGGATTTAATCAAACTAATAGCAATTATAAGTTATTATTTGTACGTAACCTAAAATATTAATATTATTGAACAAATAATTACTTGATAATAAGTTTAATAAATATTATTTTGAACTTTGGACACATACGTACGTAATAAAAAATGATTTATTGAATTAAATTGAAGCAAAAAAAAACTTAATTCGATCATTATCTAACTAGCGCAGTAAGGTTAAAATTGTTGCTGAAACATGGTTGAACTAAATAAATTGACATTGACTCACGAATTTTTATTGAAACATGGTTGCAACTGCCAGTGTCTGTTTCTAAGAATTTTGTATCAAATGAAAATTAACCGCCACGGGAAGTAGTGTAGACGTATTTCCGTTATACTCGAATGAAGTTGCGTTGTGGCATTGGTTACGAATCGTGACGATTCTTTTCACTGTCCATGGGACGTACTGGTACCACTTGAACCTTATAAAAAAAATAAGTAGAAAATATCAACAGTCCAAAAAGATAAAAGTGATAATTAAGTGAACCTGTTTAAAACTAAGCAGTGATAGTCAGATACATCGATCATTAAACAGGATACAAGTGAAATCAAAGAAGAAAAACATCAATCCTGGAACGGTGGAGTGAGTGAGAAAGAAGAAGCGTAATCTGTCAGTGGGAGTGAGACTACGGTGAGTTTTTGGAGTCTACAGAGGGGAACAGGGAATGGTACAGAATGTTGTCGGCCATGTTAGCAGGGATGGGAAGGCAGCAGTGTGGAGGGTGCGCTGATTGAAACAACCAGGAGTAGTATAGTGAATAGAGTACTGATACCATAGATACCATCAGAAGAGCAGGCAATTGTGTGTGTTTGCATTTAAAAATCTTGCGCGAGACAATTATCTCGCGAAGCCATTCCATCGCATCCTTCATCAAAACTTCTCGGTAAATTTTCGCTGGACTAAGAAAAAGGATAGAGGATGAAGAAAGACAGACAACAGAACGAGAAGCGCGTTCTATAGCTCTTCCGCGTTTTCATTACGGGGATAAGAAAGAAGTAGGAGAAATATTCTCATCCTCTTCCTTTTTTCTTTTCTTTATTCTAGTTCTCTTTTGTGCTGGTTGTGCATACGTGGTGTCCTGTGATTTTTTTCACCCCGGCAAGCATAAAGTGGCGCAGTTGTGTATAACCAATTTAAAGTGTCGTCATTGTTGAAGAGTAAAGACAGAGAAGAAAAATATACGCATTACTAGCGTACATACAAGTGTCAGTCACGCTAACTCGTGAGTCACACGTCTGTCGATCTTCTTTTTCTTTATGTTTCATTTTTTCTCTCACTCGTTTTTGTCTATCACTCTGCTCAATGTTGCAGTTTTAAATATTCCTCAATTTTTCCTTGTTCAAAGTACCATAAGTTGATGAAATTCACTTTTTAAGTTGAGTCGATTTCTATACCGGGAACTAAGTCGTTCATGCCATCTGTCTAAATCAGTCTCGCTGCGATAAGACGACGTTTCTCCAATGTGCTAATGTTTTCAGCGTGAATACATGCGGTTGTGATTTTATTTCTCGAATACATTGCGAATGTGAGTATTTGTAGATACATGTAGTGTTGCACTAGATCGGGTCATCATTGTGGGGGAGCTAGCGTTTCACAGGACGCCCTGAAGAAGGGGCGGCGGCGCGACGATCGGGTAACGACGGCGACGTCGGCGTCGTCAACGGGTGGTTTAAGTGGAGGAAGTGGAGCAAGAGGGGCTACTTGAGTAAATGAAATGTCATAAAACGTATACATACACTTTTCCTCTGTACTCTTTTTACTTTTTTGTGCTTCAATATTCTCAAAAGTTATAACATTTCTTCAAAATCATTTTTATCATCATACATTTCATTTATTTTTAAGTAAGTTCTCACAATCCTGACAGTAAAAAGTTCATTTACTTTATTCAGCAGTCTTTGTTCTTACATTTCTTATGGCTCCATGTCATACATGGACGTCTAACGATCGTGTTTAGCTATGTGAGAGAAGCAGAACCCCGTGACTTGAGAATTTAAAACAATTAAGCGATTATTTTAAACATCGACATAACTCTGTTTATCAGGATTATTGAAATTTGAGATTGTGATGACTGTGTCATTGAAATAGTTGAGATTAGTGCTAATAAAAACATTAATTATATAAATTGATCAATTTTCCTTCATAGTATGTTAATGAGCAAAAGTGTTACACTTGGTAATTGTTGCGATTATTAATTTTTTTTTTACTAAAGTTTCATTTTTCATTTAAGGTTATCATGGCTAACCGGGGCACGGTGGCCCAGAGACCAAACGGTACTCAAGGCAAAATCTGCCAATTCAAATTGGTCTTGCTGGGAGAATCTGCGGTCGGGAAGTCCAGTTTGGTGCTAAGGTTTGTTAAAGGACAATTCCACGAATATCAAGAAAGTACGATAGGAGGTAAATTTACTTCAATTTATTAATGATAGTCATTATCTTATTTTTTGTTTCTTAGTAACATACTTTTATTATTTCATTTATCACTAATTGCATTCTTTTTCATTGTTATTCAGCTGCATTTTTAACACAGACAGTATGTCTGGATGACACGACTGTGAAATTTGAGATTTGGGATACCGCGGGCCAGGAACGTTATCACAGTCTTGCTCCAATGTATTATCGTGGTGCTCAGGCTGCTATTGTTGTATATGACATACAAAATCAAGTATGTATTATCACCTAGATTGTTATCAGTTACAATTGAAAAAAAAAACAATCCCGACAAAAATAAAACTTTATCGAATGTTCTAGGACACATTTACACGAGCGACAAACTGGGTAAAAGAACTTCAACGACAAGCAAGCCCAAGCATAGTAATAGCCCTAGCAGGCAATAAAGCTGATTTGGCAAATAAACGTGTAGTAGATTATGAAGAAGCTCAATCCTATGCAGATGCAAATGGTTTACTGTTCATGGAAACGTCTGCAAAAACTGCCATGAACGTGAATGACATTTTCCTAGCGATCGGTGAGTATTTTTTTAATTATTTTACAAATACACATTAAAAAATCACATCTGGATAGATAATGTTGGCTGGTATCTCATTACATGTGATAGGTGGATAAGTGACACTGCTTGTGCGCGTGTCGTTAAATCCTTGTTTCGTAACGGTGGCAAATGAAGTTCTACGAATTCACGTTATTTTATCGTATTTGTGGCTAAAATTAAACATAATTAGATATATTATTAGATTAATTAATTAATAATTATTTGCAAATTAATGATAAGTACTATAACAAAAATTTTCAGCTAAAAAACTCCCAAAGAATGAGCAATCGGGAAATGCAGGTACAAGTGGTCAAGGTCGTCGATTAGTTGAATCTGAAGGACAGAAAGCTGCGACAAGCAACTGCTGCAAGTGATTGGCCAAATTCGTAGGTGTCGCGCGTCTTCATATCGGTAAAACGTCATATTTTGCAGTGATAAGACATGTCTACGCATGTTGAAAGTTGAATTAACATTGATAGTTATTAAATGAGGACATTTTTTAAATAGCTATCTTTGATATTCCAGATATTTATCTATTGTGTATTTGTCAAGGTGACAAATACTTTGTGTCAACTGGTCCCCATTGAATTCATAAGAGAAGTGAGCATCTGAGAAACATTGAACCACATGGGGTGTGTTGTATTACCGGGCATACGGTGGCAAATTTAACGTAAAAAAATCATAATGGCTGCTGCGATTAACAATAACGTGGATAAGAAATAATCAAGACGACGCCGACAGTTACCGCGACAATTATGACCGATCCATTAGTTAAACGAGACTTTTTAAGTGCAAAATAAAATAACAGAATAAAGAAAAAAATAAGTGTGTGAGTATGCGGCTAAACTCGGGGGTATTTGTGAAAGTAATAATCAGTATGTCACAATGCATCCGACAGCGATAACACCTATTTTGAGTATCGGGTCTGTTGGAAGAGAAAAAAAAGAGGCGATGAGTCCCGTTTGTTATTTTAGTAGTAATGGGCGGTGTTCGTTATAAATATATAAATATTATATAAATACATTATATATTATAAATCATATATATGATATGATTTATGTAAGGATTAATAATTGATGATAATGAAGAGGATGATGGAAATATTACAATTTTATGTGTACGGTAAATAGTTATGAATTGAGAAAAACTTAAAAAAATGAACTTTTTTGGCACGCAACATAAAAACTTGTAAGATAGTAGGGGCCATTCCTGCTGCTATAATTATCATATATATTTTCTTCGTCAGATTGTATCGTGTAATAACAATTATAACTTTAAAGCATATTGTATATTAATTTTATTGATAAATCATGGTAAATTATAAATAATTATACAAAAAAAGCGACAAATCAAGCTTTAAATTTGCTCGATTTGACCGTTTTTAACTCAAAACTTTTTTTAACCAAAATTTAAATTTGTTCAGTTCTTTATTATTATTATTATTTTTTAAGTATCTACTTATGAATTCATATGAAGAGAAAGTATGTTATGTTGAAAATTTTAAACGTTAATTGTTTTTCAAATAGAAGCTGATGATAAACCAACGATTATATTTTAAAGAAAACATTATCTCTATCAAATATTTATTACTCTGTAAATTACCAAGATTTTTGTAGACTTAAAAAAATTCAAGATAATTCAATATTTCAAACCCTAAATGATTCATTATAGCACCTAAATTGTGTATTGAACTATTTCTTACTCATCAAGACATCGTTAAAATTAAAAATCCAATATACATTCAAGCTAAATGATGTTAAACATCTTATTGGTATAATGACTCTTATCACTTCAACACCAAAATCATCGTGTCATTCTGATAAACTTTCCGGGTAAATATTTCTTACAGAAACCAATCACGTTTAAATTTATAAAGTAATCATTGTCATTTATGGTATTTAGTGTTTATCAATTTTTTAAATTAATTTTTCTTTTTAAGGAATTATGAATTAACAACAGATGGTTTTTCTCAAATTATGGGTTTTACTTGCTATTATTTCCTGTTCTATTCCTATTATACTACAAAAGGAACCGTTGATTTATTCTATCAATTATAACTGAATAACATTCACACGACGTAAGTTCATCATTTATATTAATAATTAAAACATTCTATTATCATTTTTTACGCTTGTTGATACCTCAAGTAATTATTTACAAGTTAAAATATTCCGCAGTGAAAGCTTTATCTCTATCAAGTTATTTTTTTTTCTTCATTACCGGAATTTTTTTTTACACAGATTATTTTTTTCTTCACTACTACCAATTCCAAAAACTTTTCTTGTTTAACATTAACATTTAACGAATTATATTTTATTCTTTAATTGATCTTAATTAACATGACAACTGAAAAATTCCACTTCATTATCTCACATCTGACTAATTTTTCTCAGTATAATTTCATTAATATTCATAGCTTTTTTATGGTAAAAAATTGATTTGTTAAATTTTTTATTTATTTTGTTAATATTAACGGTGAAAACATTTCACTTTTGTTCATTCCAGTTAAAAATAATAAGAATTATTGTAGAAAGTTTATTAGAAATTAAATATTAAAAACTTACTTTCTAAAAAATTTCTTTTTTTGTACTAAGTTTCTGAATCTTGCTAATTATTGTCTAGATGAAATTGATTTTTTTCAATAATTTAAACTAAAGAAAATGAGTCATTTTTTATTTTTAATAGCAGAACAGTTTAAAATGAAAGATAACTAAAGATTGACCTACAATAAAATTTCATACTTGTTTTATCTGTAATATTTTAATAATTTAACATACAAGTAATGAAAGAATTTATTATTTAACGAGTTTTATATTATTTTACAAATATGTTTATATTAAATTATCGTTTAAAAAATTATTATATTCTATCAATTAACAATCTTACTCTGCTCAATGGACATTTATAATAGAGTGACATTTGTCAGTTCTAGACAGCATAAAGATTTTATTATCAGTTTGGAGATTTTGGTTTATTTGCTTCTAAAATCCTTACCTTAATCAAAAGATCAAGAGTTTATTTATCATCATTATTTCTGTTCTTCATTAGAGCTCAAACTTTTTATCCTCAATATCAATAAGAGAATTATTATTCTAAAAAGGAAAATTAAAAAATGTTAATTGTTACTAATTATTACTAAGAACTGTAATTATTATTGTATTCTAATTAACTGGTAATCAGCTTTTAATTTGGTTATTTTAACTGACTGTTCTATTAATAACTTCTTTAACAAGTTGATTTCATTATAAAAATTTATGATTATTATCTTCGCATTTTCTAATATAATTGAGCAATCTTGAACTAATTTTTTGTGTTCTATAATTTTTTTCTTTAATAATTTAATCGTTTCTGCCTGTTGAAGTCGCACAGATTGTTCGTATCCAACCGCAAATAAAAAAGCTCTACAAGTGGAGTGTTCACATTCCAACTTCTGCTGTTCTTTAATTCTATGGTTTTCCTCCTGTGAAACGATTAAAATGATGTAATTAAATATTTAATCATTTATTAAATAAGGAAATTTTCTTGAAAAGAAAATGTCGACGATTTTATCTTCTTTTTTTCTATGAGAAAATTATAAAACAATGAAAATTTTTCTCTCATATATGTAATCATGGCAATCATAAATAACACACAACAAAGAGCTGATTATTCTTAATGTCATATTTATCTAACATTTATTTAATTACAATGAAGAATTAGAATCAACAGGAGTACTTCCTAATAATAGAACAGGTACTGAATTATTGTACTCTTAAGATTATAATTAATGTACTTATATCAGTTAATGGGATTTAGTTTAGCTTCAAACGTCATGCACATCATCATTATTGAACACAGTTGGTGTAATTGGACTCCACACGTCACTAACAGCTAGATCGATTCCTGATTTGTGTGGTTGTTGGCGATTTACACTCTTTTTTGCTTGGACGATGGCATTTTGTAAGTGTCGAATTGTTTCCTTTTGCAACGAGTTCTAAAAATTTATGTTGCAATATTTGAAAATTATTATTCTCTCAAAGTATTCAGCTTTTTAGTTTAAAAAATATTTTCAACAACTAACCTGCTCTAATAAATTATTTCGTTCATCGACATATTGATCTATAATAATTGCTTGAGCACCAATCTGTAAAGTTAAAAAACATTACCTTTACTTACCTTTTAGATAACAGTCATGCTAGCTTCATATAATCATATTTCAATTATTTTCAAAATATTTTCATGCGCAATACAATATCACAAAAAATATAATAGTTTTTTTTTCGTAATTAGAAAAAAGAAAAAATGAAGAAAAAGTAATTCAATCGGAAGATTTTATATAGAAGTTATAATTTATACCTTTGCTTGCAAATCCTTCACTTCTCCTTGCGTCATACTAATCGTCTCTTTCTGAATACGAATTATTTCGTCCTTGTGCTCGAGCTATTAGTATTATGAATTAATGATGTTATAATAATTGAACTATCAAGTATAAATTATTCATATATTAATTTTTTACTAACCATTTTGTCCTTCGCATTTATTGTCGATTTTAATTGATCTACTAGAGAATTTCTTCGTGATTCATCTTCATCATACCTAGAATTAATTGCTAATTTTACTTGCTCTAGTCCAGCAAATCTAGATGAATCTTCTTCACGTCTGTATGATGCCTGATGAGTGTTAGTAAAATGTTCAGATTCTTTTTTCTTATTTAAGTACACTATATTTTCAAGAGCGTCTTGCATTTTAGTATGAGCATAGTCCAATTCTTTTTCTAACTTATTGAGCTTTTCCGATTTTTCTGCTGATACCATCTGAGTACAGTGATTTTTTTGAAGCTATAAATAATTTCTATGAGTCAGCTTATTTTCAAATACATAATACTTTAATTTTTTTGATGATAATTATAAAAAAAATAAAAAGAATACGTACAACAATATTTGTATAGTTCTGTAATTCCTTGAGATTTCGTTCAATATTATTAAGTTGATCATAAACTTCATCAAAGATGGTAAGAGTACAATTTTCCTTCGAAATATGAATACCCAAGTTACAAATAACATAATCTACTTCATCAATCAGTCTATTAAGTAATCTATCACAAACTTCTATTTCTGTAGCGGATGTACTACCGCTAGAAATTTCATCACGATCAGTCATTGAACTCATTTTGGCAAGTGTTTCATTAATTTCATTTTTAATATCCTTTAATTTTACTTCTCTTGATATAATTGTATTGTTACTGACAACGTTTTCTTCAATTTGGATTTTCAAATTTTTTATTGCGTTTGACAAATCATCTTTAGTTTTAACAACAACATCATACATTCTTTTAAATGATGTGTGCAAATCAATTAATGATTCCTGTTGGCTGTACAAACCACTCACATAACTGTTAAGTTCTTCTCGTAAGTCTTCAGTCGCTGCTTGTGCTTCAACTGTACAAATTCGGAACTCTTCCATAGAATTAAATTGTTCTTTACTTATTTCTATTAACTTGTTCATTTTTTCATCAATTACTGAATTAGTATGACCGTCATAATGATCATAGGTTTCCTAAATAATAAAATTAGCTACATTAATAATATGAATCATATTGTCTACTACACTTACTGCATGTAGTGAAGAATAAATTCATTACCTCTGTTTTTACTTTCTCAGAGTCCCCATCTGAAACTTCATCACTCCAACTGACCTTCTAAAATAATAATTGGTATAAAATTAAAAAAAAATAGCAACATTATTAATAAAAAAGTTTAGAAATTCTGTGAATAATATACCTGTGATAATGCATTAGAATTAACATAAGCCTTTGATGATCCGTCAGAAGAAGAATTCTGAAACAAATTATTAAATAATAATTTCAAAAATAAAGAACATTGATTAATTTATCACAACTAAATTCATTAATAATAATCAATAATTATCATTATAATTGCAATAAATGAGAAAAGTTATCGACATAAATTTTTTAAATTGTGTTAAGTTACATCTTTAACAAAAATATTACTAGATTCATCATTTTCAGTCTCATGCTTATTATTATCAAGTTTCTCTACAGTTTCTTTAATTATCATATCAGCTTTCTTATTTCTACTTCTGGTCTCTTCTTCTTTATGGAATTCGTTTTTTTTTGATGATCTAGATAACTGGAAGGAAGGAAACAGGTTGATGTAAATGTAGGAAAAAATTAACTAAATCAAATCTTACCAAAGATATCATATTCTTGCGCATTTCTTTGATGATATCAACTTTAAATTGAAGCTGAATTTTCGATTGACGCAGCTGTTCTTCCAAGCTAATTATTTTGTCTTTGAGGGATAGAATTGTGTCATGTTTCTCAGCTACTTCTTGGGTCAAAACTTCTCTAGACTCTTGAGATTCCTACCAATTATAATTACACTTTCATAGAAATTGATTCGATAAAAATTTTCATTGATTAAATAGATAGAGAAATTTGATAAGTGATAGATAAATATTTTTCCGAATATATTAGTGATAAAATGAACGAATTAATAGTCATAATCTTTGTACCATTATTAAATTGTTTACCTTTTCCAAAGCATTTATTTTATTGTTAAGTCGATTTATTTCCAGTTTCTTTTCTTCAAGTTCATTTTTAAATATTAGAATTTTATCGTTTTTCTCTGACAGGAGAGCGATATCATCCGTGCTGGCTGTTTCTTTCTTTTCAAAGTTTTCTTCATTTTTTTCTGTTATTAATTCACTTCTCATAGAATCCAATATTTGAGCAATCTGTACAATCTTCTGCTTTTTAGCCACAATTAAATTAATGATAACTGAAAAATTTATTAATAATGGCTAAGTATTATACTTACATCATTCAAATCATTTGAAGATTGATTTTTTAATTGATGCTTAAGATAATCAAACTTTGAAATAAGTTTTTGTGTTATATCTTCTTTAACCTGCAGTTTTTTATTTAAATAATTCACTTTCTGTTGCAATTGAGATTGATATCTAAAGAATAATGAACGTGAGATTTTTTTCTTTTTTTTCATATAAATGACGTATGTAAATATTTATGGCAACCTACTCTAATGATTTTGATTCACTGTTGTCAAGCGATTGTAATTGTCCCATTGAGAAATCAATTTTTTCACCGTCATCCGCAGTCTATCATTATTAGGATAAAATAAAGACAAATTAATTAACTGATTTATGAATTATTAAAGTTAAATTGGTAAGATTTTAGCCAAAAATTACTGTAAAATTTAATATATTGTGTAAAATGATATAAAATAATTTAAAAAGTAATGTAAAAAATGTAAATTAATATAAAAAAAATTATATCATCGGTAAACAAATATTTTCGAGAGGATAATTTTCAAAATTATAATTGCTTTCACAATCACAAAAGACAATTTGCTCAGGCTTTTTTTCAATTAGAGAATCATCAAATTCTAGTATAAACCGTAATTTCTTGTCAGTATTTTCAGTATTTTGTACTCCATTTACCTGTCTTGATAAGCTGCTAAAAAATAAAAGCAATTTTCGTGATTTATTCTCCAATATATATATTTATATAAAACTTGTTTTTCAACGAGATTATATCAACTTACGTCATTGGAATTGGAATATCCGAAGGTTGTATTTCAAAAAATTGAATTCCATCAAGTCTCCAACGTTTTTCTGCCTCTGCTCTTCTAATTAACTCCAACAAGCCTCTTATATCACTTTGAAGATACGCAATTTTCCGTTGCAAATATTTTTCATCATTTTCTAGTTGAGTTATACGATTAGATAATTCGTTTAAGTTCTGAAACAATAAAAATAATATATTAATTTTAAATAATAAATCTGAAAAGAAATAATTATACAATATCAATTTACATCATGTGATGGCTGGGTATAACGTGTCATATTTTCGGATAAAACATATGATGTTTGCTTCAATTTTTCTTCTAACATTTTCACTCTACAGCAAGCAGCTTGTTCTAATTCTTCAATGGTTCGTACAAGCATTGTATTTTGAGCGTCTAAATCTTCTATCCATTTCATCATAATTTGCATTTTGATTTCGGTTTTATTAGCATCATTAGGATCGATATTTTGTATTTTTTCTTTATATAAATTCTTTAATTCATTAAGAATTTGTAAACTTGATGTTTCATTATCACAGCCATGATCCTCAGTGACATTCACTTCTTCAGGATCATTTGAATTTTTATGTTCAATGTTAGACATGATTTTAAATTATTTATAATTTCTACTTAAGATAAAGTTGAATAAGTAACTATAAAGAGTATTAATTAATTCATGTTTTAGAATGTTTAACTCATTTTATCATGTTTCATTATTTACATCAAAACAAATTTATTTTTGGAGTAAAGGTTAGAAATCAAATTCAAATTTTTGATCAACGTAATTGGTTAGTAAAAGTAAATAAATTAAACCGGAAGTTACGAGTAATGTAAGTTGATAATGTTACTATAATTATCAATTTTTTAATAAATAATAATATCAATAAAAACACACACACAACACTGTAGAGAATGGCAAGTTTTATTTCTGTAATTAATCACACGGCGACGCTTGTGTCGATTTTACTTTTTTCCCTTTTTTTTTATTACTGATAAAATAAATGGTTTTATTTGAACATATTCAATACTGTTGTTAAACAATACGATAATATTAATTAACAGCATTATCAGTATTACAATGAGTTTCCACAGTTTTTACCGTAATCATAGGTATGACGAATGTTAGATACTAAGTAACTTTTCATCAGTATGAATTATAACTATAAACTTTGTAAATTAATATCTAATAATATCATTTATGAGTGAAAATTATTTTTTAAATAGACGTTTAGTATGTTGATAAATTTTACTTTATTATAAAAACATTCATTCTTAAAAACCACAAGTAATTTATTTAAAAAGAAAACAAATAAATATAAACATACATGATTTATAACGATCAATCATTAATTAATTATTTGAACATTATTTTATATCACATCAGTGATATTATAATTACCACTATTTATATTACAATTTCTTGATAAAAATTATAAATTTACATGAAATTAATTATAGAATAGAGCACCAAGATCTACATATTGGTCTCTATTAATAATATTTTATTAAAGAATTGTACTATTACATCTATTAATTGAGCAATAAGATAGAAAAAAAATAAAAATTTATTTAAAGGAAGTCTTCAGTAGATGTTACCGTTGCTTCTATAAGTAAACCATAATCTAATTCTGCAAGGCTTGCTTTTGCAGTTAACAAATCCAAAAAAGTATCTAAAGGTGATAGTCGATCAGCAGAAGGAAAAGCTGCTAATCCATTATGACGATGACAATGTTGTAGTGTTCTTCCTCTATTTTGACATGCCTCACCTGACAAAATATTCACTGCATGCTCACGGGCTCTCAGCATAAAACTAACTGGGTGCAGCCATTGATTAAGAAGCCTTTTTGCTCGAGATCTTGGTAGTAGTGATAATAAATGCAATTTTTTTATCGCATTTTCTTTAGTATCACTTATATCTGTAAAGAAAATTTACAATGTAAATAAAAAATGTATTAATATTTATCAAGTTATGTAATTAATCATTATATAACATGTGTAAATTTACTCATTCTGATAACAATAATGTACCAAAAGCAATCAATTTTGTACCGTAGTGTTACCTAATTATTAACAATACCACTTTAATTACTGCAATTAAATGTATTATTTTTTACATACACAAGTAATTTTAAGTATAAAAAAAGAGTTTTCAATAATAATTATAAAAACATACTCGTAAATCAATTTAAATATGTAAATCAATTTTTGAACCAGATATTACTATTGTTTATAATTTAAAAAACATGACAAATATTATCAGAAAAAGAATTATTTATTTACCTGCTATGATTATTTTTGTAACATCTACTTGCAACTCAAAAACAGATCGTTCAACGTATTGCAGAAAAATTGAATACTTAAGACTTCGATATCCAAGATAGGTAAAGAAAGATGAAAATCCTTGAGGTACAGGAAATGCTAGCATTTCAATAGAAAAGCGATATCTCTCTAACAAAGAAAATAAAAGATTTCTCCTAGTTTCATCTAATTGCTCAATTAAAACAAAGCCACGTTCTTGCTCCAACCGTGGATCAACATTGGCAGCACGACATAACATTTGGCAAAGTGATCGTGAGCTTTCCAATTGGGCAGCAACATGTCTAGTTGCCATTGCATGTACTTGAAGTGGAGTACATGATATGTAAGATGTTGCTGGAGTATTAGTTGCATGTTTCAAAAGATACATGGAGAGTTCTCGTAAATTAACTGATACAATATGCTCTTGTCTTGAAGCTGTACAATTTTCCATTTCTACGAAAGGTAAAGCAGAGTCTAGGATTTTATTACTCCGATTACTCATCAGATCTCCAAAAGATCCAGTGGATAAAACCAAACCTCCACTGGGAGACATTGGTGTACTAGATCTAGACAATACTTCTGGTTGATAACAAGCTAAAGATACTAAAAGTTTTTCAGTTATTTGACTAAATTTAAATCTTGGCTTGCTTTCACTTTTCTTTCCAAGATTATCCCACAGTCTGGTCCATAAGTCACTTCTATAAGGTACTAATCGTTGTTGAGGAGATAACAACATCACAGAAGTATTCCAAAGTTTTTCATGACTCAAAGTAATGGTAAGATCATTTACTTTAGCATCGTAGCTTGTATATTCTTCTATTGTAGTGATTGGTAATAAAGAAAGTAGTGGCACTGCATCAGGAAGGAGATTCTTTTGAACTAAAGCGTATGAATTACCAATCAAAATTTCCTGCATGAATTGAACGACGTCGAGATCTCGTGGTTTTTCAGCTATTATTGATACCAGTCCAACAACTGTCTCTAAATCATGCCTATGACACATGAAATAATGAATGATACCGAGTCTCACTTGTACTGAAGATTCTTTTCTAAAAACATCGATTAAAAAGTTCGTGGAAATTGTTAAAGAAACTAAATCCAATGTAGGTAAATCTATCGTTAAGATATTCGAGACTTCTTGGGTGTCTGATGATCCTTGCTTTTTGATTGGTTTGTTACTATTAATATCGAGTAATGGAACTAGATATGAAGCTTGAGCAGGAATAGTCGGTAACGAACTACAAAGTATGTGACAACAAGGATCATGGCTCACTCCAATTTCAAGTAAGTGTGTAAAGAATCCTTGGACAAACACAACCATGTAATCACCAACTATTGCAAACGTGGGTCTCATAAGTTTAGCTTGAGTCCAGGGTATTCCTGGTATTACACAATGTATTACACAACTATGATGAAGTAGAGTAACTGAGTAAGCAAAATGAACAGTGTTGGTGTCGTTGAGGCTTTCATCAAGCATGTGCTGAGGTGGTTGAACTGGTCGGTAGAGATAATGATGGCATACACAAACTATTCCTTTAGAGTCTGAGATAACAATTAAATCCAAAGAACAGTCATGAACCCGTAGTGGAATTACATCGTCTTCGTATGTTCCACAATTTCGTGTGCTGGGTGGTCTCGGTAAATTTAAAGGAATGTTAAGAACTGTTTCATGTGGAAGTTCATCATGAAATTGTAATCCACTTAGAGTTGGACATGATGCTGTAGTTTTCGATCGACTTTCATCATCTTCTGTCACTAAACTTGTAGGAGCTCGACGATTATGAATGTGATATAATACTTGGTTGGTTGAATCCCATTGAGCCCACATAAATGTCCTAACTATTGGTTCTGATTTGAGCTCTTCGATTACATTTTGATCAGATTCATCAAGGAAGACAGTATACATCATAATACACTCATGATGAATTAATACTAAAAATTTATCAAAGTTTGTTTGAGGTTTCTGTTTATATAAAAATTGTATACGAACTTGTTTGCATCTTTCATTATCTATCATATGAATTTTTTTATCATTTGAGTTCAATTCTATGACGTAAGCTTGATAAACTTCCAACCCATTAGGATTAGGTTCCAACTTTAAACAATCATTTGCTTCTTTGACATTTTTTTCTTCCTCTTCTTCCTCATGTTTAGCATTTACTCTATTTTCCTCAGAATTGTCTCTAGTTCGTTTGACTATATAACCAAGTAATGTGTGGTTCTGGTTTATTGTTGCTTGAACAATATTCAAGACTGTTGGACAGTGATACAGTATCTAAATAGTATTAATTTATTAAATTTATTAAAGTGAATTATTAAGTATGTTTAAAAATATATTATGACAATCGCTTATAACATTACCTTTAAGGTATCTTTGTATCGATCATAATGACCAATCACAGAATGTGACAATGATTCTGGACATTCAGGATCTTCTTCTATCCATCCGATTAAGAGTGACGAATCTTTTTCTTGTCCTAACAATTTCCATTGTTCAGCTAAATGTAAAAAGAACTTTTATTATTATCAATAAATAGTTTATAAACAAAATAAAGATGAATCAATTTAAAGACAATCATATGTAATTAGAGCATTGACCAGCTGACGAAGTTACATTGATCAGAGTTATACTTGATAATAATTCTCTGCTTATCTCTAGCCTTGTACTGAATAATCAGAATGTAATTCAATGCTTATTTAAAGAAATAAAAATTGAAAAGTCGTTTTACTAACAATTTACAACAATATTGTTTTCTATATTATTTTTTCATGATTTTTTTATCGATTGAACTATTTTGTTTTTCATTATTTCAATTATTCGCATGAATCATTAATTTGTTTACAGTTCCTATTATTTCAGCTGATCAATGTGTCAAAGAACTGTCAAAACAATCGATAATGTGGCAGGTTTTAAGTGGATATCATGAATTTTGTGTACCTAAATAGAATATTGATTACTAAATGAGTATTAATAATGTAGCATGCATGGAATAAAATATTTGATAACTTTTACCTTTAGTGGTTTCATTCTGTAGTAATGCACATAATTTAGCAGCAAGATTCTCAGCCATAATGCTGTTTCTATTACGATCAAAAAGTTAAATGATTGAGACAGGCGCCATTGCATACACGCGCGCATGCAATCTGTTGCTGCGCAGATAACATATGATAGTGTTAACATGTCCCAAGTAACGCATATAAAAAAAAGATATTTTTTACATAGATAAAAGGCGCTATTTTGGAGGGATTCAATACTAAATCATCTTGATGTAGTTGAAATATCACTTTTTTATCTATATTATTTGGATAGAGGACTCATATTAATTTGAAATTAGTACCTGCACGTTTGATATATGCGAAGCAACGAACATCAAAATAAAACAGATGTCATAAGGTGATGTAAAAAAGCCTACCATATAAAAACATCCAAAAATATGAATTTCAAAACTGTAATGCACCAAAAACAAAATTCCCCAAAACCTCAAAATTATTGCATTCGAAACTTACCGACAGTTGTTATCTGAAGTTATTTGTCGGTCGGTAAAGCACATTTCTTACGATAACCTAAAAAACACACAAATAAACATGGTTATAAATTTGAACAACTCATACAGTTACTAAATAAATCATGACAATAAAAAATATAATTTATGCATTGAAGTGCAATAGTTTCTTTACTGCCTTCAATGACAGTCTTTCTAATCACTTAAAAATTTTGCAATGCTTGAGCACTATGTAAACTAATTAAAAAATTTTTGTCGTGATTGTTTTAACTCAATTGTTAAAATTACAATAAATTTCTATCACATCTTTAGGCATTTAACGCTCTAATACCCCTGAACTTCATAAAATTTCGTTTTGTATTTCTAAAATATCTGTAAACAGTAAAATGATGTCATTATTTGAATATGAAGTTTCAATTAACTTTATTCTATAAAACGTTAACGTTTTATAACGAATTTTTAACGTTGAAAAACGAATTTTTGTTCTATCCTGAATTCTTAATTGGTTCAAATTTAACATTCGATAAAAATATAATTAAAAAGTATTACTATTTAATTAACAATTTTTTCAACAAAGATAAAATGTTTTATATGCAATAAATATTGGGAAAATTATTTTATAAAGTTATATAATTTAGATATTACATATAAATCACTGATGTTTCATCACGTCATATCAATTTCATTTATTTTTATTCATTGCAATAGACAATGACATATTTTGTATGCATGTCAATGAACTTGGTACGGTAAATTACACTAGAATATGTGCCTTTTCTTCATAGTAATAATAATTATAATAAAATAGAAAGGTAAGTAATGTAAAAGTGTATTCTGACAATTTAAAAACACACGTGTTGTTATTCGTTAGCGCCACCTAAGTAGATATGGCGTTATAAAAAATGTTTTTATCTCGTGTGATATTTTTTAAAATGTTTCACTTAATGAAATGTGCATCAATTATGGATAAAAGTAAATTGTAATTACGAGAAAGAGCTCGAATTTCAATAATAAAAATGACATAAATAGATTTATAACAAAAACACAAACAGAATTGACAATTTGTTACTTTTTTAACCCATCATTTATACGATTCCACAATTCAATTCCCGCTCGTCCCGCACGGCGGTAGTATCGTTGCAGAACAACATCGTCAGCGTACGGCCATTACTGTTAAATGTGGTGAGATGTAAAGATACATTCGTTGAAACAACGACAAAAAATAAAACAATAAAATATTTATATGTTGTAACGAAGATTAAACTAAAGTTATTAAAATGCATACTGTAATGGAGGTTGAAACAAGCGTCCCAGCTTTTCTTGGGAAGCTTTGGAAACTCGTTGAAGATCCTGAGACCGACGACCTTATTTGTTGGGCACCCGTGAGTACTCATACATAGCCTGTATTTATTATATCCCACTGTTACCAAGCAAAATAAGTTATGTTTGTCTAGACATGTTAACTCGACAAAACTCATTCAGCATCAAAGATTGTATGATTTTCAGCCTAAATCATTCTTTTCTTTCTATATTTTCATCATTTTTTCAATACCGTACGTTACCAAACGTTGTACGACGTTTATTATATTATTCAATCTACGACATACGTGGAAAATTCCTCTGCCCCCTCACACAATTTATGATCAAGTGGGTATTGCAGATCAAACTATTCAATTATTTGGCGACAATAATTTTATTGGAAATTATTTAACAGTTTGCCGCTCGGACAATGACATCTCTTTTGAGTATATTGTAGTTGTATATGCGACATAATTTCATACGTACTAACAAATACTTAATAAAGTTTAGCTAATATTGAATGACAGACTAATAAGATTCTTAGATAATCGAAAACTCGTTTTTCACTCTAGGGGAAATTGTTACCTATTCGTTTACTTATGTAATAGAAAATTAAATCGATAATGAATTATTAGTATGGGAATTTAGCTAAGAATAAAAACATTTAAATAGTAAATTTTAATCCAATGCATTTATTAGTATTTATATTCACTTGGAATTATATTTGCAATTATCAGATAATAATATACTATTTTCCTAACGTATTATTTTGCAGAATGGAAGGAGTTTTTTTATTAGAAATTCGGCACAATTCGCTAGAGAATTATTGCCACATTATTACAAACACAACAACATGGCTAGTTTTGTTCGACAACTTAATATGTGTAAGTATAGAAAATAAAATTGGGCAAATATTTTATTGTCTCAATCTAGAATTAGATATTTTAATATTATTTTGTCTCTTTCAGACGGCTTCCACAAGAAAGTATCAGTGGAACTTGGAGGTCTTAAATGTGATAGAGATGAAATGGAATTTGCTCATCAATACTTTATTAAAGATCACCCTTATCTATTGGAACATATTAAAAGAAAGGTAAGAAAGCTTTAGGAGACATCAGTTTATTAAAATTATACATGAATAGTGGGAGTGATTGGTGTTCAATTTTTAACTGGACTTAATCTAATTTTAGATTGCATCAAGCAAATCGCAAGATGCTCACCCACCGATTAAAACAGAGATGATGAATAAAGTGTTAAACGAAGTGAGAAGTATGCGAGGTCGTCAGGAACACATGGACTCAAGACTTGGTACAATGAAGAGAGAAAATGAAGCTCTGTGGCGAGAACTTGCGATGCTCAGGCGGAAACATCTTAAACAACAGGAAATTGTTAATAAACTAATACACTTTTTAGTTACACTTGTTCAACCATCAAGAAGTGGTGGATTATCAGTTAAAAGGCGTTATCCACTTATGATCGATGATCATCAACGCAACAAAAAAATAAAAGTGGGAAAAAACGTAGTGAGCTTAATGCTACTTATATTGTTTTCGTTTATAAAATTTTTTATTGCAATGTAAAGGGATTTTATATCGTTTTTTTCTTCATCAGCCTGAAGCATCACCTACGGGGCCTGTGATACATGAACTAGATGCCTCTGAACATGATCATCATGAAGATCTTGACTCTGAATATATCGTAGCAGAGTAAATAAAACTTTTTATTATTTATTTAAGATAATTTTTATGTATAAAATTTTCTTACAATCTTACCATTTTTCAGGATGTTGGAAAATCATCAACATCCAGCTATTCAGAGTCCTGAGTCCATGGAAGCCGTTTTAGATGATGAAAATATTGAAACGGTGCAGTATATAGAGGGTATGATACCTGTAAAAGGTGAAACTCAACCATTACAACAAGAATGTTCTTCAAAGAAAAAAGCTGTTTTTAAACCAACGAAAAAGAAGTAAGTCATCTTTGAAATTTTAAGTTTTGTTTTTGTTATCATGTATTTAAAGGTGTTCAAGCTATTCACTACATAAATTTGAGTGACTCAAACAAACTCAATCACGTTCGAAGAATAAATCACTTCATAACAAAATCATTCTTTAATCGTGCATGTAGTGATCAATTTATAGAGTGTTAAAAGCTTGACACCAATTTAAACTTTTGGCTTCTCAAACACTGAGGAATATTGATATCGCAGAAGTTTGATTATTTAATTAAAGGTAAGCTGTATTGTAGACGATTACGATTCATAATTGGTGGAAAGGTCGAATTATTTTTGTTTTAAGTATTTTTTGATGGGTAAATTAGGTAAAAGTATTCTGATCTAATTTTGCGACTATTCAATTGATTATTCGACAATTGATTCCTTAAAATCAATAAATTTGTTCGTCTTTTGTATTATTTACTAATCTTTGATTGCTTTGTAATTAATTCACTGATAAATTGATTCGATTCAATTAAAATCCATTGATATTTAGTTTTATTATTCTTTCATCAATCAAAATAGTTGAAAATTTTCGAAAAATAGATAATTTAAATTGATTTTCAAAAATTTCTTCTCCGTTTTGGTTATGCTTTCTTTTTTTCCTATTTTAACTATTATAGATTCGCCTCTATTAAGATAAAATGATTTGGAAGATATCGTTGATATAATTAAAATTATAATGATAATAGTTATGTAAATATTTGATACTTACTAGGAGGAAAAACAAGCTGCCAGTCAAAATATTGATCCCATCATCGGAAATCGGAGAAGAACCCAGGTTATCATTTTTTCTCATTCACACACTTAGTACTTGATGTTTCATTTTATCACTGCTTTTCAACCATTTCGTTATTGGTTATTATTTTTTTATTCATTATTCATATTTACCCTATTTTTGATCATGTAAAAGCTGAAACAGTAAAGAAGTTCCAATTTTGTTTTGTTATAACAATTTAAAACTTTATAATTTATTGCATGATAATTATTCTTATTTATTTCAATCTGTTTGTATTATAAGCTTTTAGAGACAGTTATATAATAATATAAGTAAAAAGATTGTCGAAAAAATTTGAACAAAATCAGACAAAAAGTGCAAAGCGATCGCTGTCTCGATTTTTAGGGAAGAAAGATTAATGCTTGAAGTGAGCCCGGATGAAACTCCAGTGCCAATCGAGTTATTGGGGTCCAATACACCGCAGCAGTTGAAGCCAGTGCCTGTGAAGACAGTGAGGAGTTCAAAGCTGGCAGCAATGGCAGCAAACATCAAGATGAATAGTGCTGAAGCTGATGAAGACCCTGATTCAGACGAGGTGGAGGAAGACCCCAAGGAGGCTACTGAAATTGTAGATGTTAACTTAGATGACATTTTAATCATCCCTGATGTACTATTGCCTGAAGAAACTAAAAAATTAGTCAATGGAGAATTGAATAATAAATCTCCAGATGAAACTAAAAAATCAGATACAACTGTAGATAGTACAAAAGAAAAACCTGCTCAAGATAAGAATTCTACTCAGGTGACAGATCTTGAAAATAAGAGTCCAGATGAAGGCGATGCCGCTTCTAGCAGTTCAACTAAGAGTTTGTCCTTGAGTTGCGTAAATCCTTCAGGAATGACTAATGCTGCTTACAGGTTAGGATCGATGTAAGTTTAACATGGACCATGGGTTAGGAGCAAGAGAAAAAGATTTTTCAAGAGTCTCAGCTCTCAAAACTACTAGGAATTATGACTCTCCTATTAAATTTAATTAGACTTTAATTTATTTTTTTTTTTATCAATTATATTTTGTTATTTCAGTAACATCTATTAATTTTCAATATTTTTTTGAGTTTTAGTTCTTACACAATGCTTCGTTTATCTGTTTTCCAATTTTTCTGAATGAGACAAAAATATTTTGATGATGATGGTTGAACTTTTTCTTTATAGTATTTTTAAATATCTTCGAGATTTTTTTATAATAGAGTTTATTGATGACAAAAACAAATAACATAAAAGAATTGAATTTTTTAATTATTAGATCATAGAACATTTTTAAAGATGTCAAACTTTATCAGTAATTGAAGAAATGTCTTAAGTGATACATTGAAATGAATTATTTTATTTTTTACTAATATATTTTATATTTGTATTTGATTAATAATGATATAATAATATTATTTTTTATTATTTTATCTAGAGAAGAGATGGATAATCATTTGGAGTCAATGCAAACGGAACTTGAAAATTTGCGTGAAATTTTACGCAATGAAGGTTACAGTATCGATGCCAATACATTACTTGGAGTACGTATAAAGTATATTATCTGATAATTATTTATTATTCAGTATGGAAACAAAAATATTCATTATTATTTCATCAACATGATGAAAAAATATCTTTTAAAACGTTTAATAAGTATAAAGGTATGACAACGTTACATTTGGTCAAAATTAATAAAATTTTCAGCATATGTGACGTTGCAATTTACGTTTATGTGCTCTGATCTACAAATCGATCATTTGAGTTTTGTTTAAGAATTCCCTGAGACTTTATAAACAATTTGGAACAATGCAGTCTTCGTTCAAGGAACTTTGGCTTCAATATACAATCAAGATTCAACGGGTTTTACTTGAATATATATTTTTATATTGTATATTTATATTACGTATTATTATACAACGTAATACATCAAATTTATTGATAACATTTATTTATATTGTTAAATACTTGAAAAATAATTTATTTATCATGAAGATTATTTTCATTTTGTTTGGAAAAATATTATATTGTTCAATTTTTTTGTAGCTGTTTGGTAACGATGATCCAATGTCATTTGGAATACCTGTCAATCCCGAACTAGATCCAACTCGTACTGAACGAGAAGAGGAAGAGCGTCTAGAGGGTGAGTTAATATCAATTTGTTATAATTTACAAATTTTTTTTTCTCTTAAATATCTTTTAAATCTGGATTTATAAATCTGTTTTTATTTTCAATCATTCATATCTTATCTTATTATCTGTTATGTTATGATTTATAATCCTGTTGGATATTTTATTGTTTTATTTAAAAAATCTTGTTTTTAAATTATAGCCAAAAATTCGTTAAAAAATAAATATAGATTTTTATAATAAATTATTATTAAATCGATATTGAATCAAATATTAAATATAATTTGAGAATATATTATTTCCTTAAGCATAACATGATGTCACAGTTAATTTTTGTTTTTAAAGTTTATAACTTCGATAGTTTTATCAAGAATATCCGTTTTTTATCTTATATTTTCTTAATTTTTACATTCTGTTTTCTTTTAAATTTCATAGATATGTTATTAACTGTTGAGATTTCAATCCATAGAAACATCAAATGGACCAACCGGACAAGAACTTATGACGTACAATCCATCATCGAATTTACTGGATTTCGATGATGATATATTTCTTGGTGCTAATAACTTGGGTTCATCCAGTAATATGGAGAATCAAAATGAAACAAATGGATACTACACTCAGGAACCTCTAGATTTGGAGGATAGTAAAGCATTGTTACTCGATTCCTTGGTTTCTGGAAATGGAAACTCATCGTCTATGCGATCATAAATTATCAATTAATTGTTGGTGAGTGAGATTATCATTGATAACTAACGGGCTGATATTTATCATTTGATTTCAACCAGTGGTCGGAGCCAACGAGTGATTTACTTGGCAAATGAAAGTGGCAAACTTTGAAAAGACTTAAAAAAATGTTGACTTTTTTAATCATTTTTAGTTCACTAATTTATTTATATTTTTTATAATTTTGCTCGCGTTTTGTAAAATTGTTCTTAAGCATGTGTTATAAACGTCATATTGACGTTATTATCAATAACATGAAAATATTAATTTATCTATATTTAAATTTATTTCATTAAATTCATAAATAATTTAATATCATTGTTACATGAAAATCTTTCTTTGTTTTTGTTGTTCATGCGTCATAGCAATCGTACTGATGAAAAAGTTAGATAATCTTGAAAAAAAATTTGTAATAATTAATAGCGTATACATACAAAAACTTGACTGATTTTTTATTGAAATTAAATATTAAAATATGATAAAAATATTTGAAAACGGTAACATATTGTGAAATTAATATTTTAAAAAATAAAATGTCAATTAATTTTTGTCCATTAATTATAATTAAAAATATTAAATAAACAATTATTAACAAGTGCCGAAAATGAGACGTTGGTTTGTTGAATTAATATCATTGTTAATTTATAGAATGATGTTTATTACAGATAAAATTCATACATTTGTGATTTTGAATACTTGAATGATAAAAACCGACATTTGTATAAATTGTTAAATTAAACAGAAAAATTAATAAAAAAATATCAGATACAATAACTATCTATTTTTAACAGATAACAGAGTTGCGTCTCTTTTGACATGGTCAATCGGTCACTTGGTTTCACCTTCCAGTTGCGTTCTAAGTTTCGCGACATGCCTGATAATGAGTACGATTTATATATTTTCTAAAGATTTTTATCGTTGCAAACTTTATTAAAGTTAAAGACACTTTCACTATTATTTTTAAACTTTTATAGATAAAAAAAAGGATGATCTCAAATAATTTATCTTTTTCAAAATCAATGAACTGATTAATAAATTAATAATAAAAGATTTGTAATTTTAACGGGTGAATGTGTCTTTCAAATGAGAGCATTAATTACTTTTCTTTGGATTAATTTATTTAATTTTTCATTAATTTTATTGATTGCTCTCTATATTTTCCATTCAAGTCCTAATCATTCGAAAAATGTTTTCAAATTTATTTTTATGTAAATAAAATTCACAAATGTAATAAAATAATGTTCGCTACTTGATTATTATTTATTTAAAAAAATATTCAACAAAAAATACTTATTTTTTATCTATATTTTATTAACACTAATTATAATCCAGGTATTAAGAATATTTTGTTTCGTTTTAGCCTCGGAGGAAATACTGGATTATCTTATAGGGCAGTCAGTAATTCTACATAACAATTTAAGCAGAGCAAAAATAATAATTAGATATAAAAAGTCCGTACATATATCACTAATTTAATAATTAGTCTATCAAGCACATTATAATGTTAATAGGTTTATGATAATATTATGAAAGCTGAAAAGAAATTATTATTACAATGAACAAAAAATATTTAAAGTATTTATCGAATAATAAATACTATTTGTATGTTTACACAAATTTCTCTGTGAGAGATTAAGTATCAGCTTTGTGCTTTTAGCTGAAAAAAAGAAAAACATATTGTCGTATTTGTGAAACGTGAAATATTACGGAAATAATAAATATAAAATGAAGGTCATAAAATACAATAAATTCTGTAATCGGTAAAAAAAATTATCAAATTTTTTAATTTGTCGTTCTATAAAAATGCAAAATTAGCCAAAGTAGACAATGTTAATTGATGTACTAAATAAGATAATTCGTCATGATCTTCATTAAATACGTAATGTATACAAAATGTATTGACTGATGACGATAAAACGTTTCTATAACATTGTTATTTAATAACATAAATATTTATGTCAACAATATATTATATTGTTATATATTATAATAATTATAACAATATATTAAAATTGATTGTTTTAGTACTTTCTAAAATGTAAAACAATCAGACAAAACTTGAAATCAAAAAAATCACATTAAAAATTATTTTTCCTTAAATTTATTTTCTTTTCAAATTAAAACATTCGACAAATATATATTTTTTAAATTATTTTGATTCGGCTTTTTCTGGTTTTTCTTAAAATTCCATGTCACAAAAAAAAAATAAAAAATAACATTCTAATAGTAAAAATAATTCATAGTTTATTTAACAAATTGGATAGCAATGACTACAAATGTAATTATTGTAAAAAAAAAAGATAAATTATTTTAAAAGGTGTTATTGGACAAGGGTAAACATTAGCTTTGTTTTTAATAATTATTTTCTTTATTTTAGTCAATAATTTAATACTATTAAAGTTATCAATAAATATGATCAATAATACGTAATTATATACAAGTTATCACTACATATATTCACTTTTTTTAATTATTAATCCAACACATAAGAGTGGAAATATAGTAATCGTAAAAAATTAAAAATCAACCGATAATTATCTCATTGTTTCGGATTTACTAGAGGGATTAGAATAATTTTTTATCAACTCTTTAGTATTTTTGTATGAAATATCAATAATGTTAAAAATAAATAAATAAATAATTTAATAAAATAATAAATAAAGTCTCTATTTCCACGCTTCTAACGAACGAAAAATGACGAATAATTCTAATTGTAACAAATTTTCTTATGAAAATATTGATAATAAAAACATGTAAATAAGTGTAATTAGCAGAGGAGCACATGAAGATTATTATTTTGTAAGCAAAATGTGTATTACTTATGTAGTAATTAATTTTTGAATGCGAGTTTAGGCAATAATGAAATAATTTAAGTTGTCTTCTAAATTATAATTGTGAGTGAGATATTAATATTTTCTAGAACAAATACACTCTAGAAGTATTGATTATATGATTATTTGAATTAATCATCTCATTTAAACCTGTAAACCTCGAATTATTTGTTTTAATATGTAGAAATTGGAGTAATAAATAATCTTGGAAATATTTATATGATTTGAAAGTTCTCCTTGTGATAAAACAAGGTATTTTAATAAATATTTATTACATAAAATTTCATTATTTACATAATATTTTTAATTTACATGAAATAAATAGTCATTTTTAATAATATCACTTGTTAATAAATTACTTATATCTCTTTAATTTTTTATAAAAATTATAAATACACGATAATACTATTCCAATAGTAATAGTAATTGTTAAAAAATTTTTTCTTTCATTTTTTAATATTGCACATCTCTAGAGGACGGAAACAATTCACTCCGAATCCATTATTTCCATTAAAAAATAAATCCATTATCTTTGTAATAAAGGTGGAATAGGAATATCTCGCGTATCTAAAACACCTGATTGATCTGAATATTTAACATGTAAATTGCCGAGATTTTCAACACTGGTATGTGAAATTCCTGGACATGAAGTGGCATCTAAATACTGAAGATTTTTACAATAAAGCTTGATTGCTTCTAAACTAAAATCAGTTAGTTGAGAACAGCTCTGAAATAAATTCAAACAATTATTAATATGTAATTACGGAGAACATACAAGAAAAAATAAGTGTTGTAAACCTTGCATTTAATTAAAATTTACTTCGTACGAAGCATTAATCATCAATTCAACAAATTACTTAGTAATTATAGAGGAACTAAAACTCTTTTTTGATAAAAAAATAAATTAAGGTAAAGTATTTTACCCGTATATGAAGACGTTTTAATCTTTCTAATCGTTGAACTACATAGACAATACCAATGTCAGTAACATTATGACACTGAGAAAGATTTAGATCTTCAATTGCTCGATTGTTTTTAGTGAGATAATCAAGACCGACATGAGTAATCTAAAAAAAGTAACAATAATTAGCTGAATCATTACAGTTAATATTGACTTTAAGATTATGAAATAAATAAAATAAATTACATTACCTGCTGACATAGACTTAAGTCAAGAATCCTAAGTTCTAAGAACATAAAAGCATGTTTTAAGCTCACATCAGTTACCCTATTACAACCCGCTAAATCAAGCTCTGTTAAGCCTCTCAAACGAGTCAAAGAAAATCCGGAGGCAATATCAACATCCAATGGAGATGTATCTTCACACATTTCTAATACTTCTCGTTTTCTATTTGCATCTCGAACTATTTCTTCTTCTGCTCTAGAGCCCAGTCTTATTCTTAACTTAATGCCAGAAACTTCAGGGATTTTATGTTCTACTTTAGCTTCGACGATATTTTCTCTATTCCCGGAACCCATTCCAGTTAAACCAGCATCACTTACTTTGTCACAACGACTTACCCTCAATGTTTTTAGTAGTGTTAATTCTTTAAAAATTTTTTGAATGGTTTTATCAGTCACTGCACTGAAACAATAACCAACATCTAAAAATGTTAACTTTGGAAATGATGTAGCAATGCATTCTATAGCCTTCTCATCTAGATTTAAAGCATTTGCTGATAATACTTCTAGACAATTATTGACATATTTTTGTGATAAATTCCCATCTATTAATTCAGATGTACAATTTGGATTAACATTTTCAAAATCAAGAAATAAATTTTGATCATCATTATTTTCTGCTTTCACATCTTCTGTTATTGTTGGCTGACACAGTCCTTGAGTAATACATGCTCCAGTTAATTGATCACATTCAGAAATATCTAATTCCTTTAATTTTTTCAGTAAATGAATTTGTTTAATACCAAGATCTGTTACAGCTCTACACCTTCTTATATTAAGAATTTCAATATTGTGTAAATTTTTACAGATACAAATAATACTAGCATCTGTGACTCGTGTGCAAAAACTAATATCTAATACTTTGATATTTGTTTGATAAATGAGACTACGAAGTCCTGTATTCGTTAACTGATCACATGATTTAAGTTTAAGTGATTCCAATTTTAATTCTTCTATACTTGCAAGACTACTTAAAGCTGTACTGTCGATTAAAGTAGAACCAAAGCTCAAATGTTTTAGTCTTTTTGCTTGTTTTTTTATGTATGCTAAAACATTGAAAAACGTTAAAAGTGATTCAGATGCTTGATCTGAAGATTTATAATCACGATAAAATCGTTTGTAGACTCCAGAATGAAAAGAAATTTGACAGTCGGTGAGACTTAAAGATTGAAGATTAGGACAAATTGATACAAATCTGTTGAAAAGAGCATCACTTAAGTATCGATTGGATGCTAAACTCAGTTCAATAAGTGACTGAAAATTTTGTGATAATTCATCAACATCTTTTTTGTCATCTAATAGCCTTCCAGACATTAAACATTCTCGACAAGCATTGATGTGTAATATACGTAAATTTTTTAGACACTTTAAAATACTCACAAGTGTCCTTTCACTTAAATCACAACAAACCTATAGATTAATTTTATTCAATTTTCTTAATTATTCAATTAAGTTTATGAAAAAGATGTGTAAAATTTATTACCAATATTAAACTTCTCATAGATGATCCAAATTTATCCCAAATAGGAAGATTTCTTTTCACCTCCACTTCTTTGAATATAAAGTGATAAAAAGGTCTTTGTGACTTCAACAAAGTATTCATAACAAGTTGTAGATTGTCTTCCTCTCGACTCACAATAACTGCTTGTTTGTTGACAAACCTTAAAGTAAGAGAAGCTTCATGCCATTCTCTACAAACTAATCCAGCTGACATTCGATCAGAAACGGATAAATATGACATAATGTGAATGATAACCTGTTAAATTAAAAAAAAATTTATTTATTTATTGTAATAACAGAAAAAAACAGCTGTCATTAAAAGATTTATGTCAGTCATTTTGGAGCTAATTAATTAATTACTTACTTCAATAGGTAATTGGAGGTTATCTCCTGTATTTATATCATCAGTATGATCATGCTCAACATCTTCTAACGCCATCGTGTCTCACAAACACGATCACAGTTGACGGAAGACTGAGAATAACACCAAACAACACTTCAAGACTACACTTCTTCGTTTACTTTACGATTTACATTGCATGCACAGCAATCAGCTGACTTCTCCCAATAATAATCATGTGTCAGCTGAACTTACCAACAGCTGTGCGTCATGTAGACGTTCTAGGTCCGTGAATAGACTTTAAAGAGCCCTCAACCTTGACTTTACAATTTTTTTCTGTGAACATACACATACATACACTATTTAGACACATAGAAATATCACTTACTTCATGACTACAAAAAACACTAGGTAGTAATAATTTATTTATATTGTTTGATTATCAATTTAACTGTCTCAATGTTTGTTTTGGAGGTTAATTAATGGATTAGATAAGATAAATGATATGGAACTTATGCAATTAGTACTTTTAGAGTCCACTCCTAATAATTCGGTATTTTATTTTGTTTATAAAGATATATTTATTAATTTTCTTTGTTCAAGAACGATGAAATTTTTTTAGCCTGAAGTTCAACATAAATGTGAAATTATTGAAGATGATATTGTGGAAACATTACTTCCTGGTGATAAATTAATCAATCGGATTAAAAGATTGATTGCTCGACGATGCATTCTCTCTTGCAAACATCCTATTACTAAATCCTGTATAAAAAGTAATGCTGCCGTTAAAAAGGAAATAATTAAGCATATTCAACTTCATCCTTATATGATACATCCATTTAGTGAATTCAGAAAGCTATGGGAAATATTTATGATCATTTTTACATTATCTTCTCTTTTAATAATCCCTTGTTTCATTGCTTTCCAATTCAATGATCCTCATAAATGGATTTATATTGTTATAGCAATTAAATCAATATTCCTTTTTGATATTATTTTATTTTTTTTTACTGGTTATTTTGATCCAGAGACCAGAAATATTATTTTTCATAGAAAAGTTGTATGCCAGTAAGTAAAAAAAAATACTTCTTTCATAAATAATATTTTTAAACAATCAATAATTTTTATTTTTGTTGATTTAAAACATGTTAATTTAATTTTCAACTTTTCTTGTATATTTTTATCTCTTTAAGTACAGTTTATTTACCTCATATGATTATTCACACCTGATGCTACATGATTTTACGATTTCAGTCTTTTAAATTGATAATAAATTATTTTTAACCAAATTAAATGTTCAATAATTGATCATTCAAAAAAATATTTATAAATCTTAATATTCTTTAATTTTAGAAAATATATTAAACATTTTATGCTGGATTTATTATCTGCATTTCCTTTTGAATTAATTTTTGTCACTATACCTACCTTGAATGACAATGATTCAATGGTTTATGTGTCAGCACTGAATTTATTGATGATACTCCGAATAAGAAATCTTGTTTCTTATTTACAAATTTTTCGAAAAGTAAAAATTTATATGCTTTAAAATCATAAACAAAAACTTTATGAACATTTAATTTATCTTGATGTTGCAGTTCTATCAGATATCATTCCAAATGTATAAAATTATTGAAATGTCAGTGATCATACTAATTATTATTCATTGGGCGAGTTGTTTGGAATTATTGTTTCCACTGATTGGAGAAAAATACAGTTGGGCAAGACGTCCTAATCAAATGTAAGAAGCAAATTTAATTGAAAATGATGAAATGTTTAAAATTTATATTTATAGTGATTACAATGTGTAATAAGTAGATCTTGGATCAATTCAGAGGCATTAAAAAGAAAAAACACTGCAGCAAAAATGTATGCAAGTTGTGCTAAAAGAGCTGTGATAGCTTTAACTGGTAGCTCTCATCATCTAGATGTTAAAACAAGAGAGGATATATTATTAAATTCATTTCTGTCCGTACTTGGGAGAGTGGGTATCATCTACATGCTAGGTGAATGTCCTCTTAATATAAATAATCATGGATTTACTGTTCATATTTGATTATTAATCATTTCCTTATCAGTTTTATCGTAGCAAAACTATCGTTGATTTCCTTTGTTTCATTGATCGTTTACAATATTCATTCTTCAGCACAATTTTCGCAATTGATGACGATGTTTTATTCAACAAAGAAAAAAAACATTAAATCATTACATCAACTGTTGGAGTATATGCGTTATAAAAAACTTCCTCGACATGTACAGCAAAGAATATTGATTTATTTCCATTATTGGTCAAACAAGAGCTCAAAAAGAGATAAGATGATTATTTCTAGTGTTTCTTCTAATTTAAAAGAAGTATTAAAATACTTGAATTAAAAATAGCTTTTTATATGAAATCAAAGTAAGAGCAGAAAGCAAAAAGCAAGAATAATTGAAGAACCATTCTATTTGTTATTTTAATCAAAACATTATCTATTCATCCTTCAATAAGAAATAATATTTAGAATAAAGAAGTTAAAACTCTCATTTCAAAATAACTAGAATTTTACCATCGTTGAACATTTAATTTATTAATGAACTTTTTTGTATGTAAATTTATTTTTTTATAAATGGTTAAAAATGAACATAAAATATCCTTGAAAAGACTTTGGATAGTCACCAAAACTTGAAAAAATGGCAAAAAGCTATTATAAGATGATTCTATGACATTTAAGATCCATAACTTTTTAAAAAGGCTCTATTCAGTCTTATTTCTGACCTTGCTTTGATATACTATTAACAAGTTTTACATGAATAAATAATGCAAAGATTTTATAAATATATTTATCTCTAGGAACTATTGATGCACAAATATTCAAAGTTAATAAAAAACGTGGAGTTCTTCAAGCATCTACCTGATCATGCTATTTCTCAAGTAATAATGTATCTTAAGGCAGAAATATATTTAACTGATGACGTTTTAGTTGAAGCTGATAGCATTTGTGATACTATGTTTTATATTATTTGCGGGACTGTTGCGGTTTATACTAAATCAAAGAGAAGAGTATGCTATTTAGAAGAAGATTCATACTTTGGTGAAATTGGTTTGGTTTTACAAAATGAGAAAAGACCAACAACAATAATTGCAATGGAGACTTGTGAAGTTTATTTACTTCATCGTGATGATTTTTTAAAAATTATTGAGTCTTATCCTTATTTGATCAATCGATTACAAAAGTTGATTATAGGAAAGTTGGAAAAATTTTCGTCGAGTCAAACTTTCCATAAATTTGATGAGCCTCAATTAACAAACATTGATGTCTATGATGAATCTAGTGAAGTTAGAAATATTTGATGATAAAGTTTATCGTTATTTTATGCAGCAATAAGATGTTATATATACATATGAATGTTCAAAAGTTTTATAAATAAAAAACCACAAATAATCTGTGTTTTTAAGTCTTAATATATAAGAGACACTCTCTCTATTACAATTCGACTTTTCAGTTAAAAAGTTAAATTATGTAATTAAGTTTTAGATCGATTAAAGTTTCTTAACAATTCAAAATATTGTTAATTGTTAACTTTACAGTGAGAAGTTATTACATATTTATTTATTTTGATTCTATATCTTCCCGTTTAATCGTAATACTTTCTTCTTCGAATAAATCAGATTCAGTTTCAATTTGTTCAGATTTCACTGTATTTTCATCATTATATTTACTATTCAAAGAATATATACTCAATGAACTATTTAATGAATTGCTTTCAGTTAAAGTATTATTGAATAATCCAAAATCATTCATGTCACTGTGATTTTTATCTTGGTTTGGAGCAGAAGAAATGGCTTCTGATCTACTTATTTTGATGTCTTGATTTCTTGATAGAAATCCATTAATAAAATCGTAGCCTGCCTTTTGTTTTTCTTCATTAAATTTATGTCTTATACCAAAATGTTGTGCAAATTTATATGCAATTATTCTTAAGTCATTTTTTGTAAACGTAAATCCCATACTTTGCATTCTTATTATATGATTAGCAAGTCGTCTTTCATTATCATAACCAAATGTACATCCAGGACCTAAGCCTCCTTTTAAGAATTTATTTTGTTTAAAACGTCTCTCCAATGTTTTTCTAGGTACACCGTATAACGAAGCAGCACGATAAATGGACATGTTATCATTTTTTATTGCTTCCAGAGCTTTTGTCAATTGCTCTTGAGTCCAATTACCACGTTTGTGTTCAGCTATGCGAATATATTTATTAGGCATCTGAAAAAATTTTTTTTTTGTAAATAAAATAGTTATATTATTTATACAGATAGAATATCATAAGATAACTGATCATTTTACTCTATTGTACGGATAAGATGGCCACCAAAACAACATGAATCAATGTATTAATAAAAAATGAGACATTTGGAACTTAGTTTATTATATTGAATATTCTGATAAAATAATTATATAAAATAATAACTACTCAGTTGACATTACTTAATAAATGCAATTTATCATTAAGTACTTACATTTTTATACGATGTTTACAAATAATGATTTACACACATTCTCTCTCCTTGGAGTATGACAGCTGCAACAATTGTTGTAGGGACTAAATACTCACACATATAATAATAATAAAAATATCACATGTGTATCTACATATATAATATTTAATTATTTATTAATAATTAATTAGATAAATACAAAATTCTAATTGGTAAATTAATTAAACTTAGACTAAAGGCCAATCTCTATTGATCTCTGGCCGATACCTTATCGGCTGTATGGCATTAAGAGTGTAGAGTGTTACGTCTAGGTTTCGCAAATAACAGCAGCGATACCTCCTGGATTTGGAGGGAATCCGTTGGTCGACGTTTTGAGGGAAATAAATAATAAATACAAGCTAACAATGGTGCGGAGCATTTTTTATTCCTTATAAATATTTCTATTGTAAAGTGAAATCATAGAAATAGAGTATTCATGTAGTTGTAAGAAAAAATTTATTTATACAAGTTTAACTATTTAGACAATAATTATATCTACAAAATTGAAAAGATTGATTCAGTACACCAATATTTCTATTATGTCATTTAAAGTAACACAATATTTAGCTGCTATTAATAAATAACACTGGATACTTTGGAATCATTCTGATATGAGCAAAGTACTGTTTTGGAGTAATATTATATTGTTTTCAGAAAGTTAGCTAAATGTATATGTATGTGTGATAAAAAGAATCGATAAAATATTAGTCTTAGCAGAAAGTTACAGCAAATTTGAATCTTGGTCCCACTTATAAATATTTATCGACTATTTAAAATTTCATAGTAAATTTTCAATTTCAAAGTAATTATTTTTAATTACATGAATAGTAAAATTGATGCAAATTTATAAGTTTTATAATAGGTTTATTACTTTCTATAAGAATTCATTTAATTACAAAATACTTTACAGCTTTAATTATTTATCCAAGTAATAGTTAACTAATTAATGTATTAAATCACAGTCTACAATTATTTTCTAGGATTTTTGTATGATTGTTGATAAACGGAAGTAAGCCTCCAATGTTCAGGATAATCAGCATCTCGACAGCCTTGAACTATACTAAAAGGTGGAGTAAGCGTATCAATGCAGAATTCTCTTCTAGCATAAGGAGTCCTAGGTCTTGGAATGGTGAATTTAGTTGACAAACCATTTCTTTTGACATTTTTCGTGCCTTGATACACGACAGGAGCCGAATGCAATGATCGTGATCGAGGTCTTCTATTTCTTTCTCCCTTGCATTGACAAGGAGAACAGTTTCTTAAATGAATTGGCTGTCTTCTATGAGGATTATTTTTACCAGGTTTATATATTTTATGTGCATACTCAGAAATATGAACAGCATCTAAATTGTTACAAAGATCATTTGCATCGTTACAGTTATTATTATTTTCCCTAACTTCGTTTTGTTTTTCGGAGCAAATACAGGTAGCTTGATTGTTCTCTTGATTACAATTATAATCTCCCATGGTATTACATTTACATCGACTTTTGACATTACAAAACTTAGCTTCAAATCTTTTCACAGGTGATTTATAAGTTAACTCATCACCATTTTCATGCTGAACCAAAGTAAAAATAGCTGGAGCTGGACCACCATCAGAACCATCAATGTGAGTAGGCCAAGGGGGCTCATAACAAGGATCTACTGGTGCTTCCCAACATATAGCAAGGTCCATATTAGTAGTAGGAGTTTTACAACCAAGTGCAGGAGCATATTGGAGACCTGCTTTGACTTTATGGCGAGATTTAAATGCAGATGGACCAGTGCGAGTTTCATTGAGTTTTTTATCACTTACACAATTTTCATCAAGTTTTCTTTGTTCATATCTAACATTTTTAAAAACTGAATCGTCAACCTTATCTGGCAGTGGTTGATGTTGAAGATTTTCTGCATGGAATTTTTTAGCAATTGCAAATCTGTCATAAACAGAACATGGACGGTGTGGTATTGGTTTTTCTGGACTTCTTCGAAGTCTTTCAGCTCGTTCTTCTTCACCCGGAACGTACTTTTTCAGTGAAGTTAATTTTAGATTACCTTTAATATAAGTGGGAAGATTACAATCGTGTTCTTGTCGTTCTTGAGAAGCAACCCAAGTGCCTGGACAATGAAGACAACACTTTCTTCCCTGCATTTTCAATTTTTTAAGTTGTCTGATCCATGTACGTAACTACTGATTGTTTTGATGTGAAGAGATATGTAAATAATTCAGAAAATACTGATTGAGAGTCTCGATCCATTTCTCGAGAGACTGAAGGAATTCACGTAAATATCTGGGGCTTCGTACAACCAGTTGTTTACTTGACAACGGATAGTTCAATACTTGACATGATTATGCAAAAATCTATACAAAGCAAAGGAATTTCATGATTTTATGTGAGTATCAACTAATCTTTACTTCTAAGCACACTTTCGAATTGCTTAAGGAAGAGAGGCATCAAAGAGTCAATTTCGAAAGGAAGGCCAAACAATACAAAAAGAAATGAATAAATAATAATACTTGTATCATAAGTTATTGTTTATTTCTTTATTTACATAATGTTATAAAATTATATAATTTGTGCATCATTTTAAATGGTAGTGGCTCTTTCATGCTATTCCTTTCCTACTGATAATATCATCCAGTTGTCAAGATCAATAATAACTTGGCATCATTTAAAAATAACTATGATTCTTTAAAAAGAAATAACTTCAACTGAAATTATGTCATGTGCGTGCTTCCAAAGTATTATACTTAAAAAAAAATTTTATTAACTGATTAACTGAGAAATTAATATTGACATTTTTATCTGATAAATTATAGCTTGGATCTTATTTTTAATTTTAGCGTGACAATTATTACTAGACGATGATTTAAATGTAGACAATAGATTTTGAAGAAAAAATTCTTTATTCTTCTGGCATAGAATATTATTAAATTTTTTTATTATTATTAAATAAATTGTTTCTAAAGTGTTATACTAGTAAATTTTTTTTTCGAATTTTTCAAAATGTTTTCATACTATGAAGTTATCAAATAGAAATAAATGTAAATAGAAAACTTCATTTACATTGCAAAGGTTAATATATCACAATGAAAAGAATTGAGTGTTAAAAGAAAAAAAATAATAAAGTTATGTCCAGCTCAAGAAGTCCAAGAGGATCCAATAGAGTAAGAACTGGACGAGGATTCTCATCAATAATATCATCTATTCGCGGACCCTATACTTTTGATGCTAATGTATATCAACAAAAAAAAACATTAGCAGAAGGAATGATGGATCTAGCCTTGATGTCTGCTAATGCAAATCAATTACGATATGTGCTTACTGCAAAAGAAGACATTTATCGATATATTTCGTTAATTTTAATTTCTTTAAGTTTTGTACTTCAAGTTATTATTGGCATCGGTTTAATTTGGAATATCAAGTATGATATAAGTCAAGAAGAACACACTGAAAAAGCTAATAAAACTAATAACTGGACAATAATTGGTATTTTTATGATAACTGTATTAAATGTTGTTATATCTTCTTTTGGTATCTCTCCAGCAGATTGTCTGCAACTGTCTAATAATCCTGAATTATCCATCAACCGATATGATTAAAACGTTATTGGATCTAAAATATATTGAAAAAATAGCAATATAACATTATTAGAATTTATTAAATTATTTAAGTGGAAAAAAAAAATTAAAATCATGTGATCACTGTATAAGTTTGTAATTATTAATTTATTTAATATTCTAAACTTGCTTTTGTTAATAAATTGTAAATTTTTAACCAAAAAAACTACATTGAATATATTAGAAGAATGATAAATTCATAATTGTCGCTTGGAGTAATTTCTGTTGCAATTTTTTGCTGATAAAGAATTTATGCAGCAAACTCCCTCTTCTGTAACATTAGTGTATTAACGTCTGATAAACCAAACATAAGGTCGTTGTTCGTAAAAACACAAGTTTGATTAAAATAATTCTAGATATACGTGTGAATTGTTATTTTCTTTTTAAGAAAATTATTTATAAAACGTTAAACATATACGTTTTAAATATTTGGAGCTATAAAAATTCATACTTTATATTAAGAGTGTAACACTGTTTAGTAACTAGTATGTTCTAGATGAATCTGTGCATAACCTATTAGTGATTTCATTGATGAGTAAAACAAAATTAAGGAATCATGGTAAACATTATAAAAGGTATTCTTGTTGAATGGTAAGATCATTACCTAATGAATAATTGTATACATTTTTATCTATTCAATTCTATTTTGACATATTGGAAATGATTTTCCAGTGATGCGGCTATGAAACAGTTTTTGCTTCATCTGGATGAAACAACTGCCTTAGGACGAAAATTCATTATTCAAGATCTAGATGAAAAACATTTGTTTATTTCAAGTGATATTTTGGAGACTTTGCGAGCTAGAGTTGATGATTTAATGGATCAAATTTCATTCCCGGTGGCTGAGAAAGGATCGTAAACAATCAATCATTTTTAACTAGATTTACTAAATAGTTAAACTACCGAAACAATATTTATATAAAATCAACATGGCTGGAAGAGAATCGGGAAGAATTAAAGATTCATACCAAAAGCGAATTCTTGATGAAGCTGCAAGAAAAAGAAGACAGAAAAAAGCTTTAGAAGCTTTGGAGCAAGATAATTTTCATGATGATCCTCACGCAGATCTTGGTGAGAAATTTTAAAATCAGTTACCTGTTAGCAAATAGAAAAATTTTGGTCTTAAAAATTAAATTAAATGTTATTTCTTTCGTTAGTTATGAGCAAAAAAGCTCCAAAATTTCAAGAATCTCTAGATGGTCGGGGAAGTTCAAGGAAGAAAAAAACGCGTTCAGCAGAATATTATAAGCAACGATTCCGTAAAACATTTGCACAATTGGTTGAAGAAGATATGAATAATAATCCAAATGCTCCAAATTATACTTCGGCTCAATCACCACCTTCACAGTTTCCTGAAAGACATTTTTGTGCTGTTTGTGGGTTCCCTAGCAATTACACGTGTATACCTTGTGGTGCTAGATATTGCAGTGTCAAGTGTTTAGGTACTCATTTAGATACAAGATGTCTTAAATGGACAGCATAATCATTCACTTTTTATCAATCGTTATTTATTAAAGTCGATAAATAACTCATGTCGAAATTAAAATAAGTTAAATATTGACAAAATGAACTATTTAAGTTAGTTGATGGCAACAATATTTTAAAGGTAAACAACAATTCACTTTAGGTTCAAGTTTCCATTAATGTCAACATTAGAATAATTAATATTTTGTAGATCATATTTTATTTTTTTATGATTGATTGGTATAAAAAATATAAATGTATAAAAAAATAACTATTTCGTATATTATAAATTACATACTAAACAAGTATAATTAATTGATATAATCTAAATCATCTGGAATTCGAAACTGTTTGTTGAGTGTTGATTCATTGATGTCGAATTTCCTCTTGCACCAGCTTTGTATAGCGAAAATATTGTCAGTCCATATATTGGCTGCCTCTTTGTAATTCTATTGTAATTTAGGCGTTTTAGTAATAAATTTTACATTTTTTAATTAAGATAATTATTCCAGTTTACCTCTGCTTTTTTAGCCATATTTTCTATTACTTCCGGATCAGCATCACTAAGCTTAGCTATTTGCTGTTTCAATTCAACTTCTTTTTGTTTAAATTGTTCTATTTCTTCAAGTAACTTACTTAACTCTACCGTGTCATTTTTTTCACTCTAAATATTTAAACCACTTGTTAGATTTGTATATTTTAAAACTCATCATGACACTTTTTTTTATTTACCTGTAGTTTTTTAATTTCTTCATTCAACTTTTGCAATTTAAATTCCGTTGCGACAATTTTTTTATTTGCATCAGCAATTCTATTCTCTACAGTTGTTATATTTTCTCTGAAAAGTGAATGATTTATGAAAATCTATCTTCCTCATCAAAATATTGCGAGATTTCTTACCCAGGAAAAGCCCAAAAATAAATTGTTGATCCTATTTTATCACTTCTTACCAAGCCATCATCTACTAAAGCTTGAAGAACATCTTTTACAGTTTGAAGTACAATGCCTTTCTCTTTTGATGCAATTGTTTCTATCTCTTTAAGAGTGAAAAATTCCTTGTTCTCATAAAATATTTGTAACATACGTGATCTTTTCTCTTCTAAACTAACTCGTTTAGACATGTTGAGTTAGCTGTTATGAAGCAGTCATAAAACAATTTGTATTTTTCTAAAATGATGATACTAAAAATAACAAAAGAGATTTATTAACAGCTTGAAAACAGATTTTTATTCTGAAATCAATTGATAATTTCAAATTTAATCCAAATCAACAGAATTATTTAATGTTTTGTGATCAGTTAGATGTTGATTATTTTTGTGCTAAAATTTATTAATGAAATGTAATATTTTTGTTTAAATTATTGTAAACTAATGAGTCATTAATTAGAGTATTAAGCATCTTTTAAATTAGAAATATACATTTATCTATGAAACAGAATTTTTACAAACAGCTTTTACGTTGTCTTAGCAATTTTTAGGTTAATTCATACTGACAGAGTAAACGCGCATGGTCTGAAAAAATCTAATTGGTATTTGATTGGTTCTTCCATCTTTTATCTGATGCGTAAATACATGAAAAAATATAAAAAGAAAATAGATATTTTTATTTCTTTGTTAAATTTTAAAGAAAAATGTCATGAATAATTATTAGCTCATGATTTCTATACTGTTATTTTTATAAAATAAGAAAATGGCTTGACGTATATACGTATATAAATTTATGTACACATCCATATTTATAACTGATAAGAGAGAGATAGATAAGTCTATTTATCTCTCTTCTCTGTCCTTTGCCTTACGTTCCATACTTCGGAGTTTTGTCGTTTGTAAACTTTCACTATACACAGACGTGGGTTTCCATGCACACACCTAAAATTGTCATTAAGGTCATGAATCAGTCATTGAATCAACACAAATTTGGATAGAATACAATGATTTCGACAGTTTGTTTCAAACCGTCAACCTGTACTCATCGCTTGCAGGTGTGGAGAGTAATAATTAATAGATAAGAAAAGTTAACCTATAAAAATCTTAAAGTTGGAATTTTAAATTGTTTAAACAATGGATTTTATATTATTGTTAAAGTAAGTGTATTTCTATTTACTGGATGTTTTTAATCAATATTATCTCAAATCTACAAACCTGATTGCACAATCAAGCATGACATTATCGGATAAATAAAGAATGTACGTTAAAGATAAAACAAAAACATTTTGTCGAGGTTTAACATAGTAACTTTAAAATTCCCGGCATCAAGTAATTTTTTTCATTGGTTGTTACAACGATCATATTTCTTTGAATTTGTAGAATATTTTATACATAAAGATGATTTAAGTAAATACCATAATTCCATTGTAATAAAATACGACGAAGTTGAGACAAAGTTATCAAGGACAATTAGAAAAACATCATGGAGGCTGTTAACGAAGAAATAAAATTACCACCGGGTACATGTATTTTGGAGTCACAAGTTTCTGGACACTCATATGATCCAAAAAAAAATTGTCCAGGTATTTAAAAAAATATATTAGCAACACTTGTAAGAGTACTTTGAATATAAATTTACATACTCATGTTTTAGGTATCCTTCGAGCACCTAACGGCTGTATACTAAAACCTGGAGAAAAAGAAGTTTTACGTAAGAGAGAAATAGACTTTTATGAACGAATAAAAAGTGGTGAGGATCCTATGTTTAAGGAGTTATCGAAATTAACTGCAAAATATTATGGTACAACAGAACTTAAAGTGTCCGATAAATGTAAGTCTGTGATTATTTATGTATGAAAAAAATATTTCAACTCCATAAATAACAAACACACACACGTCGTAAATTATAGCACTTGAGTTTCTTGTTCTACAAGACATTACCGAAGGCTTGGCTGAACCTTGCGTGATGGATATCAAAATGGGAAAACGAACATGGGATCCTTTAGCTGGGCCTGAAAAGCGTGCAAAAGAAGATCAAAAGTATTCCGAACTAAAGCAAACTTACAGTTTTTGTATTCCTGGCTTTCAAGTATACGATATAACAACCGGCAATTTAAAAAAATTCTCAAAAGAGTATGGAAAGAATTTAAATGCAACGACAGTCATCGATGGTAATATTTCATAAAAATATTTATCGCTAAATTTTTCTATTACTTCGAAAAATAATTTCATAATAAATAAATATTTACAGCTTTAAAAATATTTCTGAATATATCACCGGATCATCCGCCTTGTAGAGAGTTAATAGTAAAGTTATTATCATCGTTGTGGAAGATTCTAGCATTCTTTCGATCTCAAACAAAACTACAATTTTTCTCAAGTTCTCTCCTGATAGTTTACGACGCAAAACGTCTTCGAAAATTTATTCAGACAGGTTTGACAGAGGAATGTAATTCAAAGTCCGAAATATATACAAGAGGAGTCGCAGTACCTATTTCATCGTCTAGCAGTGATTATTCAAGTGGATTTAATACGCCAAAGAGTTTGTCTCCTCTATCATCAAGTCCTTCATTTTCTCAATTTATCAGAAGCGGAAAAGATAATCTCGAAAAAACAAATACTGATGCTTTTTTTAATGGAAGTCTTGGCAGGCATCTCAATAACAGCCACATTAAACTCTGTCGTACGCATTCGTTTGATCACGACTATGATCGGGATATGATTGAAATGAAAGAAGACTATGCATCTCTTTTAGAAGAATTAACTGGAAAAAAAAGACAAGATTGGGTTCGTGTAGCTATGATAGACTTTACACATGTCTTTCCGGCAGACAAAGAAACTATCGATATTAATTATCTTGAAGGAATAGAAAATCTTATAAAAATACTTGAGTCATTTCTCGTGTAGATCAGTTGTGATAAAAATGATAATAAAAACAATTATCAAAGACTGTTAAACCTTATTACTGTCATTAACAACTACGCGTAAATAAAATAAATAAATTTATCATTGAAAAGATCTATATGCAGTTATCAATTTTGTTATCGTAATGTTTTTATTCACTCGTTAAATACTTTTACGTCATATTCTTCCAATTTAATATTCTATATTTTACATCATTCGTATATTATCAACTGACAATATTTTTTAATTTTATTAATTCTTTTTTGTTATAACATTTATAAGTAATATAACATATAATTCATCATTCATGATCGTCTATACATTTTTTCACTTGGTTTTTGTCTAATAATTGCATTAGTTTTGCTTCTAGCTTAAAATTCACTTCACTTTGTGCTAAATTTTTGTATTATTTTACAATGAATATCGTCGCGACAAGCCATAAAAAGGCTTTGGCGCCTGGCGTTGAAATCGAGCGGTAATTTTCATGACGCCCTTTGCCATAATTTGCGTAGCGAAACAAAGAGAAAAAGGATACGTATATAAAATATGTGCTATAAATGGAGAATACGAGTGAGGGAGTGAAGTTTTACAAGTTAAGGGTGAAAAAGAGTCCAATAGAATAGCTCGATTCGTGATTCAATCAATTGACTTTTTTCGTGCCAAAAGCGATTGCCCACGATCGTTTCTTTTAATGCTTGAGTAAATTGGATCAGACTCACACGATTCTCATAGCTAACAATTGAGTTAAATTATCAATTGAAAATAGTTTTGTTTTTTTTTCTCTCTCTTGTTCCAATCAAATTTACCGCACGATTGTACACCAGTTATTTGAAATAGCCATCACAAAACAACATTACTAAACACATTTTTTTAAATGAATTGTATATATTTTTTTCATTACTTTTTTTTGTTCTTCATTTAACTTGTTTTCATTACTTTTCGTTAATAATCACAGACGTCCGCCAAACGTAGTAGGCTTTAAAAAAAATTAATTCTACACAAACGTTACGTAGCTTAAATTCTACAGGAGTAAAATAAATTCTTAAAAAAAACGAAAATAAAGTTACATGGCAATTAATCCAACTACATGATTAAAAATAACTATTTATCAAGTTAATTAATTGATATTGGGCAAAGTAGATGTTTTTTAAAACATTACTAACTATATCTATAGAATGTCAAGCACATTTTGTTAGTTTTCATTCTTATAATGTTCTTATATTTTAAAGAAAAAAAAATTTCTTTGATTTGCAAAAAATCACTGAAAATTTTTGGGCTTCATAGTCTGACTCGAGAAAATGAATTTAATGAATTTATTGCCCGACTAGCAATAAATGGCTGATTAACAAAGCTATATATATATATGTAAGTCATGTGCTCCATTTAAATAACCAACTGTCTTTTTTATCTTTAATTCGTGTATTTAAAGTAATTGCCAAGAATGTAGTTTTAAAAAGTAAAAAAAGAGAGTCAGTTAATGACAAATGGTTTTATAGGCAAACAAAAAAGACAGTTGTTGATTGACTTATCACTGAGAGAACTCAACGAGGCCGCGCGTGGACGAGGTCACACCCTAGTCATACAAGAATTAAATTCATCACCCTTCTTTCACTCAAATACGGACATTTTGTCAACATTAGTCAAACGGATCACTTTTTTCGACTATTAACAGTTCATAACATTGTTACAATAATATTACAATAGTTAATTAATAATATTAATATTAATAATTTTAATAATTATTATAATCATAATAATATAATTGTTTAATATATATTATATATAAATACAACTCGCATTCTTTCTATTTACAAGCTCTTTCGCTACTTTTTCTCACTTATACTTACACTTGTTCATTCAATTGAGATTTCTTCTCATTACAATTCGTGCCAAGACTCTCGTGAGAACGAAAATTAAAGAGGACGAAAAGAGAGTGAAAAGGTCGAAGACCTGAAATTTCGGCATCCCACTAAAGCTTTATGTCCTCCCACGTTGTTCTTCTCTTTTCTTCTGTTCCTCTATCATCATCATCATCATCATCATCATCATCATCATCATGCTCGTATCGCGTCCAGCATCCGTCGTGTGATCACGCAAGATACCCAAATACACTTTCAACCTACATTCCCTCTCTTTCATCATCTTTCTTGTTATTTTTCAACACCCAACAAAGGACCAATTTCACTGTGGATCCAATGATCAACCTTCAACAATTATAATCCAACGGCTACTATTAATTGATTAATTTACATAGATTTTAATGTTATTATTATTACTTCATTGATATATAATTGTCGTTGCTATTATTGTTATATCTAAGATAACATTGTATAATTTCAAAGAATTAATGAATTTTTACATTGACTTATTCTTTTCTTCTTCTCACACGACCACTTGAATTTTGCGTCACGCGGACCTGCGCGGATCTTAAATAATGACTGAGACATGTCGACAAACCGTTCGTACAAATTAAATATAACAGGGTAGGAGAAGAAGCTTAACGTCTGGAGAGTACAAAGTCATTGACGCATTTGTGTAATCTACTACGCATACATTCAATAACAGACATACATTTTTTTTTAGCAAAGATTGCTCTGTACAATTGTATTATATTTGTATAATTTTTAATTCTAAAAAAGCTATAATGACGCGCGGCACACCGGTTTACATTTTATAAAAGGCACGGTTTTTATCAAAATGATTATTAATTTACAAAATATATTATAATAAAATATCGTTGTTAATACAGTTGAATAAAATACAATAGAAAAAGGCTAATATGCGTAGGCCGACGCGCCGGCACGCCGCACTCAAATAACTATCAGGCATCTTTCCAAAAATTTATTTCAACTTTCACAACATCCAACAAAAACAATAATGAAAATTGCCGTTAATTATCATGTCATAAAATATTTAAAATTACCTACAGCAAATTCAGTTTTTGAAATATTTAACATTCAATTCTTATTTTTCCTTGTCTTTACCTTATTATTATCAGTTTTCATGTTATTTTGATGATGAGAAAAATAAGAATTTAATGTAACGACGCCGGCCTTTTTCGTCTTGCAGCTGTTAATGCTTTCGCGCGTCCCGCAGTGAGATTAAAGAACAAGAAGGTCAAACGACAAGAAGTGAAATTTATAAATTGATGAATAAAAAAAAAAAAACTAATAATAAATAAAAAGGGAAAAAGCTACTTGGACACGCGATTGACATTTTGGCAGTTAACTTTGAAATATGGCATATGTTATATCACCCGACGAATGCTGGGTATATGTTATAGTAATAGTCAAAAAGATACTGAATGATGGGCATCGTGAAGTGGGAAAACGAGAGACTTGCACGTAAGCATCTAAAAGAATATTATATTATCTACACACGATGGGGCAGTAAGCGATTACTTTCATCGTTTATCTTTTAGCTGTCTCTCTTGCTATTTATTCTTTCATAAAAATTCCCAAGTCCTTCATCAGTTGGATCCATCGTTGTCTCTTGCTCGTCTCATTTCTGTCACCCGTTCATTGAAAGCATCCTCGTTTCCCTGCGCTACTGTATACACAATTGTCGTCCATCACTTTAAGCACCACAGACCAACCAAAGAAGACCTACAAGTAGCAAAGAATTCATTCTAGTCATCGGTATGCTTCCTGATGCTTGTTTTGGAGCAACTCCGTCAACGTTGTTAGTGTCAATGTCAGGATCTGAAATACCATTAAAGTGGTTATTCATCGTTCGAATAGTGTAATTAATTAGCTGAGAAATCTTGAAATGTTTACCTATTGCTGAAGGACCCGATCCCGAACCAGAGCCTTCAACATCATCACGTCCATCTTCATCTTCATCATCATTCTCAACCATTCCAGGCTTTCTATTCCGACCTGGTCGTGCGCCACTTCCAGAACCATCGAGTGCTTCGTCAGCCAACCAAATTCCACTATCAGACGTTGATGCCAACTGTGACTGGATCACCTGTTAAAATGACATATGTTACATTTATGCTTGTCAATAATCTCCATAAATTGATATATCTAAGCTCACTTGATTTATATGTCTCAATTGATCGATGAGAACACTGGTATTTGAATTCCCATAAGGAGGCGTTCCTGTCTGTCCACTGGGTAATGTAAACTCGGGATTATATCGCTGAGCTGTTAAACTTGAATCCACGACTGTTTTGGTGTATCTGAAAGCAGGCGGAATAAATTAATTAATATTGATAATTAAAATAAATAATCATTTAAAGTTGTATGTAAGGATATTTATAGAGAGAAATTTTATCAAAAATGGTCATGGTTTCAGGAGATTTAATATCAAGAAATGACTAAAGTGATAATCTAGTCAAAATAAGAATATTAATAAATTTTATTTAAATAAATATTTGTATATGATATTAGATCAAGTTTTTATTATAATTGTTTGTTTAATTTAATTTTAATAAATAAAGTCTGATGAATTGGAAAAAACATTCAATATTTCAATGAGATGACATCTCAAATAACGGTATTTTAATAATTTGTGTTATATGGAGAAATTTATTTAGAATCTTTCGAAGTTAAGTAAACTCACAAGTTAGTTTGTAGTATAATTTTCAAGCAAATATTGAACGTAGAACTTGTAGTATATTTTTGTTTAAAACTATTGAACATAGGAAGTTTGTTTTTGTTCTAAAATTTCGCATGAATTATTTTACCATTACATATTCTAAACAAATTTGCAAATTTCCATTCTCTTAAACTAAAATTAACTGACAATAGAAAATAATTTTTAAAATATTTCCACCGCATTAATTTTAATACCTTCATTATTTCATTTTTTCAATAATTTACCAACGAAATATTTTAATAATTAAACAGAGTATGTGAAAAATTTAAATTGATAAATCCCAGTAATTTTCTACATCACTAATTACTTTCAAAAGAGGTCATATAGAAAGTAATACAACCATCCAAATATAAGTGGCACTTTATTCAGTTTTTAGTTCAATAATGTATGATTTTGAATCAAACTTCTTGACTGTGGTATGAAGAATATCTCATAAAATTAGTGAACAAGTCAAAAATAAATACCATGTCGACATATAAATCAGTTAGGAAAGTTGGATCTTACTCATTAGAAATAACAGATAAAGTAGGTAAAGCTTGATTCCACGAAGAATGATAATTAATCAATAGCTACATAGAGGTTGTTCACCCTAACATATAAGCAACATACGCATTGGCATGAATAATTGGCTTTGGAATCGCAGCAGTGCTCAAAGTTGACGAGTGATACTCTGATTGCAATGAGAGAAACGTTAGTTCCCTCTTGTTCCATCTTGTCTCTTTATTATCCACAACTTCCTCTTCTCTCTCTCTCTTTTTTTCTCTTTTCACTCCTGGCTAAACCTCAAAGACAACCATTCACAAGACACGTATAACAGCCTTCCGTCGCTCGTTAACGAGTAATTTGCCGGGTGAAGTCGTGATACAACAGACGGACAGGGAGAGTGACTAGAATAAAAACTGGTAGGAGGACAAACGTGACATGATCGACTACCTTTCCATCTCTTTTTAATCCTCTCAAAGATGCTTAACTTCCAATGTCCATATCCAATCGTTGTGCATCCAAAGGCGAGAAACCGGTACGCTTATTCCCCTTTTTTACACTCAATCTTCTTGCTAGCTTCTTGATAAGCTTGTTCATTCAATTTTTCCAACGTTATGAACGTCCCAACAGATGTTGTCGGAATCTTCTCATCTTTCTGCCATCCACAGCCTCTTAAATCTGACGAGAATCTTTTAATTGTCCTCATTGCTTGATTAATCTTTATTAGAACTAATGGAGTAATCTCCAAGGAGATTGTGATCACTTCTTTCTTTGCATTACAAATTCATCTGCTGTTCAGAATTAAAAAGAAAATAAAACTACTTGGTAAAGTGATGTTTTTCTTCGTTACACACTGACATTGATGCCTTTAGTAATACTTCAGTAATTACTAATTGATTAATTTATTAATAATTGACTTTAAAATTAATCATTCAATATATCATTTTTATCAGAAAAATGAAATGGTATTGATTATTCATTTTCGTCATTTTGAGAACAGATTATTTTTTGATTATTTGACATTGATTAATTTTTAAAGTGGAATAAATAAATCAATGAATAGATATTAAGATTAGTGATATTGACAATTGATGAAAATTTTCATTTATCTGCTTTAAATATTTCTGGAAAAAACTAGCTTTTATCATTTTAAATCCAATTTTTAAATCTGTCTATCTTCTGGAAAATTGGCTTTTTCATTGATCTATTTATACTATTGAAAATAAGTGAATTTAAAAATGCCTCTTTTCTTTCTATAAGATATTAATAGTTTCAATTCCTGACCTTTTATTCTCTTAGCTACAATTATTCTTACATACTTACAAGCGTCCATCAGATCAATAATTGGGTCATTTTGTGATAAATTAATAACTGACATCTGTCTTTTTTAAGAATAAAATATTAATATTTTTATAACAGTTTTGTTTAAATGTAAATTTTAATCAACTTTATGGCTATAATGATTAAATTATTTCGAAATAACTTCAATTTCTCGACTATAAAAAGCAACTTATGGAGATTGGCTTTTTTTTATCACCATTTGAGGAGTCTGTCCCTGTGATTGACACGTGTCTTATTATCATCTACTTATAGCCTTTAAAGTTCTCAGGAGCTTTAATGAAACGTTACCACAGTGCATTAATTTTGGACTTTATTGGTTAATGATGAAAGTGTATGTCAATATTTTTTTTAAATCATTCATTAAAAAAAATTTATGCTGAAGTAAATGCCTGTAAAAACATTACTTGTAATTTACAGAATAATTTTTCGATTAAAGTTTTAATGTCAGTTTTCATTTGGTTCTCATTTGAAGCGAAGAAAAAATGATATGAAAGTACCAAGTTAATAAAAAAAAAGTCGTTAATAACAAATTATTTATAATACTTGATGAATAAAATATAATTAAATGTTCTTTTATAAATTTTTCATTAAGAATTAGTATGTTAATTATAGCATTTAAAATCACATATTTATTTATTTTTCTGTAATGAAAAAAAAAATATATTTATCGACTCTCAATGCTAACTCAATCAGTGGCTAACTTGTTATTGGAAATCAATAAATATTTTATTATTAAAGATATAAGAGAATTCAATGATTAAAATAGTTAATCCTACTGTACTAGCAAAATCACATTCTTGAATTAAGAGTAATTTCATTCTTAAATAAAATAATGATGCTTGTACAACATACCACTAATGGATCCAGAATGATGACAGAAATGCTATGATCCTGTCATCATTCTGCCTCCATCCTCCAATCTTCATTGGTGTTATGTTGTACGAGTTTTATTTGAGAATAATGTGATCGAGACAGAAATTATTCTTGATCCAAGAATATGGTTCAAGAATATGGAGTACGTTTAATAAAACCATGTCATATAACTTGATATATTGATAATTTTTATGGCAATAAATTCAAATAACGTCCAAATTGTCGTAACTTTAAGAGTAATAATTATTCTAAAAATGTCTAAATAATGGTAAACTAAGGTTAAAATTTTATGTTAATTGATCCCTTTTAAAAATTCCACTTGATGCATAATTAATAAGCGAAAAAAAAAAAAATTATATATTCTTGAAGATAAAATTTTTCTTCAGCTTAATAAGTTTTTGCATAAAACGGTCGAATTACAAATGAGATTAGCTTCAAGAAACAAAGATAAAGCGACATTTAATTCCTCATAAAAGAAAGTAGTTAATTGATATCAGCATAAAACTAATTGAGAGCTAAAAATTCCAATTTTGTCAATTACGTACTAGTTAACTTGAAAGTTATAATTATCGATTTTCACAATGAAACTCCAAGACAACTTAAATTGCAAAAAAAAAAAAAAAAACTAGAAACAACTTTTTTCATTTAAAACACAATCAGTGTCATGTCCAATAAAAGTTAAAAAAGACTACAAGTTCTTCAATATAATGTATTATATATAGACATTATTCCTTAAAATGTCATATTCATTATAGTAATTGATTTTCATGATTGGATTTAAAGATAATACAATAATGAAACAGATTTTCTATTTTTTTTTGACAAACTTTTCTCCTATTTCCGTTGCTAAATTGAATAAAAAGTTTATTCTACAACCTTTAAACTTTACTTTGTCGTTTCTTTTTTTTTATCATTGACTTCTACTTCTAGAACTTGGTCTATTCATATCAAGCATCTTCAAGATTATTAATCCAAGAAAAAACCGCACAGTATTTTTTTAGCAGTAATTTTTCCTTTTCTTTTTCTTCTTTTTTTCGCCTAATCATATCCCATGGGTGGCAAAGATGTTCTCTATATATTTCTCATCTTGCATTCCTGCACTTTCTTTCACCTTCTTTCTCACACACCTTCGTGTGTCGTTACCTATGGAAAGAATGAAAAGAGATTAAAAGAAAAATAAATGTATAAAAAAAAAAAAAAAAACAAGTGTAACGTCTCCCTTGGAAGTTTTACAGACGCTTTATTGCCCAAGAAGTAATTCGTTTCGCCTCGCGTCTCGATTACCAAGAACTTTGTCGACTTATCTGAAGACTTATCTCATTCTTTTCATCTTCTTTTTTTTTTTTTATTCTTATATGCACTCCCACCCAACACTTAAGAATTTTTCTGTCGCAGATGAGATCTTTGCAACACTTTGTCGGTAAATATCCACTGATAACATTAGCTCTTGTCTTAGACTTATCTACCATGTGAGAACACCCTGGCTTTGATGGCCAAGTTGAATATAAAACTGTCAGTAATCGGGCTTGAAAATTTATTGTAATCATCGACAGCATGTGATTGGATCCATTGAATTTTATTTCCAGTCGAAGGAATAAAATAAAATTGTTCTGTAGTTTTATTGGATTGAGAATCTTGAAAATAAAGTGAAGTAACTGACTAGGAATCATCAAGAATAATAACGACCCTAGTTCATTCATTATTACTAACTGTTCATTAGACTGTCAAGAGTTGCTTGGATATTTATTTAAAAGAATTTTTAGCTAAAATCCTTTGAATCTCTTCAACTTCAGAATTTCAAGTTAAAAAGAAATATTCTTTTGATACTTCATAGCTTTGAACAGACTAGAATGCTTCAAAAAAAGTCTAGAAAATTGGCACTTT